GGACTCGAGGTGCCATCGGGGAGGCGACGAGAGTGCGTGAATGTATTGCAGACGCACATGTGCTGGTGCGGACTCTGAGGGTTTCGGGGCGGGTAAAAAGGAGGTGGCGACCTTTTCGGCAGGTTGCTGGTCGGGGAGGGTGACTTGGATCGACGGCACCTCATCGCCCGACTCTGGTGGTTGTGTCTGCGATGCTGCTTGCGAGGTGGTATCGGCAATGACTTGGTCGGCGACGGCTTGTAGCTGGAGAACGCCGCGCTCGAGGGTCCGGCTGCGGTGGACCTCGATGCGAGAGCGCACGAGGAGGGCCTGTGTGTAGATCTGCCAGTTGGTGGACTTGTCGGCCAAGACGCGGACGGCGTACGGGAGGATCTTCTCGGACGTGAGGGTGTCCACGGGCGAAAACGCGTCCTTCATGGTAGCCTCGGTCAGAAGAATGATCTGATCCAGGGGGGAGAGCTGGGGCTGGTCGTCCGGTGACAAGGCAGCCAGTGATGCCGACAGGCTGTCTATCTTGGCGGCGCTGTCCTGGTCAGCCTCCTTCTCAAACGAGATTTCCTCCAGGAGCGTGTCGTTGTTCAGCTGCAGGGCTTCCGGCTTGGCTGCCTCGTCCACGTCCGTTGAGGTAGCATCCTTGCTTTTGGCAAGCACAACAAGCTGGCTGGTGCTCTTCTCTTGAAACTTTGTCCTTTTACCCAGGGCGCCCGAGAGCGCATACTCGAGCCCACTCTGCGCGGCCGCGTTGCTGAGCATGTCTTTGGCCAGATCGTTTCGCCCGAGAAGAATGTAGTAGTTCGCCGCTTCCACGAGGAACAGCACCTGGTCCTCGTTGCTCCACGCATTCGTGCCCTCGGCCCATATCTCCTCGTTGAGGACCTGCCTCCTTGTCGCCTCGATGCCGTCAAGGATTTTCCCACCAAGAGTTGGGACCTCGCTCCATTGCGAACTGCGGGTAAAGTTCGATCCATGTCCTAGAGATGGTTGTGTGATGAGCTTGTAGTGCCACGCGTTCAAGCGAAGCCTCGTCCAGACGATGCTATGCTTTGCGGTCCCACTTTGCGCTGATGATAGTTCGATAGTGTCCTTGTCTGATTTTGAAAGGCATGTCTGGAGGATGTATCGCGCGAGAGCGAACAGTTCGAGGTTGGGAATGTAGGCATAGGGGGCCACCCCGTCAACCTTGAGCTCCTCGAGGCACTGCTTCCGCAGACGGTCCAGGTCAGACCCCTCAGATACCGATCTCCAGCCGTCCAGAAATAGCTGATCCACCTTGTTGGAAAGATTTGCCGGAAGAACTGGGCCTGTGACATTGGCCTGGAGGAAGGCTTCGAGAGCAGCAAGCCCCAGGCTCAGGAGCTGGGCATCGGACGTTGGACTGGATTCTGGCCTGACTGTCGTCGAGGATGACGTGAGTTGTGAGACAAATTCCTTGATGAGTGCTTCAGCGATGGATGTGTCAAGAAGCACAGCCAAGGCCTCCTTGTGTGTTTGGTCTTGTGCCTCCATGATGTGAAGTCGAGTTGCCAAAACCTGGCCACCACGTTGCAGCCCTGGACTCTGGGGGGGCCGAAAAGCTCGTTACGCTACTAGTGAGATGGCTGAATGAGTAGGTATAATGATCAGGCGGTGTCGAGGCTGTAGTTGCTCATTCATATGCCCAGACTCGCCTTCATGCTTCTCAAGATTTTTCATGCGAATGTGCATCTCCAAATAATTCCATGGTGGGGGCGGGGTACGACTCATCAATCCCGTTCCGTTCGGCGTGACGCGACAAAACACGACAAGGTATTAAGAGGGCAGTACGGCTGGCCCTTCGCCGCAATGGCGCTTTTCACCTCAAAGATAGAAAGTATGTACTCTTCAGACGCCCGTTTGAAGCAGAGCCCTGAAGAATAAATATTCTGTCGCGAAATGTACGATTGCGCAGAAGATAGGGTCACATGTTGAGCTGCTACACAAGGCGGCGCGCTGCCTGTAGGGTAGCTCAATGCCACGAGAGCTCAAAACAGTCACGTGACTGATCGTGCTGTGGGGAATAAGATCTGGCGATGGCCACAGCGATGAGATTGAAGTGGTGGAGAGAGGATCAACTCCAGTCTCTCCGAGAAATAGCGCTGGTGGAGGTTGACGGGGAATGTTCGACCCTGAATGCATTGGACCCTGGGTCGCCTTCACGTTGGGCCTCAGTTGTCCCGTTCAAAACTTACCGGACAAAGCATCGTTCCTCTCCTACGCATTTTGGCAAGCCTCATAACCGCGTGCGTGCAAGCCTCAAGGCCTCGAACGTAATACTTACGTTCCAGTGCCTCGCGGCATGGAATCATACCCAGCCAGCGGTCAATAATAAAATAAAAAACTGAGACCCAGCACAAGGCGCGCGCTGGTTCGTTCGGATCCGTCCTGTGTGACTCCGTTTCTTAGCGGCCAACCGTTAGCGGGTTGTCGTCTCAGTGTCAAGGGTGGATGCCTCGAGTTCAGCCGCGTCTCGCCGTCCTGTCTGCGCCAAGCACTGCCTGCGTTTTTGCCCTCATGCACGAAATTGAGTTGGAAACGCCCGAAATCCCACGTTTTGTTAATTCATCCCGGAGGATCTGTAGGCTGTCGATCGCTGCAACCAGCCAGCAGCCAAAGTCGCAATTTGGCGGCTTTTGGCCAAATTGCTGGCCAAGTACCTAGCCGGCCAGGATGGGTACGCAAGACAGAGAGACCCGGCGCCCAGGAACTATTACCAACGTAAATTACTTCCGTCCTGAATACGGATACGGCGAGCGCCAATTTGATACGCCCAGCGCTTGTGGTGCGGCGGCCTCCGTGGACTGGACTGGACTCCAGTCCGTCGCGGCAATAGACGGTTCAAATTTAGGCGGGTACACCGTACACCTACGGACAACTAACTTGATACGGAACAGTATTATTTCGTGCGTAATGGATTACTCTTCCAGCTGACTTGTTGGCCTGGCCCTGCATCCAATCCGCTCAGGATGAGAGAGGGAAGTGATCACGCGACACCCATCGGGTGAGAATGTCACATCAGTCTTTGGGAGGCTCATCTGTAAACTGTCAGTGCTCTTCCAACCGCTGACAACAGTGTCCTTGTCATCAATATTATCCCCGCGAGGGTCCTACCTAGTAGTATCCCATTTTTTTACGCATGATTGGGGAGCCGTGGAGACACTAATAGACATTATCACCCAGCCATCCCGCTGCGTGTTGTTGGTTTCGATGCCATCCACTTTTTCACATCGCCAAATCGCGAAGGAAACCGAGAAGTTTGCTAGCCTGCCAGGGGTTCTCGACAGGGGAGCCCTTCTGAATTTTATTCTCCTTGCGTGTTGAACGAACGGATTGTATGCGTCAACCTCAGCTTTGGCGATAAAACGACATGCAGGGACGAATTAAAGTTGGCGTGGAAATGATCTGACTCCATGCAAGTCTCCATCTATAGTAGGGGCTAGCGGTGTTTCCTGTAGAAATCTAGGCGGCTGTGTCGGCTGTTCCTTGTTCCTTAATCATATTGATGGAGAGAGGAAAGCATCTTTGAAAACGGTGCTCTTTTTTATGTGACCCAGTCGTCAGGCTGTCTGTCTGTGGATGGTGCTGTTAAGCTGCTGCCTGGTCTCAACTGGCGGCGTGATACCGCAGGCCACTATTATCAATTCCGCCTTGGCGGTTGCACTTGGTTCCATTGGCAGCAAGAAAAGAGGAAATTCGCCATGGAGCATATTGGCACACAATAATAATATCGCGCAAAATCTCAACCACGTTTTTTGGGTCTGTCGCATCTGACGGCCCATTCCGTCGCCAAGTTTGAGGCCTCTTGGATACTCTAACCGACTCCGATCCAGCATCGCGGCTCTTCAGGCGGCGAAGATTTCGGGCTAGCGAATCGACTGCATGGAGCTATGGGAGGCACAGCACGATGCCAGACTCACTCCAGTGCTGTCAGCGCATTGTGCCAAGGCCGCCTGGACTCGCAGCGTTTGCTTGTGCAGCCTCGCAAATTGGCGACTGATGTTTGAGTAATAATATTTCATACTACTTGCAAGGCTCTGTTCAGTTTGAAAGATATCGGCAGTTTGCGCCTGCGTTTCAGCTAGGTCCGCTACAGCCGTGCGTATGAAGCGCCTGGACTGCCGTGTGCACTGTCAGCTTCCAGCACCGGATGCGGCTCTACGGGTCGCTACGCCCTGGGCGCACAGTGCCGAGAAGACACGGGTGGGAAATGACATCAGCGCCTGGCAGGCTGTTTCTGGGCGCTGCAGCAGTGTGCGTTCGGGGGCGAGGCGGGCCCGGACGCGGGCAGATGCTCACCACGTCGACAGAAGTTGGTCATTGGTTCCTGCCGCCATGACTGGACTGCTATTGGCTCTTGCGCTTGAGAGCAACAAGGGAAGTCAATCCCAGTGCTCCTCCCTGACCACATCACGCATGACCTGGAGCAGCAGATCTAACGTTACCTTAAGGCAAGATATCGCTGCAATGCCAGTCAGTGTCCACGCAGGCTGAACAACCACCTCGGGGATAAAATGGGCTCGATGCAGGCAGCCTCTGATTTGCTTCTCCCAGCCTCTTCCGGTTGGTTCAGTGAACCCTTGAAAGCCACAGCCGGGCGCACGCTAACTGATTACAGCGAGCAACCACCGAACCATGCCAAGCCGACCCAACAGTCGCTGTCGAGTCCAGTCAGTCAGTCCAGTCGTCTTCGGCGCCCACCGATCAGCTGACCGGCCACCACGGCGAGATGCACCGCAGAGGACTGTCCTCGGAGATCTCAGCACCGAAGATGCCATGCTTTGTCCGAGCCTCGAGTCGGATTCAGATATCGAGGGTGCTGTCTGGTGATAAGCGCAACGACTGCAAGTTGTGAAGGTGAAATTCTGTCACCGGGTCCCCGCCTGAAGCGCCCAATCATGTGGCCTGCAATTGGATCGCCAGTGGCTGCAAGGAGTCAAGGACTGGAGGCTGACTTGCCCAACCCCACGCGGTTCGACGTCGGTGGCGAGGAGCTCAGGCAGGCAGCCTCTCTCACACACACACAGAGACAGACGCCACAACCGTGCGACGAGCCCATCGGGGGGTTTCCCATTTATTTCCTGTCCGTCAGAGGGCCAGAACCAGTCAAGTCCTTCGAGAAGCAGGCGGGAGGACGGGGCCACCAATGTTGGATGCCTCCACGCGCATCTCAACCCGCGTTCGTCGATGGTGGGCAAGCCTACTTTTCGGGAGGCACCTTCGCAGACATAGACCCTGCAAGCATGGTGCGTCGCGTGTTCCTTTTGGCTTTATTGCAGGTGACAGCGCAGTAAAGAGCACTGTCGTCAGGTCAAGCACAAGCACAACGACATCATCCAGGTCCCGCCAAGGCTGTTCTCATCACCTTGCGCTGCTGGGCCGCCCAAGGGACCCCCGTGGATGTGGAGCAAACGCCAAGGGCCCAAGAATCCAAGATGGATGCGACAGGGACTTCCCCATGTACTCCGTCGCGGGGCCGCCACTCCAAAGGTACCTCGCTCGCCTGGCCGTCGAACAGCTGGAACGCAGACCCCACACCCCCTTCATCACCCATCGACAAGGGGGCCCCCGTCCTCCTCGCGCATCCTGCTCGTGGTTGGAGAGACATGGAGGGGAGGAAAACCTCTGTACGTATGCAGAGGACGATGGCTGCGCTGCGCTGCGCTGCTCTAGCCTGCTGTTCGCCGCATGCGACATTTATATACGCCTCGACGTGCGCCTCGTCGCGTCCTCGTCCGCCCTGGTTCCTTCTTCCTCCTCTCGTACCTCTTGACCATCCTTTTTTCCCCCTTCAACACCCTCATCCTCCTCTCCCTCCTCCCTCCCCTAGCTGTACTTGGGAGCTCCCTGTCCTGGTAGAGCTCGCACGCACGTTCAACACCACAAACAGACGAGAAGGCGTGAGAAAGAAGTGACCATCGCTGTCACGACACGTTATTCGTCATGTCGTCCCCAGAGGCGGAAAAGAAGTACGATGGTCCAGTCTCGCCGGACCTCGAGGGCGAGACCACTCACTTTGCAGACAACGCCGACGGTCTTCAGCGTCGCTTGAACAACCGTCAGATCCAGCTGATCGCCATTGGCGGCTCCATTGGCACCGCGCTCTTCGTCAGCATCGGAAATGGCCTGGCCCGCGGTGGACCAGCCAGCTTGCTCATTGCCTACGTGTTCTACCCGTGTGTCCTCGCTCTCGTCAACAACTCGATCGCTGAAATGACCACGTACATGCCCGTGTCCGGTGGATTCATCCGTCTCGCTGGTCACTGGGTCGACGATGCCCTCGGCTTCATGGCGGGCTGGAACTTCTTCATCTACGAGGCGCTGCTGATTCCCTTTGAAATCACTGCCATCAACCTCGTCCTCGGATACTGGAGCGAAAAGCTCAAAAACCCCGGCCCTACGGCCGGCATCTGTCTCGGTGTCATCCTCCTTTACGCGTAAGACTGGTCCCGCTGGAACGTGTGGAAAATCCCCGTGACGATGAACCGTCGCCCGATTCCCATCGCTCCAGGCCAACATCCCCCCCAGAAAAGAAGAGACATTTACTAAACATTGTCTCGCGATATAGTGCACTGAATCTTCTCGCCGTCAGAGGTTATGGTGAGGCCGAGTTCTGGCTGTCCGGTGGAAAGGTCATCCTGATCTTCCTGCTGTTCTTCTTCACCTTCGTCACCATGGTTGGCGGCAACCCCACCGGCAACGCCTATGGCTTCTACCACTGGGTCAACCCCGGGGCCTTTGCCGAGTACATGTCTTCCGGCTCGCTGGGCAAATTCGAGGGTTTCCTGGCCGCGCTGTGGAACGCCGGCTTCGCCGTCGTCGGCCCCGAGTACATCTCCATGGTCGCTGCCGAGGCCAAGCGCCCCCGATTCTACATCAAGACGGCCTTCAAGACCATCTACGCGCGCTTCGCCATCTTCTTCTTCGGATCGGCCCTCTGCGTCGGCATCGTGCTGCCCTACAACGACTCGACCCTGCAGGCCGTGTCGAGCGGCGGCTCCGACGGCTCTGCGGCCGCCTCGCCCTACGTTATGGCCATGAACAACATGTACATTACCGGGCTGCCCAGTGTCGTCAACGCGCTCATGTTGACCTCCATCTTCTCCGCCGGCAACACCTACACCTACTGCGCCACGCGCTCCCTCTACGGTCTCGCCCTCGAGGGTCGCGCCCCACGCTTCCTCCGCCACACCTGGAGCAACGGTGTGCCCATTTACTGCTTCCTCGTCGTCATGATCTTCCCCTGCCTGTCTCTGCTCCAGTGCGGCAACGGCTCCGCCGAGGTCATTGGCTGGTTCGTCGACCTCATCACCGGCGGCGGCCTCATCAACTTCATCGTCATGAGCATCACCTACATCTTCTTCCACCGCGCCTGCAAGGCCCAGGGCCTCGACCGCAACAAGCTGCCCTACAAGGGCTGGTTCCAGCCCTACGGTGCCTACATTGCCATTGGCGTGCAGCTCTTTGTCGCCCTGGGCTACAACTATGCCGTGTTCAAGGACTTTACCGCCGAGGGCTTCTTCCGCGGCTACACTATGCAGGTCATCATGCCCTTCTTCTTCCTCGGCTGGAAGTTGATCAAGAAGACGCGCTTCGTGCGCCCCCACGAGGCCGACCTGGTCTGGGAGGCGCCCACCATCGACCGCTACGAGTCGCAGTTCACCCACGACCCTCCTGGTTTCTGGATGGAGATGGGCTGGATGGTTGGCATCAAGAGGCACAAGAAGCACATTGCGGATTAAATGTGAAGCGATGGCGTGTGATGGTGCATCATGCTGTGTGTGAGCACATGGAATCGGAGCATCCGGTTGTCCCGTTCCTTTGAATCGAGGCCAAGTGGCTCGCTGTCTCGGATGCGTGACGATGGATGGACAAGTCTCCGGACCACGACATGATTGAAAAATCTATATAGTATATACCCCACAGGACCGATAGTGTCCAATTTATTCAGTTACTTCTGCCTCGCCGTGGATTTTGTCGCATTGTGAATGAAGGATACGCTCAACGCGACTGACATTTGCAGAAGTAACAACAACTCGGGTCCATCTCGTACTGTACACTGCCAGAATCTCACACTTTCTCGCAGTCGCTCATTCATTAATCGCAGTGCCGGACCCTTTTTGCACGGCACGCTCATCCCCCCTTTTGCTCTGACCATGTTGTCGCTTTCTCTCCCCCCTTTCCCGTCCACCGCCGCTGTACAGTCCATTATGTCCGGGCAAATCCCCATCACCGGCTGCACGCGCGCATAATCTCTTGCATGGCCGCCCTGGATTCCTCATCGACGTCGCTCACGCGCATGCTCTGAAGAGCATTGACAGCGCGCATGTCCGCCACGTAGCCGACGGAGGGCACGGACAGGCCACCTCGCCCGCCGGGATGCCAACCTCCTGCCCGTGATGCCCCTCGGACCCCTCGCATTCTTTGACTGCCTGGGACCACTTGATGACCACCTGGGACCACTTGATGACCACCTGGGACCACCTGATGACTACCTGGGACAATTTGGTGATCAACTGGGATCATTTGGTGACTACGTGGAATCAATGGACCACTTCGGGGCACTGGACGACCTCGGGGCACTGGACCCCCTCGGCCTCCCCGACCACGCCAGACCCCTTGACCACGCCTCTGCGCGGCGCGGATGCCATTCTCCCGATAGACCTGTTGCAGAGCAGCCGCAGCCCGCGCGTGCCTAAAGTCCACCCTAAGGCCGTAGTCGTTTCCGAGCTCCCTGAGGTTGGGCGGCAGTAGTATGTTCGGGCTCATGTGGGCACGGTGCTCTGGCGAACCTTCGAGGTAGATCTCGCCGCAGGTACACTTTAAGACGTTCAGCAGGTTGCCATGTGCATCCCTGCGGCCCATCAAGGCATTGATCTCAGCCTCCCGTGCCATGTGGCGCATACGGCTCTCTGAGAGCATATGGGAAGCTAGTCAGCGTCAGTCTTTGTCGCGGTACCACAAGATGGTGAAGAAGAGAAGGGGGGGGGCGGGGGGAAGGGAGAAGGGTAGGACCTACATCGATCGCCATTTACCAGATCACTGACAGCACGCTCGAGACAAATGTCAACGCAAGACTCACCACGGAAACGGTTCCACGGGGGAAGGGGATCGGTTAGCCTACATTGAGCGCTCTGAGGGTCGGGAGGGTCGTCCCCGGTTGCTCAACGCGGAGACTGTTGATGGTGTTTGAGTGGTGTGTACCGCCATATGCACTGGGACCAGGAAGTGGTTTATGGCGCTTGGCGCACGCCGCGGGTCTGCCTCGAGGCATGTATTATGGTGACAGCTGCGTGCTGGACGTTGTATACGATGCACAGGTCAAGGTGATTACTTGTCGCTGGGTGCTTTGCGTGTGTGTCAGGTAAGGTAGTAGGTATATGTGCGTGTGTCCACGTATTTAAAGGGGAGGTAGGACACTTGTACGGTAGAAAGGTTCGGCACGAAGGCTCTGTTTACTCAGTGGTTACCCAAACTCTACGTCAATGAGTTCAGCCACTGGCACCAGTGTATAAGACTAAGTCCCCGCGACCCTGCGGTACACGATCATGCGAGACTCAGTATCAGGTGCCCGGAAGACATGGCGATGCAAAGCGGAACAAAGCTCCGGCCTCGCGGCTCTTGGAGAGCTATACTCTTGTGCCAGCACAGTACTGGACCATGATACGTCTTATCACAGACTCTCTGAACCTCGCCTGGCTCGTCAGCGGGTCAAGCAGCTTGCCCAGCATCTTAAGGGAACTACAACACGTTCGTTATGTACTCCAACCTTGTTGTACATTGGCTTTGAGAAATAAGCTTTGTTATAAAGAACACCACTCAGCTCTATCCAGTCGAGGAGAAGACATCCCGGCTGAAGACGACCATATATGAACCCATGGTCCCCTCAAACTCGCGACTACGTGGCGCCTAGCCTTGACAAGTCCAATCATCGGTGGCAGAGAACTCGACGCATGATATTTACGTATGCCAAAGTCAATGCGCGGCGGCTCGCCGGATCTGAGCTTTCCACAAGGTTGCCCGGTTTGAGTTTAAATTACGATGATGCCGGTCAACCGTATATTGGGCGTTTCGTGGCTACATAATCGGTTGCAGCACTAGATAACCTTCCCATATAAGTTTGCGTCAGTGGGCAACTATACACCAAATCTTAATATCAACCTTAGCTTAATGCCCGAGAATTCACGTGCACCGAATCTTCACCACGTGTTAAAGAGTACTAATGAATGTGGCATGCTGAAAGCCAATCTCGTGACACTTTCTTACTGCGTTGGACATTGCTGGCTTGCTTGCCCTAACATGGACTAGCACCCAAGACCACAGTGTACACACACACACCACCACCACCACCGGAAAGCCGGTCGTCACGCACGATGCACAGACACGCAATTTGGTCGTCACGAATTCATTGGCTCTATCTATCGCCATTTCCTCCATGGCGTCTCAGTGACAGTCAAAAAGGGTGGGCGAACCAAGTCGGTACAGGTCCTCCAACCCATCCGACAGTCCTCCCGCCCCCGGTAAACACCATCGCCCGAGACATAGTCTAGTCTAGTAAAAAAGAGCATATCATGAGTTCTTCTATCCACAGCCAACGGGTATGTGCGTAGGCTGCATCCATTTTGAGACCAAAAAAAGATTCCGGCCAACCGGCAAGAAAGAAGGTACTTTTTGCTCAGAGAATTCATTATGCGACAAAGGGAAAATATAATCATGCTGAAGAGGGGGGGCGGACTCGTCAAGGTTGTAGGTGGATGCGTATCGGATAGTAGAAGAGGGGGGGATGTTCTCTGACAGACAGACGAAGCGTTTAGATGTCGTCCTCGTCGGAGAAAACCTCCTCACCACGCTTGCGGCGGGCCATACGCTCTGCAGATTGTTGTTAGCATTGGTCTCAAAAATGTCATTCAAATGGAGCTGCTTACCCTTCTTCTTCTTGCGAGCCTCGGACGAGGTCAGCTTGGCCTTCTTCTTGGTGCTGACAATCTTGTTGCCCATAGCATCGAACTTCTCCTCCTCCTCGTCATCGTCGCCCTTAAGACGGGGACCAGAGCCCTGGCCGGACACCCAGTTGTGGCCGGAAGGCGTCATCTTGCCGTCCATGACGGCCCAGACCTCCTCGGTGATGTTCTTGGTGAACTCGGCCGAGTGAGTGATGATGATGACACCACCCTCGAACTTCTTCAGGGCCTTGGACAAGGCACCGAGGGAGTCACGGTCCAGGTAGTTGGTAGGCTCGTCAAGGACGATCAAGTGAGGGCGCTGCCACGAGCAAGCGGCCAGGACAGTCTTGACACGCTGGCCACCAGACAGACCACGCATGCGCGAGTGAGAGACGAGCTCAGCATCGAGACCAAAGTTGGCGCAGTGGGCCTCAATCTCCTTGCGGACAAGGGGACGGAACTGACCAGAGGCGAGAGCCTCCTTCATGTCAACGTCGGCAACCATCTTCTGGTGAGAGGCCAACAGCTCGGAGCGGGGCAACCAGGCGTTGTCCGCAGACATCATGGGCACCCAGCGCTCGTTCTTCATGCCAATGTTCTCGCCGAGGGCGAACGAACACTCGTACTCGTACGAGTTCTTGAACTTGCGGCGGGAGTTGATGCCAATGACGCGGCGGGGGGTACCCTCGATCTTGAAGACCTTGTCCATGGCCTTCTCATCGGCGTCGGTGATGATCTTGTTGGCACGGTCCATGGTCTCGCGATCCTCACCAGTCTGGAAGCGCCACTGGATGTACTCGGAGGGAGTGGAGTCCAGGTGGTCGTCAATGTGGGCAAAGGCGTGCTGCTTGATGTAGGCAATGCGGATGTTCTCGTGCTGGTAGATCTCACCCTTGGTGGGGATGAGCTCACCGGTGAGCACGTTGATCAGGGTCGACTTGCCAGCACCGTTGGGGCCAATGACGGCAATACGGGAGCCGAGCGAGCACTGGAAGGTGATGTCCTGGATCTGGGGCTTGGAGGTACCGGGGTACTGGAAGGTCATCTTGGTGGCACGCAGAATAGCCTTGGCCTTGGTCTTGACACCCTCGAGGAAACCGGGCTCAGGGAAGGTGAACTCGATCTCGGAGGCACCGAGCTCGTAGTAGGACTTGGCCGAGGGCACGCGCTTGACAAAGTCGGCCAGGTTACCACGGTAGCGCTTGAGCTTGAAGCGCTCGTAGTGGACAATGTGCTGGCAGATGTTGTCGAGGAAGCCGGAGTCGTGGGAGACGACAATGGAGGTGCAGGGGGAGTTGATGAGGTACTCCTCGAGCCACTTGACGTTCTTCACGTCCATGTGATTGGTGGGCTCGTCGAGCAGCAGGATATCGGGGGCCTCGAAGACGGCACGGCACAGAGCCAGCTTCATCTTCCAACCACCGGAGAGAGCGGTGATCTCGCCAGCAATCATCTCGTTGTTGAAGCCGAACTCGCCCAGGCGCTTCTCGACCTCCTCACGGCTGGTCTGGACATTGGCCTCCTGGAGCTTCTTCATGGTCCAGTCAATGGTGGTCATCTCAGTATCGGCAGAGTCAAGGTCGTGCTCGACGAAGACGGTCTTGACCTCGGACTGCTTGGGGAAGCCCTCGACCTGCTCGTTGTTGATGGCACGCATGAGGGTGGACTTGCCGGAACCGTTGGGACCGCAAAGGCCGTAGCGCTGACCACGCTTGAGACGCAGGTGAGTCTGGTTGAGAAGAATCTTGGCACCGTAGGCGAGGGAGAAGGTGCAGTTGCAGAGATCCTCACCCTCCTCCTCATCGGGCTCAACCTCAGCCTCATCGGCGGCGCCGGGGGAGGCCTTCTTGCGGAGAGTCTCAATGACAGCCTCGGCGTTGTCGATGCCGGTGATGACGGCAACGTAGGGCTTCAGGTTTTCGACCCAGATCATGGGCTCGGTCTCCTTCTCATCGACGAGCTGGCCGGCAATAGCGGAAATGTACTCGGCGAGAGGGCCCATCTTCTCCAGGTAGCTGCCGTACTTGGGCTTGAGGATCTCGGTGAGCTTCTCGAGGACGATGTTGAGAGCACCGTCGTTGCGGGCCTCGGGGATGACACCGTTCTGGACGTTGCCGACACGGTTGAGGGTGTCGAGAGCCTGCTTGGTCTTCTCACGAGCCTCGGGATCAGCCAGGTTCTCGTAGTTCTTCTGGAGACCGGGCATCATCTTGGGCAAGAAAGGAGCAACGATATTGGGGTCGTCGACAAGCTTGCACATGTTGTCGACAATGACAGCGGCCTTACGCTTGATACCAGTCTCACGCTCGGCGAGACCACGGTCAAGCAGGGGCACCATGAGGGCAAGGGTAGGCTCCTGGACCTCGGTGACGAAGGTGGTGGCACCGAGCAAGTGAACGGTCTCGGGGACGTTCTCGGGCTTGGCGATACACTTGATGAGCTCGGGGATGAAGCGCTCGATATCACGGTTGACAATGAGCTGGCAGAGCTTCTCCATGGCCTTGTAGGCGCGGTCCTTGACCTCCTTCTTGGTGTCCCACATGGCCTCGGAGATGACGGGGATCAACTCGGGGACACGGTAGGCGAGCTGGGCAGGGGCGGAGACGACCAGGGCGTCGATGAAGTCAAGAGCAGCCATCTTCTCGGGCCACTTTTGAGCGTTGCGGATCGACTCAATGATGTGGGGGAGGGCAGCCTTGGAGGCGTTGCCCTTGATGGCGCCAGCGATGGCGAGGACAGCAGCCTGGGCGGCATTCTTCACGTTGACAGTCTTGTCACCGACGGCAGACAGGACCTTGGGGAGGAGGACCACGAGGTAGGGCTCAACGGCAGCAGAAACCTCGGAGTGGACAGCAATCTGCTCAATGGCGACGCAAGCGCGCTCACGGGCGACAGCATCCTTCTTGCTGGCCAACTGCTTCTCGAGGTTCTCAATGAGCCTATCAAATGGTTAGTACGTTGAACGGGCGTCAAATTGAAAATTTTTAGTGGGCGCTGGAATTGCTGGTGAGGGGCAAAAAACAGCAGCACCCTGGCGCTGGCGCTGGTTGCCCCTCCCTCCTGGTGCACTCGGGTTACAGACTTGAAAAAAATATTCGCCCATTCCCCAAGAACACCGAGCAATCTGCGACCACAAGCTTTTCAGAGGTTGGCAAGACTCACTTGTTAGGCACATCCTGGTCCTCGATACGTCCGTTGACAAAGCCGGCAATCTCGCCAGACGTCTCCTTGATGGCGGCGGCCTCGGTGGAGACGGTGAGCTTCTGGAAGAGCTCGTCGAGCACCTTGACGGACTGAGCGTTCTCGGAAGGCATCTTGTCGGGTTGTAAAAAAAGGTTCGGAAAAGGTTCGTGGAGGCGAAAAAATTCCTAGGATGACAGACTAGTACGAATGAACGTCTGAGTCTGGTGAGGGCAAGAGTGTCGATGGAGGGGTCGAACTCTGTGCAGAGGTTGCGGGGCTGTTCGTGGAGGAAACGAACAACACTGGCAAGAGGAAAGAAAAGAGATCAAAAGGAGGACAATGAAAGAATCAAGTCCACGCTGTTCGTCTTGGAGGAAAAGACGGACCAGTCTCAAGAAGTTGGATGATGGAGGAAGAAAGGTTGGGAGAGGAGGGAAAGAGACTTAAGGAGGGGAGGGCCAGGTTTTTTTCTGAAAAAGGCTCGCCGCCGCCGAGCACGACCACATTTTTTTTTTGCGCAGCGTGTCCGTCCCGCATTGCTGCTCCTCCCCTCAACGAAGCCCATTTTGAAAAACTCTGCCCCTCCATTGGCGGGGCGGCGCATGCTTATCGGGCTTATCGAGGCTTATCGAGGACGCGCTAGGCCCAGAAGGGGGCGAATCGCCAAAGCGGTGAACCTTGGATGGGATTCCGACTTTTGGTTCCAGGCTGTTGAGGCGGCCAGTAAATGTTGCTCAACATCCGAGCTATTTCTCTACAGGGAAGCTGTTGCTCTTGACAGCCCTCTCTATTGACGCGCTCAGAAGCCAAGGGAAGGTTAGATCCTGAGTCCTGACCATACATGATCTGATTCTGGACCCTGGGCGGCTAGTCTAAGTTAGGATTCACCGATTCTGATGGTGGCAGAATCTTCCCGCTCATTGTGACATTTGCCACACTCACGGATACTTTTTTTAGCCATATTGCGGACAGTCATTCTCCCCAAGAGACATGGAGGCGGCGGTCCGTTTTCTGGTATCTCAGAGCGTCGTCAACCAAAGTGGTGTTGCTCTCACAAGACCAGTGTCATAAAAACTCCGTCGCTATAGATGATCGTATCTTCGTATCAGCCCAGTCGACAAGCCACGTTGTCACAATATCAAGATTTGAGTGGCTCCTGGTCTATAGCGCCCGCCGTCACCAAGCCCTGCGGCCAACTCTCTTTCACAACATAGCAATGAGTGGCACAGAACTAAATAGTATCCCGTGTCTACGTACAGTATGCAAAGAGTGAGATCTCGACACCTTGAACCCCTTCACGACGCACTGACCCCAGGTCCTTCGCGGGGCCCCGGACAATCTGGAGGCGTACATGGGCCTGCCTCACCGACAGTTGCCATGTCTCGCATGGAATTGCCTGGACCCTGCTAAGAAAGTCAAGCTGAGCTTACCTCGCGCGATGGCGGGATGCTGACTAGGCTCGCCATCGGCCCAGAACACCTAGTAGACTTGTTCAAGGCATGACACTCTTCGCTTTATTTGATCGTTTCGCATGTAGTCGTCTATCTTTATAACATCCACCGGAGTGCCCATCTCGCCACTCACTAGCTCCTTCGCGCGCTCGCTTTCATGTCAGAGAACATGTCCATCATTTCTTGCCTGCGTCCTCCTTCAACGATACAATCCTGTTGAGCACAATCTTGTCTTCCGTAGTATCTGAGTCCAGTGCCTGCCACATATTAGTCTTTGTCTGAATTGAACGATAAAGGGAACCTACAAAGTATGCCACACGCATAGCCTGGAAGCGCACACTTTCTGGGCCACCCTTGCCCAGCTCGCTCTCGCCAGCAGCCTCTGGCCATGGCGCCCGCCTCCTGACCTCGTCAAAGCCGCTCTCGATGATGGCATCTCGGTATATCACCTCGCTGTCGGGGTTAATGTCATTCAAGAAGCCACCATCGACATCCTCTGGCTTCTCGCTCTTGAAGAGCTGATTGTGTACGCGCGCCTCCACCTTCTTAGAACCCTCTGTGCCAACCCAGGATATGTATGTCTTGGGCTTTTTCGTCTCTTTGTCAAACACAGCGCGGACCTCGGTAACTTTCCCTGTCTCGGGATCCTTGGTGAACGAGGTGGCCTTGATGGGATACTGCACGTTGAGCAGACCAACAGACTTGTTGGGCGCGAGTCGGAAGTAGTCTTTGCTGTCTTCCTCGCGGAAGTCGGAACGGTCAATGTAGATTGTGGGGGTGAATTTGACAATGTGGGAACCCATCTTTGGGTCTTTGGGCGAAAATGGAATTTCAATGTCGGCGGGCTCCGCATCCTCCACCACAACTGGGATGGGGTCGAGGATGAGCATGAGACGAGGCGTGGTCTTTTCGAGGTACTTGCGAACAGACTGCTCAAAGCGGTGCACAGGCAAGGCTGTAGCGTTGGTGGTCACGCCGAGTTCGTTGATAAACTCCAGAATGGCACCAGGCGGCACACCGCGGCGCTTGATGCCGATCAATGTGTACAGTCGCGGATCGTCCCAATCGCGCACAATCTTCTCTTCGACCAACTTCATGATCTTCCTCTTTGAGAGAACCGTGCCAAAGAGATTAAGTCGACCATACTCGCGCTGCATCGGCTCGTAGACCTTTAGGGTTCTGTTCAACCACTCGTAGGATACTCGCGATTGGATGAATTCCGTCGTGCACAGAGAGTGAGTGATCCCCTCGAAGCTGTCACACAGACAGTGGGTGAAGTCGTACGTCGGATAGATCTTCCAATCCCAGCCCGTACGATGATGGGGCTGGTCGGTCTTGATGCGGTACGCGGCCAAGTCCCACATCTGAGGGTTGCCATCGGTAATGTCCTGCTTCATGCGCAGAAAGACCTCCTTGGGCTTGTATTTGCCGTCGCGCATGTCTCGGAACTTTTGCAGGTTGTCCTCGGCTGTTTGCTCGGCATGCGCGCAGCGGTACCGCTCGTGGGCACCTTTCTCTCCGCCTCGTTGAAGCTTGATCTCCGTGTCGTTACACGAGCATACGTAGGCTTTTTCCATTTTGATCATCTCCTCCGCGAGGTCGTAGAGCTTCTGGAAGTTGTCGCTCGAATATGTGATCTTGTACGGCTTGAAGCCCAACCATTCGACGATATCCTTGATCGCTGTGAAGTACTTTTCCTCCTCCTTCTCGGGATTGGTGTCGTCGAATCGTAGGTAGCAGACGCCGCCGTGGTATTTGGCGAAGCCAAAGTTGATCGCGATCGCCTTCGCATGGCCGATATGGAGGAAGCCGTTGGGCTCGGGAGGGAAACGGGTGACAACATCTTTCTCTGGACGCTCCTTGTAAACATCTGCCAACCAGCCGACCTTGAACATCTGCTCCGGGTCAGTCGCAGTCTCCTCAGCCTTTGGCGCGGCAGCTTTGGGCTTAGCTGGCGCAGGACCAGCGGCAGCCTTTTCGGCGCGAGCCTTCTCCTGCGCAGCCTTCTTTGCGCGCTTCTGCTGACGCTTTTTGAGCTCGGCTTTGGAGACCATCTCGCCAGTCTCCTCGTCAAGCTGGAGCTTGGGCATGTTTTGGGTGATTTCCTCGGCCATGATTGCGTTGTCGAGGGAGGGTCTTCCAGCTCAAAAGATCGTGCAGATGGATGTTTGGAAACTTCCCTCAATTCCAGTCTTGGATCGCGTGCCCAGAAAGTGAGTCAATGGCCGTTTGGGTTATGGTTAGGAGGGGCAGAAGAAAACAATCAGAGACCCCGCCAACGCGGAACGCGATAAGCTGATAAGAGCTTCTGGCCAAGGATAGAAACGGGCGCAGACGGACCTGAACCTCTGCACCTTCACATAGGTAGCTGAGCTGGATCGGTTTTTGCGGAGCTTTGAATGGCATTAAGATAATTTTTCAGAGACGGACTGGGCTCTCCTTCTATGGCCGGCCGTCTGACAGGTGTTCTAGCGCAGTATGAGAGAGGGTGTGTAGGCTATCCCAAACCCACCCGTTTAGACCTACCTCGAGTCAGCGTTACTACACGGGATTGTTCAATAACCCTACTGGCAATTCGATGGGAACTGGTCGCGATTAAAATATTACACGGGCTCTACCTGTAATTCGGCTCTCCTTGGGTGAACTGCTGCATGGCCCGGTTCTGTTGTCGCATGCTCTCTGGCCAAGCCACAGAAACTTCCAGGTTCTCACTTCTGGCGCCCTCTGCCCTTCATCCGCTTGCATCATCGGTACATGCATGAAGCACCTCGAGTACCGGTTCCTCGCTCTGCAGTTCTCACTGTTCATCGACAACAATACCTAATAATCGACGCATGTACGCGCCTCAAAAGACCGAAGAACCGTATTCAACAGAGAACCAGCGAATTTCCTGCGACCAAGATCCTTACAGCTCTTCTCAAGCTCATTCGACTCTATCCTACGCGTAGCCACCAGAGCCGGCACAACTCAAATAAGCAACACAAAGAGCGACTATTACTGTACTGAATGAGCGCTGCGCCCAGAGTATCGAAATTACGCCGCACAGGTCGGACGACTTGCTCCCTGGTACAGTTGCGGCCGTGGTTGACTCGCCCCCTTACCACATCTACTACCCATCACCGAAAGAACGCCCTCTCACATCTACGTAGACCGTGTCTACGATCTCACAAATCTCAAGCGAAGCCCGATCAGGATTCTGTCGCTACATTGAAAATGCCTCGCCATGACGATGAGGTCGATCTGCCCACTGTCACCGACCTGTACAACCGAGGTGACCTGGAGCCCAGCGACAAGCCCCGCGAAACCCATTCTGCGTCTGTCAATGCCCGCGTCTCTCTCATTCGAGGCGACATCACAGCTCTGTTGGTCGATGCCATTGTCAACGCCGCCAACTCAAGTTTGCTGGGCGGAGGTGGCGTCGACGGAGCGATCCATGCCGCCGCAGGTCCTCGCCTGCTCGCCGAGTGCAAAACCCTGAAAGGTTGCCAGCCGGGCGAGGCGAAGATCACAAAGGGCTACGAACTGCCAGCGGCACACGTCATTCACACAGTCGGGCCTGTGTATTTCAGGACGTCACCTCTCCAGGCGAAGCAGACGCTGGAGAGTTGCTACGAGGAATGTCTGCGGGTAGCAGTGGACAATGGCGTCAGGACTCTTGCTTTTTGCGCCATTAGCACGGGCGTGTATGGCTATCCTCAAGAAGATGCTGCCCGAGTGGCTTGCGAGCAGGTTCGGAAATTCCTCGAGACGGAGGATGGTCAGCAGTTGGACAGGGTCATCTTCACGACATTTACTACACCAGACGTCGAGGCTTACGACAAGGTGGTGCCTCAATTCTTTCCTCCCGCGGAAGCCTCGTAGCTGGCGTGATGCACAGGATAGAACCCGAGAGGACCCAGGATTTCAGCCAGGGCCGGCAGCTTGTGGTCACCCGCATGATACACATGACGCATACGGAAACAATATTGGCACTATAGATGAATACAAAGCCTTTCAAAGCTGCATATCACAGGCAGAACTGGTAGACGACCTGCATTGTAACCAACTTCGCTCGCCTGGGCATATTATCCACGAGAAAACATGACTCGCCTACTTCAGGCAGAACCAAAAGCCTTCGCACATAGCCTTTCCCTACATCCTCATCTGCGTCTCAAGAACTCTTGCTGGAGCTACTGCTCGAGCTCGAGCTCGAGCTCGAGCGTCCCCGGAACCGCTCAGCTAGCTGGGCAGCTCGGTCGCCCTACTCAGAGCTGCTCGCACTGCCTCGCGCAGCGGCGACGTCCTCCTTCTTCTTGCCCTTGTCCTTCTTCTTCTTCCCAGCGTCTTTCAGGACGGGCTCATTCTCTGCCTGCTCCTCCTCAACGGCAGCCGCAGCCTTGTTAGCATCGGCGCCGACGGCCTGAGAGATTTCTTTGAGCATCGCCTTGAGCTCCGTGACGTCGGTGCGCAGCTTTTCCAGTTCCACCATGGCAGGGTCGTCCTCGACATTGGACTTGGCTGCATCGCAGATCTTGGCCCATTCCTCAGATTGCGCGTCGACATCGGAGTTCATTTGCTCCCACTCTTCGATCACATCGTCGTCCTCTTCACCGCGCGAACGGTTGAAGCGAATGTCAGCCGCCTTGCGGGTCTCGAAAAAGGCGGAAACCACCAGCAACGGCGAGTACAGCACGCCCATGACGCAGTCGTTGAGAATCTCGTAGGCGTGGTCGGGCATCCACCACTCAAAGAGGCCGGACACGACAATCTCGATGAGATTAAGGGGCGGGATATAGACGTTTTCATCGGGAGCACGGACAAATTGCATCGTCTTCTGGGCAAGCAAAGCCAGGTACTCATCGTCGGCATTGCCGTAAATATCCTCGTAGGCCGAATTGTAGAGCGCAATAAGGATGTTCAGCAAGATGATCTGGTGTGGTTAGCCAAGTCCGCCTCTGTGGACAGCAGGGAATACGAACCATAACAATGAATGTGAAGCAGTAGTACAGGATCAGTCCCCAGGGATGACCAAACTGCTCGAATCCATCGAATTCTGGACTGCCCAGGATGGCCTTGAGCATGCTCTCCATGATGAACCAGACGTCGCCCGCCACGAGGTCATCGGCAAAGTCCAGACCAATGAATGCCTGGAGGAAACCAATGATGATGATAATCAACAAGGCAAAGAAAATGACAGACTCTTTCATCATCACCTTGAGGACAACCAGCATGGCACCGAAGAAGCGGAAGCTGTCGAGGTACAGAAGCAAGCGACCCCAGAACATCGGTGCAACAAAGGCCAAGATATTGTAGCTCTGTTCGCTCCATTCTGTACGGCCCGAGGAGCCCGAGCGATGAGAGAGACCGAGGACGCGCAGGACAAACGATGCCGTCAAAAATGAGTACAAGATGCCGTTGAAAGCATCCCAGAACCCAAAGATCTGGTACCCGGCCTTGTAGAACTTGACAACCTGCTCGCAGACAAAGCCAATGGTGAAAACGTATAGGAGAACCTCGGCTCCGTCGAATTCGCCCGATGGGTTGATCGAGTTGATGGCTGAAGTGTAGAGGATCAAATAGACAATGGAAAAGAGCATCTGGGCGGCGTTCTGATACATCGGCGCACGCATGCGGTCAGGGTCCATGTGCACCAGGAAGTTGGGGTTGGCCTTGTCCTTGTAGTCAACGAAGACAGTCGGGTCGTCCTCGTCCTGAACAAGCCAGCCTCGCCAGAGATGGCTGATGCACTTCTGGTACCCGGAAGACCCAATTACGCGCACCTCGTGCAAGTCGACAGCCCTTTCAATGGCGTTGAGGGGGCGCGTGGCCTGGCCATTGATCAGGAATGAATATCGGCGAAGGAGAACGGCGTGCATGAGAAAGTCATTGTCTTCCTCCGTCTCGATTCTGGGCACTGTCAGTCCATGTTTCATTACGCAGTAGTGCTATACTCTCACATTTGCTTTGCGATCACACCACACGCGACAGCTCGCAGTGAATGTAGATCAGCATCCCACAGCTCGACGTCGGCCTCATGGGAGAACCATCGCTTGTTCACCAGCAGACAAAACACCACACATCCTCTCGCCTCTTCTCCGCCGGCTGATTTAGCAGCGTCGATGACCTTTTTCGTGATGATGCGGCTGTGGGCTCTGGTGACCTTGCTCTCTTCCATCTCGCAGGGGATACATTCCTGGATCAGGTGTCGTAGCTTCAGGCATGTCTTGGCCACCTCGGCAGGCGGGATCGCGCTGTGGGTATTCTGTCCATGATGGGGGAGTACTGCGATCGTTTTAGCGAGGCGACACCCAGAGTGCAGCAAGAAAGAAACGTACAGGTCTCCTCCTCATGAAGCCAGGATAAGCGATCGGACCTGTGGCCCTCGTTCGTGTGATTATTCCAGCCAAAAATCCTGTCCAGCGTCCTCCATCTTCCCATGTTGACCATTTTGAAGAGTCGCGAGCTCATGCAACAATGGCTCAATCAGTAGAGTCGCGTCTTTGCGCAGCGCTCAGGCACTTGGACGGAACCCAGAGCTGGTAGCGACGAGCAAGACTTGAGATCGCGTGGGCTCGGGACTGCGATCGTCACGGCGCTCAGCTGATCACTGCTGAAAGATACAGAGCAAGCTTGAACAACTTGTTGTAGCAAGGAGGGTTGCTTCAACCGTTGAACGCCAGCCGCATTTTCCTGTCATGGCCGAAACCAGTATGACGTTTGTGAGGCCACCCACGGACCACAGGCATTGGACGTTAACAGTGGCAGCTTTTATCGCCATAGTGTGACGCTTATCTCTGTTAGTGCGTCGCGCCAGACGGGCGTTTCCCCCCACATCGCGCTAGCGGGTCACTGGCGCTTTGCACTGCAGGCCGAACCAAGATGCTCTGGATTTCATCCAAGTTTAGCTTGGATTTTCCCAGCTTTGCCGCAACACGAAAAAAAAAGAGGCTCCATGTCGCATCGAGATTCCGATGTACATGAACTACAGCCTGTTCGCCTCAGCCCGTGCGAACTGCTCCGATCAATCAAAGTCTGATCAGGCGATTTGCTGGTACGTAGGGGTCACAAGTAGGATCTCTTTCCGCCCTCTTGCAGCCTCGACTGTCTGGCCCACAGTCAAGGACGACACTCCCTCATGTACGGCAGATGCAGGCAACATTTGCGGTCGCGACATGCTCTCCAGAAAGGACACTGACACCAGAACACGGGCATTGTCTGTTGAGAGGCGCTGCCCAGTATGCGCATTGCAGATACTACTAGCCCTGCGCGGCCAACGCCTCCGACCGACCATCATTTGAATATTGGCGTCTTCAAGACACCGGACCTCATAGAGCGACATGGAGCCTGCCATCACTGAATTCGCATTCGGAGAAGAGATTTGCGACCGTCCTCATGAGGCCTTTGTCCGTCCGAGTACCAACCTATGAGGGATTGTGCAACGGCAAAAGGCAGCCATGGTCCTTGGCAGCACCGAACCAAACGCCGTGCAACTGCACTCCGCATATTTCAGCGCAGCTGGCTGCTGCACAGAGGCGCGGCATCGCAGGGAATTATCGGTCAGTCATGTTGCTTCACAGCCCTCACCGACCAAGCATCTCCGTTGCAGTGAGCAGCTGACGCGGAAGATGGGCTATTGAAATCACGGATGCTAATTACAGCTACCGTCTACGTCAAATATGCTGACAGGCAGTTGAAAGTGATGCCCAAAGCCATGAACCATCAGCACTTCGTCCGTTCGACCATTGGTCATTGTCGGTATCCCTGTCGATTCAGCTGAGACGAATGATTGCGCTGTCAGACACGGGCCATACAGTCATCGTGCATGGTGAAAGAAGCAAAGCGACAATTCCTCAAGGTAACAATCCGTCTCTGTTCTGCGTCCTGGCAGCTTGCATTGGAATAACCGTGCACACAGACAGACAGACAAGAGGTCTGTTTGTCTACGGCTCCATGCAAACAAGCAGCTTTCCAATGCCGCATGACGATGGCAAACGACGGCAAGCCACCTTTGTTGGTGTTCACTGTCCAGCCTCAGCAGCCACATTTCCTGGCTGGGGCAAGGCAACGCCGGCAAATACCAGATCGCCAATGGTGTCACGGTACACGATCATCATGGCTGCCTCAGCACGAGCCGTCGCAGCCAATCCAAACTTTTTGAACGACTGGCTGTGGGCTGCTGCTGCCTGGGTACGTGTGTGAGGCAAGGTATCTAGAGTCGTGCAGCCCAACACGATGCGTCAGCTGCCACTATGCCTTGTAGTCATCGTTGCTGACGAGAACTGCGCCTGCAAAGTGGTGGCTAATTACTACTTTTTTTCTTCTACTTCCCCGACATACATTGTATCTTTCTACTGTTTGTCTCCTTGTAGACGCATACGCAGCTCGCCTGCTTGACCGCGACTCACTGCCACCGTTTGCGCATCACGCGCTGCCTGTTGATGGTCTTGACGGGACAAGCAGCAATTGATTGATCACCTTTCGTCACATTCGTCTCACAAGTGTTCGCAGCCTTCAAACTCCCTTCAAGTTCAGTCATTCGATCTTTTAGCATCGTATCCTTTACTTCTCCACAGCACGCCCGGACGAGGACGAGTGAGCGCGTGAAGACCAGTGCCCCGTACCATTCGTACGTATCCATCTTTGTCGCGCGGCTAATCAGCCTGTAAGTAGACGCCGTCGCAACTTGTTTGTCCTAGCTCGGAGAGGGGATGTACAACAGACGTACTGACAGGGGATGTACAACAGACGTACTGACACAACATGCAGTGAATGTTTTACAGGGGAGGAGTGAATCTCTTTGCGCCCCTCGCCGGCGCATCTGACCTCGTTTCGTCTGACGCCTTTCACGGTTGGCCCCATCTCTCGGCCACTGTTTCTCTCACCTGCTCATCTCTTCCCAACATCCTTCTTTTATCCTCATAGTCTTCTCCCTTCACCTTCACCTTCATATTATTTTCCTTCTTTTAAACACAATCTTGATCATGGAGGACGTCGATAACGGCGTGGCGTCCAAGAGTACGATGACCCACCAGGGTGAGCCTCGACTGAGTCGCACGGCAACCGACCCATCGCCTGAAGCACAGAACCCCGTGGCATCAAAGGCCAAGAAGCTGAAGGCGGCTACGAAGAAGCAGAAGGATACAGCTCGAACCTCCAAGGGGTCGAAGAAGAGGTCCAAAAACCAGCGGGTGCGAATCTTGGGCGATTCTAGTGATTTTTCTTCGGATGACGAAGGCGAAGAAGATGACAATTTCGATACGTCTTCTTCTGAGTCTGATGACAGTGATCTTGAAACGTCTAAAAAGCCGCATCGCAAGTCCCAGAAGAAAACCAAAGGCGGCAAGGGAGGCAAGCGCAAGAGGAAAAGCAAATCGACTGCCGACGACGTCGTCTCAGACGAAGACAGCACATCCACAGACTCCACTGGAGACGGGCCCCGTGGTAAGAAAGCTTCCAAAGACAAGAAAAAGGCCGCAGGGCAACTTGGGGGCATCGAAGAGCGCATGCAAGCCCTCGAAAACCTCATCACATCCCACGTTGCCACGCTCTCTGTTCAGCCACCATCTTCGTACCCGCCACCGCCAAGTTACCCGTACTTCTCCGGCTCCGCTGCTCCTCCCAGCTTCGGTGCTGACCGGGTGCAACGCCCGTACGACACGGAGTACGCACTCGGCAGAAACAGGCCTCCGATCCCTCCGCCCCCAGGGCGCGCCGCCAGGCTTGCAGCCCGCGCCAGGGGACTCCGTGCTTCCGCGCCGGGAGACGGCGATGGCGAAGTAGACGACGACGGCGACGCGGTGCCAACAAAGCCTGACTACAAGAGAGTGGACTTGGTGTGGGATTCGTCCTTGTACATGTTCAAGCTGCAGGACACGGTGAAAACAAGCCCGGACACGCGATACGACGGCTACGTTTTCCATGTGCGCCGCACCTTTGACCACGAGGGCAAGTATCGCCGCACGTTCGTGGACATCAAGAGCAAGCTGCTGCGCGAATGTTTGCAGGATGTCATTAAGAATGTCAACGGCATAAGCTTGGTGGATGAAGTCCCCAAACTGGACCCCAAGCTGCTCTATCTCTACTACAAAGAGCTCAAGGCGCACCTGAGTGCACTGCGAGAGCTCAAGCCAGCGGGCGACACGCGCAAGCGACGCAAGAAGAACCAGAAGCGCCTGGATGACAAGAGAAAACACCTGCGCGTCTTGCTCAAGTATCTGAACAAGGACTACCACGATATCAAAAACACCCTCGAGCCCATGCTTGCGAGCGGTCTGATCACGTACGACCTACTGTGGGCCTTGTGGAAGCCTCACACGCTGGTGTACGCGCCCACCTACGGCCAGCATGACACCCCCAGAGTCTTCAAGGTCGACGTGGCCGAGAAGCACAACTCGATGATGAAGGGCGACTTCTACCACATCGCCGGCAAGTATTTCGAGTTTGACGGCAAAAAGTACGGCTATGGGGCAATTGCCGAGGAGATTACCGAGTTCAAGGGTGCGAGGAAGATCACGTCTCTCCCATGCTATCCACTCGAGTACCACAAGGACGCCGAAAAGCTGCGCAACGACCTCGTCGAGCGCGGAAAGAAGTTTGTTGCCCTCAGCGGCGTGCACTTTAGGGCCTTTTCGGGCATGGCGTTCATGAAGCGCAAAAAGGGTGTCTTGAAGTTCAACATTACCAACAGTCGCATCATGGTGGACCCGGCCATCTTCCGCCGGATCAACCCAAACTATTACATCTCCAGCGTCAAGTCCAAGGACCACGACACCATCGCCATTGATGACAACTCGGACGCGTCGGACGAGGACACGGAATGTGAGTGTGGCGAGTTGGACTCTGGTGACGACGAGGAAACGGGCGCTGCAGAGGGCACCACCAAGGTCAAGTATGTGACCAGAGCAATCAAAGACGAACGCGGCACAACGCATCTCGTCCAGGTACCGAAAGACTCGTCTAGCGAGGAAGAGACCGAAGAATCACTCGAGCAATTGCCCAGCAAGGATGGAACTTGCGAACACGAGACGCCGGAAGCTTCGACATCCAATGAGACGGCAAAGGAGGGGCCCACGGATACTGAGAGTGAGGTGCCCTATCTCACAGACGAGGAGTACTTGATAGCCTCGCCATTGGTGCTGGGCTTCTCTTTTGCGGAAAAACAGTGGCTTGAATTCGATGTCGAGGGGATCAAGGACATTTCCTGGAACGATAAGGCGTGGGACTCCCTGGTGCTCGAGGCCGGGACCAAGGACCTGATCAAGGCTCTGGTGGAGTCGCGCAAGTTCAGCGCAGCCACGACAATCGACGACGTGATTCAAGGAAAAGGCAAAGGCCTCGTTAGTAAGTATTCCAAATCCCCGTGGACGACAAGTCGGCGGCCCAACTAACCGTGTCACCAGCTGTCCTTCACGGACCCCCCGGGACGGGCAAGACCCTCACGGCCGAAGGTATCAGCGAGCTGCTCAAATGTCCGCTTTACATGGTCTCGGCTGGTGAGCTGGGAACTGACTCGCGCTTCCTTGAGCACGAGCTGCAGAAGATCCTCGATATCTGTCATGCGTGGGGTGCGATCCTACTATTGGACGAGGCGGACGTGTTCCTGGAGAAGCGAAACATGGCCGATATCCACCGCAACGCACTCGTGAGCATATTCCTACGCCAGCTCGAGTATTTCCAGGGAATCCTGTTCCTCACAACGAACCGGGTCGAGGTATGTGTTTCTTTGGCGCCTCCAAAGGCAAGGGGCGGGACATGCTAACGGTTTATCTGCAGACGTTTGACGAAGCTTTTCAATCCCGCATCCACGTGGCTCTCCGCTATGATAAACTCGACGCTAAGGCGAAGCGTGCCATTTTCAAGTTGTTCCTGGATCGCGTGACGGCGCATGGCAAGATGGAGGTCAAGCCATTCTCGGAAGACGACCTGGCGGCTCTCTCCAAGCACGATCTGAACGGCCGAGAGATCAAGAACGTGTTGGGCTCCGCACAGGATTTGGCCATCAACAAGGGCGAGCCACTGAGCGTGGCGCACGTCAAGCTTGTCCTCGATGTGCACGCGAGGTTTGGGAGGGATCTCAAGGGCGGTACGGGCTACGAGGATGCGATGAGGAGTTACTTCTGATGAAGCACCCAGTACATGGAGAGCGCCCCGGAGAGTACAGAGGCTCTTGCTTTAGTCAGCGATGACTCATGGCATGGCGAGGGTGATCATATGTGTGTGGAGGGAGAGCCGTGAAAGCTGACTAGCGAAGTCCAGGGCAGCAATGATGAGGGATATCTCGATGAACAGAGCGATTCGAGGGTCGCAGAGACTGGACAGCCAGTCACAACGACAGCGTTATCACGGGACCTACTTAGCATAAGTTCAAGAACAATGGAGATTGGTGGAAGAAGCAACAACAAGACGGAGAAGCCCGAACTGTGATGCCATTTGTCGAGTGTGGGAAGCCAGCGCATGTAGTAGTAGGCACTGTGAGGAGACAGACGAGTGAAGACGTGATTTTTCTTGGGCGGGCGTACACTCGTTCGTCCACAGTGTGTGGACTGACATGTGCTAAACATCATGATTACACAAGTGATGAGAGGTTTTGTTGATTCGACATCGGGACCTGACGGACGACGTCTCTGTGCTGTGGGTCAACATGGCTTGAACTTCTGCAGAGTCGTCCCCTCCCTCCTCTCGAGACTCACGTCGTCCACTCGGAGGGGTCCCCGGACGTCGTCGTGGGCAGAGACTAGAGAGGGGCCGCGTGAAAGGCCGCAATGTCGGCCTTGCTGTCGATGCTACGTGGTCGTCGTCAGCCTGGACGAGGCTGAGCAAGCGCGCATTGTTATGATTGCTGTCGCTGGTACGGGGCGATGCCTCGATTGGAATGAGGCTCGGGGGTTCGAGGCTACGACCCTGCCAGGCTGTCTCAGGCGAGTGGGCAGCTGCTCGGTGAGAGGTGAGATCTGGAGGCTGGTGATTCTATTGTTGGCACTGGAGTCCAGGATGGACTGGACCTGGACCGCGAGGTACGTACCCGCACAGAGCACTGGCGATTGTTCTCCAGGGGACATGTCCTCTGTAAAAACCTGGAAGTATACGGCATGGGAGGCGAATAATTTTGTGGGCGGTCTGACTCGGGCGTCTAGTCCTGCGCGTCTGAGCTGGCTCCAGTCTCTCGCGGCCCGAGACGTGACACTTGAAGACTGAATGCTGGCACTTTCACGATCACTGCAGATTTGTTGCACAGAGACAGGTTGAGATGCGTCCCCGGATTCGCGTAGCGTTGAACAGATGAAACCACGTTTGCCAAGGCGAGGAGATTGGGGCCTCTTCAGATTGAGATTGGGCGATGGCGACCATCTGCCGGGGCGACTGGGACGCGCCATGCTGTGGCTGGCTGGCCGCTGGCGGTGCCGACTGGAGCCCCCGGCGCCAATTTCCGTGCGCAACAGGTTTGCACAACGAGCACAAGTCACCACAAGTTTTGTACACACAGACATTGAAACATGCTGTGTGAGTATGATTCACCGCCAGCGAGCCACGATTCCTGCGCGAGGCGTTTTCTCTTCCCCTCCTTGCCGGCTGGCAGCATCGGTGACGTGGATCCCGAGAGGAGAAGAAGGAAAAAAACTCTTCTTGTGACTCCATCGTGGCCTGCCTTTGTTGGTTGGGTGCCTGCATAAGGAGAGAGAGCACTGTACAACTTGCACAGTGACAGCTGGCACTTATGCACAAGACTTTTTCCTCGTGGAGCAACTTCCAAGTGTGAAGCCGCGAGGGAATGGTCGATCCGCCGAGGTGCGTGGGCCAGGCCTCCCGTCGGCCAATCATGGGAGGCATGTTCCTGGCGAGCGCATGAGCTTAATCGCGCCCTGACATGCGCTATGACAGGAATGGACTAGCCCATTCTGTGCTGTTGTTGCCCCCTGGGCCCCCCTTGGGCTCTGGGAGCCTCTGGCGCTCTGCCCTCCAGCGTGACAAAGCAGGCACGGCCGTCGACCCCTGTCAGTCCATAAAGACTCATCTCCTCCCTGGCCCCGTCTCGATTTGGATTCTCCCTTCCTCACCGTCAACTTCCCGAGTCGTCGCGCATTCACGTTAAGGAAACCCTTCCTTCTTCACTCCTTCAAAACTACCATACAGACCACCCTTCCTTCAAGGTCTCTGTCCAACTTCCGCGCTGCGCGCCCATACACACACTCTCTCTCTCACTCTTCCAAGCAAGCAAGCCTCTTGGACGCTACAGACATTCCTTTGGAATCACCGACATTCATCAATCAAGCAAAATGAAGTTCACCACCACTGCTCTCTTCGCGGCTGCCGCCATCGGCGCCTCTGCCCACCCCAGCGGCCACGCCCACAAGCACGCCCACCGCTCCGCCGGCGCGGCCAAGTTCGTCCAGTACGTCCAGCCTCAGCCTTCCGTCGAGGCTGTCGCCGCTGCCGAGCCCCAGCCCACCACCAACGAGGCCCCCGCGCAGACCACCACCGCGCAGGCTGACCAGGGCGATGACTCCTCGTCGTCCGGCGGCGACTCTGGCGTCGACACCTACACCGAGTTCTGCGGCGGCAAGTCCAAGCGCGCCACCGCGGCTGAGATTGCCTACACGGGCAACATTGGCACCGCCGGCGACTACGGCTGCAACATGATGCTCGTCAAGAGCAACGTGGCCAAGAAGTACAACTACGTGGCTGCCATCAAGAACGCCTCCGGCAAGGACCAGGACTGCGTTGCCTACAACAAGATCGGTCCCGTCAACAACGAGATCAACGGTTTCTTCAAGGGCAACGAGGCCAAGAGCTTCACCATCCCCGCCGGTGTCACCCAGCACTTGGCCGTGGACGAGAACACCCAGGGTGGTGTCATCTGCCAGGCCGGCGGCATCGAGACCACCACCTGGGGCGAGTACGCCTCCACCTGGGCCGAGTTCGACATGGCCAACACCAGCAACGGCGGCTGGTCCGGCGCCGATGCCTCGTGCCTGGTTGCGTCCCGCGCCGGCCTCGACATCCCCGGCCTGCAGATCTGCAGCCAGGGCACCTGCTCCACCATCAACCCCGGCGGCTCTGGCACCAACGCCTTCCTCGAGGGCATGGAGGCCGAGGACGGCTTGGGCCTCAACCTCCCCGCTGGCGATGTCTGGCTGGACATTACTGTCGGCTACTCGGGCGGCAACTAAGATGCTCGGATGAAAACCTTGGTCTTGACGGATTGTGCGCGGTGTTTTTGCGTTTTGGCTCTTTCTCTCGAATTCGACTCTTGAAAAGGAACTGGGTTGGCTTCTTTGATGCTAGTTTCTGGAAGCGTTCTGGATCTAGCAAGGACATATTGTACCTATACACTCTTGAATATATCGACGACTTGACTGGATGTGTGCTGTGCCTCTCTTGACTGTCGTGACAGCGAGTGAGATGGACCGTGTGGGTTCTTTCTTGGACAGGGACACGGATCTCCATGCACATCAGCAGTCAGCTGGTTCCCGCCTTGGCAGCCATTGCAGTTCGAGTCGTCGACGTTGTTCGAACTTCGCTGTCGAACAATCATCCCGCACTCGTCTTCAACGCTGCCATGTGGTTCACCTGGACGGATCCATGCTCGCGGGCACATTGTATCACGAGTCAAGACCTCCATCTGGAGCTGCTGCCGGCTATGGACGGATTTCCACGTGGTCTCCACACCGGCGTGTTTGAGAGGGCTTTTTGACTTTGAACCGCGTCAGGAACGTGACGTGCGAGGCTGCGCTCTCGTGACGGTCTCCCACCGTGCGCGGCGCTACAATGTGCTATCGTGAGCTGGCTGGCGGTTGCGAGAGCGGATGCACAACAATGCGGCGATTCATGTTTCCTCTCATTGTTGGAGGGCCCGGAAAACTATCCCTTTGTGGGGGGTTCGGGTCATGTTCTTTTGTTCTTTGTTCTTTGTTCTTCTGAGTCCTGACTGCTGTCAAGTCATTGATAGATCCGGGTAGGTGGCTTCTTCCGCTGCCAGTGACGCTGTGGGTCACGTGATAGGATCTTTGTCTTCACTTGGCTGTCGCGGGGGCAGTGAATCCAGGTCGTGATCCCGGGCCTTGTGAGAGAATGGAAATGGAATTGTCATAAATTCGGTTTGCGTTTCTTGTCTGCATGGCCTGCACTCTGTACAGTAGGTACATGTTTGCCCTTGTCTGGCTTGTGCGCTCATTGTATCTGACTACCCTGTAGACCTCAAATGATGCTGTTGTCTGCGCTGCTCGGCCATTAATCTTGTGGCCTCATCCGGGGACAGGGTGACGATTATGACGAGTTTTCAATTTGCAAGTCTCACGCTCGAAATATATCAACCGGGTTGCGGTGGGGAATATACGGGTGATTGCTCTGCGTGTGTCACAACGCACAAAACAAAGTGACCATTGCAAGTTCCCCACGACTTCGATTCATCATCAAAAACACTTCATTATTAAAGACCCCCATGCAAACCTACGACGAGAAGCTCTCCTTGTGGAACCACACCTCAGAAGCCCCCGAGCCGCCCTTGATCACATCCGTCTGCGCAGACGCCGCGACGTGTCCCACATCATGCACCATGGACGCCGGGCCGCAGACGACCAGGCCGACGGAACCACGCTCCGCAGCGATGATCTCCCGACACAAAGAGGTGATGTCGGGACGTCCGGCTGCGACGTTTGTGGTGACGTCCCGGAGACTCGTGGGAACATCGGTCACCACGCCACACGCAGGCGCAGCGGCATCGTCCTTGGCAGGCAAGCTGTTGTCCTCGCTGCTGTCCGCGCGTGAATTCGCGATGCCGGTGTGGTGGATGTGAATGGTCAAGCCCGCTAGTCGCCTCGCCTCCTTCTTTTCCTCTCCCTCCTCAATCTGCTGTTCGTCCAGCAGCGCCGCGATGGCGTCTAGGTACCACCTCTTCAGCTCGAGGTCCCGGGACGACAGGACCAGTGTCAACTTGCGGTCTTGCGCGGCTGCTGCTGGCAATTGGGACCGGGTGACAAAGTCCTCGAACAACCCGAGGGTGAATCCGGCGCCGGCGCCACCGGCAATGACAACCGCGTGGTCGAAGCCGCTGTACCATCGGCTCTGCATGCCGCCGTACGGACCGTCGAGGAGCACGCGTACCGTGGTGCCGGGGTTGGTTTGGGCCATCTTGGCCAGACGTCCCGTCAGACCCCCTCGCCCTTTGACGTAAAAGACCATCTGGTTCTTGCCATTGTATCGCGACACGGGGAGGGAGCAGATGGTGAACGGATGCGAGCTGAGGGTGTGCAGCCCCAGGGTCAGGAAGCGGAGGTACACGTGCTGGCCGGGCGTCCACTCGGCAGTGGTGTCAATGGCAATCTTGAGCGTCTCGGCGCCCTCGAGGGTCAGCCGCGCCTTGTGCTGCAGGCCGTACTCGAGGTACACGCGGCACTGCGAGTAGAGCCAGGAGGCGGCGTAGAGGGTGGCGGCGGCGATGAAGTAGTCCCAGGAGGTGAGGATTCCGTCGCAGTGGAGGAAGAAGAAGAGGACAAAGACGAGGGCGGCGAGGAAGTGCGTCATCTTGAAGATCTCGTAGTAGCGCTCGCGCAGCCAGCGGATGGAGAAGAAGGTCAGCCAGGCCTGGGCGACGAGGGCGATGACACCCGTCACCCAGAGCCCGCCCGTGTTCCACTGCTCGACAATGTCGCCAGCCTGGATGCCCTGCACGACAAAGGGGAAGGTGTGGATGAGGGCGAGGACTAGCATGGCCCAGGCGATCCAGTTGTGCCAGACAATGAGGTTCTCGTGGGATGTGCCGATCAAGCTGGCGATGAGGTTGGCCTTGGTAGCGAGGACCCTGGCCTGTCAGTTTTTGTCTGCTAGCAGAGGAGAGGAACTGTCACGTACAAGATGAAGGGCAGGCAGGCGAGAGCCATCGCGATCGGGGGCGAGTGCCCATAGCTCACGTCCTTGGTGTTGGGCCAGTAGTACGGCTGCGGCGCGAGCGTCATGACTGCGAGGTGCACTGGTCAGTGGGGTGTGCCCTTGACCACAAGAGTACATATCCAGGGACATACCGGTGAAGAAGACGAATCCGACAAAGCCAAGCATGTATGTGCCCAAGGACTGCGTGCTCCAGCTACCGACGCGCCAGCGCCGATAGGAGGCCCATCGCGTCGCGGCGGCCGCTCTTCGTCGAAGCTTGCTCTGCGTCCAGCTGTCCGGGCCGTAGGCGTCGAGAGCGTGGACGACGGCGAAGACGATGATGGTGGAGAGGAACAATGCGAGCGTCGGGAGGGAGTACCTGTGGTCGGCCTCGTACCAGAACACCCAGTATCGCTGCTTATAGGCGCATTGCTCGGGGGTGAGCATGCACATGCCAGGGTCCCGGCTGGAGTGCAGCATGACAGGCTGCGACAGCCAAGGAAGAGACATGATGGAGGCTGTCACTATTTGAACAGTGTCTTGTATGAATGGCCGCTCTGCGTGGATGAGTGTAGAGACTAGATGTGAAGGTGATCGACCATAGCCGGGGCAGCCAAGCCTTTTGAGCCTACACACCGCAAGAAAATGCGATAACTTACTCTGCTAATGCATAGAGAAAAGACCCTTACATGTTATCAATCGAAAACCCTTTCATTCGCTCGTTTTGCGTGCCGGGTTGCCGCCGACCACATGATTGAGCAAGTTTCCGGAGAAACGTGCTCATACATAACGGAGCAAGCCTGGAGGTTCTGAACGCCAGAGTCCAGATACAGCAGACAAACCCCGCAAACCAGCTCTCATGAACATATCATCTACGGCGGTCGCCTCTGGATCGATTTCTGCTCCCCTCCTCTGCACAGCGAGGTGCTTGTGGCTGTCTAACGTTTCGTCTTGCTGAACGAACAACCTCCCGACGCCAACATGTCTTTCCGACGCCACGACGACCACGACATGGGCGGCATGGACATGGGCAGCGACACCGGAGGCATGGGCAGCAACTCGACCTCCACCATGTCCGGCATGTCCATGACCTTCTTCCTCTCGTCGCGCACGCCGCTCTTCTCGACGCAGTGGACACCCACCACCGACGGGCAGTACGCCGGCATCTGCATCTTCCTCATCGTCCTCGCCGTCCTACTGCGCGTCCTGCTCGCCCTCCGCCGCATCCTCGAGACCCAGCTCTGGCGGCGGACCGCGGCCGCCACCTCCGAGGCCTTGGCCAAGTCGGACGTCGACGACGAAAAGATCCGGCTGCTCGCTGGACAGCCACGCCAGTCGCTGGCCATTGTCAAGAGGGACGTCCAGCGCAAGTGGTCTGGCTGGCGGGTCTCTGTCGCCACGGCGAGGGCGACGTACGAGCTCTGTATTGCGGGGATTGGGTATCTTCTGTAAGTGCAACTTGCCTCAGCACGCTCTGCCGACTGGACCTTGGCGACTGACACCCCGAAAGCATGTTGGCCGTCATGACGATGAATCTGGGCTACTTCCTCTCGGTGCTCTCGGGGATTTGGTTGGGGACATTTGTTCTGGGCGGTCTCTCCTTGGACCACACGGGCAGCATCCACTGATAGAGGGGACTTGGGGGTATGGCTCACGTACCACGACGGGAGCTAGGCGAGAGAGCGCGCAATGACTCTGGTGATCGATGAAGTGAAGCAGATTTCATATCTTGGGGATTCTGCCAGCGATCCAACGAGGAATATATCAAATATGTACATGGTAAAGAAACAAAACAGTCCACCCTCGCCCGCCACCGCCAACCCTGCTGCCCAACCCGGGCGGCTCCGTCTATCGATGCCCGTCATACGGCCGATCGTGCGACGGCGTGTCAAACCGCGGCGACATGGTGCCATTGTAGCTCATGTGCGGTGAAGCCGCCGTCGTCGTCGTCGTCGCTGTCCCCGTGGCATCCAGCTCCGAGTAGCGCTGCGGGTTGCTGCCCACCTCGGCCATGGAGGGCGACATGGGCGGCTTGTACATCGGGTACTGGGTGTGCGGCGACGCCATGCTCGTGGTGTCGGTGCGCGCCATGTCCTCCTGGTCCTGGACATACGGGTCGACATTGTTGCTGTTCTGCTGCTGCTGTGCCGTGGATGACTCCTCCATGGCCGGCGTGGACGTCTGCTGCCGCGCCTTGAGAGACCTGTTCTTCTTGAGCAGCCAGAAGATGCCGAGCAGCGCGGCGAGTGCGACGATGCCAAGGACCACGGCGAGACCAATTGTGGCATTCTTGTAAGTCTTGAAGCTCTGCGTCGCGCCCTGAATGACCTCCTCTTGGATGGGGATGGAGAAGGCGTCTTCCCCCGAGCAGCAGGCCGTCGTGTCGCCGCAGCAGTAGCGCCCATCACCGCACGGCGTCAGCCTCATGACGCCGGTGGCATTTCCGCCCTTCTGTTCAATTCAGTGAGCAATGTGCATAACCCGGTGTGTCAAGGCCAACGTACCGACTCGTCTGTACAGACGTTGACGCAAGCCGCGCTCTCCCAGCTCTGGTCCGTGCAGTACCCGCGCCACAGGATGCCGTCGTTGTTGCAGAGGCCCGTCTGGACGCAGAGGTCGCGCTGGCTCGCCTTGCCGTCGAGGTTGCAGCAGCTCGAGTGCACGCCGTCCTCCTCGATGCCGAGCTTGTTGCAGGGCACGTACGTCTCGTTGTCGGCCTTTGTCTTGCCGTCCGGCGCCCAGCACGTCTTCTCGTGCGCCTGGCTCTGGGATACCAGGCCGAGGCCGAGGGCCAGGACGTGTGCGATGAGGGCGAAGCGCATCTCTTGTGGTGGGCAGGCGGACGAGATGTATATGTGTGTATATATGGCGGATAGGTGCAGATTCTCTAGCGAAGAGAGGCGGGACAGAGGAGGAAGAAAGAGGAGAAGAAGAGAGAAAAAACACTGTCAGATCTCCCTCCCAAGCTGACTGTGTTGCATTTTTGGACAATGGCAAGACTAAGACGCAGGCTCATTTGGTCTGTGCATGGTTCCCATCTCACCAGAGCGACCAGACGCATAAGCGCTACGGCCGGCCGGCCGTCGCCGTCAGCAGCAGCAGCAGAGCACGGTGATTTCGAAGGATGCTACCGCATCAGCTGTACGGCGATCTATCCATGCTCGTCTGTGCGTACTGGCAGCCTGGTTCTGCCGCCTGCACGACCATGCGCGGTGGACGGTTGGCGATTGGCGAGCGACGCATGTCGTGCGGCACAGAGCCTGATCCGAGCTTCGTCGGGGTTCTTTGGGGGACACTCTATTGAGGAGAAGCCATGGGGCGAGGATGAATGAGTGAATGATGAATGTCCAGGCGTCGCCGACTTATTCAAGGTGGTGTGGTGGTGGCGCCCGCATATGGCCAGTGCGTCGGTTGGAATGCAGGCGAGGCCATCATGTCTGGATTGATTGTCCGCAAGGCTCGGGGCGAACTATCGAAGCACGTTCGCCTCCAGGAATCCCTTGCTGATCTGAACTTCTGGTTGGGCCATGATCCTTGCCCTTGTCCTTGTCCTCTCGGTACGGTTCGAGGGAGGCCCACGTGGTTTCCTAGCTATGTATTACTGTAAGTAGACCAGCAAACTTGAGATGCGCTTTTCTGTGCAGACGATCTGTCCATTGCTCTCGAAATGAGCAGTGGAACTTGTGTTCTTTGTCGTTCGTCAATGAGGAACACCCGCAAGGCAGAGTCAGACGGACCTGATAAATAGGTCAGGGGAACATGCACCGGTAATTCGATCGGAGGCTTATTAACACTGATCATCTCACACGCATTTGTACTGCCAGGCTTTTATAGACCCCACTGGCAAGGCCCCAGAAGATCGATATCTACCACACCACGCCACTTACGCCTTGTATTTGCCCGTGACCTCAATCTGAGGCGTCTGGTACACCGCCCAGTTATTCGCCGCATACGGGTCCCCAAACGGCTTGAGGGTCGCGAAACGCATGCTGCAAATTTGGTCAGTCTCCTTCCCGTCTCGCGTCTGAAGACTTGAAGTTCACTTACGTGTACTTGCCCGGCTCAATCTGGCTGCCGTTGCCCAGCTTGCCGAACCACCAAAAGTCGTGCTGCACAGACGTGGTCTGCGCGTTGCGGATGAGGTCCGTGAGCGGGTACGTAAACGTTTCGTCGGCGTCGTCGACGTTGGGGTCGAAGAAGTCGACCTGCCCCGAGCCGACCCACGACGCGACCGAGCCAATGTAGCCGTTCTCGCCCTCGACGGGGGGATACTTCCAGTTGCGCTCGCGCCAGCCCGCCTCGAAGATCTACACGTTCTGCTGTCAGTATCTTCATCACTCTTGTGTGTCAAACAAAGGATGTACTCACGTCCCATCGAACTTGCCGTGTGCCCCAGACATTCTTGGATACAATCTTGGGAAAGTCCTGCGCGTCGACGCTCAGGTCGAAGCTATAGGAAGACTTGGACTCGATCGGCGTGTCCTTTGTGGTCGACGTCGATTTGGGGTATCCGGTGCGGTACAGCGCCTTCATCTCGGTCTTGAGGTTGGCGCCCAGGCCATAGTACGGCACGGACAGCTGCTCCCCTTTGCTGCTCGCCACCAGAATCTTGCCGCTGTACAGGGGTAGGGCCGTCGCGTTCCAGCCGAGCTTGTCCGGGTTGTCAAAGTTGACGCTGACCGTCTTCTTCTCCCCGGGCTTCAATGTAAAGTCACGCGGCAGACTGATCTCGGGCTCAAACTCGGTCGGCTGGAGCTCGGCCAGGGACCGGATTCTGTACTCCCCGCCGCCCGTGGCCAGGGGGAACCAGCCAGCTGCCTCGACACCGGCGCCGGGCTGCATAGAGAACTTGTAGCTCACCGACTCGTCGTCGTCGTTTCGCACAGTGACGTCGTGGTAGCGGCTGAAGAAGTGGGTGTCGTTGAGGGCGATGGGCGCAAAGTCGACGCTCGAGCTATACGTCACCACCTTGAAGGCGTCGATCAGGCCCGTGCCGACCTGGGCAACTGGAGCAATCAGGGCGTCCTCGGGTACGGCAGTGTCATACCAGGGCACCGCGACGCCGCTGGAGATGATGCGGTTCTGTAGCATCTTGGCAAAGTCCTTGCCATGCTCCTTGCGGCCGCCGTGGACGCCAATGTATAGAGCAGCGACGCCGGCAACATAGGGGCAGGCCATGGATGTGCCGGACAGGACTGCGTAGCCGCCGCCGGGGTAGGTGCTGAAGATGTTGCCTCCAGGGGCACCCACATCAGGCTTGAGCTGAAGGTCGTAGAGGCCAGCCCAGGAGGTAAAGTCGCTGGGGCGCCCGCCAGATGGGTACTCCAGGCCGTAGGGCTGTTCGGGGTTGACCGAGAAGTCCAGCGTGACCTTGCCGCCGTCCTCGACAGCCCCGATGAGCAGCTCGCCCGTGCCGGCGGTGATCATGCCGATCAGCGACGAGGTGCGGTCCGTGGAAGGGGTCGTGATGGGGGACTCGTTGTTGTAGATGAGAATGTACTTGGCACCCAGAGCCTCCAGGTTGGCCTGCTTCTGCGCAAAGGTGCAGCTGCCACGGCGGACAAGAGGGATGGCCTCCTCGATGCGAGGAGTATCCTCGGGGTACGGCTCGCAGCCGTCGGCTGGGTCGCTCGTGTCAGGGTTGAGCACGACGACGGGCCAGTCCTGGACCGCGGCGGGGAAGTAGTTGGTGGCCGGCAGATAGCCAAGGGTCGTGGTGTTCTGGGAGCCGTCAACGTCAAAGGTAGCCTCAAACGGCGTCGACGGCAGCTTCTCGGCCGCGATCGAAGCGACAGCGACCACGTCCGTGCCAGCAGACCCTGAGCTCCCGAAAAAGGGGCCGGCAGATCCAGAGTTGCCGGCACTGATGGTGACAACGACACCCTCGCGGGCGATGCGCGACGCAACCTCGGCCCAGGGGTTGTTAGACCATCCGCTGGGCCCACCGATGCTGGAGGTGATAATGTCCATCTGCCATTGTGAGCACGCGAGCCGGTTGTGATTATGGTTCTGAGCAAATACTTACACCATCCTCGTACGCCTTCAGGAAAGACTCGATCAGTGTCGCCGAATCCGTACTTTCCTATCGTCTTGTTAGCTGCGCACGGCATCAGGAGGGAGGCTGTGGCTGGACGCACCAGATTACCAAAGACCTTGTAGGCGTAGATGCTGGCATTGGGCGCGACACCCATCCAGCCTCTGTGGTGACAGAGCAGTCAGCGATGAAGAATTCAGAGCTTTGGGTGGACGTGTACACACTCTCCATTGCTGCCAGCCACGATACCGGCAACATGGGTTCCGTGGCCCTGCACATCCGTGGGGTCGTTGTCGGGGCTCTTGGGCACAACCGGCCAGTCTTGCAAACGGTCAGTGTTATGAAACAAGGGGCAGTGGTCCGGGCGACCTACCAACTTCACCGATAAAGTCATATCCGCCTGCGACCTTGCAGCCATCGCCAAAGCAACCGCCGAGCTATTCGCAAGGCAAGTCAGCCCAGTCGCCTTTACGCCATTACAAAGTGGCGAGGAGAACTTCATACAGCTTGGTGTTTATAGTAGACACCGGTGTCTACAATACCAACCTTGACGCCCTCGCCAAAGTATCCCATATCGTGGAGCTTTGATACGCCCGTGGTGACATGCGTGCTGTAGTCGCCCGAGTCCGAGGCGTCGGCGTGGAGTTCGGCGGTGATGGGATCGAGCTGCACTGGCGTGTTGGGCCAAACGCGCGCCACGTTGGGCAGCCTGGCCAGGCTGTCCACGTTGAGTGTCTCTGTCTCGACAGTAGCGCCAGAGAAGATGGAGCTGTCGAAGCTCTTGACGACCTTTAGGTCATCGCGGGTGAAGAGGCCATCCCGGCGTTTCGCAGAGCCCTGTCGGTCCGTCAGTCTGGAGACGTCAATGGAAAACCGGCAAACTCACCGACGTGTACTCAATGATGAAACTCTTTGCCACGGGGTTCGCGTTGTTGGCGGCCAATGCATCCTGAGCACTGACGCCGTATGAAGCCACGGCCGCCAAGGCGACTGACAGCTTGAGGAACTGCATACTGGCTAGACTCTTCTACGTCTGGCGATCACAGTGCCTTGTGGGCAAGAATCAGGTAGATCACTGAGAACGGGGGCCAGCGACTTTTAACAGTCGCCAACAAGCCCTCTTTCACCGATCAGACCGCAAACCCGGCAGAACGGCTCCTCGGTGCTCACACAACCACGCAACATGCAACTCATGATCGCGAGAAATCGCGTCGCCGGCAGGCCAAGTCGCAGGACCTTTCGTAGCCACCGTACATGCTACGGGGCTACGGGCGCGTAGCGAACCTTCCTGTTTGCGGACCCCTGCCCCCGGTGTTGGTGTAAGTCAGTGAACATTGCAGGCACCAGCAGTCTTGAGACGTGGTGATCGCGTGCTTGGTAAATACGCGGTCGACGCATCTGGTCCATCGACTCCCCTGTGACCTGCCTGTTCGGGACTTACAACGGCCCTGTCACATTGGATCTAGAACTGGGCTCCCCTGGCCGCCAAGAATGGGGGTCTCCGCAGATAAGGAGGGGAGGAAGATCGGGCGGCGGCGATTAGCCAGGTTATGGCATCGCGAAGATGAAGTTGTATAATTGAATGTGCGGATGGCTGCGTTTTGTGTATTACCGGCCAAATTCGTCAAAAACTTGGTGTTGGTGTTGCAACTTGGTTCCGCAGAGCCGGGGGGCTCGACTCCAGGCTTGCCCTTGTGCAATTTGTACGAAGCTCAAGAGCTCAATTGATTCCTGAAAAGGCGCCGTGTTGCCGAGGACAATCCGGCAATGCCAAGTTCTAGTACTTGGTAACTGCCATTTCAGGTCAGAGGTACTTGTGTATCTCCTGCAGGACATCCAGGCTATCGTTTCTCGAGGCCCTCGGTGCCGGCCGTCATCAGGGGCCTGGTTGTTTCCATTGGCCCAAGTCGTTTCTCTCCATTCGACGCGACTGATCGCTCGATTATGGGGCGGTGATATTCGATACCTCCAGCAGAATGTATGCAGGCAGCATGACAGGTCCAAGCGTACCATGCCGTCAATCAAGTGATCGGATCGGACCGAGGCTTCCAGTTGATCAGGGTCCGAATGCTCCGTATCAACGGTATCATCACGTGTTGACAATGCCCTGTAGGCTCTTGCGTTTTGGGAGACTTGCCAAGTAGATTTGAACACCTTTTTCGTGAATGGTCTGGTTGTTCTTGATCTGGTGCTGCCAGCATGTAGGATGCGATGAACCTGTGGCGTTGAATAATCTGACTACCCGTGTTTTGGGAGGCAGTTCTGCCTGCACTGCTGTCTTCAGGTTTGACAGGACTTGGTATCGTTGGAGGAAGGCTCTCATTGTGAGGAACCATTTTCTGTCAGTCAACCATTGTTGTTAGGGGCGACGGAAAATAGCCGGGCTATGGCAGAGTCGAGAGAGTTTCCTGACGTCTGGGATCCTAGTGGGATGAAAGCAAGGTGAGAGATTTCCGCTGTTCAGGCTCACACGGTCTGGCTTGGAGTTCCGTCTACATTGTGCCCTGAGGAGCGAAACGTCAAAGCTGCCCAGGAAGACGCCATGGTGGCTCGTCCCTCAGAGGTACGGAGAGCACCATGACAATAGGTGAGATTGGGAAGGTACGATGGTAAGGTGTCAGGACTTTGGTTGATGCCGAAGCTCTCCAGGGAAGGAAGCCCGCTCTCGGCACATCATCCAATTCACAAAAGTCCAAGTTGCTTGGATGTGGTGCAGCAATTCAGCCACCACATCTCACTCGCAAATCAAACAGAATGCTTTCGCGATCAATCACATCTACAAAGGCCAGTAGACAGATGAGACGCATCAACCCCCTGAAGAAGCCCTTTTTCCCCTATCGCGACCTGGCAGTAGATACACCTAGTACCCGCCTTTTATACTGACATCACTTAAGGTAATAGTACGTGACTTCATCATCTGTTCAAGTGGGCTTGCTTGTGAGTTCATGACATCTGGCAAGCGTCTAAGAAGCTGCCCAGAATAGTCCTGGTCTCCGCATTCTACCAAATTGGGCTATGGATCACCAGCTAATTGGAGCAGAAGGGGTGAATAGAGGTGCAGACATTGAACTGTGGGCATTCCAGGCATGTAAGCAGTCTCCGGGTTCCAGAGCTTGTCCTCCTCAGGGGCCAGGGGTCCAGGGGTCCAGGTCTAGGACTGTGATTCTGAATCCTGGTGCTTATGAATTGCGTTTGACTTTCGACTTTCCTTTTGCTCCAGGATTTGCCATCTTCCCAAAGCACAGAAGAACATGGTCAGGCAGCTCGGGCTACTGAGGTCGTGCCAGCGTTGTGTGGCGGACAAACGCCTATGCAAACTTACCGTGCCCACCTGTGGTGAATGCTCGAGCGGAAAGCGAGGATAAGTGCTCGACCCCAGTAACTCAGGCCAGAGAGCTGGAGCTGGAATATTTCCCACAATTCGCTCTATTGAAGATTGGAGTCCTTCAAAACCCCATTCGCCGTTTGAAAATTTGATAACTCTGGGGTTCGGTAGTTGACGCTTCAACGTTGAGTTACCCGCAGGCCAAATGAGTGGGGTGGAACTTGGAAGTCTTGAAGACTTGTCTGGCCTCCTGAAATTCAGAATGAACAGCGGAACAGAGGAGAAATTAAGCCAATCGAGACGCCAGCTTCCAAGTGGAAAGGACGTCGACGAGGAAGCCAGTGTGACTTGCAAGTTGCAAGACGGCATGGCCACGAGGGCGAGCGAGAGGACGGCAGTCAGCTCGCTGGATACCGTACATGTACACGGCCGACCGGCAATAGAATGCGTCTGCCATGGGAAATACCGCAATGGCCGCTATCTTCATTGTCCCATGAAGGCAGGCAGATCTCCTCCGCCAATCAATCAACACCCGTGGTGATGGTGCCAAGAAATACCAAGCCCCCCAGCGGCATCTGAGATCCAAGGCGGGGTGAGGACAGGACGGGAGTGGAGGATCCGATTCATGGCTTGCGGCTTGCGCTATGGTATCCTGAATTTCGCCTTCATTGGCTAATAATAAGGAACGGGCCGGCTGGTGGCAAGAATCGGGGACCCCAGGGACGTGGCATCGGCAAGTCAGCAGCTACAATGATTGTCGCGAAAGCTGTTGAAGGCTGAGAAGACAACCCATGGTCGATCGCTTGAGCATCAGACGCCAAAGCACCGGATCTACATGAAACTCACCAATCATGCAATCCAATACCAGGAGCTGTCGGAAACCGCCTAGAGCGGCGCCTTAGAGCTCCCCAAAGCGCGCCGCTAAAGAACCACCTTCCCTTTTGATACTCTTGCAAGCCAAAGTATGGACGGCCACCATTGCGACGCTGCCACATGCCACCAGGCGGACGATATGGCTGGTCGAACGACCATGCGAGTAGTCTTATCGCGTGTGTCTCATGCCAGCACAGGACATCTATAAGAGAAGCCGCCCATGCCACGTCTGGCATCTCTCACTTCCTCACCAAGCAGCCCACGCAACAGCCAGCAGTCGCCAACATGCACTTCTCCCTCGCCTCCGTCCTCCTCGCCCTCGCGGTCACCGTCAGCGCGGCGCCCGCCGACCTCGAGCGCCGTGCCGCTGCCACCTGCGGTAGCCAGTACTACTCGGCCGCCCAGGTCAACGCGGCCTCCGTCGCCGCCTGCAACTACTTCCGCAGCGGCAGCACGGCGGGCAGCTCCTCCTACCCGCACCGCTACAACAACTACGAGGGCTTCTACTTCCAGGGCCTGGACGGACCCTACCAGGAGTTCCCCATCCTGCCCAGCGGCCTCTACACTGGCGGTACGTGTACCTGAGCGGGACAAACTGTGACGATGAGGCGCTGACCATGAACAGGATCCCCTGGAGCTGACCGCGTTATCATCACCGAGGCTTCGTGCCGCCAGGCTGGTACTATCACCCACACGGGCGCGAGCGGGAACAACTTTGTTGCTTGCTCTGGCACCTCGTAATAGGAAGGTCGAGTCTGAAATGAAACAAGTTTGAAGTCTCAAGCAGCGATTGTGATTCGTGTGAACTGAGCAGCATGTTGTAATAGTAATCAGGCTGCTGGGAGTTGATGCAAGGTGATGAATTGCCGCAGCGGCAGTCAGGCCCCCAGAGGGGGGCGATTAGGGGGTCCAGCGGCGCCAAGGCCCAAGAGGCCCCAGGGGCCAGGGGGGCAAGCTGCTGACGGTGCGTTATCGATAAGAGAAGGGGACTGGGCATGGAGATGGACTGATCAACAGCTGAGCCATCTCTCACAAACAGCACATTCACCCCTCTGGCAACACATGTACGCAGTGTTCGATCCAGGCTTCGCCAGCGAGCGGTCTGCTGTTCTATACCTCCCAACGAAGACTCCTGCCCCTTATTAACGTCTGCAACCTCCACGTGCATGCACAGCAATCAGCTCCACATCGCTCATTTACCATGGTGGGTCCCCGTCGGGACGCCATAATCGCAACGCGACGCGTCTTCGAAGATCTCCGGGAAATTGGTCGAGATGGCATCTGACTTTGACCTCAACCCTCCTAGACATTATATGACCCGTGAATCACTACGTTAACGTGACTGCTTCGGCAGCCGAGTAGACCCCGACTCACAATGGCTACCAAAATCGAGTCGAAATCATCGCCCCATGCAGCCACGCCTGCAGCGCCGTTCAATGTAAGGAGAGCGCTGCTCGACGCTTTCGACGGCATCACAGCCCCGGGCTCCTTTGCTGGCTCCGCACGCATCACCGATACGCCGCCTGTGGACGTCCATGTTCATGGTGTCGGGCCCATCTCTATGCCCTTGACCGAGGACAAGGCGCGACAGATCATCAGCGTCTGCCATCAGGCGCCGTACGGGAAAGGAAGTGAGACACTCGTGGATACGGCCGTCCGGAACACATGGGAGTTGGACCCGACACAGTTCGAGTTGAAGCACCCATCATGGCCTGGTTTCCTGTCCAAAATCTTGGTCGAAGTTGGCAAAATACTCGGTATCAACCAGCCCATCAAGGCAGAGCTGTACAAGATGCTTATCTACAGCCAGGGGGCCATGTTCAAGCCACATACCGAGTAAGTCCTCCTTCTTTTCCTCGCTTCATTCTTCTCTTCCGAGGCTCTGACGCACCTCGCAGTACTGAGAAAATCCCCGGCATGTTCGGGACGCTGATCGTCAGCCTGCCCTCCCCGCACACCGGAGGCGAAGTCATCGTCAAGCACGGCGGCAAGGAGTACTCCTACAAGACGTCGGAGATGGCACAGTCATTAATCACTTGGTACTCGGATGTCATTCACGAGGTGCGCCCTGTCACGTCCGGCCATCGTTGGGTCCTGACGTACAATCTCGCTCTCGCTGAAGAACCCAGCTCCGAGACACCGCTCCCCTCCGCTGGCCTCATCCAGGATGGAATTGCGCCGGCGGCCCAACGACTGCGCGAGACGATTACGCGCTGGCTTGACGCCACACAAACGCCCGGTACATATACCACGTCCTTGACCACGATTACACCGAGGCCCAGTGTTCCCTCAAGGCACTAAAATCGATCGATCGCGCTCGTGCGAGCGCCCTGAAGCAGGCCTGTGAAGACCTCCCCGTCGATCTGTTCCTGGCCTTGCTAGAGAAGGAAGAGCTGGGCAGCGTTGAATTCCATGGTCACGACCGTCGCCGTCGCAGGTATTACGATGACGAGCCCGAGGAACTGGACGATGGAGCCGGCCCGCACAAACTTCAAGATATTTTCGACACGCAATATCGCGTCAAGTCACTGTTCGATTTCGACGGAACGCTAGTATCCGAGCGTCTTGGTCTCAGCAACAACGACCTCACCACGCCGGACATATGGTATGACGTGCATGACTGTGAGGAGGCCTACGAGGGCTACATGGGCAACTCTGGGCCGTCCGCAATACACTGGTACCGCATCTCGGTGAGTCGTGCGTTCACAACCAATCCACAGCTGGCTAAACCAGGTCGCAGGCTATAGCCATCGTTCCTCGGGACTCATTAGTGGCTTACTTTCTGAATTATGATCTTTGTAGAGACGACGCACGGAACATGAACCTTCGCATTGGGTACTTTGCCCGCAGCGTGCTTCGAGGCGGAGCGAGCGCGTCAACCTTGGACGCATTGATGGATTTCTGCTACGATGCTTGGAGCCGCGCGCCTGCGCTGAGCCGCTCGTACATGATGCCACAGCTCACGCAGCTAGACGGCGATGTCATCAGCACCGTCTTCAAGGTTGCTCTTCAACATGACCGCCGCTCGTTCTTTCTGAGCGCTGTGGACAGCGTGAAAGGGGACCTGGCACCTGAGTTCTTCGACTGGGTCCGCCAGTGGTTAGGCACCGGGAACGATGCCTCCTCACGATTCGAGCATATCACAATGGAGTGAGTTGCAACGGACAGTGCCGTCAAAGAGGGTCAGACATGGCTAACTATGAAAAGACTGAAAACGATGATTGAGTCTTATCCACGTTTTGCGTCCCGCCATGCCGCCATCACGAAGCTGGTGGGAGACCCGACAGTAGCACCCCCTGCTATCCTCGCCTGGGCGAGAGAAACACTCGCCATGTTCATCTACAAAGCCTGGACCAGTCCCGACGGTGTCCCCGTGGATGCAAACGACGGCAAGGCCGTGGCAGACTCCATCTCCATGTTCGAGAACCCGCCCGAAGTGCTGACCGCCAAGATGAAACGATTCGCCATGCCGACAGCTCGGATTATGGCATTCGTCCTTACCTTCATGGCCCGCCTGAACGAGCTGCGTGTGGCCGGCACACTGCCCGAGGCTGAGAGCGTTGAGCTGTACGCCAAGCTCGCTGACCGCATGGTCAATCAATCCGACACATTCACAGCATTGAAATCTAGGCGCCAGGCTACGACCAAGCAAATAGGCATGGACACCATCATCGACCCGGAAGACATGGCGCGCCTCTTCTCAGGGGCTGTGGCGGCTAGCAAATTCAACTGGTCTCGCCACGTTGCCTCTTCCATTGTCGCCAAGATCACGCGCGAGGCGCCCTTTTACCCCCCTATCGAGCTCTACGGTCTCTGGATCCCCATGTTGGCGTTGCTACCACCGATTCTTCAGGCGGAGGGCATACCCGCGAAAGACCCGCCTTATCAGCAGCTCTACCAGACTCTAATGGTCGCCGCCGCGGACAGATTCGACGGTCAACCACCAACAACCTCCAACGACTTGCGTCGGCCCGCGGTGAATTGCAGTTGCCCTGATTGCCACCATCTCAACGCCTTTTTGGCGAGTCCGACACGCGAGACTGGAAAATTCCCCATGAATAAGAATCGGCGGGCCCACGTCCACCAGCAGCTAGACCGTGCTCGCATCGACTGCACCCATGTCATGGAGAGATTTGGCACCCCTCAGACCCTCGTTGTCCAGAAGACTTCCAGGCATCATGCCGAGAACCACAAGATTTGGGTCCAGAAAATCGGGATGTTGGCCAGACTCTTTGACAGGATTCAGACAGCGACGTGTCTACGGGATATCTTGCTCGACCAATACGACGACATCGCCAAGATGCATAGATTGGTCAGTAAACATATCAAGTCAAGCCACCAGCCGCCTCCCGCGACGCCTGGGTCAGCAGGCCCGAGCAGTGCTGCGAATCCAGCGCCAATGCCATCGGGGAGCAGGACGGCCCAGCCCATGACCCCAAGCAGACCGGCGACCGTCAACTATACCACGCCAGCGGGGAGTCAGATCGCCGGGACGAAGAGGAAGATGCACCCGACGACCGAGGACGAGGTTGTTGATCTGCTAAACGATTAGCATTCTGAGCTTTAGCAGCGTGGCCACCACCTCCGGGCAATCTGATCCGGGATCAACGCTGCGAGCTTATCTCCAATGGCAACTCGATTATGCTATGCGGCGTCAGCAGCTATCCACGTCCTGTCGTTACCTCCGGACTAGCAATCTGTTTTCCCCAAGATCCTGATTGGCTAGGCTTTCGTCGAGCGTGGGCGTGGTGGTGGCACGCATCGCGGAGGATATGGCTCCGCGCCCAGCATGCGGATATTGACGACGCGCAGATGCACAGCCAAAGGACTTGTCAATAGGATCACATTATGTGGATGGACGAGCCGACAAACCGCAAAGGGCGTCCTCGACTGCAACACGGAACCACCTGGTGACCATGTTGGACACGGAGCATCCGCCGTACGAAGAAGGAGAGGGAGGTTTGTGAAGCATCGCGACAACATAAATACCAGAGCAGCGTCCTGTCGATCTCTGCCAATCCTCAGCAGCAGCATCTTCACTCTCTGTCTCCCCTTTCTACATTCCTACCCCACAACCGTACCCCAGGACTCGACAATATGAAGTCCATTCTCCTAGCTGCCGTCGCCGCCGGCGCCTCGGCGCACACCATCTTCTCCTCGCTCGAGGTGGACGGGAAGAACTACGGCATCGGCAACGGCGTCCGCGTGCCCTCGTACAACGGCCCCATCCAGGACGTCACGTCCGACTCGATCGCCTGCAACGGCCCACCGAACCCAACTTCGCCCACGGACACGGTGATTGACGTGCAGGCCGGCGACACGGTGACGGCCGTGTGGCGCTACATGCTGAGCACGACCGGCAGCGCGCCCAACGACATTATGGACTCGAGCCACAAGGGCCCCATCAGCGCGTACCTCAAAAAGGTCGACGACGCCCGGACCGACAGCGGCGTCGGCGACGGCTGGTTCAAGATCCAGGAGGACGGCCTCGACGCCAGCGGCGTGTGGGCCACCACCAAGATCATCAACGGCCAGGGGCTGCACCACATCACCATCCCCACGTGCATCGAGCCGGGCCAGTACCTCCTCCGGGCGGAGATGCTCGCGCTGCACGCGGCGAGTAGCTACCCTGGCGCGCAGTTCTACCAGGAGTGCGCGCAGATCAACGTCATTGGCGGCACGGGCACTGCGTCGCCCAGCACCGTGGCTCTGCCTGGCGCTTACCAGGTGCGTGTGTCTTGTTGTTTGATCGGTGTAATGTACTGACCGCTTTGTAGGGCTCTGACCCCGGTATCACGCTCAGCATCTACTGGCCTCCGGTGGAGAACTATGTGATTCCGGGACCTGACGTCTTCCAGTGCTAGATGCGTTGCTGGAGGACTTGTCTTTCGGCAGTGTATACTTGGGGCTTCTCATCTAGAGCAGGTGTCGATGAATCTACAAGTTCAAATGTATATTTGCGTCACAAAGGCCTTGGACAGTGAATGTCTCGTTGAAAACCTGACATTATTGCTGAAGCAATAAATTGCCGAAAGATAATGAAGGGCAAGACATACAAACAATCATATCAATGTGCTGCTGAAGCGAAGCCATAAGCCAGGCTCCATATTGAATCACGTGCCAGAGTCTTGGAAAGCATTCCCGAGGTCAGAAACAATCTGGGGAAGACCCGATCCGCCTGGGAGCGCAATTCCCCCTATCCTAGGCGCCAATCACTATAGGCGGCCCCCGGAGCCCCGGCGTCGGCACAACCAGCCAGGCCAGACCAGCCCCCAGTTTTCGTCTGTGACGTCGGCGGGAAGCCAACATGCGCAAACGACAGATAATTATCGCGCAAGGCAAGCGGGCGGCGTCTTGGCCAGGCCGGGATGGATGGAAGGGGGGCTGGCTGGCTGGTTGTGGTAGGCGGTCAGTGGGCTGTGAGACACACAGCATAAGGCAAGCATCTCGAGAACGGATGCGGTGAAGTGCATGGGGGAGCCAAGGAACTGACGCTGGTGGAAATGATGAGAGCCAGTTGATAATAAAAACAAAGTGAGAGACGTATAATTACAACGGCAGGCACTCAGTCACTGGCAGACATTGAAAGACACTGACACTGTGTAATCCTGTCCGATCCGGCCCCACACTCTGAGGGAAATCCCGAGCGAGAATCTGGGGCACGATATCACAGCAAATGCTCGTGTGTGTGTGCGACGCAAGAACTGTATGACGCACCGATACAGAAGGCGGCGGCGCTTCCAGTCCTTGTCAAGGAGTTGATGATGTGATTTGACTGTCGCTGGGAGCAGTGTCGTATCCGCCAGTCGAGAGCCATGTCAGGTACAGGGTAGGCGGCGCACCAGCCGGGCATAGCCGATGCATGATCATGGGAGCTACGGGTACGGATACAGAAGTTTGACTACGAGCAATTAGCAAAGACAAGGCGTGTCAAACCGTTTTGGAACGGTGATGGCTGGGCTGGCGAGTGTTCCGGATGTGCCCCCCTCCTTTCCGTTCTGGCCCCAGGCCCCCAGCCTCCGCCGTCTAAACGCCAGGGCTCTGCAGCACGGCAGCGCGTGGCCCCGACCCGACATGAGTCCATGGCAGCCGAGGTAGATTGCACTGTGAACATATTTGCCGGTGGTCAGCAACGCGGATGCGCAGGGCTTTTCTGCGGCAATGAGGGCACTCTGTGAGACACAGAATGACCGCTATACGTGACGAGATGCAGCAAAGCGATTAATGCCTCCTCGACCTTCATCATGGCGGCGGTAGGCCTTCCTCTGCCCACCCAGGCAGATGATCACGCACCGTGCTTCGACAGTGCGGAAAACACCGGAGTGGGCCAGCGGAGACATGCTTGGTGGGATTCGCGTGCCTCAGGCAGCACCTGACGGACGCCAGTGCACAGAGGGGCCGTGGCCGCCGACGCCGTGAGTGGCTGCGTCCCCGTCCAGGTCCGTCTCGCTCGCTCCTTCCACCCCAATTTCGGGTGATCGCACTACTTTCCCTTCCGCCCTGATACTCGCGCATCCTGGCACTCACTCACTCACCCTCACCCTCACCTTTCCCACCAGCCTCACCCTGCTCTGCCAGCCTACATCAGCATCGCTGCCTCCTCGACTGCCTCGTTCACAAGTCTCGGCGAGCGCGCGCTTGGTAGCCCTCACACATATTCTTCTTCTTCTTCTTTCTTCGCCGCGTCGCACACCCTGCGCTCGCGCGTGCTGCTCTCTTCTACCCGTACTCACCACCTCGCAACGAGCGCGAACCGCGTTTGCCGTAGCTCCGGGACCCACGGTTGGCCTCCGGAGCTCAACAACCCTCGCTGCGCCCATCTCCCCCCATTTCATCTCACCACGTCGCATCTTGCGCCCACTACTATTATTCCCTCTTCTCATCGCCGCCCTGACTGACCATGGCCACGTCCGTCGCTCGCAGCAGCGCGCAGCGCGCCGGGGGCGCCTGTGTCCGCTGCCGCAAAGGCAAGACCAAATGCGTCTACGAGACGGGCGAGCCGCCTTGTCGCAACTGCGCAAAAGGCCCGCACGAGTGCTACCTGCCCTCTGAGCGCATGGCCTACCTCCATGGCCAGGCGCCCGGTCGACCAGTGTCCGCCTCCCACAGCAGACCACCGCGCGACGCTGCGCCCGGCCCAGCTGGTTCGATTCCTGAGCCTCGACCTCTGGTCGTCGCCTCGACGCCCAGCGCCAACCGCACCACCAACGCGCACAAGGAATTGTAGGTCACCCGCCCACCCACGCGACAGCAGCCGCGGAGGCACGGATCCAGCCGCAGCGCGCACTGTCTCATTTCTTTGTATCATTGATTTGCTAACAGCCACCCCCCACAGCATCACAAATGAGCACCTGCAAGAGTGCGAGCGCGTCGTGCTGCGCACGTTCCCGGCCTGCGTTGCCTTCCACAAGACATCCATCCTGCAAGACATCCAGGCGCCTGACCACACACTGGAGCCTGTCCTCATCTACAGTCTACTCGCAGTCGCGGCCCGGTGAGTTCTGCATTCCCCCAGCCCCACTCGAGATCGGAGCTCCGGCCTCAGGTTTCCGGGGGCCACTTTTCCCCGACTTTGACCCGGCCCAGCCAGTAGCTAACGCTGTAGCAGCACGTCGCGTCCCATGATCCGTCGCTATGGCTCACCCACTGCCGGCGCTGAGACATGGGCCGCCAAGGCCCTGGGCCCCATCAACGTCAACCTCAACAACCCTACGCTCGCCGATGTACAGGCCCTTTGCCTGGTCATCATCCACGAGTGGGGTTCCGGCAAGGCGGTCGCCGCGTACATCTTCCTCGGCCAGGCGGTCAGGATGCTTCAGATGTACCGCATCGTCAACAGCCACAACTCGGGGAGGGACGACTATGGCGTCGACGGCGCCAGGGAAGAGGCTCGCCGTCGAAAGTTCGTCGCCGACGAGACGCAGCGCCGGACCCTCTGGCTGCTCTACATGCTCGACTGCTTGTTGACCAGCACCCCAGGCCGTCGCTCCGCTCTGACCGAAGCGGACTATGCCGACGTCAGTCTGCCGTGCTCGGAAGACCACTTTGACTCCGAGGAGCCCGTCTACGTGAAGACGCTGGCGCAGCAGCTGGAAGCAACCAACCACTCCGCCGTTGTCTCACCGCCCCCGGGCACGGGCGAGATGGGTGACTTTGGCTTCATCATCTTAGCTGCGACCATCTGGCGCGAGGTCGTGGCCATGCTGACCACCAACACCATCTACAGCTACCGCGAGGAGTCGGTCACGAAACTGCTGCGCGAGGTCGACAACCTGCGCGCCATGTTGCCGTACCAGCTGGCGGACAAGCCTGGCCAACTCAAGAACCATGTGACCAAGGGCACCGGCGACACATTTGCCATGCTGCACTGCTTCCTGCACTGCTCGAGCATCTTCCTGCACCGCCGTCGCCTGCTGCAGGAGGTGACCGCCACCAGCTTCCACCTCGAGTCGTTCCGGATGACGCCAAAGTGCCACGACCTCGTGGACAGGCTTTTCACATCGTGCCACGCCATCATCACTATCCTGGAAGCCGTTCACAACAGGGTGAGCCGCGAAAAGGAGCTTGCGCCTTGCTTCACCATCTTCATGTCATTCTCCATCTTCACGGCAGGCGCTACTGTAGCCTATTTGTCACTCAAGGGCTTGACGCCCCTCACGGCGGTCGAGACAGCTGCCCATATTGTGGAGAACAGCCTTCGCTTCATGTCGCAGGGAACCGAGCACTGGCCGCTCATGTCGAGCTGGCTGCGCCACTTGACCGTGATGCAGCGTGTCTTGCACAATGACGCTGCCAGCGGCTCACGCCACAACTCGAACGCAGCCCTCGTGCGAGACGAGGTGTCGTCCAACGCCGACACGGCAGACCACGACCAGCGGTCGGTCCCGAGCAGCAGCGTCCCACCCCAGCATTCTATGCCGGCCGGCGGACCCCACGTCAACACTCCGTTTGGCCGCGGTGAGAGCGAGCCCCCCGTCACCATGCCTCGCCGGCCCGGCATCACCACCATCAACGGTGGCCCTACCGAGTCGCCTGCGCCGCCCCCCACCAACTCTCCGCCCCATGGCAGCCACTACGCAAGTTATGCGCCGCCAGCGGAGTCGAAGCAGCTCAGCCCTCCCGCTCCCGGCAGCATGCACGGCATGCCAAACAACTCGCACGAGCCGGTGGTGGCCTCAAAGCAGGACATGACGGCACCAGAGCTGTGCGCAGAATTTGAGAGACAGCTACTCGAGATGGACGACCTGGCAGCATTCATGGGTGGCGGTGTGTAATTAAGAATGTCAGATTGTGGTTTCTGTCTGGGCTATACGAGCCATGCAATGATTTCTGCTTCACACGGGGGAGTCAGGTGTTTAGGACCGGATACCCTTGGCGGCGTTTGGGGTTGATCAGAGAGGCAGGCACTCCGTGCTGGAGAGGAGATGGAGGAATTATTTGTACCTTGGCAGCCAGCCAGGTGAATATGGCATTGTTACGCAAAAGACACCCTTGACCTCGAGCCCTACGCCGATTTACCTCTTCTATTGTGATACAACTACCGACGCATGCCCGATCCCTTCGGGGTGGGTCACGGTCGACTCGGGACCGAGACTACAATCGGGGACGCACCAAGAAGGATCAGAACCCGGGGTAGGATTCCTGCGCTTCTTCCGTCAAGGGACGTCCTTGGCCCTCAATATGTTTCGAGCTCAGGCTTTTCTTTGCTGCCTTGAGCCTTTCAGCTCCTCGAGTTTGGAGACGTGCGCGCATGAACAAGACGCAGCAAACGCACAGACAGGCTTAAAGACTAATGTATAATATCTGCGCACGACGGCAGTTCTGTTTCATTTGGAGGAGTTACTATGCATGAATATGCGTCCCTGGCTTGGATCGGCAGACTGTCATCTGCAAGGCACAGGAGGATTTCCATGAAACATGCTCCCCTAAGCAGATGGGACATACAAGCATCCTTGAAGTCGGCGATTCGGATCAAAGTCAAGGATGAAGCATCATTATGCTCAGAAACATGATTGCGAGCGCCATGTATAAAATAGGGGCTCGTCCCATCACCATCTCCCAAAGCACAACACCACCACCCACACACCAAAGACAAATCCTCCCAAACCTACACGCAAACCCTTTCCCAAGATGCATCCCGCCCAGGCCTTTGTCACGGCGTACCTAACAGCCATCTCAACCCGCGACATCGCCGCCCTGCCCGACTACTTCTCGCCCACAGCCACGTGGTGGACCTCCGGCAACCCAGTCCGCGTGCCCAACGCGGGCGGCCCCAAGCCCGTGGAGGAGCACCTGCCGCTGCTGACGGGTCTCCTGGGCCTCTTCGACGAGTACGCGTACGACGTGGTCAACATGGTCGGCGAGGGGGGCAACGTCATGGTCGAAGCCCAGGCGCGCGGCGTGCTGGGCGACATTATTTACGTGAACAACATTACGAGCGCGTTTGCGGTCGAGAGAACGGGCGGACGGGCGGGCCAGTGGCGGATCGAGAGTGTGAGGGAGTACCCGGACCACAAGGAAATTGAGTGGTTGAAGGAGCAGTTGGCGTCTCTGCCGTCAGAGTGAAGGGCTGTGTTAGGATTGTGTAGTAGACGCCGCAGCAGAGGAGGTGGTGGTCATCATCTCCACCTCAATGTCAAAGATATTGTGGTTGCGGAAGATCCCCAGACAAGCGTCCACGGCCGCCTGCGCGTGCGCCCATGCCGGTGTAGTCGTGTCCGTGCCGTTTGTAATGATGCAGCACGTGAGTTGTGATGTACACGTGGCCTGTCGCTCTGGCTCGACGCGTGAACTGCCCCAAGATAGCTGTTCCACGGCGACGATGTCGGTGATAACAATACGTGAACCGTCGATGTGATGGTTGTTCAGCTGCTCATAGAGCTCGTCGATCATCCGGGAGCCTGGTTTGAATAGGTCGTCTAGTAGTGCATGCGGGGCTGGACTGGAAAAGTGCTTGAGGAAGAAGATGTCTTTGGGGATAGGCTGGCGAAAAGTGCGGGCTATGAGTTTGACTGAGGAGCCAAGGCTACGGTAGTAGGCAGCAGCCTCTTCCTCGGTTGGCGGTACCTGCTGCTCATGGGTGTTGGTGTCCATGGAGTCGGTAGATGTGAGCTGGGTCGTATTCAATGATGGAAGAGTAGATATGTGTGGTTGTTTGGCCCGATCAGAGATGTTGACAAGTATAGGTCAACAAGAGGCAAAGGGTTTGGGGAAGTTCCTCACCTTGGGAGGAAAACGTGCTTAAACTGAATGTGAGAGTTCTGATCTAGCGTGAATTTTAAGCTGATCATCTTGTATTAAATAGCATTGACAAGGTACTAAGATAAGTCCTAGGCAACTTTATCCTTTCTAGCATTACTATAAGTATTCCTGTGACCAATAGCAGAGGAAGCCTTAGAGTCAATAACCAACGCAGCCTCTTTCACCTCTGGCTCAATTTCAGAAGCACTCTATCACTCAATACGGAGTAAATGCACTTGGTGAGTTCGATACCCTCAAGGCCCCAGGGAAGATGGCAGATGATGTACCTGACGAGATATCGCAGGCAAGTGTCGCACTAGCTCGCCAACTGCCGAACGGCACAAGCTACGATCCCGCTTACCGAGTGGCTGCTTCCGAGTGCTTGGGCACATCCCTACATGTCGAAGGGGGCAGCTCATCGGTATTGTGGCAGCCGGCAACAACGCGCTGGACTTTGATGGCCCATATGTCACGCCGTATGAAGCCATCGAGAAGGACTTTGTTGACCATAGTCTTCGCGTCGTGTTGCGTTAATGAGCCGAGGAGGAGAGGGAGGATGATCGGAGGGATGAACCCATTTGGGCAATTCTTCATCAATTCATGTATATCCGTATAGTCAAACACCATAACGCCAAGCAGAATGAAACAGTAAATCTCGCGTTCCGGCTGCATGCCCTTTCATTTAACCGCCTTTCATGACACCACATCCGGCAGGGCCCATGCTCAATCCGAGTCGCTGGAGCTGCTGGAGCTACTGCTGCTGTGGTCTCCCATCCCCTTGCTCTTGTACTTCTTCTCCTTTTTGTGTTTCTTGTCCTTCTTCTTCTTGGGCTTGATCTTGTGCTCGAGCACGTTGGCGCCAATGGCACCCGCCGCGGCCGCGCCCAGCGTGCCGAGGAGACCCGTGTTGCCTAGCTTGTGGGCGCCCCAGGCGCCAGCCGCACCGCCCGCGAGCGTGGCACCGAGACCCTTTTCGCCGTCAGGGCCGCCCGGGCCTGGAGGGTACTGCTGGCCATATTGTTGTCCCTGGGGGTAGGCCGGTGCGCCGCCGTGCTGGGGCGGGTATGGAGAGTGGCTACCTGAGCGGTTGTAGTCGTGCGGCTGGCCGTAGCCTTGCTGCTGCTGCTGTGGTGGCGGCTGGTTGTATTGCGGTTGGGGCGAATGGCCGCCGTAGTTCTGGCGAGGATCGGCCTGTTGCGCGTAGGAAGGCTGCTGGGGATGGTGTTGAGGGGCCGGGGCTGGCGCGTAGCCCTGCTGCTGAGGATAAGGAGAGTGGCCCTGCTGCTGCTGATGGTACTGCTGTTGATGCTGCGGAGGATAGTCCTGGCGATACTCTTGGGGGACAGGCTGGGGGCTGTGGGGGTAGGGCGGTTGGCCGTAAGATGGCTGCTGAGGATAGCCCTGCTGCTGCTGCTGCTGCTGGCCGTAGCCGCCTCCGCCGCCGTAGTAATCCGAGTTGGACATTGTAGATATCGAATGTGGTCTTGATGGTAGGTCTTGAAAGTCGAAGCCAAGGCGCATGAGCTGCATGCAAGATGTACGGGACAATTGTATATATGTAGGTCGATCCGGATAACCGGTAGCGGAGGGGCAAGGCAAGGCGCATTTGCGGGCTGAGTGGACGTCATGCGCGGGGCGCAGCGGCGTCTTCAGCCTCAATTAGTGGTGTTGACTGCCCTGCGGCTGCTGAGCCACAGGTGGCACGACAGCCGCGCCACGAAAGGTGGGAGGCGCAACCCTCACCTTCTCGAGTCTTCTCATGCTCGACTCGACCACTCGACTCCAGTCCTTGGCTCCAGTCCTCGACCCCTCGACAGTCTCGAGTCTCGACTAGCCTCACGAAACGTGGAGGCGACGCGAAGATGCGGAATCGCGGAAATCTGCACCATCACTCGCCGCGATGACACCAGCTCTCGAACCCGTCAGCACGGCAAAACCTGAGTCAGAGTCTGTCACATTCTTCACTCGACACTTGAGCCGTTTCCGATGAGTGTATGCAAGATCGTCACGGAGTCGAGAGGTGAGATGAACTGTGTTTCAACAACTTGCGGATAGGTTCTCAGCCTCAGGAGACACATTCACTCCTCGTATCGGAATTCGCCGCCCATGGGTCAGTCTTTAGATAATCGGAAGCCGCCACGAGCTCGTCGCCCCTCTGCCTACTACGTAGCTAGCTGCGTCTATACGTATAAGCGTCAAATTGCGAAGATTGTGGAGGACTTCCCCAGCCAAGGGTTGTACCTAGCCACTAGCCAGGAAAACGCGAAAAATGCCGCTCTGACAGTTGAGCTAGGGAGAGATTTGGGGAAATGGGTTCAAAGCGAATTGCTGCGGGTGGCAATGTGGCCCCTCAAGGCTCAGTACTAACGTTAGATGCGACTGACGGCGAAACCAATACAGTGTCACATTGAAGTGGGAACGAGGAAATACGAGCCAAGATTTTGGCTTTTTTGTGTTCATGGCCTGGACGAGATGGTCCGGCCCTGGAGGCTGGAAGCATGGAAGCGCCTGCTTGGCAGCGCTCTCCCTCGCCCACCATGATAAATTATTAATAATTGATCCGGGGTGTCGATCGACGGTCATCCACATCAATGGTCCAAGGCTGCTGTCGAATGCGTCGGGCAATACAGAGTGTCATCTGCATTTTTCACGTATGCATTCTGCTGTATTAGAACTGACAATCACTGGGGTCGATTTTTCGTCAACAGACGCAAGACACGATTCATTGATCACTGTACTGGAACCCTGCAGAGCCCGGAAACCCATCCCACTGGTTGCTGCATGTTCATGCTGGGCCCAAGGAGCTGGAAGCCTGCGACCATCCTCGCCAAAACGTGGCACAACTGCCGAATCCTTCGAGGAAAGTCCCGAGACGGACTGTCACTGACAAGTGATAAGCTGCAGTCTGGTAGTCACGACACTAGGACTGCGAGCAGAGTAGGATTTGACGCGCACTTTGCATGCTGGTGAACGCAAATTGGTGCCCAACTTCCTGTCCTCATCATGCACCTCGCAAGTTGGTGTTGCAGTTGTGGAGGGCGCCCCTGGACGGCTGCAGCAGCTGTCCCGGAATTCCGGGCAGCGTTCGCCGTTCACTGAGCACTCGTTCGCATACGTACGGATAGGTACGAATATTACAGCCGCAGATCATCTGCAGTATAATACTTCTGATGTGACGGCTCATTTTCCATCGACGTGTTCGCAGTGCGGCGCATTCTTGGCTCTGGCAGGGCCCAGGGGACATCGAGTGATCAGGTCTGGCATCGGGTCAATGGACATGCCCCTTTAGAACCGATCATATCACGTCGACCCCCAATCAAGGCTCAAAGGCGCAGACGAATTGACAAACCAGATCATGATCCCCAGCCCAGCAGAGTTCAGTTTCTTGCCACGCCGCACGCCGCACGTGTCCAAGTTACAGTTCTCAGGGGAACCGTCCGCTCGGTCAGCATCCCCAATCGAGCCCCAAATGCCGGGCCTCTTTGTGGTGCAAGACCAGCACCGTAAACTCGACGCTACGGACGGGACGGCAGAGACTGACCCTGACCAGCGGCATTGGCTCTCCACATTTTCAACAAACTCATAATACTCATTGGGATGGCGTTCCAGGTGCTGTGGGCCCTCGTGGCCTAGAGCCGAGGCCAGGCCCAGGTCCTGGTCCCTGTGTACTTGATTATGAGATTGATAATGCCCGACAGGTGAAGATCTCTGGGTGGGACGGACGGGGTCGCATTTTTCCAAGGTTACTTAATGAGGCCGATGCTGGAGCTGGACTCGGCCTCTATCGGACATATCAGAGTCCAGACAGTGTATTCCCGGCCCCCTAGTCTGACATGAACCCACGGGTCCCCTTCTCTCCGGGTTCCAGGTCAACAAGCAAGTGTATCCAGTGTTATTAGACCCAGGATACCGACGCCCTTGCTTGTCCTGCCAAACTCCAGCAACATATCCAACCTCAACTCCCGTCTCACCTCCTCGGACAGGTGAGCAAGATACTGTCCGGTAGGCGTGCTCAACAACAAGCCCGCCACGATGGGCATCCCGAACCGTGGACCAGAGCTGCAGGCTGTCTGCTACACACTGGTGACAGCGGCAATCGTGGCCACTGTCCTGCGCTGCTACACGCGCGTCTACTTGGTCAAGAGCTTTGGCTTCGACGACTGGTGCATGATATTTGCTCTGGTAAGACGAACCTAGGGAGGGTCGCGTGCCAGACAAACTGACAGAACCTACCAGGCCACATTTATCCTCTTTGTCACCTGTGCTCTGGTCGGCGTCGAGCATGGCACTGGCCGGCATCGCGTCGACCTGGCAGATGAAGACATCAAAACCGCAATGAAGGTGAGTGACAGGCGGGCTCCGGGGGGGCACTTCACGGCTACTTTCCCCCGGACATATCACTGACAGCCACGCACAGTATTGGTGGTTCTGCTACATCTGGTACTGCCTCACCATGATCGCCTCCAAGATCTCCATCGGCTACTTCCTGCTCCGCATCACCATCCGCCGCACCGACGTGTGGATCATCTACGGCGTCATGGTCATCACCGTCCTCACCGGCATGGTCTTTTTCTTTGTCACCATGTTCCAGTGCACGCCCATTGCCTACTTCTGGAACAAGGACCAGAGCGGCTCATGCGTCAGCATGGACGTCATCATCGCCCTCACCTACCTGTACAGCGCGTGCAGCGTCATATGCGACTTTACCTTTGCCATCCTGCCCATGGTCATCATCTGGACGCTGAACATCAACAAGCGCAGCAAGCTTGCCCTGGTGCCCATCATGGCCATGGCCTGCGTGTAAGTGATCTAGGCGAGTGTTCATTGGGCTCTGGGTTGCTGACAGAGATATCTTCTAGTGCGAGTGCCGCTGTTGTCGTGCGCTTTCCATACGTCATGAAGTTTAAGGATCCCGACTTTCTATGTGCGTCTAAGTTTCCTCCTCTCTGGCCAATGTCCCGCGAACACGTTGCTGACAGACCTTTAGGGGCCACCGTGGACATCGCCATCTGGTCCTGCACCGAGCAAGGCCTCGCCATCACAGCCGGCAGTTTAGCCACCCTCCGCCCTCTGCTCCGAAACGTAGGCTACTGCTTCGGCCTCTCGACACCCGGTCCGACCGAGCTCCGCGACTCGAGCGGTCGTCTACCGTCGGGCACCATTGGTGGCCAGGCATCCCGCAAGAGCAAGGGGATGCGGACGGATCCGTTCAGCCTGACCGCCATCGAGAGAGGGGACAGCAACGACAACAACTCCTCCGACGAGAACATGGAGCGAGGCGTGTTTGGCAGCCGCCACCAAGATGGACGGATCGCCCCTTGGGAGGCGCAGGGACGATCACACCACGGCAGCGAGGAGGGACTCGCACACGACACGGCACCGGCGTGGGATGCGGACTGGAGGCACAAGAATATTGTGCAGGTGCAGAGTGTCACCGTCTCGTCCAGCCGTGCCTCGTAATTCTTGACTTTAGCGTACTTTTTGATGATTTTTCAGCGAGCAACATACATACATACGTATACGGGACCGTGCATGCCCGCTTTGGTTTTACTTATTATACTTGAATTCAAAGTCTCATCACATTCAAAGTCATATACGGGCCAATATGTTCGAGAAGATATACGCACGTTACCCAGCTCAACCCAGGGCGTTCACGACCTCACCCAAGAATCCCTCGTTCGCATACAGCTGCGACATATCCCACATCATGACGCCCCCAAAGCTCGCGTACTGCTTCGAGTACTGGATCACGCTCGCCAGCGCCTCGCCCTCGGTGTAGCCCGCTCCCGCGCCCGTGTTGGCCGGGATGCCGAGCAGGATCTTGACGTCCGGGTTCAAGCTGGTCGACGCCGCCCACGCGTCCCACGTCTCCATGTTGAAGTTGTACTGCTGCGCGGCGCCGGGGACGAACGACTGGACACCGCAGTAGTTGTTGTAGAACTGGATCATAATAAAGTCAAACGAGACGCCGCCGGCCAGGGCTTCGCCATTGGCCTGGTCTGGGTACGGGCACTGGGGCGCGGCGGTGATGTAGAAGCGCTTGTCGCCGCTCGCGGTGGCGTCTTCCATGAGGCGACGCAGCTCCTGGCCAAAGGAGACCATGTTGGACGTTGCTGACTCAAAGTCGTAGTCGAAGCCGTCGATCACGGCCGAGCCAAAGGGGCGGAGCGCGTTGGAACCTGGCTGCTCGGGTCCGAATGTGGCCCAGAGGGTACGGGCGGCGTCGACAGCTGCATCGGCGCTTTGGAAGCCACCACCAGAGTAGGTGGCGCCGCCCATGGAGAGGACGATGGTCTTGCCTTTGGCTTGGCACGTCTTGATGTCCTCTCTTTTGGGGGGAGTTCGAGTGAGTACATGTAAGTGGGGAGAGATCGGAGACTTACTCGATCTGAGGACAGTCGAGGAGGGAAGGGCCCTCTGGGAATGTGGTGCAATTGTCGCCTGCGTTGGCAAAGTTGACCAGCGGTGGCGCGAGGCCGTTGAGGAACGCAATGGGGATAATGTCGATATCAGGGTCTGACATGGCCCGTCAGTGATGTGTCTCCAATTTGCAAGTAGGTCAAGCTCTTACTTTCGCAGTAGTAGGAAAGACGCTCCTGGACAAAGGGGCCGCTGCCCTGTCCGAAAGAGTTCTGGCCTTTACGTGTTGTCAGTGTCGTGGATTGGGACAGGTTTGTGGTGGTTCTCACCCCAGTAGACGGCTACATTGCTTTGGGAACTTGGATTAAAGCCCGCGAGAGCTGTAGGAAGAGCCACAAACGCGCCAAGGAGGGTCAGCAGAGAGGCTGTTGGTGCCATTGTTGGTTCTGATTTAGGGAGGAAAGTGTTGCTGGTAGTCTGGCTCTTCTGGATCTGGTATCAGTATCATGGGAGAGACTGTGCATTTATATTGCTTTCAAGACTCTGCAACTTCCTGCAGCGTCAGACACAGGAGCTTCAAGGTCATGGCTTCGAGCTGGCGCCATGTCACGTTGAGGACATTAAAGGGAATGCTATTCGATCTCATGGACCTTATGCTACGTTGATACTGCATAGCTGTATGGGAAGACCTGGTCTGATCTGAACAGTGTAATCTACTGCCTCCTAGCTGATTGTGGTTTCAGGAGAACCTCCAGTCCTCAACGTGGCATGGGAGTGTGGGGTTAGTAGGCTCGGAAGCTGCCTGATCCTCAAGGATGATCCTCAGTGACGATCCCTAGGGACATGTTCGCTTCAAGGAGAGATCGGCAGTCCCCTCTCTTGCATTGCCATATAGACACATACCGTGCTATCTTGACATGAGCCATACGTCGCAGAGCGAGACACTGACATCTTGCTCGAGCCGTCGACGTCGCTTGTCCGGAACACTGCTACACTTCCGCGATTGACTGGCCAAATTGTCATCAGGAATCGTTCAAATAGTCGCCAATCTCTTGCCGTATACCCACGCGCTGCAACGTGTTGAATATTCCGCCATGGACGCCAGTAGCATGAGGCTCTCCAGGGGTCGTCGTTGTATCCGCCAAACAGCGAGCTGCCCAGCTTCCTGCTTTGGCAATTATACCAGGGCGATCAGCCGAGATGGCTGCATCAGAGTCCACTGGCACATGCCATCTTCCACAAATGGACGAGGTCTTGTTGTGATAGCTACATAAATTTGAGTTGCTTCATGTTCCCATCGTCACATTATGCGGGCGAGGATCCAAGCCTGCGAAATAATGTAACAGCCTGCAAGACGATCACTTGCCGATATTACACGTACATTGACAGAAGATAGCCACGATTGTATCTACATTTCCGTCGTCGACACGGCCCGGAGCATGACGGCACTCTACTTGCCTATCCCGGTAGGTAACGTTACCTCGCCCAACCACCGGGGACCGGTTGACATATACGTAGCTTAGCAGACAAATGTCACGTGGAGAATCTGAATGTCCATCGTATCGGGTGATGAATTGACGTAGCTGATATCAGACCCCTTCCTCGCCCTATGCTCATACGTCCAAGCTTGCTAGCTGTTTTTCTCCCACCCGACCCGACACAAGACGGGCAGCCGCTTAGGTCACCTTACTTGCCAACATCGCTGACGGTGATCTCCGAGTAGCCGCTGCTGTAGTAGCCCTCGGTGGCGACAATCTGGTAGTCGTGCTGACCGGAGGGCAGACCCGCCCTCTCCCAGGCGTCAAAGTGGCAGCCCGTGTTGACGGTGCCGCCGGTCCTCTTGCTGGTGCGGATGGACCAGTACTGCTGAAAGTCGCGGTTGCCGTCGATGCTGGGCGCGTTGTAGCGCCACGTCGAGGCGATCTTGTAGGTGGACCCGTCGCAGGTCACCTCGCCGTGGATGGTCGCGCCCGTGCTGGGGTCGTAGGTGCCAAAGTTCTCGACAATGTAGTACTCGACGAGGGGGTTGCGCATCCAGCCGTAGACGGCGAGGTAGGAGTTGCCGTTGGGCTGGTAGGTGCCCGAGTAGCCAATGGCCCTGGTGCGTGTTAGTCCATGTCTCTTGGGTACCTTGGCTTGTCCGGAAGCAGTGTCTGCGTCCCGCACTGGTGACTGTGCTTACCTCGCGCGCAGGCCTGGGTTCCAGCCCTTTCCGCCGACCAGGTTGCCGCCCGACGACCAGCTGATGCTGTACTTGCCGCCGTCCAGGTTCTGGTAGGTGGCCGGGGCGCCGTAGTCGGTCCACCAACTGTAGAAGAAGCCGTTGTGGTAGCCCTGGCCGGGCGAGACGCTCTGCTGGCGGACCTCGAGGCTGTCCGTCTCGGGGGCCGGGGCGGACAAGACGCCCGTGGCCGTCAGAGCGGCGACGATGAGGGAGGTGAAGCGAACCATGATGATTGTCTGTCTGATCTGATCTGATCTGCGGGCTTGGGGAGCTGATCTGCACAGAGCGAGGGAGGGATCTGCTCGGCCAGATTCGACCGTGATTATATACTGTTTCGTTTGTCGGGTTTCCACATCTGTTTCAGGAAACAGCGGAAGCCCGTCGTCCGAGGTGCGTATGCCAAGTCAATGCGCCCGACCGGGGCGGCATGATGGTTTCCATTCGTCCTTGTGCGAAACATGAGACAAAGACGGGGGCGATCTGGTGAAGGCGTCTCCATCCTCGCGAAGATGAAGTGTCCGCGCATTTAGCCGGCCAGCCGACACCTCCAGGGGTCCGTGATGGTGCTGATCCAAGGACCAAACCGTCACGGAAGCAGGAAAGACGCGGTCCATTGCTGCTGGACGATCAACTCTCGTGCATCTCGGAGAGATCCCATCTGCCCTCCCCATGTCCTTCCCCAGCCAGCGCACACGCATGCAAGCAAGCACCTGCATGTGGCACTTGAATCATTCAGGCTCAATGCAAATCGCTGCCGAGGTCGAGTGGGGAACCCCATATTCCACCCGGCAGTTCATATAGCATCAAATGCACCTCCGCGATTGGCAACCGTCTCTTCAGCCGAGGAGGCGGGCGAAGGGTGCTCACTTCTCAGGCGGCCCAGCGCCGATCCAACCTTATTGTGGTCATGCTCTGTTGCGATAGGGCAAGCAACGCCATCCGGCATGGCATCTTGAGCCCATCACCGGGTAAATTACTCTGGGCTGACACTCCTTGCGGCATTCAGTCCTGCAGCAGGGCCAGAAGAGACGATTCCCCACGGCATTTGTTCGCGCTGAGGCGTAGTCCGAAGCTTGGCAGGCTTGGGACAATTATACAGAGTCAGTTGCATTGGGTATCCAGAACTAGGTCGTCGTCGTCGTCTTCGTATTGTGTTGCCATCCCCACCCCAAACTCCCAAAAGAAATCCAAATTCAAGTCTGTCCCAGATGCTCAAACACACCCGATTAACGCCTCCGTTCTTCCTGCTTCAGTTCATGTGGGGATAAAGTGCTGAGCATCCTCCTTCTGCTGCTCGAAGCTCTGCGAAAAGGCCGCGAGGCCGACCACGATCCCCGCCGCCATGAACATGACGGAAATCAGGGACCAAATCAGTCCCCAGCACCGCGACGAGCCACCGTACCGCTTGGCAAAGACACTCGCGTCCGACGAGTTGACCTTGCGCAGGATGAGATCGTCGCAAATGTCCCAGACGGAGTAGAGGGAGGACATGACGCCGATGAAGAGGACGACGAAGCGGAGCGCCTCGGCGTGGTTGATGAACCAGCAGCCGACGAGCAGGGCGACGGCGAGCAGAATGGTCAGGATGGTTAGCCAGTCCTTCTTGCCCCACCACAGGGTGAGCAGGAAGCAGACGCCCAGGGCGATGCTGACAATCTTGGAGGCGTTGATGTTGAAGCCGCACAGGGTCAGCACGGCGCCGATGATGGAGCTGCCCAGGTAGCCGGCGGGCAGGGTGATAGCGCTGATGCCGCCGGACAGGTGCGTCACGCCGCCCTCGTTGGGGTCCAGGCTGATGCTCTTGACCTTGCCGCCGGTGAGGATGGCCGTGCTGGCGTGGCCAAACTCGTGAAAGGCGATGACGAGCATCTTGAACGGCCAGAGCACCATGCGCAGGTAGGGGACGTTCCAGAGGATCGCGATGCCGACGACGTAGGCCGCGATGACGCCCAGCGTGACTTGTTGTGTGTGTGTCGGGTTCTGCAGATCGCGCGTCGCCAGTGCAGGCGCGAGCTCGCCTGAATCGAGCGTTGGTGCCATCCTGGGTGCTGATGTGTGATTGATTTGATATGATGGATGCTGGTGTACGTGCGTGTACGCGTAACCTCAGCTGTGTTGAGCGAGGGCCAGGAGATGTGACTTGACGAGGACCAGAGAACGACAGTCGTCAAAGCGAGTGAATTCCAGCACCGATGCGCGCCGAGACAGGAGCAAGCGAGAGGAATGAAGGACAGCGAAGGAAAATAAAACGTGTGTGGTGTTTGAGCAGCGGCTCGTGAGACAGTCGAGGGATGAGGCTGGCTGTTAAAGGCTGTTGACTGAGGCGTGGCTTGGCCCGCTGACGTGTTGGGAGACGTGCGCCAGCATGGCCAATCAGATGTCATGCTCATCTTGAAATAGAACAGCCAGATCCTGTCCGCCAATCACACCGCCCCATCAGATCGCACCGCCACACCAGGACTTTGACACCTGCCACACGAGTCATGCACACCAGCTGGTGTCGAGATCAGCACCACTAGAATTCGAGGCCAAGAAAACAACCGACATCCTAGCACCATGCTGCCCACAAAATCAGCGAGAAAAAACTTTGGCGTTGCTCTGATATCAAGCACGTATTCTCGTGATCCCGTACAAATACCTCGCTCTCCAGAGTCCAGAGCCCAGACACTCCTTGTGATCCATTCGATCCGTGTGCTGCGTATCTACTACCACAGTACCACCCCAGCAGGCACAATGGCCGCCGACTTTGAGAAACAGTCCTACTGGCATGACCGCTTCACCTCAGAGACATCCTTCGAGTGGCTCCTCTCCTCACACGACTTCATGTCCATCATCACACCACACCTACCACCCCACCTGGGCCCCGACGCGCGCATCCTGCACATTGGCTCCGGGACGAGCGCGCTGCAGAACCACTTCCGCGCACGGGGCATCCTGAACGTAACCAACATTGACTACGAGCCCCTCGCCGCTGAGCGAGGCAAGGCCCTCGAGAAGGAAGCCTTTGGGGACGTCAAGATGACTTACGACGTGGCGGACGCTACAAACCTCCAGCCGAGGGAAAGGTACGACCTCGTCGTCGACAAGAGCACAGTGGACGCCATCGCCTGCGGCGGGGACGATGCCGTCCGGCGCATGGCGCAGAGCGTGGCATTGTGTTTGGCGGAGGGCGGCGTGTGGATTTCGCTGAGCTTCTCCGCCCATCGCTTCGACCTCCCAGACTTGCCCCTGGATGTGCAGACGGTGGCGCATGTCCCGACGCAGAAGCGCAGTGAGAATGATCCGGATATTTTCCACTACTGCTATCGTCTTCGGGCGCGATAGCCAGGCGCTCATGCTGAAGGCGTATTGGGCGAGTGGACCAGGTGGAACAACATGATACAGTCGGTCGGAAACGATCATCATCAATAAATAGGCATCCTGCATCACCGCCTCGACCAGGGACGACGCTACTATATACACATCAGAATGCGCCCAGGAACCGTCGCATCTTCTCCTGTCCTATACTCGACGTCTGGTTGCCGTATACAAGACCATCATCCTCATCCGCCATCGACGCCCATGCACTCTCCAGCGCATGGACCCGTACGCTCACCTCCATACCCTCGACCAGATCACCCGCCGACACAATCAGATACGTCAGGGGCTGCGTCGTAAAGAATGTGTTTGACGCACTGTCCACGCCCCCGTTTACAAACACCTCGAGCATGGAGCGATCCATGACGCCGCTCATGGACCAAGTGTCGCCCGTGATCAGGCTGTTGGTCGAGAACTTGTCCGTGAAGAAGACATTGTCAAAGCCGTTTGCGCCACCCCGATCGACGAAGAACGGATTGTCGCCGCCAAAGTAGTAGCCCCCTCGCACAAACTCGCCCGACTGCGGGCTGAGGAAGGTGAAGTTGAGCGTTGCCGAGGCCGGGATGCCCGAGTCGGGAATGCCGGTCACGTTGGCCTCCCAGTACACCGCGTTCGAGTCGACCTGGGAAAAGTCCACCGTCGTCGACCCGTTGCCCATTGTCTCGTTGGCGGCGAGCGCCCGCCCGATGACCGGTGACAGGTCGTACGGCTCCGAGATGAGCTTCCAGCCAATACGCTCGGTCTTGGTGAGGTAGTTCCTCCTAGGCAGGCTCATGGCGCTGCGCCAGCCCTCATTTGCCGTGGGGACCAGGTTGGTGTACTGCCAATTCGAAGCCCAGGCAATGGACACGGGGAGCTCATCTTCGGGGAGGCCGTAGAAGAACTGACCCGCGTAGTTGTCCTTGCCAAAGTCGGCGATGCGGGCGACAGCATCGACGGCCTCAAAGTGGGTGCCGTTGAATGTGCCGGGAAAGTACTGCCCGATGGACCCGCCGACTGGTGCGCCGGGGTTGATGCTGATGTACATGAGCCACATGTCATCCTGGCGCTCGCCGTCCTCGTCCATGTACGGCATCCGGACCATGTTCGGGCACTCGTACTGGAGGCCGAGGAGGCCGTGGTGCGTAAAGTTGCTCGTCGCGGTCCATTCCTTCAGGTCGGGGGAGGTGAAGATGCCAATGGCAAAGTCGTGCGGATAGGCGACGGACATGACCCAGTGGTCCTCGTACCAGATCACCTTGGGGTCGCGGAACTGCGAGGACTCGCTGGGGATGACGGGGTTCCCCTCGTACGGAATGAAGCTGTAGCCGCCATCGAGCGAGTAGGCAATGGCCTGTGTCTGGGGACCTGGTTCCGTGGGGAAGTATTGGGCCAGAGTCTGTTTCGTGTGTGTTAGCTAGAGTGGCCCACGCCTGCTGAGGACGCACGGGACACGTACATAGATGGCCACGACGCCATTCGTCTGGTTGGGGAAGAAGCCAGAGGTGTTGTTTGGGTCAGTCACCGCGCTGCCCGAGAAGACAAAGGTGTCGTTGGCGGGCGGGAAGAGGGCAATGGGTTGGTTCTCCCAATGGTACAGATCTTTCGACGTGGCATGGCCCCAGTGCTGATTTCCGGCAACAAGCCCGGTGGGGTTGTACTGGTAATACAGATGCCAGGTCCCGTTGTCGTCCAGAAACATGCCATTCGGGTCGTTCATAAAGTGCTCTGGCGGGGAGAAGTGCACCTGAGGACGATACTGACCGTCATAATCGCCCACGATTGGCACACCGGTGGGCACGTCTGGGTTCACATAGCTCGCTGTGCTGGACGGCGAGGCCGAGGCGGCACTGGTGGTGTTCTGGGCCGTCGTCAAGGCTGTGAGTGACAGCGTCGTCGCGACGAGAGGTGAGCGCATGGCGAGGGTCCTTGGGTTGCTTTCCCTTCACTCTGTGGGCTAAGTTGAGCACTTGCGGTAGCAGAACATGTCCCTCGCAGAACAAGAAGAGCCCATCCTCTTATGTAGACGCCGTGGGCCACCCCGTGGGCTGGGGCATATACGGTGACGTTTGTTGTCGGACCGAAACATGTTGGAGATCTGGAGTAGTCTAGTAACAGAGTTGGTGTGGTGGGGAGAAGACGCGGATGTCCTCGAGTGACAAACCGTCGATCTGTGCCACGGTGGGGAAAAGCCACGAGCACCGTCAATCTCGTCCTTTGGTTGGCAGTTCAAGTTCGGTAGACACATATGGACGCACGGGTGGATTAAGCTTCACGCAAACTGCTCGGCCCGCAGAGAAGCCCAATGTCTGGCCGGGAAGTGATGACGCATGGGCACCTCGGCAATGCAGGCGACTGACTGAGTCTGGATGCCATATGGATGGAGACGGGAGGAAGGTTGAGAGAGCGGGGAAGCGGTGGCTTTTGTGATGATGCAAGAAAGCTAGGGACGGAGAGGGGAGAGGATTCGGGCAAGCTAGACGAGGCGTCGCCCATCTTCATGTTGAGTACCTATCTAGGGTAGCCATTTCGCGTCGACAGGACCGACAGGAGCATGTTCCTTTTCTGACCTCAATTGACGACGTTGCATTCAGCTTTCGTCTGGTACCTTATAATAATTGCTTCCACATCTGCCGTTCCATGGGAAGTCAGCTGGATATCAAATGGTCGAGAACGTGGAACCAGACTATGCATAACGGTACCTTGGCAAAGATGCAGTGAACTGAGTCGTGACCTTTCTCGGGACTTGGGAGACTTCAGAGTAAGGTATGATTAATAGAGTAACGGATCAAAGCAAGAGTCTCTTTTACAACCAAACATGCAATCTCCCGCTTCGCAACCACGTATCTAGAAGTGCGGACGATATTGCCTTTACACCAAACTTCCCTGGCCATCTTTTTCCTCCCCTTGTCCACCCTCTGCGTCACACGTATCACCTTTATGGTTTTTCCGTGAGCGAGAGCCATTCCACTTTGCATGCAATTAGGATATAATTGACTTTTCTTAAGTGAATATTCCTGTGGGATGCATCTCGGACTCTCGCTCCATGTCCCCAAAGGAGATGTCAGTCCTGTTTTGTCACCGCGTGCTGTTGACCAGGTATCTAACTATACCGTTCCGTGCTTCTCTATTTTCTGTCAATACCAGTCTCACGCAAAACCGCACAATTAAGAGGAAGATTAGTGGTCGTTTAGATCTCCATAGGGGTTACATACTTTGCTAAGTGTCTTAAAGGGTAAAGTGTCACAACCTCGCAGATCCGGAATCAAGCGAGCTCGCCGATGCGAACCTCGTGGTATCATTGTCCCGAACTTTCGGTTGAAACGCTGCTGTGCGTCGTGGATATGTGCGCCCTTTCATCTCCGAAAGTGGGCAATTTTGTACGGCATTTGGAGTCTTGGATGCCTTGATGCTCCAGGTTCTTTGTATACGCCTTGTGTGAATGTGTGTCGTAGATTGATTGATTCAAGTTGCCTGCCTGCTCTTGTCTTGGCCATGAACCAGACTTTGGCGTCGTCGTGAATGTGATTCATGATTCCGTCGCCATCCCTGCAAATCGGTCGCGATATCAATTCTCGGACTTTCGGGGTTAGGGCAAGAGCCGGAGCCGCCGGACTTTGTATCATAATTGATCATTTATTAAGATTTTGGACCCGATAGAGTAATTAAGAATTTAAGATAAATAGGTAAATGACCATACGGACCACCGATAACTGACAAGTGACAGCGGGAGCGTTTCAAGGGGAAACGGGCCCGTGCTTCTCGAGTCGCGGATCCTTGCACCCAACAATCGGCGCATGTCAAAGTCGAGCAGAGGAGACTCAGGAGAGAGAACTGAGAAACTGTTTCGAACACCGGTGACGTTCCGATCTTGCTTGGCATAATGCGTACATATGCGTGTGGAACATGTACTTGGAGGAAGACAGTACCCGCGGTAAGGTCGCCGCGTATCCTCTTTCTAATAAGCATGGACAGTGACTCGATAAGCTTATCCCGAGCATTGCGAGCAGGGACTATTATTACACTGGCAAAGACATTTTCGACATACTATAACTCGCCACATGCGTGACGCTTCGTCTTCGAGTGTATGCAGCCCGTTCCCAACGCCAGAAGCCTGAAACGTCACCCATGCCACCCTCTTGACTGGGCGCAAACGCGAATTCGATTAATCAGTCAGCTCGGGTCTTCTATGTCATGGAGCCGATTCGCCAAGCGTTGTCAAACGCCGCATGTTTATTGAGCATCGTGGGGGCCAGCCCTGTCTGGCTGCTCGAGAGCCGTGAGTACAAGTACGAGCAGGACCCTGCCTTGGCCCAACTTTGAGAAGACGTTTCGTTCCAGAGCACCTCAGGCAGGCCCATCCATTCACTTTCGTTTTCTCTTCCGTCTTTCGTTCTTAGTGGTACCTTTCGCCCACTGACACGTACTATCACCCGTACATTCATTCATCCAATCACTCACTCACTCACTCGCCCAACCATGATGAACTCCAAGATCGCGGGCGCGATCCTCGCGTTCGCCGCTTCGACCGTCTTGGCTCAGTCGGGCGCTTATCAGCAGTGTGGCGGCAGGAGCTGGACCGGTGACACCAGCTGCATCTCGGGCTACGACTGTGTCGAACAGAACGAGTGGTACTCGCAATGCTTGGCCAGCGCAGGCAACGGCGGCGACTCTGACCCTGCTCCAGCTCCGGTTCCCGAGGACGAGGACTGCGAGGAGGACGTCGAGGAGGATACCGAGAATACCGAGGAGGATGCTGAGGAAGACACCCCCGAGCCCTCTGCGAGCCCTGCCGAGTCCAACGCGACGTCTGCGCCCGCGTCCACCTCTGCCGCCAGCAACGAGTGCGGCGCTGCTGCTGTCGACGAGCTCGTCGGCTACGGTGACGGCACCACCGGCGGTGGCTCTGGCTCGGGCACCACCGTGACCTCGTGCTCCGAGCTCGAGTCTGCGCTCAAGGCCGGCGGCGTGATCAACGTCGAGGGCACCATCACTGGCTGCGGCTCCCTCCACGTGGGCAGCGACACCTCGCTCATCGGCGTGGGCAACGCTGGCTTTGTCGACACGGGCTTCCGCATGGTCGACGTGACCAATGTGATTGTGCGCAACCTCGAGCTGCACAACCCGCCCGAGGGCGCGGACCTGATCGACATTGAGTCGTCGACGTACATCTGGGTCGACCACTGCTCGCTGAGCAGCGCGGGCATCACGGGCGACAAGGACTTTTACGACGGCCTGCTCGACATGAAGCGCGCCTCGGACTTTGTCACCGTCTCGTGGTGCCGCTTCGAGGACCACTGGAAGGCCTCGCTCATCGGCCACTCCGCCTCCAACGGCGACCAGGACAGCGGCACCCTCCACGTCACCTACCACCACAACTACTGGAACAACATCAACTCGCGCTGCCCCAGCGTCCGCTTCGGCACCGCGCACATCTACTCGTCCTGCTACGAGAACATTCCCGCGTCGGGCATCAACTCGCGCGAGAATGCGCAGGTGCTGGTCGAGAACACGGCCTTTAACAGCGTCCGCCGCGCCATCGTGACGGATCTGGACGCCAACGACCCTGGGTTCGCTGTCGAGCGCGACAACATCTTCAACGACAGCAACACGGATATTACCCAGGAGGGCAGCCTCGACGTGCCGTACGAGTACGTCTCCGACCCTGCCGACTGCATCTGCGACCTGCTGCGCACGGGTGCCGGTGCCGGTGTGTTGTAATGGACGGGTGGATGGGAGCTTGGGTGAGGGTGCGGTTCTTCTTGCATGTATATATGCTAGTGGGCGAGTCGACGAGACTGGGTCTCGCGAATGCTACAATTTCTGCCATGGCTGTTCAGCATCGTGCCATGGCGCTACGCGTTTGTCAGTGAAATAATTAGGTCGTAGATTTGAAGCATGTTGGCGAGACGAGGTGCCGTTAAATGAGGAAGGCCAGCCAAAGAAGCGGCTCTAGTCGCCCTCTGTGCCAGCGCGCCAGGCAGTGCAGAGCGATTTATCATCTTGGCGAGCAATACGCGCGTCAGCAATGGCGTTGTGCCATGCATGGGTAATGAAAATGCGTAGGAGTCTAGGAGATGTTGAAGGTCTGTCTCCGTGATGGTGGTGCGGGTACCTGCACCGCAAGCCGTTGCCGTGGCGACGATGCTTTGTTTTTGTCTCCCCGTCCCTCCAAGCGGATTCCCGCCCCAAGCCATCAGTCCGAGTCGACACATATCCAGCGGCGCGCCCCACCACTCGCATCGAGCCGTCAGCTCTTATCACCATCACCTCTCGCGAAAGCCATTTCCTACGCGGTTTTCTACGTGATCGCATTGTCGCCATTGACCTCAACATTGACCATCAGCACTGTTTGAACAACATTCCTTGACCAGTATCACATCCACACACAACAAACAACGGAGTAGAACCCTCCTTGACAGCGCCCACCTGTCGCAGCAGCTGTCTCGCCAGCAGCATTCCAGTCGACTACCATGGATCGTCGACCAAGCACGCCCACCCGTCCGCCAGAGTACTCGGGCAGCCTACCATCGTACCGCGAGGACGATGAATACACGCCTACTGGCCATAATGCTGCAGCAGTCAGGCTCCTGACTTCGATAGACGGCGAGTCTGGGCTCAGTGCCTTTAGCGAGGACACCCGATCGTATGTCTCTTCTCAGCCCTCCCACACATACACATACACAAACACACAGGCACTTGTCCCTCCCATCATCTCGACAACAACTCCGTGTGTACCTGCAAGAACCACCTCACTACGTAACAGCAACACCAGCTCTGCAAAGTTGCAGAAGGATAGCAGCCACCAAAAGAGAGGCGCTCGCCCACCAGACCTTCCCATCATCCCAGAGGGCCCAAGCCCGCGCCTCACCACCATGAGAAAGAATGAGCGCTTACATGGCCCGCGTCAAAGAGTTAGATCCGGACGATCAGGCAGACGATATGAGCCCAGCGCCATCTCCTCACACAGCAGAACCAACTCGGACTTTGGCCAGATCCCAACCATGCCTCCTCCCGACTCAACATACGTCCCCTTTGCCGGCCGCGACAACTTGGGCGGCTCACCACAGCGTCCCTGGACACCATCCAGCAGAGTCTCCGACTACTCGCGACCACCAGCCACAAACCTCTCCTACGAGCCAGCCGATCTGAACGGCAGCCCTCGACCTGGTACACCATCATCGCGTTATGGAGGCAGCCCTCGACGACCGCTACCTCCTGCGCCCCTGTTCAGCAACAACACGCAAGGCGCGCGAGGCAGCCAGCAGACCTTTGCAGACGACGATGACGTGGCCACCGTTTCTATCCCCTTGACCGACAACGACGACGTCTTTGGGCCCGACCACTCGGACCTTGGTCGATCTCGCCCCTTGCCAGGCACTCTTCCTGGTGATCGCGCCTCGTACCTGTCTAGCGACCAGGAGACGCTGAGCGAGATGCCAGAGGTGTACGACAAGTTTGGTCAGTACGACAGCGCCCCAGATGGCGCGCAGGAACGTCGCGGTGTCCGCGCGCCCATCATGTCGAGAAAGGAAGTCGAGCTCATCAACGGTGAGCTGGTCCTCGAGTGCAAGATCCCGACCATTCTGTACAGTTTCTTGCCGCGACGCGACGAGGTTGAGTTTACACACATGCGCTACACAGCCGTCACCTGCGACCCAGACGACTTTGTCGAAAAGGGCTACAAGCTGCGACAGAGCATTGGCCGCACAGCTCGCGAGACGGAGCTCTTCATCTGCATCACCATGTACAACGAGGACGAGATTGGCTTCACCCGCACCATGCACGCCGTCATGAAGAACATTTCACACTTTTGCTCACGCAACAAGTCTCGCACCTGGGGTGAGACGGGCTGGCAGAAGATTGTCGTGTGTATCATCTCGGACGGTCGCGAGAAGATTCACCCCCGTACTCTCGATGCCCTAGCTGCCATGGGCGTCTATCAGGACGGCATCGCCAAGAACTTTGTCAACAACCGCGCTGTCCAGGCGCACGTCTACGAGTACACCACGCAGGTGTCGCTCGACGCGGACCTCAAGTTCAAGGGCGCCGAGAAGGGCATTGTGCCCTGTCAGATGATCTTCTGTCTCAAGGAGAAGAACTCGCGCAAGCTCAACTCGCATCGTTGGTTCTTCAACGCCTTTGGGAAAGCCCTCAACCCTAACGTGTGTATCCTGTTGGATGTCGGTACCAGGCCCACCGGCAACTCCCTATACCACCTCTGGAAGGCCTTCGACACGGACTCGAATGTCGCTGGCGCTTGTGGTGAGATTAAGGCCATGAAAGGCAAAATGGGCGCAAACTTGCTCAACCCGCTCGTCGCGTCGCAGAATTTCGAGTACAAAATGTCCAACATCTTAGACAAACCCCTCGAGTCCGTCTTTGGGTATATCACTGTCCTGCCTGGTGCGCTGAGTGCGTACCGCTACCACGCGCTGCAGAATGATGAGACGGGACATGGTCCGCTCAGTCAATACTTCAAGGGTGAGACGTTGCACGGGCAGCACGCTGATGTGTTCACGGCAAACATGTACCTCGCCGAAGATCGCATCCTCTGTTGGGAGCTGGTGACGAAGCGGAGCGAGCGATGGGTGCTCAAGTACGTCAAGAACTGCAAGGGAGAGACCGATGTCCCTGATACGGTTCCCGAGTTCATCTCGCAGCGTCGTCGCTGGCTGAACGGTGCCTTCTTTGCCGCTGTGTTCTCGCTCGTCCAGGTCCGCCAGATCTGGTCGACGGATCACACCATTGCCCGCAAGGTTCTTCTCCACGTCGAGTGTGTCTATCAGGCCATCCAGCTTTTGTTCACCTACTTCTCTCTCGCCAACTTCTACCTCATCTTCTACTTTGTTGCCGGTGGTCTGACCGACAAGAAAGTCGATCCGTTCGGCCATGGTATCGGTCAGATTATCTTCATCATCCTCAAGTTTACCTGCACCCTGCTCATCTGCTCTCAATTTATCCTGTCGCTCGGCAACAGGCCGCAAGGAGCGCACAAGCTCTACTTTGCCAGTATGATCATCTATGCCATCATCATGGTGTACACGACCTTTGCCATCATCTGGATCGTCATCAACCAGCTCACACCGCAAGACGGCAAGGAGGCCGAGCTGACACTCGGGAGCAACATTGTCACCAACGTCATCGTGTCCATATGCTCCACGCTCGGTCTGTACATTGTCATGTCGCTGATCTACCTCGAGCCGTGGCACCTGATCACGTCGTCGGGGCAGTACTTTTTGCTCCTGCCCAGTTATATCTGCACGCTCCAGGTATACGCGTTCTGCAACACGCACGACGTCACGTGGGGCACCAAGGGTGACAACGTCATGAAGACCGATCTCGGTGGCGCCATTGGCAAGGGACAGACTGTGGAGCTGGAGATGCCGAGTGAGCAGCTGGACATTGACTCTGGATACGATGAGGCCCTGCGCAACCTGCGCGATCGTCTCGGCGTCCCTGTTCCCGGCCCGAGCGAGTCGCAGATGCAGGAGGACTACTACAAGAGTGTGCGTACATACATGGTTCTCATCTGGATGATCGCCAACGGCATGCTGGCCATGGGTGTGAGCGAGGCATACGGGCACGAGGGAATCGGCGAGAACTACTACCTCCGCTTCATACTCTGGTCCGTCGCGGGTCTGGCGCTGTTCCGTGCCATCGGTAGCACGACGTTTGCCATCATCAACGTTGTCAACATTGTGGTCGAGGGACGCGTGCGGATCAGTCTCAAGGTGCCCAGGTGGATGGGCGGTGTGAGCGAAAAGCTGAGCGGCGCTGTGAGTAGCGTGGGGAGCAGTCTGAAGAGCTGATGCTTCTTTTGGTTTATGTCCTCACGATGTTTTGTTTGCATTTCCTGGCATAGGCGTTTAGGGGTTTAGTTGTTCAGGTAATGAATTTTGTACGAGATGAAATTAGCTAGGATTATTAGCACCCAAAGGTTAGATCTAGCACGATACCACGCAATGTTCAGATATTTGTCACATAAAGCTACGTGTCGTTCGTTCAAAATTGTGAGATTTCTTTTTCGCATGATTCAAGTACTGTAACAAATACTGCTGCTGTTCCCGGTACGCCTGCCTGCCCTGTATAGCCAAGATTCATCATGGATATTCTTCTAGATATGCATAACCCCCTTCTTCCCCTGTTTTATTCTTCGTCGGACTCTTCCTCGGCGACCTGTGTCATCGTGTTAGCATCATAATTCTTTGCAAGGGAAGAGAAAAAGAGGTGGAACTTACACCCTCGTGGAAGTTGGTGCCATCCGTCGTCGCCTTGATGACGCCCGTTCGGACGCAGAAGTCACCGAACCGCTCGCCCTCCTCGCGCTCGAGCGCGTACCTCTTGAGCAGGGGCTTCATAATCTCGAGGATCTCATCCTCCTTGATGCTGGAGCGGTACAGCTTGTTGAGGCGCTGGCCGTGGTAGCCGCCGCCGAGGTACATGTTGTAGGCGCCGTAGGCCTTGCCGACAAAGGCGACCTCGGCGAGCCAGGGGCGGGCGCAGCCGTTGGGGCAGCCCGTCATGCGCATGACGATGGAGTCCTGGCGCAGGCCGTTGGCCTCGAGGCAGTCCTCGAGCTTGCCGATGAGCACGGGCAGGTAGCGCTCCGACTCGGCCATGGCCAGGCCGCAGGTGGGGAAGGCGACGCAGGCGGACGAGCTCAGGCGCAGGCCCGAGAACTGCACATTGTCCAGCTTGTACTGCTTCATGAGCGCCTGGAGGGCCGGCAGGTCCTCGTCCGCCACGTTGGACATGATGAGGTGCTGGTTGCCCGTCAGGCGGAACTCGCCCTTGAGCACCTTGGCGATCTCGCGCAGGCCCGTCTTCATCTGGAACTCGGGCGTGTCCTCGATGCGGCCGTTCTCGATGAAGAAGGTGAAGTGGTTCAGGCCGTTCTCGTCCTTCTGCCACCCAAACGTGTCGACGTTGCTCTCAAACTTGAAGGGCTTGGCGGGCGCAAACTTCTTGCCCCAGAGGTCCTCGACCTTGGCCCGGAACACGTCCACCGTCATGTCGTCAATCGTGTACTTGAGACGCGCGTGCTTGCGGTTCTTGCGGTCGCCGTGGTCGCGCTGCACGAGCATAATCTTCTCGCACGCAATGTGGGCGTCCTCGGCGGCGCAGTACCCAAACATGCGGCCCGTCTGGGGGTACGTCTTCTTGTTGTTGTGGGTGGCGCCCATGCCGCCGCCCGCGAGGATGTTGAAGCCCTCGAGGTGGCCGTCGGCGCCCTTGATGGCAATGAGACCAATGTCGTGGGCGTACACGTCCGTGTCGTTGTGCGGCGGGATGGCAATGGTGATCTTGAACTTGCGCGGGAGGTACGTGGGGCCGTAGAGCGGCTCAAAGTCCTGCACGGCCTCGCCGGCCACCTGCGTCTTCTTGTTGTCGTCGTCCGTCAGCCAGATCTCGTGGTACGCGTTGGTCGAGGGCAGCAGGTGGTCGCTGATCTTGGCCGAGACCGCGTACACCTCGCGGTGGTACGACGACTGGGTGGGCAGCGAGCTGCACATGACGTTGCGGTTGACGTCGCCGCAGGCCGCAATCGTCGTCATGAGCGAGCGGTTGATGGCCTGCATGGCGGGCTTGAGCTTGCCCTTGACCACGCCGTGGAACTGGAAGGTCTGGCGGGTGGTCAATTTCATCGTCTCGTTGCCGAGCTCGTTGGAGATGTCGTCCATCTGCACCCACTGCTTGGGCGTGGCGACACCACCGGGCAGACGGCAGCGGATCATGAAGGAGTAGGCTGGCTCGAGACCCTGGGCCTTGCGCTCGTCACGCACGTCACGGTCATCCTGCATGTACGTGCCGTGGAACTTGGTGAGCTGCTGGTCGGCAGCCGAGATGGCACCGGTGCTGGGGTCGTTGAGACCCTCCACAATTGTTCCGCGGAGGTAGTTGGACGCGAGCTTAATGTCCTCGTTGGTGATTGGGGGAGGCTCCTCAGGAAGACCCTCGACCTTGTCCACGCCGAGGGCAGCCCAGATCTTGGGCTCCCACTCGTTGTAGGCGGTGTGGTAGGCGTCGGGGTCCTGGTCATCACCGAGGCCAATGTCGGCGAGGACCTTGCCGCCGAGGTTGGTCAACAGGCGGAACAGGTCCTTGCCAGGCTTGTTGTAGTAAATTTTGTCCTCTTTGCGGGGCCAGTAGTGGCTATCGCCCAGGCCAAAGACGGAGAAGCTGACCGAGGCCAGGTCCAGGTCGGTCGAGTCCTTGATGGCATCCCAGAATGCAAGGCCGTTCTGAGGGAACTCACCCTGACCAGCCACAGACGTCAGGAAGACAATGTTCTCCTCGGAAGACAGGTCTTCCACGGGGTAGTCTTCCATGGCCATGACAGTTGTCTTGAGGCCACGTGCGCGGCCACGGTTGCCTAGGCGCTTGGCCAGAGACGCAGCGTTGCCGTTGTCGGAGGCATAGAGGATAGTGAGCGGCGCACCGAGCAGACCCTCCAGGAGCTGGTTGTAGGCGTCCTTGGCCTTGCGCTTCTGCTGCGCGCGAACCTCGGTACCGAAATCCTGGGCCAGGCTCGAGGCGAACTTGGGTTCCTTCTGCATCAGCTGAGTGAGCTGGTTGTCCCTCTTGAGGAAATTCTTCAGCTCCTGCTTGATCAGCTCCGAGTCGAGCGAGAAGTTGGGCTCACCCTTCTTCTCGTTGTCGGGGTTCCAGCGGTATAGGGGCCAGTAGCCGGCATCGACGGCCTTCTTGGTCTCCTGCAGCACGGTCAAAGGCGAGTCGCCCTCACCAAAGTATGGCAGATACGCCAGAACAACCGAAGGACCGTCGAACTTGTCGGCCTCGAGAAGGGCCTGGAGAACCTGGGTGTATGAGCTGTACACGGCAGTCGAGGCCACGTAGGCGTTGCCAAAGTTCATGGCGTACAGACCAATGTCCTTCTTCCTCCTCTCGGCGTCGGCGGCAGCCTTCTCGGAGTACGGGGTCGAGTCAATGATCAGCATGTTGACATTTTCGCCAGAAGCCAAGACGTGGTGCACGCCAGAGTTACCGAGGTCGTATGCCCAGGCGTCTGAGCCGGTCAGCCACAGGGACTCCTTGCGGAAGAGACCCTTGTTTCTGAGCAGCTTCTGAGCCAACGGAGAGCCATCGGTTTCAAGGCGGGCAATGACATCGTCTGCGATCTCGCCAGCCTTGGCTGGGTCCTCGGCGTTCATCGCCCAGCGAGCGAGGAAGTTCTTGGGGCCGTCGGTCGTGAATTCCTTGCTGCTAGCGGCTGCCTTGGCCTCGGAGATGAAGCGGTTGCGTAGTTGCTTGCGGGCGAGCAATGAACCAAAGCCAAACTCAGGGCTGGCCGCCACGTTGGCGGAGATGCCAGCGTGCTCAGACCTCAGAGCGTTGGCAACATATCTCCTGTTACCAAACAGCTGGTCAAGAATCTTGTTGTAAGCTGTCTCGAGCTTGGGCGCCTGGTTCGCATCCTGGATTTCCTGCGTAGGCGCGTCACGCACGCCAACCTCGAGGTTTTGGATCGGCTTCTCGGACGTGAGGTTCTGGAAGATGCCGCGAAGGGCTTGCGTGATGACCTGAGGGTCAACGTAGCCTAGCTGGTATCCAACAATGTGCTCGACGCCGCCGGGGCCGCTCTTGACCGAGGTCAAGACATCGATCAGGAGGGGCCCCCACTTGGTAGTCTTGCGGTGGATCTGCTCCAAGACGGCTATCCTCTTGATAGACTTGGGAATAGCATTCACCAGCTTGGATCCGATCCAGGGCCTGTAGAGACGCGGAGTGATGACGGCGGCCTTGGCGAAGATGTCCTCGTTCTTGGCATTGTCCAGCACCGCGGCGAACGAGCCGACGTCAGAGCCAAAGATGAAGAGAGCGTTCGTGGCATCCGCGGGGCCAGTATACTCGAACGCGCTGTACGACCTGCCCACAGAAGCCTGCAACTGGACCCATATCCGTGTGGCCGCGTCGTAGATGTCTGCGGAGGTGATCTGGGGGGGCGCCGTTTCAACAGTTGTGGCAACAGACACGGATGCCTCTGAGTCGCCAGATTCGCTGGCGCGGCTGGTCTTGACTGAGGTCATTGCCGAGGTGGCCTTGGATTCAGCTGGGACAGGGGTGAGGCCACCAGACTTCTCAGTCTGTGACTGCCCGACGACGGGCTCGGGGTAGATGGATGAGACGGCAACATGGCCGTCGTCTGCGTAAATTCCCGAAGCATGAATGCTGCCAGACTGGAACCTCCTTACAGCATCAATGTCCAGGACGTCGCGGACAACGGTAGTGTTCTCTGCAGGAATTGCCTTGTCTTCAGCAGAGGTTTCTGGTGCAAAAAAGTGAACGACGCCCTTGCCCGTGCGCACAGCCAGAGCATGCGCCGTCAGCGCCATGTCTTGCGCCTCCTGCAGAGTCTCTGACTGCAGGAAGGTCCATCCTGTGTTGCGGATGGATGTGATCACCGAGTAGTCGGCAAAGTTCTTGGGCTCGAGCGAGACGTGGAGGACCACGGGGTACTGCGCGAGCTTGTAGAGGTGGGAAACTGAGGGGAGGAGGATGGACGAGTTGGTGGTGACGGAGACGAGCTTGCCGGAGCGGATGGGCGAGAAGACGGAGAGGAGAGGGTCGTTGTTCTGGCGGACGGAGATGATCTCCGGTACCGAGGAGGCGTTCTGGGCCACGAGGCTCTGGTCCTTGCGGCCTGCGTAGCGCTTCAGATGTGATGAGAAGGGCGAGTCGGTGGCCAACGAGGGCTGGACTGATACAACGACATCGCTCGCGAGATAGGCGATCCTGGACACTACAGAGGCGAATGTTAGTCTCCTTCTTATTTCTCGCTCCTCCTCCTTGTTGCTTGGGCTCAGGACATACCAGCCTCTTCAGGCGTGCGGATCTGGTGGGCTGAAGCAGCATCCATCTTTGCAGATTCGTCGACGGAGCTGGACCGGAAGAGAAAAGCCATGATGGCAAAAGAAGGGGAGAGACCAAATCTTTAAAAAGAGCAATGGGTATAGGTAACAGCAATTAATGGGGGTCCTCTTCCCTCTGACTCGCTTCGAGGGCCACTGGACAGGACTTCGAAAGTGGAGGAGGGGCCCTCTAGAATAGGACCAGGTACTGCTTGTAGAGAACAGTTGGGGACAACGGGACGAGGTCGATTGGTTGGATTCACTAGTCGATTACAATACGACTGTCGCCATCACACGGTACAGCGAGGAAAAATGGCTCCCCGCGTGGGCAGAATGGGTTCGCAAAAAAAAGGGTATTGCGTGATCGGGGCATTGGACTGGCGTTGAGGGTCGTCCACACGCAATGCCGATGTCTCGTAGCTGGAATTGCCCCTCCATTACCAATGGCAATGGTCGGATTCGTGGTGGCTCTGGGGGAAACTGCGAGATTCAGCCGAGTTCCGTCGACGGCTGGGCGCTGGGCGTCCCCCCGACAGCCCGAGCAGCCGGAGATGGCGAAATCTACCGCCTGTGTGGGCCTCCGAAGGCCGGGTCCGCGTCTTCTGCCAGGTAGAGCTTAATCAAGGATATGGACTTACCCTGTACCGCAACCGGCACACCATCGCTTCCCATACATACGCACGCGCTCGCAGCAGCCGATTACCGTCTCACGTCGTCGATGCTCGGTGCTTTGTAATTATATATTGTTCAGTCCGCATGGCCGCCTATGCCATACGTCCCGCCCCGACCGGCTTACCGCCCGTCCCTTCGCTTCATGGCAAGGCCACTGTCGTCGCTCGCTAGGTATCAACTATGCTGTACACATTACATCGGAAACTACCATCGGTTTGCTTCTCTCTTCCAAAGTTCAGACCCTCCGCCAGCAATCATGCCTGCTCCAGCTTGTGGTTGCCTTCGCGGAACACTTCCTGGTCCAGCCAATAGCCATTGCCATACCTGACCATCATGCGTCCGAGGCGTCCCCTACGACCCTCGCCGTCGGGGAGACCTTCACCAAATGGCCCGTCCGAAGTCTGGTCCACGTACACTGGCGCCTCCATCACCACGATCTGCATGTGGCGCTGAACAACCTCGCGCGCAAACGCCATGACCACAAAGCCAAAGTACACGCGCACGAGCGTGAGCGACGCGATCATGGCCATGCTAAATGCCGTCTCCTGCGCCACGGCAGAGCCGTGTTGGGCCGCTTCCTTCTGCAGCGTCTCCATGCCCTCCTTGACCATCGCAGGAATGTTCTCCGGGTTCTCGCTCGCGCCGCTGGCAAAGTACCACTCCAGACCAAAGACAACCGTAGAAAATATGTTGAGCAGCGTGTCCGACATGTACAGCCATGCGAGCGCGAGACACTCCACGGGCGACTGTCGTCGAATGTGTGGCATGAGATACACCAGCGCGACCAGGACCGCGATAGAGTACAGGTACGTCGACAGTTGCATCAGCGACAGCTGGTACCCGGTCAAGATCGCGAGGAGGCCATAGACGCCGGTGACCTTGTTGAAAGCGAGAGCGAGGCAGATCAGCTCGGTCGCCGTCTGGAGGCTGATGATGCCGAACAGCGTCTGGCAGCGATTATCAGCCCCATTTCCGCAGCGAACGCAGGAACCCTGCAAGGATTTGTAGACTTACCCTGGGACGCGGCACCCTGAGGTACAGGCTTGTAAATCTCGACATGATGCTACTTTGATGGAATGCTTTGGCTGGAATGAAGCGTAGACAGGTGCCGAAATAGGGGCGTGCAGTGATAATGGAAAGTAGAGAAAGTCAGACGCGTGATGGGCTAATGATTAGGTATCGATGTTTGTCTGACCTGACGTGGACGCGGTGACGACAGCGGAACCCTCGGAAGTCAATGCAACATTTTTTTTCCCAGGCGCCAGTGACACCAGTCTATGATTGCAGGGTCCACCTTGCTAAACAAGTAATTAGTAGCCTATGGTGTTTTAATTTTTAGTTCTCGGTGTCACTGGCATGATCATTGATTCAAATGATCGTTTAATTGTAACATTAAGCATACGTTTTGGGAGGTTCGGGCTCCAGACCTCGCCCGGCCTTTGGGGACTCTCCGTAGTCCGTACTCCATAGCGCCCGGCAGATCAGGGATCGATCGTCACGCGACAGTTTTACAAGAGCCGATGACGGCTGGAGCACAGGAATTTGCACGACAGCTCATTGACAGCTCATTGCTTTAGGTACCGCTGTTTCTTGGGCTGTAATATACAATTGTAAATAGGTAGTCCCGCGCATGTTCGGCTCCTTTCAAGCTGATCTGTTCCCCCTTGTAGCATGATAGCATCTGCACCTTTGGGCTCCCATGTCTCAGCAGGCACAGCCTTCCTGGGACTGTTGCGACGTGTTCGTCTTCACATCGATCACTGGCCAAGTCAGCATGGGTCAATGTGCCACCGTGGTTTCCGGAACTTACTCTGGCTCGACGCTTGAGCTGCTGCATCACTCCCCTCCATACCCGGCAGGGCCTGTGCTATCCTCTTGAACAGATTCTTGACGTTGTGCCCAAGCTTTGCACTTGTCTCGACAAACATGAGGTTGCTCTTCTTGGCCTCCTCCTCACCCTGCTGGGTCGTGACTTCGCGCTTGTCGTTGAGATCGGTCTTGTTGCCAACTAGCACAATGATGACATCGTTGCCGCGCTCGGCACGGACGTCGTCAATCCATTTCTTTGTGTTCTCGAAAGATTTCTTGTCTGTTCCAGTTCGTCAGTGCGAGTATCGGGCTGCAAAACAGGCGTATGTACTTGAGATATCGTAGACGACCACCGCCACGCTCGAGTCGCGAATGTAAGAGGGAATCAAACTGCGGAATCGCTCTTGGCCTGCAGTGTCCCACAGCTGTAATCGTACCGTCCGGTCTTCGAGATACATCGTCTAGCCCCAATCGGTCAGTGTCTAGTGCCTCGCTCTCGGGGTGGCGCATCTGTACCTTTGACAAGAAATCAATGCCGATTGTTGCTTGATACATGTTGTCGAACGAGTCGTACATGAACCGTGTGATCAGCGAGGTTTTGCCAACTGCCAATACGATCAGTCTGGCTGTAGTCTCCGTTCAAAGGTTCGTCGTGACGTACCGCTCTGCTCGCCGAGGAACACCAGCCTAACGCATCATCTTAGTATCCCAATCCCATGCCGCATGAACGTGGCGGACACCTACTTGAATTTCTTCAAGGGGTTATTGTACGATCCCCCAGCTTGTGCCATGTTGCCTTCGTCTCAAGCACAGCGAGGTGCTCTATCCGCAAGAGGGGCTGCCGTTGTCGGTGTGCGGTGCTCAGGTTGCGAGTACGTGTCGTTTCCCGCTCGGCTCGCTCGAGTAGTTTTCAGTCGGACGATGCGTGGCTTCGAATTGCGTACACGACCGAATTGCGTAGGATAATTCAGGATGTTGGAGGCGAGCATATGCAGCTCTGAATAGGTGATATAATAGACCCTTCGATACTCGAGCTGCACGTGGTTGGGGGTAAGGTACGGGAGGCAAAACGGTGTGAATTGTTAGTGACCCCTGCAAACGGAGGATCCATTCCGTACCGCGACCGTTTTGTGTGAGATTAGACTAGCGCCCTTTCTATCGGATAGAGGTTCCACTAAAAAATTGGGAGATTCTTCAGTCTCCCCCACCCAACAGTCGTCGGTCTGCTTTCGCATCTCGTGCATCGACAATCTGAAAACACAAAAATGCCTGTGATACAGGGTCCTACGTCAGGCGATGCGCCTCAGACATTCAATCAGCCATCTCGAAAGGGCAAAAAGGCCTGGCGAAAGAATGTGGATGTCACCGAGGTTCAACAGGGTCTTCAAGATCTGAATGAAGAGATCATTCAAGGGTACGTCTACGTTATCTCACTGGAAGAAACAAGAGGCTGACAGCAAGCAGTGGCGTTATTCGAGAGAAAGACTCCAAAGATCTCTTCACCCTTGACACGACCCGCGATACGACCATCTCCAAACGACTACCGAAACACCTCAAGAAGGGACTAAAGGCCGACGAGATCATTGCCGCACGCTCCGCTGTTCCTGCTGTGTCCCTTCGCAAACGGCCCTCCAAGACGACGGATGGTGTACTGCCTGTGAAGCGCCAACGCACAGATTGGGTGTCCCAAAAAGAACTTTCGAGATTGAAGCGTGTGGCGGACGGGCAGCACGACAACACCGTTGAGGTGCGCGATGCAACGTACGATCTATGGGATGCCGAGCCCAAGAAGTCCGAGATCGAGGTCGACGAATTCTTCCCCGAGCCTGTGCATGCCAAGGCGCCCAAGTCAATGAAGCAGGCACCACTGTCTCTTCTAGCCAACGGCAAGACTGAAGCCGCGGTGCAGCGTCCTACTGGCGGCTACTCTTACAATCCCGCCTTCTCCGACTACGAGAAGCGTTTGGCCGCCGAATCTGCCAAGGCCATTGAGGCAGAGGAGAAGCGCCTTGCTGACCTCGAGGCAGCCCGCGTCAGAGCGGAAGCTGCTGCTCGCTCGGCGGCTGAGGCTGAAGCGGCCGAGGCTCGCGCCAACATGTCGGAATGGGAGGAAGACTCGGAGTGGGAAGGTTTCCAGAGCGGTGCCGAGGATGGTCGGCCAACGAAGCTTCCTCAGCGCAAGACACCCCAGCAGCGAAACAGGATCAAGAGAAGAAAAGAAGAGGAGAGACTACAGAGGCACAAGGCCGCCATGAAAGCGCGCCGTGCGCAGGAGCAAAAGATTGCAGAGTTGGCACAGGAGGTCTCCGAAAAAGAGCAGCTTCGTGCGTTGATGCGACAGCAGCAGGCACTGGCCGCCGGCTCCGACAGCGAGAGCGAGCTAGGGGAGCAGAAGCTGAGGCGGAAGCAGCTTGGCAAGTACAAGCTACCCGAGAAGGACTTGGAGCTTGTTCTGCCAGACGAGCTGCAGGACAGCCTACGACTGCTCAAGCCCGAGGGCAACATGATGAGGGATCGATACAGGAGCATGCTGGTCAGGGGCAAGGTCGAAGCGAGGAGACATCTTTCCTTCAAGAAGCAGGCCAAGAGAAAGGTCACAGAGAAGTGGACGCACAAAGACTTTGTCATTTAGACAGCGCTATCTATCATTTGTCCTCGTCCTGGCTGTATCGACAGTGAGAAACCCACCCCTATAGCCCGATTATCTTGGACTCTGCCATTTTGGTCACAAGTAATCATCATTCTAAATCTTTCTCCGAATATTGATCCAAGGTGTAATTACGGACGCTCGTCACTCTAGAAGCTGATAAGATCTGCAGCTGTTAGTATGTTTTCATATCGCACTGAAATCGAGCACCAGCTTACCTCTGCCGAACAATCCTCTCTTTACCCAGTCCATCGCCATCAGCAACCGCGTTCTCAAACTGACGCTCTGGGCAAAGTACACAGACCGCCATGTATAGACTGCCCATAGGCCGCCTGCCAGGTTCCAGCCCTCGCCCAAGTCAAAAACAGCGGAATTGCCAATGTATGCAAGGCTGCCCAGGTGGTGGTACTCGAAAGCCTTGTACGTCGCCGCATCCAGGTCGCCGTCTCGGATATCGTTGGCGTGGAGGCCTTCTGCGACCTGGGCCATCTTGTTGAACTTCTTGGCGAGGTATTGGCCCTGCTGGTGCGCGCGCTGGGCTGTTGCAGGCAGCGAAGTGAGCTTGTTGTCAATCTGCTTCAGCAGCTCCCGCAGCTCGCCAAAGTCAAGTGTGCCCGAGTGATCCTTATCGAATTCGGAGAACAGCTTGTCGAGGCGCTTCAGGTGGTCGGCTGCCTGGGGAAATCGCTTCTTCACATCCTGGGCTACCTGGCGCCAGTCACCAAAGTGCAGCTGGACAGTTTCGGGGTCATGGCCGCGCTTCCAAGCCGTGCTTCGCAGGAAGGTAATGATGTGATCAGCAACATTGTTTTGCACCGTTGAACAATCGCCAATGGCATAGACATCTCCCAGCGGCGTTCCGTTGACTCGAAGGTGGGTATCAGTCTCGAGAGCATGCCGGTTGGTCTGATATTCTCCTAGCTTCTCGGCAAGAGTTTTGCTGATGGCCGCAGGTGCGACTCCCGTCGACCATAGACAGAATCCTATCGGAAGCTCCTTGGTTTGAAGCGAGCCATCTGGCTCCTTCTGGGTGAAGATAATCTTCTCGGGCTGGACCTCCTTCACACGCGCATTGGTCATAACGTCAACCTGATCGCGGGCAAATCGGTCTTCGGCGTACTTTGACAACGTCTCGTCGTACGTGTTCAGAATGTGGCCGCGGCTCTGGATGATATGAACCGATATTTCGTTTCGCAATAGACGGGGGAAGTGACGTGAAAGATCCTCATTGAGCAAATCGTAGAGCTCGGCGGCGAACTCGACTCCAGTAGGGCCACCGCCACTCACGACAAAGGACAGTAGTCGCTTGCGCTCCTCGTCGGACGTGGTAGGCAGGCAGGCGAGCTCGAGGTTGTGGATGACGCGGTTGCGAATGGTACGCGCGTCATCAATGTTCTTGAGGAAGAATGCGTGCTCGAGTCCCTTTACACCATGAGGATTGGTGGTGGAGCCAACAGCTAGGACAACTTTATCGTAAGGAACATAGAAGCGCACTTCGCGACCCTCTGGGTCGGTCTGGGCAACCTCAATCAGCTTGTGCGAGAATTCGATGTCTTCGGCTTTGGCGCGAATGAAGTGACCATTGACACGACTGAGGATGCGGCGGATGGGCTCAACGAGAGATCTCAACGAGAGCGTTCCCACAGTAGCGGACGGAAGCATAGGCGTGAACAAGAAGTAGTTGGTGGGCGAGATGACTGTTACGTGGTACTCGTCAGGATTCAGGTCCTTCAGGAGAGCAACACCACCCCAGCCTCCGCCCAAGATAACCAACCGTGGCTTTTGCTTCAGCTTGCGTTTGGCTTCCGAGTCATCATCGTCAATGAAGACATCGGCTATCGGGAGGTTCTTGGGTCCTCCTCGTCGCGGCTGGAGGGCAAGCTGCGAGACGTCAATGTCGCTGTGCGTGCTGTGGTCTTTGTACGTAGAGGCATCGTACAGGAAGAAGCCAATAACGCCTACGCCAACCACCGTCAGGGAGGCGCCCACCCACGCTGCCAGGCGGTATGTGTAGTTGAGGGCCTTCGACTTGACCTGCGGCAGAGGTTTACCTGACAGGGCGCGAGAGAAGAAGTGACTCGGTAGTTGAACACTCTTCGACTTTGAGGTTTCGGAACGGAGGAAGCTGAGGATTGTGCGCGATTGATGAGGGTAGAGACGCGGTAGGGGAGGAATAGTTGCCCTCGAAGTGCTGCTCCGGAGACCGGTAGCTATCAAGCGCGCCGGTGCGCGAATGGATGATGCTGAAGACATCACGGCGACCGCAGGCGTCACAAGGTATGAGGTCGTCGAGACGTCCAGCGACCCGATGTAGAAGGGCAGAGGTGTTACAGTCGATTAGTGTTGCTTGAAAAACATGGTCGCAAACTCGGAAGTTTGGAAGAAAAGGCTCGTGTAGAATTGACTCAAATCTCGTGTGGAAGAATTGGCTGGATCTGACGAGGATGAAAGCTCAGGTCAGGTAATTATTGTCTCTGAGGGAACATTGGCGTCATCGCTTCAAGGGCGACAGAAATGCCCGAGCACTCAGTCACCAAGATACGCGGGACCACTGAATGCGACCTAGCCCGAGCAGATAGCGCCGACCCACTCGGCAGCGCGGCTCTGCCGGATTGCAAGACGATCCGATGACCGGATCTGATCCAGTGATCCATCAATTCTTCGATGTTCGTAATTATTACTCTTCAGATCTACCAGAGCCCATTTCAGGTACACTAGGAATCGCACGTAGTAGTTCCAGAAGACCGACAACACTGGAGGGTCCGGTGCCTACAATCCCTAGACCACGATATTGGACTGTTGCGAATCTATCTTGTACTTGCTTACCTGGGAAGTACTATGTGACCTAGGCTAGGTGGTACTACTTACTTGAGTCAAGTCAGAATGACAGCAACCAATTGCCAGTCACAGCTGCATATGTACATGCTAGGTAGTCTACCAGTCTGGTCTAAACTGATGTATGCTCCCGTCTCAAGCGGATATTGCTACTTCTAAAGTGGTCTCTATCTTAGCAGCGGAAATACTTATTCTCAACCCAGCGAGGCTCTTGGTCGGCCAAGATATTACAGACAACCACTGTAACCTCGGGGAAAACTGTGTTGAGACGATGCAAACCAATACGGCCAGCAGAGTATGTCGCCAACACAATTCTATCCAGTGCAACGCCATGGTCCACGAGGACCTGAACGGCCATGAGCGCAGCTCCTCCACTTGCCATTTGCGTGTCCAACAGCAACACGCTCTCGTGTTGGTGGATGTCTTCAGGCAAGCGTAGGTAGTGCAGTTCAGGCTCGCCGGTTGAGAAGTCGGACTGGATCAGGAGCCGCCCAGTCCTGCAATCGGGGATGGTCTTCCGGAGCGCTGACTCGAAAGCAGAGCCGCCGCGGAGTACGATCACGGCACTGACTTCGCCTTTCGAAGTCAAGCCTTTGTACTTGTAGTTTTGCGGCGTTGTGATTTCCTTGCTCTCGAACTGGACATTATTAAGGGCCCTGTATCATTTAGCATACAGTCGAGCTGTGTAAGCCAGGCGCACTCACTGCTCGATGACCAAGCCCGCTAGCCGATCAAAGTAGAAGATAAAGTCTTCTGAGCTTGTGTCGATGTCTCGCAAAATAGTGTTCATGAACTGCAGCTGGGGTGTGTTGTCTAAGATCACGACGCGATCTGAGAGGGGCTCCTCACGACAGGCCTTTTCAAGCCTCGCGAGTGCTTCACGATGGTGAGTTGATTTTTCAAAGAGCTTCTTTTCGATGAAGTGCGATATCATCTCTGCAAACAAAATTAACAAAGTGTCTCCCAATGGTCCGGACTGTCTTACCCAAGGCTACGCGATTCTCGATCCCTCGGGGCATGATAAGATCGGCCACCTTTCGCTGCGGCTCAACGTACTCGACGGATATTAGCCTCATCCCTCATCGCCTCCTCTAGAACATACTTTGTGCAGGTTTGGTTTGACGAACCCGAACCACTGCTTGATGATGCCGTCGATATCGCGACCCCGCTCACGGACATCTCGCTTCACTAAGACTTGTCAGTACTCAAATCGGGCAAACTCTTCTACGATGCCTCACATCGCCTCGCTAAGCAAGTATCTGCATCTTCGTCGCAGTATATCTGACTATGTCAACGTGGTATCCTGGGGGCCGGTTGCTTGTTGGACATACCGCCATGTCCAGGAGCTCGAGGACTCGTGGATCGTGCAGCGCAAAGATGCCCTCCAAGATCAAAACATGAGGCGAGTAAATCGTAGTCGTATGATCGAGCCGTGCATGTTTCGCAAAAGAGTAGACCGGTATCTCTGCACGTTTCCCTGCCTTCAGGTCACGCAGTCTCTGGACTAGTATGTCAAAATCAAAGGCCTGGCAATACATCAGCGTCTAGCTCATACATCACGAGTTGCTCCTCCGTACATCTGGTGAGTCAAAGTCCCACTCGTTCGCAAATGCGAGTTTGGACTGTTCCGGAGTCAAGGACTTATAGAATGAGTCCTACGATCAGTCAGCATAAGCGATGCGCAGGACAACGATTGCGCAGAACTCACCAACGAGAGAATCACTACCCAGGGCAAGTTCAACTTCTTCACAATGGCTTGTGAAATGGTTGACTTGCCTGAACCCGAGCTCCCTGCTACTCCAATGATGCTGACATCTGCCCACGGCGGCGCGTAGTAGGCCCTCTTCTGGACTGTAACATGGCTTTCCAAGCCGCTCATGTTAGGAACTTGTTCGGCTGTTGAAGCCATGACTTCCAACGCTTTGTGCGACAAGAGAAGGGTTCCCGACTGTAATTGCTAGGGTGCTGACCAATTGTGTCTATTTCCACCTCGCGTGACCTCGATATGCAAGAAAGCAAAGTTGGATGTGTGGAGAGGCGAATGTTGCGGCCTTCGTGCCTCGGAGGCGAGCAGCAACAATACGGAAAATCAAGAAGATGATCCCCTCCGTATACACAAACAAAATAACATAGATTTCGCAGACGATCATTGAGAATTGTCGCGCAAAAGCCAGAATAGAAGTATTTACATGTACAATGCTCACGTGTGCTCCAGCATTTGCGGAGGAATCCGTCGTTTGAAGCCAATATCCAAGCTTGTCAACTGCATCTAACAACACACCTACTTTGACAAGCCCCTAAACTGCACGCTCAGCGGCTATATAATTAATTGCCAGAGCAAATATCCGAGATAGCATCATACTCGGGGCATTGTAAACCTTGTACTGAACAACAGCTGGGCGAAGTTTAGGGTAGGTAAAGCTAGTACTTCGTTAATAAGGTGCCTGGGAACGTAGCAGAAACGGCATTGCGATTGGCCGTTCCGAGAGGGCAAGCTCACCGTTGTGAACCCGCTTGAGCTTTGACCAGCAACCCAAATGAACCTTTTCTTTCCGTCACTCTCCACCACAAAACTTGCATCTTGCATCGTCGTTACCATCTTGCCGACTTTATCGTCAAGCTGAGTGACACACGGCGATTGGAACAATCCCAATGTACTGAACACAGTCTTCTGGTGCCAGTTTATTACTTGTTGCCTGCAAGACTTGCGTGTTGTCCCACGCTCCGTCGGCTCTTAGGAGGACACGCTTCGCGTGTCACTTCTAAACATGGTGCGTACCTGTCGGTCCCAACGATGTCTTGGGACAAGTGGACTGACCGTGTCTCAGACGTCCTCTGCAGCCTCGACACCGCCTGAAGCGCGGCCCAATTGGGACCAGCGAGTGTGGGCAGCCAAAGCACCCAAAAGGTACGAAGATCTCATCGCGACCCCACTGCACAGCGCCGGCCATTACATGATGATTTTTATCAATGGGAATCTCTCCTAGAATTCCATGCGGAGGAAACGATACAACTTCGGTTGACCTGATCACACGCGCAGCCACATTCTACACCTTGCCAAAATTGTCCTTTGCAATGGCTGACAGCATCAATAGCGACATCAATGCTTTGATCCTAGACTACCTTACTATGGAAGGCTATCCCAAAGCGGCTGCCAACTTTTGCAAAGAGGCGAATATGAAGACTCCGGGTGACGAGTACTTCACTCAGACCTTATGGGAAGTCCGCCAGCAGATGCAGCGAGGCGACTTGCAGGCTGCGATTGAGACTCTGAACGAGATCGATCCCAAGGTACGTCAGGCATTCGCCTTTTTTTCTCTTTCTTTCTTAAATGATTAAAACAAGAGTTATACATGCACCACGCATAGGCTTTCGGGCCGGAGATGAGAAACAACCACCTTTTATGATAATGCACAGTCACAACGTCTCTATTTCCTTCCACGGAGAGACACGATGCTGACTGCCACAGATCCTCGAAGGTGACGAAGAGTTGCACTTTCTCCTGTTGCGGCTGCAACTCGTTGAGATTATTCGCGATTGTGACGTTGATGGAGGTGACATCCAACACGCTCTCGAGTTTGCGAGGACGAACCTCGGACCACGGGCGGCAGCTAACCCCAAGTTCCTTGACGATTTAGAAAAGACCATGGCTCTGCTCATGATACCGCGGAGTCAGCTAGAGCCACCACTGGCCGCAATGCTAGACACCAAAGTTCGCACAGATGCTGCTGAACGTGTCATTAGCGCGGTCATGGCCACTCGCTCGCGACGCACAATGGCTGGCATTCGTGACCTCGTCAAGTTGCGTGTCTGGGCCGAGACCAAGGGACGGATGTTGTCTGCCAACGTCATCCCGGACAATCTCTCCATTGACCTGAATGATGAATACGAGAACGACACCGCGATGACAACTTAGGCCCTTCACTTACATTGTTTTTGTCTTGTTTTATTTTTGGCGAGGCGTTCAGGCAACCCTAGTGCGATTGCTCGGAGTTTTACATGGGGCCATGGGCGCAGGCAGTGCCCTGAACAGACATCCATACTTCACTGGCGCATTAGGTTGATTTCACAATTATCAACTCGGTAGACCGTCAAGTGTTACACATCACCTCTACAGATTACATGTAGTATCAATGACGGCACTGCATACATGAACATTGTATCCTCAACACGTGGAATTGCAATTGCCTTCTTCATGGTATATGTACATTTGCCCTTGAATTGATTCCCCTCAATCACTTTGTTCGAATATGCTTGAGCTTCCTCGCAGAGTAAAGGAAGTTGTTGGCGTATGCCTTTGGCGTGATCTTCCGGGAGTTCGGCTCTTGCACGAAATACTCGTATCCCTGCTTCTCTGCGAACATGATGGCATCGTCCTTGCTGTGGAAGTGGATGTTGGTGCCCTGCATCACGTCGCCGGATGATTGCCAGCCCATGAGAGGATTCTCCCAGCGGTGGCCCTTTGGAAGGATGTCCCAGTCCATTCGCCAGTGTTCACCACGCCAGTTTCCCGATTGAGTAGCAGGCTTGGCCTCCTTGTAGATGCTGCGAAGACGTTAGCTTTGCCGATTTCGGGTTGAAACAGAGCTTGTCCATACCGAACAGTACGGGCCTGGAGTTCCAGAGGTGCACCGGACAAGACAGCCGCAGGAAGAATCTCTTCCTCGCTGCCATCCTGGACCTTCTTTGGTACGGGGGTGAATGTCCTATGGCTTGTCAGTCCCAAATCTTCCTGCCTCACTGTTTTGATATGCATACGAAGTCGCCTTATCGGGAGCAATGCTGTAGTCTGGCTGGTTCGAGTCGACAGGTCCGGTCGGTACAGGAGGCGTGGCGGAGGTGGAGGCGCCGCTCTGGAATCGTCGAGGAGCAGTCGCGAAAGCGACACGGGGCGAGCGCATTAGGCGCGCTGCGCTCTGCGTGGTTCGAAGCGAGGCCATTGTAATTGGGTGTTTGTGATCGTCGTCGTCGCTGTATCGAGCTCCGGCAAGAATGATGGAATTGAGGTTGGTCGTCGTGGATTGTGGGCTGTTTGATTGGCTGCGTCGGAAGCAACAATTTTCCGGCACGGCAGTGGGAACGAGCGAGTGCTTTTCGGAGCATCACGGCGGATGGCTTGTCGCAACCTCTGCTCGCAACGATCTTCAATTGAGATACTCTCGACGACCCGACGACCGACGAAATTCCCTTCTTCTTTTGTTTGAAGGATTATCATTTCAATCGCCACCATGAGCTTCGTTCAGCGCCGGGCCCTCTCGACCCTCATCCCTCCTAAGGTAAGTCTAACCGCCAGCTCATTGACATGCTTTTCTAACGAAACGATCCAGATCGCCTCCCCCAAGGTACGTTGTATCCAACGACTTCTTGTTTCTCTCGACTTCGAGATACGACTCTATACGATCACATGATGGGCACGATTGATGGGACGGGAGAACTCGAGATTACACAACGAATGGACCTGGAACGATTTTGTATACGGGAGACTGACACGGTACTTTCCACAGGCCATCGGTGGTGCTCCAGATGCTCTCCGCATGCAGCGCGTCGTCAGCTTCTACGAGAAGCTCCCCAGGGGTGCGGCTCCCGAGGTCCAGGCCAAGGGCATCCTCGGCCGCTACCAGGCCAAGCACTTCGGCAAGAACGCCTCAGTAAAGCGTATGCTCTCTCACCAGGATAGATTCGACTTGGTTGCTGATCTGTCGCATAGCTATCATCCACGCTCTGGTCTTCTTCGTTGCTGTCGGCTACGCCCAGAACTACTACTTCCACCTGCGTAAGTACACATCGGTACAGCTCTGCCCAAACCCAGTGACTTACGTGCTCTCAGGCCACCACAAGAACAACGCTCACTAAATTGTTTGACGGGAGATGGCGTGGGAAAGCCTGACATGGCTGTGTACATAACTTGGAACCTCTAGAGCGTCTCGCGCGTAGAACAGATTCCCTTTGTACCTCTACGCATTCCCGTCCGTCGAGTGTCCCATTGATTTCATGTCGATGAAGTGATGCATCTCGATTCTATTTGAGCCACCGCATAAGCGATAGTACTACGTAGTTGCCTCGGTCACCCGATTACGTATAATGGCCAGCTCTGCTGATTCCTGAACCATGTGGAGTTCCTTCGTAGGGCACGCACAGTTGCTACGTACCCGAAGACCGAGAGTACTACAATACTAGGTTCTTTACCAGCCTTCAGCAGTCCTAGAGTGCACAAATTGAACAGACAGTGAACTCAGCACCGCGTAATCATCACAAGTCAAGTCTTGCTCTCATGAATCCGTGACATGAAAGTTGGACTAGCCTAATTCGTCAACTCCAGTTGCTGGCAAGTTGCAACGTCCGGCTGCGTCCTCCCCAGGCACAGTATCACGCTAATCCTAATCCAGCGACAACTTGAAAAGCAACACCCAGCTGGGCCTCACGTTTTAGTGGCAGAGGTAACGCAACAGTCAGAGCCCATCACAGCCGCATCTCCATCCCGACAGCAACCCCCCCGTTCACCCTCTGATTGCGAACAGTCTGCGCACGAGAACGACGCACAGTCCGTCAACCCCCCTCGGACGACAGTACCACACACATATTGGCCAGATACTCGACCCTCGTCACAGCCCACCTTGAAGCTTCCTCCGAGCCAACCCCCGTGCTGCCCGCTCAGCCAACAAGCAATCCATCAATCACCTCGGCGACGCAACTGGACCGTGATTCCTTCCTGGCGCGCATTTCGCCAAACGGACGAACGAGGGTGACATACTAACGAGGTCTTGATCGCCTTGCACTGCGACTTTTCGCAACGTATGATGGCCACAGAGCCCACCGTCGATAGCCCTGCAGATGCCCAGCTTGTGAGTACACCAGAACGTGTCCTAAGCGAGGATTAGCATGGAGACGTTGGCAAAGCTAACTATCAATCTAGGCAAGCTCCCCCAGCTATGGCGGTATCGCCACACCTGTCGTAAACGGCACTGCCAATCACGATGGCATCGAAAACAAGCACATCTCGCAGCTTGAGGACAACCCAAATTCTGCAGATGCGAGTGCAAGCGGAGGGTCGGATAATGAAGCGTCGAAGGTCAGGGATGGCGACAAGAACCACGGGCGCACAGCCTCCTCCGTCAAAAAGCCAGCGACATTCAAGGCCGTCTCCGTCAACAAGACTTTTCTAGCATCCAAAGCGAGCACTCCAACCTCGACCAGCAAAGTTGCGGATAGGCCCAAGGGCGGTTCCAGCACGCCACCGCCGTCAGGCTCTGCTACTCTCTCTTCACGACCTCGTCTGGTGGCCAAGACTGGTAGTGGGGTCGGTAGCTCTGGCACGCGATCATCTGGGTTGAATGGGTCTAAAGCACCGGCGCCTGACGCTGGCGCGGTTTGGAACAAGAACAAGCGTATGTTGAGGGAGAGTGTGTTGGAGCTCATTGTGTACTGACGTTGCTAGCTATTCCCGTACCCGACCCAAAGAAGCTAACCGACGAGGATCTCAAGAAGTATGGCATTCACGTCGCCACTCGCTTGGAAGAAGAGGAAGATACGCAAGGCCAGAGCAAGTGGGCAGATTTGGACGACGATGACGATGACTGGGCACCAGAAGCGATCACATGGACCGATGGTACCAAGACGACACTACCACATACCGACGAGCCTCCAACACCAGCCACGATCCCTGCTCAACCTGCAGTTCCAGAGGTCAAGGAGCCTGCTAAGCCCAAATCGCCAGCCCCTCCATCGACACATGCCCCTCCAAAAGCCTCTAGTGGATTGCCGAGTGGGAAGGGCCTGGTTCTTAGCAAGGCACCGGCCGAGAAGCCCACGTTTGTCGCAAAGCCAACGCCCCCTCAAGTAGCAAAGTCGCCCTGGGCACCACTGCCACCAGTCGAGAAAGCCTCTGCTGTGGCACCAGAATCAGCAGCCCCAGCTTCTCGTGGCTACAACCGAGATGGACCGCCAGCAACCCACCATGGAATGTCCCCTCCTTCACAACCATTGAGGGAGATAGCGGCTGATGATTTCAGTCGCTCTACGTGGCGTGACTCTGGTTCGCACGGCCAGCTATATAACTCTCAGTCCGGGCGGTTTGAATCAGCTCCTGAGCGCCGTGGCTCTCTTCGCCCGGACCAGTCGAAGCAACCGGCAGTCTTGCAGAGGCATGCGGGTTCAGAACAACCAGCCGAGCCATCTGACGCCTTTCAAACATCTCGGTCATCCCAGGAAGGACAGTACGGAAGACGACGAGGATCATCCAACGTTAGCGGCGGGAGCGGCTCGTTCTTCCAGCGTACCGCAGGCCAGGGTAGTGAGGTGCAGATTCCACCTGCAGACACGAACAGTCTTCGGAAACCCTCGTTTGCAGGATCGGCAGAAGGTCCCCTGTCCCCCGCCCTGTCCCACGGGCCCTATCGGGGATACCGGCAGCCTGGAACTGGTTACGGTACTCGTCCGTCTCCGCGAGCTCACTTTGCCACGCCCTACCATGGCGGCCCTCCAGGTCCTACAGGCCCTGGATATGGTCAACAGCCCATGCCACATGCACCAGCCCCTCAAAGTGAGGATGATGTGGCGATGCAGAACAAGCTTATGCGTGAAAGTCAGGAACGCGCGCGAAAGCGAAAGGAAGAGGAAGCAGCCGAGGAAGCAGCCCGCAAAGAGAGAATTCAGAAGAAGCTTGCTGCGCTTGGGCCTGCACCGCCTAGTAGAAGCGAAAGGAGTCAAGCAACTACTGCACCTACTGCCGTCGAGTCTCCTAAACCGAAGCACATTCAACAGCGCGAGCAACCCAAACAGCCCCCTATTCCAGAATCGACATCCACCGAATCTCAGCAGGTTGGTGCCGGCGCTGGCACGGAGTCTCAAGCCGCCGAACCTTCCACGAGTGGCCAACACAACGACGGGCAAATCACCACCGCCCCAGCAGGGCGGCGCCCCTCGCATGGCCATGATAACAGGCAACAACCCAGCTGGCAAAGATCAGGGTCGGGCCAGTCCAGGGCACCTCCGTCTGGCCCAGATGCGTCTACACGGCCTGAGCGATCACAGAATTTGTCCTGGGCGCCGGGCAGTCAAGCTTCCGCGCGCAACGTTTGGGGCTCGCCCAACAATGACAGGGGTCTTGGCAATGGGACATTCAACCCAGATCTTGGACTCATGTCCGATTCCCCTTTGCCGCAGGCTCAGACCGGCAAGACACCTTCCCCAATCGCACCACCCAGCTTGTCGCGGGAGCCATCTCAAGGGCAGCAGCAGCCGTCTGCAGTGCAGCAGAGCCAGCAAGCGCCCATTGGCTCTCGCCCTGGTCATCCACACACGCGATTCCAACAAGCTGGAGCGCCCACCGTTACTAGCAAGTGGGTGAGTGCTGTTGCCGAAAATGATCGCAAGATTGCCGCGGAACGTCTGGCAGAACGAGTTGAGAGGGAACGCCAGCTGAAGGAGCGTGGAATGACAATTGAAGATGCTCGGCCCGCGATTGTTGACACTTGGCGTCCAGTCAACGTGTCTGAAGATGGTCGCCGGCAGCAGATGCCTCCTGTCGTCGAAACCCACCGCCACCAAGCCGGGCGGTCGTGGCAAGGAGCCCGCGAAGGGCAACAGCAGCCCCCTGCCGCCAGACACCAAGTGCCGGGTCCTTCACCCGTTGCAGGAGTAATCGGATCAGGACCAGGGCCTGGCAACTCAATGATCGCGACCAACCACGCCCATGCGCAGTCGAAGACATCTCGATTCTTTCCTACAAAGGAGCCTCGTGGCGACTTGATGGGGGCACCAATATCGCGACCGTCGTCGCCTCAGCTGCCGCCCCCCACGATGGAAGGTCATCCTGCATATGATGGAAGCTCTGCGCACCCGTTGGTGTCTTTGCCGCGCCCCCATCCCGTCGTGAAACTCCCCCCTAGCGGTGTCGCTCCCACCAGACAACAATCCGCCCCAAAGCCGATGTCCTGGGCTCAACCTACCCCGTACACCCCCACCTCGTACAAGGACGCAGCGCGGATCGGTCTCCAAACACAAGCTCAGAGGCAGCAGCCGCAAGTACCTGGTGGCGAAAGGAGCAACACCCCTTGGCAGCAGAGGTTCAATAACTTACTGGGTGTCGAATCCTCGAGCAAGAATGCCTTGGATCACACTATTCCAAAAAGCTCCGCCACTGTATCGCTGCCAGGCAATGCGCGTTTCTCTTATGAAAGCATCGGCAAGGATGCTGCTTCCAAGCCTATGGCAGAGGAATGCTTTGATGAACCAGAAATGGGGTCTCTGCCCCTGGTGAAGCTTCCTCACAATGCCCCTGGAGACCATATGTGGACAGCAGCGGCCGCTCCCCCCCGGAATTTCCCCAAGAGATTCTTGATCCATGCAACTGCAGCAGAGTCTTTTGACTTTGGCAGTGAGATCGTCAATGGAGCCAATTCTGTGCGCATCAGCTTTCCTGGCGGACAGAGTGCAAAATTCGTCACCGTACCATTCGGTCCCAGCCGTGGACGTGGTGGCAAAACCCGTGGCCGTGGAGCTTACCGCGGGAAGGACAAGAAGGACAGTGCTTCCGCTTCTGACACTCACCCCCCAACACCGACCACTCCGAGTACTTCCGCCAGTGCGAATACAGAACGTCCTGAACGCGGAGCCAGGGGTCGTGGCCGGGGTCGAGGAACCTACCGAGGGAGGGGCTCTGAGAATTGGCATCGCCAATCCCCTACGCAGCCTCCCATGCAAGCCTAGATCGCAAACAGCGGTTCTGTAATTGCTCTCGCAGACGCTAGAGCTGTTCGACAGGAGGAGCAGAGCCTCAGCGCCTGTTGTACTCCGTCCGGCACTTCTACTATCCTTTGAACGTGTTTCTTGCGGACAATGTACGATTTGAAGTATTCATTAAGCGATTGATGGATAAGCAAACAAGGCAGGGCGAGTAACACAACTTGCTCCTGCATTTTCTATTTCTTATTTTCCTACCACTACTGGACATCATCGTTCGTGCACTTCTGCGCGACGATTTTGTTACGCTGAAAGGGGGCGAAAGCTTTCCCTGTTTAATACCAAGGGGGAGAAGCTATTCAATGGTCCTTTACCCGACCGACGTTGCACGCCCCAGGCGGGTTATGCGTCGTCCATCCCCTGACACAGTACCAAGCCTTGGCCTCTCATGATGACGACGATGAACGGGATGGACGTAATGAGGGTACAGGTTTGGGTCATGGATGGATCGGTAAATGATTGACGGACAGGCTGTTCCGGCGCATTTACTTGTGAGATAGCTGGCGCTTATTGCAGAAATTTTCAAAATGCTCTCAGATACCATGTATGTGATGCAACGTGGACCATGCCACAACTCCTGACTCCTGCCTTGCATACTACAGCATCCCCGCCATGTCCTGTCATTATATCATTCATCTAAGCAACGTCCCTCCTATGCCGACCTGCTCGTATAGTCTATACTTCTTCGATTGCGCAGTTCGGGTGTATCACGTAGATCACGTCGCCTACGGCGGTAGAGCTGCTGGCCACACCGTCTTCTTGCAAGCCCTCACCTCTCAGAGCCATGAGAATGTTTTCCTTCATCTTGTTAGCATCGTCTGTCGGTGAGATGAATGGTGATGGGTTGGCTTACCTTGACCATCTTCTTGAGCACCATCTTTGCCAATGCCTGCTCGTGGTCGTGGGCCTCTGGCCCATCGAGCTCACTTTCAACACTCTCCAGGTACCATGAGATCAGCTCATTGCCCTCAACACCATCACCACTGTCAGACTCGTCGTCTTTGATCCTCCCAACAAAGGCATTGAGCATTTTGAGGTACTTCTCATACGTGATGGTGAGTTTCCTTCTCTCCCTTTGCTCGGTGGATGGGTCCTCTTCCATGGCGGTATCGCCGTGAGCTTGCGACGCGGCGCGCAGCAGGGTGCTGGCGTCTTCTTGCGTCTCCGCCTCCTCCTCATCTATTTCGACGTCGTCGTATTCTACGGAAATGATGCTTGACCGCAGAAGTGTATATGCCTCAACAACCATGTCCTCGCTGATTGTCGGTTCGCAGTTGACCTTGGCAATGGCCTCGGAGAGACGGATCATACTCTCCAGCTGACGCACAGTGATGCGATAAGAGTTCTTTCCAATGCCACCCTGGACATCGTCCGCACGGAGCTCCTTGTACTTCTCTACGAGAAGCTCCTGGGCCTCGGGCGTGAACACGGGGCGGAACGTGCGAGCATAGCGAATGTATCTCTGCAGTTGCTCGGTGCTGAAAATCGGCTCAACAGCCTCATCGCGCAATTGATGAATGCTGACAATGTGTTCGGCAAGATGGCGGTCGATCTGCTCGTTGCATTCGTCAAGCACGACGAAGAAGAGATCGAATCGAGACATGATGGGGGCAGACATGTTGATGTTGGCACGGAGAGTAGTCTTGCGGTTGTACCGTCCGCCAACAGGGTTGGCTGCCGCAAGAATGGATGTGCGAGCGTTGAGAGTGGCTTGGATACCAGCCTTGGCGATCGAAATAGTCTGCTGTTCCATAGCTTCGTGGATAGCGACTTGGTCGGCGATGTCCATCTTGTCGAACTCATCAATGGCACAGATGCCATTGTCAGCCAACATCAGGGCTCCCGCTTCGATGGTGAATTCCCCCGTCTCTTCGTCTTTGACCACAGCGGCAGTAAGACCAGCCGCCGAGGAAGCTTTGCCGCTGGTGTACACGGCGCGAGGGGCGAATGAGCAGACGTACTTCAGGAACTGGGATTTGGAGGTGGACGGGTCGCCAACGATGCACACGTTGATGTCGCCACGAAGTTGCATACCCTCTGGTGTCTGTTTGTGAACACCAGACACCAGCTGCAGCAGGAGACCTTTCTTGACATACTCGTGACCGTAAACCATGGGCGCGATGGACTTGACGAGTTTGGGGTAGATTTCGGGGTCGTGGGCCATTTTGCTCATTTCCGTGATCTCGCCCTCACTCATGGTGGCCGTCACCGCTTGCTGTGCGTTTTTCACTTCGTCATCCCCCTCCATTGCTTGGTTCTCGGTCAACAGAGCGTTGACCACGTCCGTAGCACTGCTGTCGGAAGACTGGCCCGTGATGTCTGGAGTGACCATGTTGGCGAGGAACGCCATGCGGTAGGTCAGGTCGCGGACACCGAGGGCTTTCAGTCCCGAGACACCACTGCCGCCAGCGTCATCACCGCGTGCATTAGGGCCTCTATCGTCGCGGACAGACATGGGTTTCGACCCGGGGAGTGCCAGTTGACTAACATCGGGTACGACAATGAGGGTGCCAGTGAAGATGCACTTTTCCCCTGCTTTGGCGCGATCGACCATCTCTCCGCGGAGAATAATGTCCATTGTCCGAGGCATACTTCCTGTTGGGATCTCGGCGCTGTTCTCCTGAACACGAACCTTCTGCCAGTCGATGAAAGTGCTTCTGCGAATATCCAGAGCCCAGGCTATTCGGTTGTTGCACGTTTCGTTTGGGCATTGTGTAGGTTCAGTGTAGCGGAAGGTTTGCTCGACGTTGGGCACAACTGTTCGGCAGTTTTCACATGCGAATGTTGCCAGTGACAGTTCCGGACGAACTTCAGATGTCCTTGTGACAGTTCCACAGATCGACAGTAGTTGGCCGATGTTCCCTGACCGCAGCGACCTCAATCGAGTAACGAGGGGCACGTTGTAAATGGCGATTGCGAACAGTTTGTCGGTCTGCTGGTTCTCGTTCTTGTTGTGCGGTGCATCGACATCGTCCTCCGAGCTGAATTGACTAGCGGCCGATGTAGCCAACCGACTTGAAGCTGTAGGCTGGCGGTGATCACGAAAGTACTTCGGCTCGTATTTCGCAATCATGTTGTGTAGACCTGACGTCAAATAAGGCAGGCATCTGTAATAGTTTGTGAAGATAGCGTCTGCTAGGGCGCCATCGTTCCACGTCTGCAGATGTCTGAAATCAACGTATAGCGTTGACAAGCTCTTATTGCTCATCACATGAATGAGCTGGACATAGTACTTGAATGTAGGTATCGCACTTGATCCTTGTGCAGATGGTGTCGCTGCCGCCTGGGAGTCATCTTGAAACCTAGTGACCCGTCAGCTTTGTATAGTCCCAGTCTGCGCACAAACAAAAACGTACTCCTCAATGAACTTTTCAAAGTTACGCTGCACGAGGTCTCCTAGCTTGTCACGAACTTTCTGAACGTGTCTTGCATCAGTTGGCCTCGAGCTCTCCGGTCTCTCATCGTCCATGAATCCATCTCCTCGTTCGCTCGGGTCGAGATTGCTTTCTGAAGGCGGTCCTTGCGGCCTTGCTGATGGAGAGGAGGGAAACCCGTGGCCCCTCGGAGTCGCAGGCGTTGCAACCGAGTGAGGCGTGTCGGCCATGGGGTACCCAGCTTCGCTGGATGCCATATTGAAGGTATCGCGGCGTTCGTGATGCGGTTTAGTGTTGGTGACGTCGTGACATGCGAAATCATGGATTTCGGCATGGGTTTGTGAGGACGAGGGAGCAGAATGGGGTCGAAGTAGTTGCGCGTCAGAAACGCGGTCAGGACGCGTCGAGGGGCTTTTCGATCTCGCGTCTTTAATTGATTGCATGACGCTAACCGCCTTCGGTGGTGCCCTGCAGGGCATATGGGATGAGGTGCCGGAATACAGACTTGGGCCTTGGTGTCATTGACTCATCGTGGCAATTGATTATTATTACATGTATCTTTGCTTAACTTTTGCGCCACGGGTATCCTGTCGCGTGTAGTAGAACCCAAAAGTCTTGCTCAAGAAGTGGCCAGAACTGTTGTAACATATGCCTTCTGCGAGTTGATCTTTGTGTGAAATTCACGGTCCAAGTTTGGCTACAGAGTGACTATAGCAAAGAGAAGCTCCTGCTGAACTGAAAAGCTCAGGTGCACTGGGGTGCTGCTCTGATCGAGTTTGCGTCATGGACCTGTGTTGCGCGTGTATCCAAGCCAGCGATGGTCGTGTCTGCTTCACCTCGAAGGCTGAGATGCCATTATCGTGAGGCGAGCATCCAAGACCATGCTATATGACTGCCTGCCGGATCGCTCATTGCGCCCAGCTAAAGCCGCTGTCGGGTATCTAATCGAAGAAGGGTATATATGCTGCCCTTTGTACGCCTTGTGTACACTACTCAACCACTTTGCCTGAAGGCCCGTATGAATGAATCTGCTCATGTCAGCCTTTTCAGTGTCTTTTTTTCGGCGATGCTCGTGAACTCACCTTATCAGCAATGTTCAACCATTCCTCAACGCCTCGAACAAAACCGTCTGATTCTCTGTCTACGGGCTCTTCATGGCCCCAGACTGCGACCTCCTCAAATGTACCAGTCACTTTCAGGGAACTTGTTTCCACCGTTTTCTTCTCGCCTTCTTCCGCAGGAGGAGCTTCGACTCTTGGCGCTTGTTCAACTACAACTCCACGGTAGGACTCTGGGAGAGGGGTGGTCTCGGCTTTCAGTTTGCGACCTCGGAAATAGGCAGTTCTCTTGCCGTCTGCCGAGCGTTAGCAGTCATCCTGCGACCAAATGGAAAGAAATGTACCTTGTGAACTTGTCGGTGACCAGAAAGTGTCAATTGGGTCCACTGGACCATTGTGATGAATGCGGCAGGGCAGGATGTTGGCCATTGCGCACGGGGTGGCGGCGGACTCTTCAATTGAGAGAATTGGTTGCGACATTGTTTCCTGAGTGTTTTGTCTTCGTATTGATTGAGGGGCTGCAGAAGTCTTAAAAGTCGAATCGTTACTAACTTGAGTCTTGTATTACGTAGTTGGGAAGAGCTCCCGGTGACGCGTCGGAGCGCGTAAAGTGGCTGGATGGAGGGGAGATAAGATAAAGAACCAGGAAAGTCACCCAAACGGCGCCACGTCCAACCTCCGCACTGGGTGAACTGCAGGATTCTTGGAACACAAAATCGAAACTTAGGTCTTCATTGAGTATTCCCTGCCGCTTTATCATATCTGGCCATATGAGTTGTCCATTTTCGTGGTTACTCCGGTGTGATCATTGCTTGAGCAAGATTCGCGCATTCGCAAGGTCGGCCTGCTGAGACGAAGTATCCGTCCGTAATCAGACCACGCTCTCTGCGTGATGATCAGCGATTTGACCGTTCCGTTGGATCACCGATAGGTGGTCAATATGAGCACTTTGAGGTTCGACTCCAAGAAGTGCCGCTCATGACGTTCCATAGTCCAACCTGATGAGACTTCCACTGGAGCATCGACCAAGTATCAGAGGTGACCGACGAAATGGACGGACCGCCTTTGCTGACAGGGAGTATAGAGCGTATATGCCATTTGGCGCCTGGATATAGACATGATGGCCAGCATATGATAGCCCCACATCATGGCTGCTGCGAGTGCCGTATCATTTCTTCTTCTTGACTTTGCTACCCTTTGATATGCTGGCTTGGTTCACTCTCGGGGCAAATCGGTTCGCATGATCGACATCGAAGCCCGGCTTGTGCTTCCGAAATAGCAGCATCGTGACCCTCGCATCTTCGATACTGGAGTGCGCTCCGCTTTGAATCTCAACACCTAGGAGTTCCTGCGCCAGGATCCGCAGAGCCGGTTTCCGTCCATTGCCCAGTTTCCTGAAATTGTGAAATTTCGCAGTGTCGCGAATGTCCCGTACAGGATGACTCAAGGCCAAACACTCGAGGTCATGCTTGAGATCGTGACCAACAAGGATGCGACCATCTAAGATTTGCGCAACATCTTTTTGGACTTCGTCGAAATCCCGAGCAAAGCGCATTTGTTTGGGGCTGATGCCACTCACTGCCGTCCTCCAATTTGTCACTTTCTCCCTGGGCTTGACGTAGGAGTCATAGATCTGCTTTCCATGAAAATCGACAATGCTCACACGTGCCAGCACCGAGTCGTGACCCCCGGGCCCAACGCCGACCATTTCGCAATCGATGGCAACATACTTTCCAATAGTAACATCTTCGCAAAGATCATGATTGATCTTGTCCTTTTCCGCCGCTAGTACCGTTTTTGGATCTTTCAGGCCAAGGTCATACGCCTCAGCTATTGACTCGGCCGAGATGTCATTGTCTGTGGCCCATAGAGCTAACGATAGGGATACACCCTGTTTGGTTTCTGTCTTTGGGGGCGCGCTCTGGACGCCCCCCATTGGGATTTTCGATTTGACCTCGCTCGACCTCTTAGGCCTAGCTGGGCAGACTTGAGTGGTGGTTTTCGATATCTTCGTTTTCTTAGGTTGAGGTGCAGACTCAGAATCTGCTTTTCTTTTGTGAGATGGCTTAGAAGTATTTTCGGCACTGAGCTTAGCTTGGAGTTTCTTCCAGTTCGAAGAGAGTCCTGCCATCATAAGAACACAGTTGAGGGACTTGGAAGCTGTTTTTCCATGCGGTTTGGTCCAACTTTGGACATGGAGACACGATACTTTGATGAGTGTACGGAAGCAGATGAAAGTTCATGGAAATGCGTATAGCGGGGCGCTGCTCTTATCCGATTGCGGGTCGCAATCGACCGCTTGCCGATAAGCTGGCGTCGCATACATTTTGCCATGCTTCCGTTCTTCCAACACGCCTAGCGATTCAGCAACATCCATCAACGAAACCAGCGCCATCGATAATCACCATGGCTGGTGGAGGAATCCCCGGCGACGCCTCTTCAGGCACCGATACTCCCCGCGAGAAAAGCCGCGCGACCGCCGACACTCTGAAGACCGGGTGCATTGCCTGGGTCGAGAAAGATGGGAAGCCGCGGCGCGCGGAAATCCTCAGCATCAAAACCACAAAGTCCGGAAAGCAGTTTTACTGTAATTTTGATAGTTACAATAAGCGATTGGATGAATGGGTTCCCGCAGCTCGAATCGACTTTGAACAGGATGTCGAGTGGCCTCGCCCTGAGCCGGAGAAGACAAAGGATAGCAAGAAAAAGACAAACGACAAGAAGGTCCCGCAGCCTTCTAAGAAAAGAAAGGCGCCTGTGTCAAAGCGAGAGCAAAGTGTTTCCAAAAGGGAGCAGTCTGTCTCCGAAGCTGCGACGCCGCATCCGTGGACCGAATTTGTAGAATCGCAGGATGGGCGCAAGTCAGCATCTCTCGGACCTGACGGCGAAGCTACCGGCCGAGACAGCATCGAGCCCAGCCAGACCCCCGGCGTTGTCGACGATACCGAAGCCGAGGATAAGGATGTTGAAGGGGCCAACGGCCACACCGACGAGTTCAACCGCAAGGAGGAGATTGAAAAGCTTCGGACGTCTGGGTCGATGACGCAGAACCCGACAGAGGTTTCACGAATTCGAAATATTTCCAAAGTTCAATTCGGACGACATGATTTGTTCCCATGGTATTTCTCGCCATACCCAGAAGCCTTCACGGAAGAGGATTGCGTTTTCATCTGCGAGATGTGCTTGGGTTACTACGGCGATCAGATGGAGTTTGTCCGTCACAGGAGGAAGTGCCAGTTGTTTCATCCTCCCGGCAATGAGATCTACCGAGACGACTATGTCTCATTCTACGAAATCGACGGCAGGCGACAACGGACTTGGTGTCGCAATCTGTGCCTGCTCTCCAAGATGTTCCTCGATCACAAGACCCTATACTACGATGTCGACCCCTTTCTCTTCTATGTCATGACTACCAGGACAGATAAGGGAGACCACGTTGTCGGGTACTTTTCCAAAGAAAAGGAGAGCGCGGATGGCTACAATGTTGCGTGTATCCTGACTTTACCACAATATCAGCGCAAAGGGTTCGGTCGATTATTGATACAGTTTTCGTACGAGCTGTCTCGAATAGAGGGTAAGCTCGGCTCGCCAGAAAAACCTCTATCAGATCTGGGTCTTCTCAGTTACCGTCAATACTGGTCAGAGAACATCATCGACACTCTGCTCGACTATAACGAACGGGGAGAGAAAATCACCATCGAGACTATTTCAACAGCTCTCGCAATGACTACGCAAGACGTGGAGCACACATTACAAGTCCTCCGCATGCAGGTTTACCACCGCGGCGAGCACAAGATTGTCCTGCCGGAGAAATTGGTTAAGCAACGGGAGGTACAACGGCAGAAAGTAAGGAGAACTATAGATCCGGAGAAGATCCAGTGGAAACCACCTGTGTTCGCAGCGTCAGCGCGCACATGGGCTTGGTAAGAGGAGGTGCGGGAAAGTCTGAACTATGCAGCGTCAATGATACCCTTGGAATTCTGGTCGCCACAGACACGTCTAACGTGTCATGGTCATGATTCCCGTCCGACGTGTGAATTGACAACGTGATTACGAAGAACAATGTGAACTTGATTAGTGGTCTAAACGGCCTGCTCAAGAATCTAGTGGCAGCTTTTTGTTGCGTTTCATACCTGATTGTAAGCCGGTCTCTGCTGGTGAAATTTACCTACTGACGATACGTTCGTTGACGCGATAAGCTCGACTTCCTGGGAAACCCCACGTCACGTCACGCTCCGTCTCCCAACCAACACTAACCAACCATAACTTGTATTCAACGTCATCCACATCCTCAAAGATAGTGCGCGGTTCTGCCGAAACCGGTAGGACCAAGATACAGACCGAAGCAATCGATCGCCCGTCATGGGCGAACTCGCGGATTACCTGGCCGCCAACGACGCCAACTTTCGCAAGTCTGTGCATCGCTACAACTCGAACTCGTACGATGGAAAGCATACTGACACTTCAACAGGGCCCGTCTCCCAGCCTTATACTCTGACTTTCGTCCTCAGAGAACACTCAACCCCGACGGCTACCGTGCCAACATTACTGCGTGGCAGAATGCTCTTTCACTCCTGTCTTCGAAATCACTTCTACCATCGTCGTCTCCTCTTATTCTAAGTGTCGACAAATCGCTCCTTAGAAACCTCGAGAGTCGGCAATACGGGCAACCCCTTGCGTTAGGAACTGCTATACGAGAAGGCATCCAAGGTCGTGAACTATACCCCCTCAATGCCTTCCTGAAACAAGATCAGAGCGTTTACCATCATGGATGGGGAGAGATTCCATGGAACGTTGCGGGGTGGACCTTGAGAACATTGGGCATCGTTGATCCTTCTCGGGGAGAGGACAGGCTGCCGACTGGGCAATACGTCCTAGTCCAGAACTTGGAGGCTGCAGCGCGAGAACTGAAGTCGGCATTGGCAGCGGGATCATCGGTGTTTGATCGGGTCTTCACCAAAGCGCAATTCCGAAATCAGTTTGCATCGAAACTCATGCCCGGCTATCAACTGGACGAGAAGGACATGGATGTGATATTACGATTTCTGGCTAGGGACACGAACGCAATAGAGTACGATGGCAACATTATTCGAGTCAAGGGACAAAGCCAGGAGGGACCAATTACAGAGCAGGACGCCTCAGTTGCCAGCTTGAAGGAACTCATGGGACGACTCGAGCATCAGGTCACTATATTGAATGAGCGCATCGCTGCTCTTGAGCTCACCGCAAAGGAGGCAGTCGGGAGGAAGAATAGGCTGCAGGCGCTTGCGGCTCTGAAGTCGAAGAAGCTTGCGGAAAGCTCGTTGAGCACGCGCTATGCGACACTCCACCAGCTGGAAGAGGTTGCGCACAAGATACAACAGGCATCCGACAATGCTGCTTTGGTGAACGTCATGGAGTCGAGTGCCGGCGTGCTGGAAGGCCTCAACAAACAAGTCGGCGGTGTCGAGCGGGTCGATGCTGCTATGGACAAGATACGCGACGCGAGCAGTGAGGCAGACGAGGTGGCTGCCATTCTTGCAGAGGGAGGCCAGGCTGTTGACGAAGCCGAGATTGACGACGAACTTGAGGCCATGATGTCCGAGGAAAAGAACAAGGAAGAGGAGAAACAGCAACAAGCAAAGGAGAAGCAGCAAAGGGAGGCGGACAAGGAGGAAGAAGACAGGGTGAAACAGAAACTCAAAGACTTGCCGGACGTGCCTAGAGAGCGCGAAAAGACACCGACTTCAGAGACAGGGTTGGCAAACTTGTCTATGGCGGACAAGGAGGCACCCGTGGGGAATTAGAGGTTTTACGGGTGACTATGTGCCAAAGCCCGCACGCTAGGATACCATAATCTGATTGACCTTAAATGTAATTATAATGGTGTAGGGCCAAATGTTCAAGAACTTCAGCGTCATATGAATAGTGCGCCGCGACCGCTTGCTAGACTTCCAGATGACAGCCTTCCCAAGTAGGGACTGTTCATATTACCTATACAATAAGCAGCTCCACCTCTTTAACTCCTTCGCGCCCCTTGCTGGGACCGGAGACTGAGCTGGAGCCAGATATCTTCTCTGCCGTGCTCTATCCGTATGCACTGTTCAGTCTCTAAGGAAACCTGTCCCATGAGCCCCTGGGTCAAACTGGGCGGGGACCACGTTGTCGCAGTCCTGCCTTGGCCTCGGCTCGCCGTGAGAGGCATTTTGAGCATGATAGGTCCTGCCTGCCAAAGGTATATCCGAAGAAGATTCCGTTACGCGAACTGCAACATGGATTGCTTGATCCTCTTGCTCGTTGGCAGGCCTGGACAACATTGCAACGCCGTCACCGGCAGTTATGGGTACCACGGCCGCCGGATTTGAAGGGAACGGAAGAGATTCCTCTGCTGGTTTTCGTGGTTCATGCTCGGCTGCCGGCCCCCCATCCTCAGGTATCGATTTGGACTTCGCCACAGCGCGGTTTCTCAGCGCCTCGGCAACCAGATCTTTGAAGCTGTCGCCATGTTTCTGGGCCCATGCCACCCCGTCAAACTCCTTGTCCTTCACCATGGTGCCTCTGTTAGCCCCGCCGGTCCTCTGCGCCCTCTCCCATGATTCGAGATCACTTATTAACTGTGCTTTCCTCTTCGGATAGACTGCGTCGCAGTTCGCATTCCATAGAGTGAGAAACTCGCGATGTCGGGACTCGAGAATGGTACGGGGGCCTTGCGTCGATAGACCAAGATCAGCTAGCCTCTTCCGGAGGGCATTGTCTTTGAGCATGGAATAATTCACGGCGGGCAGGCGGTCTTTAGCTTTTTGTTGTGGCTGACCAAAGGCGCCTAGTTGTGGTTTCGGCGGCGTCTTTGGCTTGGGCGAGGGCCCGGTGCATGTGTTGAGATGTGTGAACACTTGCCACTCTTTCATACGTTTTCGGCAACTAGGACAAGACACCAGCCCATCGTCTTTCTGATCAGCATGTCTCTCAACCATCGACGCAAATGACAGACCTGGTTCAGGCTCGAATTCTTCCTCCCCATCAGATATTTGTACGATATCATCCCCCCCTATAGGTTTAGGCGCATACGATGGCATTGTCGCTTTGCCGCTGAGGCGCGCTGAGCTTCTAAGTCTTTTTGACCCCGTCTGCTCTTCCAGTTCCACCTCGTTCGCCTTCCTTTTCGGTGAGCCCGGCGCCCCTCGGCTTCGCGCCATCTCCAGCGTCCTCGACCGCGCTCCTTTCCACGCCTCCACAGCTTCTTCCATGGACCAGTTGCTCCTCAGCTTCATCTCTTGGTCGTTTGCCCGACACAGTGGACACTTCATATCGCTCGCTAGTGCACGGCGGATACATAGTGAACAGAAAGTATGCGAGCATGAGGTGAGCATCGGCGTCGTGTAGAAGTCTTTACACACTTGACAGCGGAGGGCTGATTCGAGGGGCGTCAGGGCCGACAGAGGCGTGGAAAGCCAGTCGGTCGAGTCTGTGACATCGTGCTCGACCATTGTACTGGAAGATCGCGTATAAAGTCGTGAGGATTGTGCGTGGTGGTTTGCGCTCTCTGGAATAATGCAATAGAACTGCGGATGGAGCTGGTCGTCGCGTGGGACGCGTTAATGACCATGACGCCCGCCACTTTTCTCCACGCCTCCCCTACACGTACCTGCAATGTAGCCAGGCTTATGCAATTATGGGGTACTTCGTGGCAGACAGAGTCGAACGCTACACACCGATACATGAATAACACGTGAGAGCGCGTCGCTTCTCGCGTCACCTATCGGAACCTCTTGGTATGCTAGTTCTGTTCATGAAGCTGTTTCCTTTTCCAATGAACACATTGGTTTTGGGAGAACTGAGCCTCGACAAACAGAAAAACTATGGAAGAGTACAAAAAACACCTCGCTGATCGCCTTTTGAGCGAGGAGCAGCCGGTAGGCTGCAGTATTTCTACGAAATGACCATGAGCTTATATGTTGCAGATCACATATCGCTTGCTCAGCCGAGCTCTCAATGTTCATGTCAACACTGCCAAAGAGTATGTTGCGCTCTCAGAGAGAAGGGAAAGTGGACAATTCTAACCTTTTCATAGGATGCTCTATGAATATCACAAGTACCAGAACGCCCAGAAAGCAAATTCCATCCACGCAACCTACCTCGTGTATGGCGTCAAAAACAGAGAGGCTTCCCAGGAAGATGGAGACGTTGACATGGCGAGCTCGATGCCTGACCAAGATGAAACGCCAGACGTTGTCCACACCAACACTCTCACTTTAGTTCGCGAAGAGGACCTCACGGGTGAGCCGCCTCGGTCGACATGAAAGAACTCCCACTGATCTAGTAGAAACACTCGCTGCTTATGAAAGTGTCTCATCACTCTACGTCTACTCTCTAGCGCCTCATCCGCAACGCGATCTTGCAATGCTTTCGGACATTGCCAAGTCTTTGGCTGAGTACACCATCAAGGAACAAGATGTCTCGGTGGCTGCGAAGAAATTCGGGACCATCCTCAATCCACATGCTCGTCGGCGAGATCGCGCAGCCAGGCCCAAGGTAGCAGCATCAGCACAAGCGAAACCACCGAAGCCAGCACCTTCTGCGACGAAGGCTCCGGCCGCGCCTGTGGAAGACAAGGTCAAGGCTGAACCAAAGCCGACTGGCAAGTTGAAGAGAGAAGGTTCAGCACCATCCTCCAAAGAGAGCACGCCGGCGCCAGGCCCTAAGCCTGCGGCCCTCAAGCGTGGCGGGTCAGGCGGCATCATGCAATCATTTGCTAAAGCAGCCTCACAGCCAAAAAAGCCGCAGGTGCAGCCCAAGGAGGAGGAGCACACGGCATTGTCTGACGATGGTGAAGCCGATGATGATGATATCGCTGCGGAGAAGCCTTTGAAAGAAAGTGCATCTGCGAGGACATCCAGGAAAGAGCGCGAGGAGAGATTGCGGCAGATGATGGAGGAAGATGACGACGACGATGCTGCAGATGCAGAGAAGGATGAGCACGAGGATGGGAACGCGGATGACGAGGAAATGGAGGATGCGCCCGCGCCAGAAGCAGAAGCTGCGGAAGAACCAAAGAACGGAGAGCCCTCCGAGGTAGTGTCTAGCACCGGCGATGGGCGACGAAGGGGGAAGAGGAAGGTTATGAAAAAGAAGCGCATCTTGGACGATCAGGGGTACATGGGTAAGTTCGGCTTGTGTCTCCCCCCTTGCCTTCGTGAGGCTAATTGCGACAGTCACAATACAAGAGCCTGGTTGGGAGTCCTTCTCTGAAGATGAGGCACCTGCTCCTGCAAAGAAAGCGAAACCAGCGCCCACGCCGACCTCGTCTGCACCAGCAAAGTCCAAGAAACCAACTGGCAAAGGGGGAGCCCAGGGGAGCCTCATGTCCTTCTTTTCGAAGAAATAAGGCATGGATAATGCTCTTGTTCTATCTACTTATTTGCAGTCACCCAATCCTGCCCCATACTCTGGGTGTACGTTTTCTGATAAAGCTCCTTGTTCCTCTCCATTCTGTCCAAGAGGTTAGCCAGCCTTTTCACACCTTCAATGAGACAGTCTACTGGCTCCCACGCAAAACACAACCGGATCTTGTCATCGAACTGCGGTCCCGATTTGTCGCCATGGACTGCGAATATGCCACCGGATCCAATAACAAGATTCTCCTCCTCCAGCGCTGCCTGCGCAACAAGCTGCGTTGACAAGCCAATGTCCACAGTGAACCAGACGAAGAACCCGCCAAAAACCTTTGCACCCGCATGACTGCTCGCGTTGATCCGTGCTTGGGGTATGGATTCCTTGATAGCAGCGATCAAGGACAGGTGCCTGTCTCTCAATTGCGGTCTGATGACTTCGTCCACGTGCCTCTCGAGCGAACCGTCTTGCACCATGACGCTGAGGACGGCAGCAGAGAACTGACTAGGTGCGCCACCGGACTTTGTGCTCCCTTGCATGCTCATGCCCGTCGCAAAAGCAGGTGATGCCTCAATCCAGCCGGTTCTCAAACCTGGTGCAGCAATCTTGCTGAAACTCCCGTTGCTGACTGCGTTGCCAAACCCCTCGACGCCCAGCTCACGATCAATGTCCGCTAAGCGAGGGAGTCGCATCTCTGACGTCCAGTCAAGCGGCGAAGAACGCGAAAGAGGCCATTGCAGAAAGTCGTAGACGTCGTCCGAGATTAACAAGGCATCATATTTCCTAGCAAGCTTGACCAGAGCAGTCCGCCGTTCAAGGGGCAGGGTCTTGCCACTTGGGTTAGAGGAAGTCGATACGACGTAGATGATGTGACGATACAGTTTTCGCCCTGGCACGTCCTTGGAAGGTAACTGGTCAGGCGCATTCCGCTCGCTCCTCTCCAGTCTCTGTATCTCCGCCTCGAGCTCGACTGGATCAATACCATGCTCATCCTCTCGGATGCCCCTCAATCGCCTGGCAAACCCCGCATCCTCGAAGATGGGGCAGACAAGGTGATAGCAAGGTGCCACGACCCAGAAACCCTTTGTGACTAGGGGATCAGCGTAAGAGATGAGAATGTTGGCAATGCTTTGGCTTGCACCTCCCGTGATACAAATGCGGTCGACGTCCTCTTCAACATTGAAGTGGCGTGACAGCCACCTGGACATGGCCTTCCTCAAAGGGAGGTAGCCAGCATCGGGGCCGTATTCCAGGGCAGGTGTCGAAATAGACGGATCTGATAGAATGGCTGCCGATGCTTTCGTGAGCAAGTCTGTTGGCAGGGCCGAGACTGCGGGCCAGCCGCGCATAAGATTGATTGGCGCTTTAGGTCGACTGGACTCCATGTGGACGGTGATATGGACAGAAGAATCAAGAGTTAATGGTGTAGGGTCCATATCAACTCGTGGGCCTTGAGCCGAGAATGTGACGCAGCGATGGTGTATTTGAGGATCAGATCGCATGGCTGAATAAACAACGCGACAATTGTTAGTGCGTGGAGTGATGATCCTCCCGTGGAAATGTACGTAATCGGCTTGAAAGCGATCAGCGACTGGTCTAGCTCATCACAATGGACTGTTTTTCTACTAATATGTAGGTGCATTTGATTCCAGCGTTAAGTTTGTTGCCATATTGTCAATCACTTACGAAAGCACATCTCACGTCAAGTCCGTCCAGCTCTTCAACCATGTCTCTCATCAGAGTAAGTAGCTTTTCGACTACATGGCTCGGGCAGGTTACGTTAAGCTGGTCACTATAATCGCCAAGAATGAACCAGCAAGTGGGATGGGAGTCGGTGCCGAAAGCATCGAGAACCGGTAGCAAAGACCAAGAACTTCCGCGCAGCAACGTAGGGCAAGGCAAGATCTGCCATCGATCACTTCAGTGTTCTAGGTGTCATAAGTCATACAAATCGTTGTGTCGCCATCAAACTTCATATGGCTCCGCTCCCTCGCCAAAAACAAGATGAGGCTTTCGCTTCGCGAGGTCCAGCATCGTCACGGCAAATACCCCATTCGCCCACGCGAACCAGCTTCGCGTGTATTGGCTGGCGTGAGTGACATCGATACTCTCGTGTATGAGGCCGAGCTTCGAAGATGACAAGACGAGACGCAGGCATTCCTTGATTTCAGCATCATCGTCTGAAGTCTGAGCCTGCATCAGCAGACTCATCGGCCAAGCGTTCTTCAAGCCAATGTGCGGGCCTGCAACCGATCAGCTTAGTTCGTGACAGGATCTTGCAGATACTTACCGCCAATGCCTTTGAAATCCTTGCCCTTGAGGAAGTATGGATTGCCCTCCTGTTCCAGAATCATCTTCCTCGTGTTCTGGTAAATGGGGTCGCTCGCCTCCACAAATCCCATGACTGGTAAAGCTAATAACGATGGGTAGTTGGCATCATCCATCATAATGTTCGAACCATAGCCGTCGACTTCGTATGCGAAGACCTTGCCGTACTTCTTGTGCTCAACGACGGCATGCTCCATGATGCCTTCGCGAATCTGCTTGCTCCACTTGTTGAGCTTATCCGCCAGCTTCGTCTTGCCTGCCTCTGTCAAGATGGCTGCAGTCCTCTGCATTTCCGTAGACATTTGTGCGTTGGCTGGGATGAAGAAGCCTAGAATCGTCGCATCGTCACTTGGTCTGAACGCTGACCGGATCAAGCCCGTGCCAGCGTTCAATGGGTTGCCCATGCCCTTCAGATTCAGCGTTTCGGTACCAATATCGGTCTTCCTTTGGAAAGTATACTCATTCCACATAAGCCGGCCCGTCTCGGGGTCAAAGGTTGGCTGACTCTGGTGTTTCAAAACCTGCAGAAGCGTCTCGAGCGCCAGTAACCAGCGATTGTGCAGGAACTCAGTTGAGCCCGTGTGATCATAAAAGTCATTCGCCAATGCGAGAAAATGCGCCAATGAGTCCAGCTCGTACTTGCACTCGAACACTGATTCAGGTTCATATGCGGGGTGCACCACATCCTGTTGCCCATTGTTCGAGATAGGTAGCTTGCTTATTGGCGGGGGCTGGAACGCATTGCAGTACGGTGACTCAATGACATATTCTGCCTGCGTGTTGATCGCTCCCAGTAACAGCGTGTGGATTGCTGGATCTTTCCCTGCTAGCGCATGGTACGGCCGCAACTGGTTCGTTGAATCGCGCAGCCACTCTGCTATGATATCGCCGGTGATGATAAAGCTCTGTGGACCTTGCCATGCGCCATCATCACCAAAGGCCTTGAAGCCGGCCATGCGAAAGAAGCCAGTCTCCTCGGCGCCCTTGGTGTGGAACTTCACAGTGGTGTCCGTTGTCGATGGAAAGGTATTCTCGAAGAGCCGGGCAAGGTCTGGGTCCTCAATGCGAGAGGTCATGTCCTCAATCACCTTCTCGATCGCGTCGGAATGAAACGTGCGGCATCGTTCTTCAGGGCGTTGGAAGGGGAGCGCGAGGGGACCCTTGGAAAGGGGGTTGCTAGGCATTGTTAGTCTTTACGCATAACAAATGGGGACATAGGGCAAACTGTGAATGCGCCGAGTAGGTGACATAGTCAGGGCAGGCTTCGCGAAATGACCCAAGATTCGCTTGTTCGCCGGTGATGGCGAGCTGTAGACCGGTGGACAAGGCGAAGAGGCTCGCGCCGAGTTGGCGAAATGCTGCCATCTTGATGCAAATCAACCCGAAGTGACAGCAGCTTGCACTCTCCGCTCAACCCATGGACAACAGATGAGGGGAACCAGTGGTTAAGGGGTAGGTGCCTGTCGGTGGTTGTAAAGGCGATGCTTGGAGCTTCCCCGGATTCATGTGGTTGCGTCTGGTTCTAGGCCGGAGCTGGGTCCGTTGGCGACCTGCCTGAGCTACCCTACAGCCGGTACAATCAGCTATCCATGGGCCCCTGAACGTGTCCCGGGTGACCTTGGAAGGATAAAACATGGTCAGTTTGATGGAATTTCGTATCGACTTCTTGCATGCCGCAATAGCACAGCCTTCACGCTGTCTGTGAAGCTTATGTAGTGTAATATATACTAGAAAATCTAGAACGACCATACTCAGTCTTCTTTATGTAGTGGTGCTGTCTCGATAACGCTGGTCCTCCTCGCACCACTTGACCTGCGAGGCCTTGAATCCATCAAAGCCTCACTTTCCTCGTCTATGTCCTTGCTCGCCTCGCCTGTGTGATCCAGCTTATCCGACAGGGCCCTTTCCAGAGACTCTATGAAGCCATGCGCGGATTCAAATTTTGAGATACCGTGTTTCGTAGGCAGAGCGGCATATGTTTTCCGCGCCTCATTCAAGCACCGTTGAGCCGGGAGGTAGCGCTCGTGCTGCATCCATGCGTCTGCTGCGAGAACACTCCATGCGGCAGACTTACGATAGCGGGCTCCCCAGTGCCAACTTCCGACTCCTTCTTTAGAGGCATGGCAAATCGCTAGGCGCTCCTTGATGAGGGCATCGCCGACAGGTCCAAGAATACGGGACTCGAGCAATCGAATGCCCCATCGGCTCGCATCATCAACACTGGTGCCACCCCTAAGTCGCAGCAGCTCCAGACATAGCGTCAAACTACGCATCGCCCCGAATGGCGCGCTGCACCGGGTATGGTAGGAGTAAAAGGCAGATTCGAGCATCTGATCGATCGTCTCTGCCCGTGTCTTCGAGGTAATCTGCTGCGTTTGTATCAAGAGGCTGATCGCAGCCATCTCGTTCGTAGCGGCGTGATGCTTCCACGCTTTCGAGTCGGCAAAGTCTGTTCGCAGCAGCTCATACGTCGAGTGGGCTAGCTTGAAGTCTCTCAACATGAATGCGTAGTCGGCAAGCTTGCGCATGATTGCCTCGGGTGCATCTGCGCGGAAGAAACCTGCAGCGTCGTAGTTGTCCTTGCCCATACCGCTGCTGCCAGTAGAAGACCTGCCTCCTCCTCCAAAGTTGAATTTGCGTGACAGATTCATGAACCGACCGGCGAAACCACGTCTACGCGATGCAATCTGGTCATTCCATATCGAGACGTGGCGTTCCATTGTTGGTACAATAGACTGTGTGACCATTTCCCTAATGAATGTTCGTATCGCAGTCGCATCTGACTCGAAAATGTGCCTGGTTGGATCCTCGAAATCGTCTTCCTCATCTTCGCTCTTCTTGATTTCAGCCAGCTCTTCTGTTGCCGAAATCCACTCACTCCGCGGTAGGGGAATACTGTCGTCATCTGTTTCCGCACTTTGACTGCTCCGAAGTCTGAGCAAATGGCAGTGAAGTCCCAGATGTCGCTTCATCTGTTCAAACAGGGCCATTGATCTTTGGATATCGTCGTTTTCCTCGTCATGTACCAGGACATAATATCGTAAATAGTCGCCGTCCACCCATGGCGGAAGTCTGTTCGGCCCTTGGCTCGTCTCGTAAATTTGGCGCAACTCGCCCACTGAGTCATCCGACCGTGCGCTTACAGCGACTACGCACGCCACTGGATGTCCAAAGGTCTCGTGAGCCACGATTGGCATGCCAGATAATAACCGTCTGAGGAATAAGGCGTAGTAAGGGCTGGTAGTCTCAATGTCTAACCCCTGTGTCGTGCTCTGGCTGTGCTGTGGCATGTTGAGAAAAGATTGCTCGGCATACGACAGATGGCGATCAACCACTTCCTCTACAGCGGCCAGCGTTCTCTTGTCTCTCGACATACCCTGATCTTCCTGTCCCGAAGCTTGTTGCTTAAAGCCAACGTCGGGGTGCTCCACATCCGCACCGAACCTGGTGAATCGTACTGAGAAGTCTTCTGCAAGCTTACTGACTCCGTTGCTATCCCTGATCGCAACCTTGCCCTGTATTCGCTCGCCGAAGGGTCGTAGAAGTTCCCAAAGCCCATTTTTGAACCCTTTGCTTCTAGCAAGATCCTGAACGTCGCTCGAAGCTTGTATGGCAACGTGTGGCACGAAGGCTTTGACTATCAAGTTCAGCGGATCCCCCGGCTTCTCGCCTGCGCCCTCTGGCAGGGGCCCTGATGGCGCATCGAAAACTGTGCCTGCTAGCACCCTTGATGGAGAGCCCCGTCCCGCTGGCGACATGGAACGCGAACCAGGTGGTGATAGTGTGGAAGCGTACAGGGAAGCAGCTACTGGGTTCGAGCGACGATACGGTAGCGATTCGGTCGAGGAGGACATTGTGAGGGGGTCTTGGCCAGAGACGGATCGCAGTAGCGGCGATTTGACTAACGCAGCAGCAGCTGGCAAGGCCTGCAAAGGCTCTTCGGACGATGGAGCGTCATTGTGAGGCGGAGGGGATGCGGGCATCGGAACGACGAGAGAAGGAGTTCGGGAAAATTGGTGGTCCAGTGGTCGGGCTCATGGACCGCAGGAGACGGAGATGGCGCCGGTGAATCGAGCAGCAGGCAAGCTCGGCATGTTCTTTCTATGCGATTTTGAACATTGAAAAGTGACTGCAATACGCACGTAAGTGTATCGACGCTCGCCGCATCACCGTGGACACTCCTCAAAGTCCGAGCTTGGGAAGCAGCCAGCGGCGTCCATCAAGGGCGCCCCACTCACCCATCGCGGCGGCCGCAGTGGTTAGCTGCTACCCACCGCTACATGCATAACGACGTAACTGCACCGCGACTCTGAACTTTCCCATCATTGATTGATCGCCAGACTCTACTCGTACCTGAGACACACACTCAAGTTCACCATGCCTTCTGATAAAACAGCCTATCTCGCTTCTAAATACCTCGTCGCGGACCCAAAACCCACAAAGAAACGCAAGCGCAAGAACGCAGAAGCTCAAGGCCTTCTAATAACCGACGACAACGACGACGCCTGGGGAACATCCAGAAACCAGGTCGACGATGGCGACGACGGCCCAACTACCGTGAGCGGAACGAGCGCTGAATTCCGAAAAATGAAAAAGAGTAACTGGAAATCTGTGGGGGACTCCACGGCCAAGGACGAGGCGGATGCCATTCTCGCGGATGCGATCAAAGAGAATAATGCGCAAAAAGACGAGGACGACGCGATGCCCATGGTGGAGGACGAGACGACAGTGAAGATGAGCGACGGTACGCACGCAGGTCTACAGTCTGCAGCGGCTGTCTCGGCCCAGCTCAAGAGGCGGCAAAGACAAGAAAGAGAAGAGTTCGAGCGACATCGCAAGTCAGCGCAGGAACAAGAAACAGTCTACCGCGATGCCACGGGTCGCAGGATCGATGTCTCGATGCAAAGAGCAGAAGCTAGGAAGGCAGCGCAAGAAGCAGAGGAGAAGGAACGGCAAAGGGTGGAAGCACTCAAAGGCGACGTGCAACAGGCAGAGGCGCGGCAACGGAAGGAGAAGCTTGAGGATGCCAAATTAATGAAGTTTGCCAGGGGGGTGGATGACGAGGAGATAAACGAAGAGCTCAAAGAGCAGACACGATGGAACGACCCCATGATGCAATTCATGTCAGAGAAGCAAATCGCAGCCAAAGGGAAGAAGGGCAGCAAGAACAGAAGGCCCGTCTACCCGGGCGCGGCACCCCCAAACAGGTACGGCATCAAACCTGGTTATCGATGGGATGGAGTCGATCGGGGCAACGGATTCGAGGCAGAGCGGTTCAGGGCTATCAACAGACGGGAAATGAACAAGGGTCTGAGCTACGAATGGCAGATGGACGAATAGGCCAAAGTCACAGGCCGTAATGACAAAACTGATACCCAGATACTGGTCCTTATTAATGTAGCATCGCTAATTCCGCTGCATCTTGTCCAATTGTTTGTAGTGACACTGTCTATCTTTCTGCGTGGCATGAGCTCGCCTAGGGGCATCCGACTATGATTGATCACTTCTTGTGAAGGCGCTTTTTGCCATCCGGCCCGTCGACGTAGCGGCAAACTGTCTTCACCATGTTAAGCCATTCGCTCCTGGGCATTTGACCGGGGCCTTCACCAAGCCGGTTTTTGAATGGCTGAATGAGCTCGCCAATCAGGATACCTTGGTCTGGGATGAGCGCCAAAATCTCAGCCGGCGTGATGGGGCCAGAACTGGGTGAGCCTGCGCGTGGCGGACTGGGGCTCCCAGCGCGGGATGCAGTGGGCGTTCCCATTCGGCTGCTAACACCAGGCTTGAGCTTGAGCTTCTTCTTAGGCCCAGCACCGTCCGACATTTCACCGGCTGTAGCCTCTCCGTCACTTCCAGAGCCAGCTCCGGCTTGGGCCTTGCGCTTGGCAGCCTTCTGCTGAAGAGAAGGAGTGCCGGCACGACTGTTCAGACTTTTGCCTGAGCCAGCAACAGCCTTGAGCTTCTTGTTCCGTGTAGACTCGTTTCCACTCGACTCTGACATTGCTGGGGAACCTGCTCGCTGCGATTTCTTGAGTTTGCCGGCATCTGCGGGCTTGCCCTTTCCGGGGCTTGCTTTTCTGCTGCCCGATTTGTCTTTTTCGGCATCCTCCTCCTTCTTCCCTTTGTCGTCTTCCTCGTCTTCTGATGAGCTTGACTCCTCCTGTTCTGATTAGTATATCGCCAAGGTCCGTACCACGGAGTACTCACGCTGCTGCCCCACGGATTCTCCTCAGAGTCGTCGCTTGCATAGATGCGGTTCTGATCCCGCTTAATCAAAGCCTTCTTGGTGGACTTGCCAAACTCTTTGAGTTGCTTTGCTTCCGCCTCAAGCTCTTTCAGCTCCTTCTGCATTTCGCGCTCATCCGCTTCACCAAAGGCGATGGCGCCGAGCTGATCACGACGGATACGTTCCTTGGCTTCTTTCTCCTCCTCGTCGTTGTTGTTGCGCTCAAATGTAGTGGTCTCGTCATCATCCTGGAACTCATCCCCGGAGACGTCTAGATCATCATGCTCCATCTTCTCCGCTCGAGACGCTGCTCGGAATGTGCTGCTCTCTGTCTTGATCATACGACGCCCGCCACCCAGCAGGTCTCGCGTCTCCTTTTTGTCCTGTTCCTCCTGCCTCTGCCCAGCACCCATCATGATCCATCGATTTGGCATCATCTTCTTCTTGTCCAATAGCTGTTCAACCTCTTCGATGCTGAAGGTTTTGTGATTGGGTTTGGACACGAACTTGTAGAATTTCTCCACCGGCAGCATTCGCATGGCATGTCCTTCAACATGGAAGGAAACGTGGGTGTGTGCAAGAGCAGAGACGTACTGGCCCACCCAGACATTCGTGCCATCTGCATCTTCCAGATGCCATGGCAGAGCTTCCTCATATCTCAATTCGGCTTCTTTCTTGGCTGCCTCCGACTTGTGCGTGCGGAAGATCTGAGTTTTCTCCTCCTTCACCTTCTTCCGAGGCTTAGTAGGCTCTCGGGCCACCGGTGCGATTTTGGCTTGGTCAATGGCCTTTTGCGCCTCCCTCTCCGCCTTGAGCTGTTCTTGCGCCTCGATCTCTGCCTGGTCGACTGGCTCACGCATGGGCTCTTCAGTCTTGACCGTACGCGCAGCGGCAGGCTGTCGAGGATCGCGGCGGTGCAGAGTCACTGGGCGTGCAAATTGCGCCTGATCAGTCGGGTCCACCGCAGGAGCCTGCGAGTCGACATGCATCCTCATCAAGTGCATGCGAACGCCATCTAGAAGAGCCTTCTTCGTCGTGAAGATTGGGAACTCGCGAACGTCTGGTGGAGCTGGCTCAGACCAGCCGTTGGTCTCCCGACGTCGTTGCTGCAGAGACGTGGACTTTGTCGATACGCGTTCATTGACAGTTCCCGGTCGGTGGGGTTTGGCATTCAACTTGGGCGCGAAGATGCTCGAGGGCTTCGGCTTTGGGCGGTTTGGTCGAAGAGGATTGGCAGCTGGGCGAGAGGCGCCGTTCGGTCGGCCACCCGGAGGCGGAGGAGGTTGAGGTGCGCTCATCGTCGCAGGAGGAATGTCAGCCAGGCCGACTACTTGGAGGTGGCGCGATCAACGAACAGAGAGCGATTTGTATGCTTTGGCAGTGATGTGCAACAGTCGCTGTTGAGGCTGAATTCTGGTCAGAGGAGTCGAAGCAACTGGCTATAGCGCGCGCGTCTGATAGATGGCTTGATCTGCTGAGATGATTGTAGGTTCGCTGATCGCTGTTCGGTCAATTTCGTGACAACCTGAGATCTGAGGGGCACAACGGAGAAATAATAATGTGGGCGAGTGGTAGATGATCGTGAGGAGGTCGAGTTGGCGAGGCTGTTGATGAAAATGAACAAAGGGTCGACACAGACCTTTGGAGCCTGAGCAGCTCGCGCGCCAGAATGACGACTGGGTCTATTAATCATTGTCCTTTCCTGAATAGGCATTATGTGGGTCAGGATATGCTACTGTAGGTACCTGGACCTCTGTTCGTTGAGGCGGGAGGAGCCTGAAAAACCCCGTCTCGACCAGCAGGTATAATGAAATTCACGATGAGGATCAAAATATGAGGAATACTATATCTTCATCGCAGTCTTTTCCAAAAGAAATATCTTCTTTACACCTTGGGGGAAGTTCGATGTAACCCAGCGCACTTTGTCTTACAGTCTTCATGATGCTGTACACACTGTGTGCCAAACACGAGCAATCACACTCTCATAGCTTGAAATTGCTCCAGCTACCCTAACGTACTTTACTTACTCACATCCACTCAAGTCAACGAGCATGCTCTTCACTCAGCAATCATTAAGACCTAAATTTGCCGAATGAAAGGAATCGTTTCAACGGCATATACTTGCCTCAGTGCTCGGTGTCTCCGCTAGACCTGGCAAGACTGACTCGAGAGGTGTAGGCTCACCATAGCTATCGCCTTTGCCTCAACTGCGATATCCAAGTCTTGAGCTCAACACCTCCTGTACACCTGTTTTCTCGGATAATCTTCACATCCAACCAAGATCTATCCCGGCGATGGCCACGCCTGTGAAAGAGCCTGGCCTTGAGGATCGCTTGCGCGGTCTCATCATCAACAATGAGGCGCAAAACTCCTCAGATGCTGACACCCATGCTGGCGCCCAACATAGCAAGGTTGGGAGAAAGCGCCCGAATCAAGCTGAGCGGCGCCAAATGAACTCCCAATTCGCGATTCCCGTCGATACTCGAACGCCGCCCCAGCCTCTGCATCACTCGCGGGCACAGCCTCACCACAACAATTACCATCAACAGCCTCAGGGCCAAGCTTGCACGAACTCACCTCACCAACACCACCCCCAACACCGAAATCAATCACAATGGCACCAGTCTGGATCTCGCGCCTCCCGCCCCCAACGTGGCAGAGGTAATTTGCATCAATCAATGTCTGGTAGAGAGCCTCATCAAGGGTCCCAAGCACTGCATGAGTCTCCAATGTCGCCAGCAGCAATAGAGAACCAAGCAGCACACTTGAATAAGCTTTGCTACGAAGTAGTCACGAATTCGCAAATCGAACGCTCCGAGATTGCTGAGAAGGAAAATTTTCGCGTCTTTATTGAAGGAATCGTCCGAAAAACCATCACTAATCACGAGCAAGAACAAGCTCAGAGATACGATTTTCCTTCTCAGAGCGTTGAGCTCAAGTGTTATGGCAGCCTCTCTTCAGGGTTCGCCACGAAGGATGCCGATATGGACCTTGCCATTTTCTCCCCTTTGTCACCTGTACAACCCGACGCTCATGGCTCGCCTATTCCCAGAATTGTGGAAAAGGCACTTCTCGATGCTGGGTTCGGAGCCCGCTTACTGCCCCGGACAAGAGTGCCCATCATCAAAGTGTGCGAGCGGCCACCAGCTGGCTTCTACCAGAACCTGGTACACTTTCGCGCCCAGTGGGAGCAGGGACTGGATCCATCACAGCTGCACAATTCCAAAGCAAACGCCGGCTCAAGGGCTGCAGAAGCTGGAAAGGACGTCGGAGAAGCCAAGGATGGGGCAATCGAAGCAGAACCTCCAGCTAATGACGATGCCAAAAGACCAAAACCTGGGGCCATCTATTTTACGGTACCCCTGATTCAAACGGGGGGTGAGAAAGAAGTGTACCTCGGTCAAAATGAATCCTTCCTTCGGCAGTACAGTGAGCGCGCGCTGGCGATAATGGGCTGGATTGGCTTACGTCGAGGCTTCGGTCGCCACAAGAACGAACCGACCTACAAGTCGGAAGAATGGCAAGCATCAGAACAGATATCTCGTGCCTTCATCCAGGGTTTGGGCGACAAATCACTAAGTGAAAGCCTTCAGGCATACCCCTCGCTTCAATTTGCCACAGACGGCAGCATAGCCTGCCACTTTGTAGAGACGACAATCAAGCAAGTGGAAGGCGAGGATTTGCTCAGAGGCCTTGGCAACACCAGCGATGAGCAAAGTGTCATGAGCAGGTGGCGAAAGCTGATGGAATTGCCGGTTACGGATATCCATCCCGATGCTTTTGGGAGGGAAGTTGAGAGCGCTCTCCGCGACATACGTGCCCTTCCTTCGATTCAGTTGGAGGCTTTGCATCAACCTTCATTCCAAACGCCATCAAAGTATCACTATCGCGCTGAGGAGATTCGGAAACAATTCGAGGACAAGGGTGTCGCAATCCCCCAAAGTCTGCTCGCTAAAAAATACATCCAGGGCATATCAGACGAAACGATGAGAAGGGACATGCTTGAATACGTGTCATCTCTCGGGGACCAGGCTACGCTGTCAGCAGTGGCGACCAAACACAAGGCTTTGCAATTAGCAGGCGAGTACGAGGAGGCCCTCCGGCAAGACAACATATTCAGGGAAGAGGTAGCCGATGATATCAACGCCTATATCCGCCTTTTGCGGTCGCCCCTGGGACAAGTAAACCACGGCTCAGGCGCTACGGCGGAGGGCATCCCAGTCACAGACGAGTACCGCTCTCTCATTGAAAGAATTCAAGCCTTGCCAGATCCCCACGCCACCCTCGACATGCAAAAGGGCGTGGTCAAGGACTTGCTGAACTTCCCTGAGAAGGACGCAGGTGTCCAATGCGACATCAACTTCTCGGCACATCTTGGATTCCAAAACACTATTCTGCTCAGGTGCTACGCTCATACGGACCCGCGCGTGCGACCAATGATTCTCTTCGTTAAACACTGGGCCAAGATGCGGAACATCAATTCGGCCTATCTGGGAACTTTAAGCAGCTACGGCTACGTCTTGATGGTCCTCCACTATCTTGTCAACGTGGCGCAGCCGTTTGTTTGTCCCAATCTACAGCAGCTTGCGCCTCCTGTGCCACCACACCTGTCGCCGCTGGAATACGAGAACACAGTCGAGGTGAAGGGTGCTAACATCCGCTTCTGGAGAAACGAGGCTGAGATACAGCATCTCGCTGCCGCCAGTCAACTCAACAGAAACACATCCTCCGTCGGACATTTGATCAGGGGGTTCTTTGAGTACTATGCTCGCAGTGGTCAGATCCGACACATGCATAGCAGAGGTTTTGACTGGGCCCAGGGTGTCATTAGCTTACGAACTCCCGGTGGTTTGTTATCAAAGCAGTCAAAGGACTGGGTCCATGCCAAGCATGCATACCAAGGAAAGGACGGCAAGTTCTTCCTTGATAAGTCGGAGGCGTTGGAGAGTCTTCCCAAAGGTGACGAGGTGAAGGAGGTTCGGTTGCGTTACCTTTTGGCTATTGAGGATCCGTTCGAGCTGGATCACAATGTGGCCCGCACCGTCACGCACACTGGTATTGTAGCTATTCGAGACGAGTTCCGGAGAGCATGGAAATTACTGCAAGAAGCCGGGGAGGGGCCAGGCCAACTGGACGAGCTGTTGGAGGATGCAAGGCCGTCTAAAGAGCCTGAGCACTCACTAACAAATCTCATGAAAGAGATCCATGGGACAGATTTGTTCGAGTAGTCAGACAGTGATCGGAGTGAGAAAAGTTGTTCCAGCTTCAATATGGCTACCTTTGAAGGGAACTAGAGCGGCTCCTGCCTTTGTTCATTCGGTGGAGCAAAGTGCATGTTAGAGAGAACTAATATGAATCTCTGTTGCGAACTTTGGTTTTTTTCATATACTCTAGTCACTCGTCCTGTAAAATACTAAAACTATTGCTAGAAAGGCTCGGCCTTGACATCTTCTTGGGTTTGCCGTCTCTCGCCTCCTTGCTCGTCTTCCTCTTCTTCTTTCTGGTGTTGCCCAAGGCCGAAAATTGTTCTGGTGTCAAATTGAGCATTGACTGGACCTCAGCTTTCTTGTCAGGCTCATGCAGGCTGTTGATATAATGCCTGATGGCCCTTAGATCTGGGACGTCTTCCAAAGACGTCGAGATTGCTATCGAACCAATGGCATCAGCAACTGCTTGATGTTTGGTCGGGCCTGAGCTTGATATAATTGAATCCCAGCAAGCAGCATCACACATAGAAAGGACCTGTTTCACCATTCTTATTGAGTAAGCGTAGGCTTGCACTTGCGCTGTGAGGTGAACAACATTCCACTGCTCCTGGCCCTCTTGCGGCAATGTGCGGAGCGCCGCCTGCTCGAGAATGCGGCGCGCGTGCGGAACTCTGGTGTCATCCGGATCATATGGATCCATCGTCAACAAGCTGAGGTATCGAGCAGGTTTCGAGAAGCCCTTGACTTGCGGGCTCGGCCAAATACCTGCATTCTCCAGGTGTGTGATGGCCTTTTGGAGCTCGTCAGGGGACATTATGTCCAGTAGCTTGCCTTGCTGCTGTTGACGTTGTACCCGTCTATATTCCGAAACCGCGGTACATTTTGAACCGATCAGGTGTGCGAGAAGCGTATATGCCACCTGTCGCAACCAAGAACAAGGCACCCATGCGCTCTCGCGCATCGGGTTGTCTAATGAGATGGGGAGAAACACCTCAGGTTCTCTGGGGCCGTTTCCAAGCTGCACGGCCAGCTCCGAGAGTCTCGGATCCAGATTCTTGATGGGCAGGGTTCCCTGTTGGTCCGGTGTTAGGGGCACTTTGGATGCTTCTGCGTGGATGTATTCCTCGCAGAAGTGCTCAAACTCGTGCACCGAGTCAACATCCTGAGTCTCGCATTTCCGAACGAGTTGTGAAACGGTAGAGTGAGGTGCGAGGCTCAGCTCATACCCAAAACGAACCAAGTTTGACTTCTCCAAGCCTAGTCGTTGTCGGATCTCCTTGGGCTCATACTGGTTGCAGAGCAGGTCCGACTCATCTCCTTGAGTATGCATATCTCGAAGAAAGGCTACCTTTCCACTTCCAAGGTCATGTATTAACAGATCAGAATCTGAAGTCAAGACCGTGCCGCCGTGGTCAGCCAGGTGTTTGGCACAAACAGCGTCTGCCTCGCCAGGAACAACATGTACCATGGCAGCGTAGGCCGACGAGTCTCTGAGGACATCAAGAACTGCCGGTACAAGGAATGTTGGTGCTGGCACTTTCTCCGTCAAGGGTGCTTTTGCTTGGAACATATCTTCGCGCAATATAACATTCTTCCCTTGACTGCAAATTTGGGCGTAAATGTTGGACGACACGGCGTAGAGTTGATTTAGCTGTCCTGCGGATTTGATCATTCTCTCCATCCGGGTAGGACGCTTCGCAGGCGGCAAAAAGCCGTCGAAGTATATAGCTTCACTACAAAGGTTAGTTTGGTATTGCATGTGGTTGGTGACGATGGTGGCATCACATTTTGATGCCTTGATCAGCGAGCGCATCCAGCCATTGGAGCACTACTTGCTGCAGGAGAGCAGAGCTAGGGTACGAGTGTCCGCTCTGCCTACATATCCAAGAGACATGGTATGCCAGAGCCGGGCCGTCAATGACCACTTCCTCATTTTGTAGCTTGTGTTGGTTGGAATAGGGCTCAAGGGTAGCTATGAGACGTGGAATACCCATGGTGGACTTTTGGAGTATCCCTGCTTGATCAACGGGGCCATTGGCAGCTCAAGCCTCAATCAGACTCGATGTACCAACTGCCGCCGTGAGACAGAAAACGATAGGTTGTTACTGGCGAATGCTGGGAAACAGAGCTGCAAAGGATGCTGTGTCGTGGTCTCCATCCGTAACAGGCCACATTTTGCTGTAGGCCCCCACCAATTCGGAATGTACTGTGTGTATCACAGTGTGAAGATTGTGAGATCCCCGCGACATGCACTGTAGTACAGTGCCAGTTTGCTCCGATACCCCCACCTGAAAGCAATCAGTCACCCTGACGGACCCCAGCTGTAGAAAAAAAGCTTCTTCAAATCTCGTCCGCCTTCTCCAACCTCTTTTCTTCTTCACCCATTCCGCCTTTGCATTGATCACAACAACAGGGTACCCTCCTGCCGCAACCGCGACGCGACCTTGCGCGTGTGAGTCAAGGCTGGTGTTTGATTGTTGCCTCTTTCTTTTTTCCCGAGTCGTCAAAGACTCCCGGTCAGCGATGCGCAACACCCTCATCTTCGCTGGCAACTCGTGCCCAGCTCTCACGGAACAGATCTGTGGGAATCTGGGCATGCAGCCTGCCGACGCCGAATTGACCCAATTCTCCAATGTGAGCTTTCTGCGGCTCTTGGCTCTGTCCGACTTTGCCGGCTAACTGGCTCAAAGGGCGAGACTAGCGTCAGGCTTTTGACCAGCGTCCGCGAGAAAGATGTCTTTGTTGTACAATCGGGGAGCCCCCGTATCAACGACTCCATCATGGAGCTCCTCATCATGATCAGTGCAGCCAAGGGTGGCTCGGCGAATAAGGTCACCGGTTAGTCCCCCCTAGCCAAGCAATGGTTCCGGAGCTATGACACTGACAGTCGCCAGCTGTCCTACCTTATTTCCCATACAGCCGACAATCCAAGAAAAAGGCTCACCGCGGTGCCATCACAGCGCGCATGCTTGCCAATCTTCTTGGGGTCGCAGGCGTGAAGCACGTCATCACGGTCGACCTACACGCGTCTCAGATGCAAGGATTTTTCAGATGTCCTGTCGATAACCTTCATGCCGAGCCCATCATCGCGAAATGGATCCGCAGGAATGTACCTCACTGGCGTGAAGCTGTTGTGGTATCCAAGAACCCTGGCGGAACCAAACGAGTCACCTCCCTTGCCGATGCTCTTAAGCTAAACTTCGGTATGGTGACCACTGACCGGAAACGCGGAGGCTCGAACATGGTTGGCAGCATGATGATGCACCATCTCGGGGGCTCGCAGCACCAGGCGGTGGAGACGACAGCGCAGGGCAGTAACTTTACCGATCCCGCTGAACCGCCATCCACAGCCGCCGAGCGCGAGCGGACTCCAGTCCGTGGATCCCGCGGCACAATTGCGGATGACACAGGGTCACCGACAGGTGGTAATCTGGCCATCCGGCCCAATGGCGGGCGGGCGTCGCAAAGCACCATCACACCCCCAGGTCGCTCACCTGACCCGTCCGTCAACGGTGATCTCGAGTTCGACGATGGTCGCGCCAGAGAAGTGACCCACGGGCGCTTAGTGCACGGCCATATTGTGGAAGATGATGCCTCTTCGCCGAGTCGGTCAACAGCTGGCAACAGTGTGCACGAAGAGGACCCGATGACCATGTCTCATCACTCCTCGATGTTCGTACCGGACCGCCAGTCCCTTGGTGGCTCAGGCGATGCTACCGTGAGCTCAGACGACGAGGACAATGCGTTCGAGGACCCAGAAGTCGAGCATATGATCACTCTGGTCGGCGACGTGAAAAACCGCACGGTCTTTATTGTCGATGACATGATCGACAAGCCAGCTACGTGGATTGCCGCCGCCGAGACCGTGGTGAAGCGAGGCGGCGCCCAAAAGGTGTACTGCATCGCCACTCACGGGGTCTTTGGCGGCGACTGCTTGGAGCAGCTGCAAGCTTGCCAGTGCATTGACAAGATCGTTGTCACCAACAGCTTCCCGCTCAGCGAAGAACGCTCTCGAGGCATCACCAAGCTTGTCATCCTCGACCTGTCGTTCATGCTGGCTGAGGCTATCCGGCGCAATCACTTCGGTGAGAGCTTGTCGCCGTTGTTCCAGCACTACGGTGACTGAAATGTCGAACTGCCACGGACAACTGATTTTTTTCTCACCTGAAATGGTGTCTGCTATGGTCTTGATTTGTTTAGCGAGGCGTCTGGGACGTGCACCACCGGGCACGGTGGTCATATCGATTTATGGGAAATGTGTTAACGGCGGCAGGCAGTTGACGAATATTACGACTATTGCACTCACGGTCTCGTAAGGAGATCTCATCGACTTGCATTCGCACACGTGACATGTCCAGGGCTTTATGCCCATCCAGCGGTGCTGTCCTCGTGGCAGCCAGGGTCCGATTCATCTCAGAATGGATCCTGAACGGAACGTTGGCAGATCATATTATTCGTTTGAAGAAGGCCCCTGATTCGGATTCTTGTGATCCATACCTTTTGGCGTGGATTGGGGGCAAGAGAAAATTTCGAACATTTCAATGCGTAATACCACGATCAGCATCGCGTGTGCACAATATACATATTTTCTAATTGCGATATTATCTTCCTTCTATGTTGTCTTGCGGTGCATGATCGTTGCCGCCGCCTGGTGGTTAGGGAAAACCAGTGAGTCAGCGAGGACCACGTTCTCCCGCCTCGACGCAGCGAAGACAATGATCTCGGCAATGTCATCTGGGGTCAATGGCTCGCAGCCGCTGTGAAGTCATTAGCAGAGGGCACATGACGATCGTCTCCGCACAACTTACGCGTAGACAGCATCGGCCTTGGACTTGTCTCCGTAGAAGCGAACGACTGAGAAGTTCTATCAAGGTCAGCAGCGAAATCTATGGCAGTGTTTGAAGGCATGCTTACGGTCTCGACCTGTCCAGGGTCCACGCCGATGACCCTGATGCGGGTTGCGATGAGTTCCTTGCGGAGGGACTCTGTGAAGCTGCGCACAGCAGCCTTGGTGGCGCAATAGATGCCCCCGCCCACATAAGGCTCGCGGCCTTGACGTGAATCAGCATTCCTAGCATTCTGACAAGGTCTCATTCAGCCTTACCAGCGATGGAGCCGATGTTGATGACATCGCCCTGGCCACCCTCAGGACGCTTCAGGAAGATGGGCAAGATGGCCTGGGTCATGTTGATGAGACCGGTCACGTTGGTGTCGAACATGATCTTCATATCCTCCTCTTTGATGCTGGGGGCCTTGTCAACCCCCTTGACGAGACCACTTTTCTACAATCAGCATTGACTCAACTATCACGCTTGGTTTTCTTCCCACTGACGCATTGTTGACAAGGACGTTGATGTCCCTCCACCCCTCAGGCAGGTTTCCCACAAAACCACGCACGGCCTCGGGGTCGCTGACATCCAGCTTGACGGGCAGGACCTTGACGCCCTCGCCGACTTCCTTCTTGATCTCGTCGGCGAGCTCGCGCAGGACCTCGTCCCGACGCGCGGTGAGGATGAGCCGCAGGTCCTGGGGCGACGTGCGCGCAAACTCGAGGGCCGTCGAGCGGCCGATGCCGGAGGACGCGCCGGTGATGACAATGGTCTTGCCGGCAAGACGCTTACCTGCTGCCGCGGTGGCCATTGTTCGCGTTGTCACGGTGCTTGCGGTGGCTCTAAGGGTTCTCAGGGAATGAAGAATAGGAGATGAGGTGCTGTGAAGAAAAGCAGGCAATGACTTGAGAAAGGCGCGCATGGGGATGAATGGCGATCAGTACCTAAGGAGAAGGAGTCCAGCTATCGTGCCGGTTCATTATCATTCGGACGAGGGGAGTGCATCACTGTGGGGTAGTCATGAGGAGAACGACGGATGGAGGGGGTCCCGCAATGAGGGATTGGAGTCGCGAAAGAGCCAGTGGCCAAAGGCACCGATAATTAGATGCTGTTAACAATAAGAACTATAACGGTATAATGAGCCTGTTGTCTTGTCCAACGCCTCTAGGAAGCTCTATAGACCAATGCCAAACAACAGATGCGAAGACTGCGCGTACATGTGTATAGTGTTTGTGTCCTACCTACCCTAGGTAAAAGGCGGGATGTGATCGGGGTAAGTCTTCCCCGACGCTAAAAACGAGCGGATGTTGTCCTCGTTCATCAAGCGCCTCACATCAACGCGTCCAACTGATAGTGGCAGTGGCCGTGAAAGCGGTTCTACATGTCACTTTGGTCTACTCCACTACTCGACGGCCATTTTGCTAATGTATTACACGCCTGAAGGATTTGGTGCATGCTTGAGTCGAAGACTTTTCGTCCATGTGTGCCTTGGTCGATAGGAGACACGACGGTCTGAACCACGGGGCAAGGACCAAGATACTTCGAAGCTCCAAACTCGTGGGGCATCAAACCAGACACGTGGTTCATAAAAAATGTATGTATCCTTCGCCCATGAATGCCCATGCAGCGCGGAGCAAAGGGTGTAAAAGTCATTTGAGATGTTGAGGCGAAGATTTGAACCGGACAGATGCCATTTGCTAGCAGCACCCTGATAGCCAATTTCCAGCGTACGATACGGATCAGGCTCAGAGCCTGTTCAAGCAGACCATGGATCTAATTGGGGCGGATTTGATGCTCCATTGGCAATTCATCATCAATGGTTGAAGCCTAGGGCTCTAGGGCCCGTGGAATACTGCCAGCCGACATGCTTCGAGCCATCGCAACCTTCTGGAAGGGCCAGCGGATCACAAAATTGCCACTGAACTAAGGCGCAGTGCGACAGTGCCTTGGGCGCGAGTGCTCAAGGTAAGACCGCCAGCTCTTGCGAAAGTGTTGAATGGGACGACTTATCACCTGCTCATCAACCGTGGGCTTGACCTCTTCACCATTGTTCTTCTACCCGCCCTATACAACCCTACCTTAGACTGTGTCGATCTCCGTGTACATCGACACAGCACCGAATATCAACATGGCTCGTCGTCACACGCGGCTTTTGGCCATTATCTGTGCAGCACAAGTTGACCTGGTAAACGGCCAATTTTTGACCAGGACGAGGCCTGCGGTCTCTCAGGTGGCCTCTATCGCTGCACCCCTGGCCTCATCAACTGCCAATGGCGCATCGACGGATATAGCCCTCGAACCGAGGATCGCCAAGTTGGAAGGCCACGCATCAGAACTTGAAGATAGAAGCGCTATTGGCAACGAACACAAGGTGGATGACAATCCATGCACCAAACTGGAGTGTCGCGAGCATCTCGATCCGGACGAAGAAGACGCTCGACGCCGCGCTGCTTGGGAGTTCTTCTTTCGAGAGAATCCTGAGTACTACTGGGACGAGGTTGAGTACCAGATCCTCAAGAAGGAGGACTCGCACAAGCATGGACCTGCTCCGCAGGGAGGACCCCAATATCACAATCCGACTCCCGCTCAGGCCCCAGTACACCCTGATGAACAAGACGGCGATGATTTCGTCGTCTTCATTCCTAAGGACCAGGCGAAAGGGCAGCCTATTATGGTGCCTGCGAATGAGTACAAAGACTACCTGTCCAAGAACCCTCGGCATCGTCCGCAGCCTCAGGGAGCTGGCCAGCAAATGCAACAGAACAAGCCCTATAAAGGCCAGCCCCAAGCTCAATCTCATCATCGCGCACCTCAAAACCAGCCTTACCGAAGCAAGCATCCGCAAGGGCAGCCCAGGCCTGGAAATCCCCACAGTCCCAAGGTTCACGGCAAAGCCCCTGTCCAGAAACCGCATTCTCCCAAGGGAAACTATATGGGCCAGAAGCTTCAAAAGCGCCGCGTGGCACCTTCTCCGTATAAATTTCCAATGACCCCCGGAGATTTCTCACGAGCATATCGTGAGGATATCAGGCTTAACGGACCTGTGAAGCCTGAGCCAGAAGATCAGTTGGAAGAGGGGGAGAACGAATCCGAGGCCAAAGCAGACTTGGATCACCCAATTTTCGACCAGTCACCAGAATATGATCAAGAGGCGCAGGCTCAAGAACTCGCACAGCCCGCTATCGAAAAAGAAGGCGACGCAAGTGAAGGGCCGTACGTCGATGAGGGCTATGATGATGCAGGGTCTGGTGAGACGGATGGAGCTGGAGAACACGCGGACCCATACGACGAAGAGGTGGAGGACTTTGTTGAAGACACTCCGGCGGACGGTGCTCCTGTGCCTTGGACCAACGACGCCGAGCTTTTGCCCGAGGATGGCGCAGGCTCGAAACCCACCCATGTGAGCGAGGTCCCCACGGATGCGAAGCAGGAACACTCGCATGAGCGGCCTCAAGTCCCTTCTGTCTCCCAGAAGCAGCCCTCAGAGCCACTCTCTCAGTCTCCTCCTCAGCATTCGCCCTCCAAGAAAGAGATTATCGAAAAGCTTCGGCCTTCCTTTGGGGTACCGAACTTTGATATCCCCGGATTACAGAGCCCTTTTGATGCGTTCAGGGCTCACGCCAACGGTGAGGGGCTTGTCAGTGATGAGAAGCTTGCCAAGATGAAAGCAGCTGCCGAGGAGCACAAGGCGGCGGAGGCGGCGAAACAGAAACAAAACGGAGTCCAGGAGCAGAACCAGCAGCCGGAGCCAACCCAGAGGGCTGCCATGCTTTCTGGTGCTGAGCAGCTTGAGAGAATGAAGGCCATCGCCGAGGAGCAGAAGGCCGCTAAGATCGCTGAGGCCCAACAGAAAGCACAGGCCGACAAAGAACTGCAGAAACAGCAGCAACAGCAGCAGTCGAAGCAGCAATTGCAGCAGCAGCCGAGGCCAATAGCGACTCCCACGCGGGCAGGCGGTCAGTATCGCCGACGTGTTTCGTCCGAGGATGAGCGCAGGCAGACGTCTCACGAGGCTCGACATCTTGTCTGGAAGGGGTCCAAGGCGGCCAAGTACCCTTACCCTTTCCCGAACCCGCATCCAGACTACGTTGCCGAGACGTATGGTAAAGAAGACGATCTTCATGCACACAAGGACCGCCCTGAAGGAGCAGACGCAATAGTCGAGGGGGATGATCCCGGCCAAGTAGCGGAATCTGAGCAACTAGTCCAGCCTCCGCGCCAATTTCAGCGGCCGTCTTGGACACCTCTGCCTCGACCCTTGCGTCAACAGCCTCAGCGTCAAAATCAGCAGCCACCTCAGCCCCGGCCTCTGCGTGAGCCTCAGCGTCGACCTCTGTACAACTCTCAGCCGCAACTCAAACAACAACCTCCGCAGAAACCTGCGCAGTCGTCGCAGCCTCAGCCTCAGCAACCGAAGCAGCCGCCCCAAGTTCAACCCCAGGAGCAGGCTCAACCCCAGCAGCCACCTCAGCAGCCACCTCAGCAGCCACCTCAGCAGCCCTGTCAGCAGGGACTTCAACAACCACAGCAGCAGAGGCCCCAGCAGCAGAGGCCCCAGCAGCAGAGACCCCAGCAGCAACCCCAGCGTCAGCACATGCCGCAGACTCAACAACAGAATTGCCCTCAGACTCAACAAGGATTGAAAGAGCCTGTCTACGGAAATGAGGGTGTTCGCTATGCTCAAGAGCCATGCTATGCCCCCGAGAACTACTATTATCCTCCCCTGCAAGAGGCTCATTACCCTCAGGCGCAATCTCAAGGGAGCTACGCGCCGGAGCAGGACCCGGGACACTATTTCCCCCCATATGTTGATGAAAGCCGAAACAATCCACTGCATATGCACCAAGGTTCTGTTCCAGGGGGTCGTGCGGGCGGCGGTAAGTTTTACCCACCTGGATGGCCGCCCTCCATGGACGACGACGACGACGAATACGACGAGCCTGTATTGCAAAGCATGCGTTACGGCAAGCGTGTCACTGGTAAGTGCACCAGACCCAAGCGTAAAGACTGCAAGCTAATGCAACAGACGCCGACATGACGGAGAAGGCCGCGGCCGTGACTCAGACCGATGGCGAACACCAGAAGGTCAAAGAAGACACAGACGTTGAAGAGACCGAGGCAGGGTTCGTTGTGACCAATGCCGACGATGTTTCCCGAAAGCCCAGAGAACCTCTGTGCCTCGGGCGGTTTAATAAATCGCAGCGGTCGTAATGCAGGTGTGTGGTCTTGACCAGCCTCCACCTAGATCAAGCAGCCTATCCTGACTTCTAACAGCCTCGACTCATAGACGGGGATGTTGTGGAAAGTCTTGAGATGCCGTATTTTCAGGCCCATATCCCAATCGATGTGTCAGGCAATGGGGACCATGCCAAGAAAAATCATAGCTTTATGAATAATTTAACATTTCATGTTTCCACGCTGGCTGCGCTGACGTCTCCCATGCTGCCCTTGGCACGGGCAACAACAATGACAGCCTTCAATGCACCGGAACGCCCAAACCAGTCGAACAACCTACCGGCGAGCTTGTAGCCACCTAGCGAGATGCCGTACTGACTCAACGCACGATCTTGCGCATCCAAGAATCGCACAATCCCTGGAAACACATGCTCGGTGATATCTCTGATCTCTATCTGCTCCTTTGGATACCCGCAATCAACCAACTGTCGTTCGTACTCCACTTGCGTGAGGAATGTCCTGAATGGACAGCCCATCATTACCCCTATAAGCCTGGCGATGAGCGCAGTTTTCCTGGACGCCTCGGGGTTCATCAACAAATCGAACGCCATGAAGCCAGCACCCAATCGGTTCGCACTAAAATCCATTATGGGACGCCTGGACGGTGAGAAGTAGTAAATACAGTCCAGTGCCAGAAACCACTTTTCACCAAACGCTTTCAATGCCTCGACCTCTCGGTGAACAGGGCCCGCCCATTTCTTAGGCACGGACGCGTCGGCGCAAAAGAGTTTGAATGCGGTAGCATCAGGGCAAGGAGCCTTGGACGAAGCAACAGACGAGTAGATGTATCGCGAGGCGGTCTCCGTCTGCGCCTCGTCCAGGGTGAGTCCGATGTAGCGAAAGTCGGTGTAGTTCGTCGACGGATCAATGGATTTAACGAGAGCCCACGTCTGATCCCCGCAGCCGAATCCAACGTCCAGTATTGCAATTGATCTCTGTGGGCTGGCGCGTGGGGAGATGAGGTCAGCTTGAAGGAGGATCTGGCGAAGCAAGTTCGACGTAGCTTCTTCAAAGGTTGTGACCTGACTGCCGTCGTCTCTGGTCCTGCTGTCTTGTCAGAAGTTGTGTCTTACCGAAAAATGGATGTGGTTTAATGGCAAATTACTGACCAATAGCCCAAATTCATCCACATCGTCGCGAGTGGCATTTTGGCGTTGAGCTTCCAATGCCCTAGTCCACGGGCATCGCTCCGCTGCAAAATGACGACGCCGGCGACGAGGGAGACGATGAGAGCGGCGAGAAACCCGCCCACGAAAGAGAGGGCTACGTCTCTCCCCGAGAAGGCCATGCTGCCTTTGTGTTGCGCTCAAGCTCGACAATGAACCGGTACCATTTGAGAGTGCATATACCGATCCCCATGCAACTACTTCAGCGCGGTTCCGGAATTGATTGCGTGGTTGGATGGACAGCTCACGGCAAGCTACACGCTATGCAAGTAAGACTCAGCGTCGCCTTGTCACGACTTGATTGTTGGCTCACATTGAGATGAGGCGAATATGTTGAATGCTAAACTACCTAACTTAGGAGGTATTTACGCAGTGTGAGCAGTGGGTATTTCATCTATTGAAATGACTACCCGGGACAGACTATGAAGACGCCCCTTGGTAATATCACGACCAAGATCGGCTCCATCACTTGTGAATAATCTAGCCTTATTTCGTACAAATATTTCGAGGCCGGACGTTAAAGAGCCGAAACCGTGTTGTAAGTTTCATGCTTCGAGACGTGTGCCGCATGAATGATCTCTTTGGCGACGTTTCCATGTCGATCGAAGAGTCGCGACAGACCAACTCCTGAGAAGCCTTGCAAGTAGTTTCCCTTGATCGAGAACCACCTGGTCGGCATAGCTTCATTTGCCTCGCACTACCGTTCCAGAGCATCTTTTGAATCTGCGAATAGCTGGAGTTTTGGCATGCAGGCCAATGTTGGTCAGGCCACAAGCGGCCACCATGAGTGTCACGAGTCGGTGCGTCGAGTGCTTCCCAGCGTCGGCATACAGCGTCCGCGCTGCGCGCGCTGTAGTAAAAGAGGTACCGGATACTAGTTTTCCAATCCACCACGGTTCTGGATGATGTGGAGTATGATTTGTGCCGTTATGCCATTCAGCTTTGGCCGGTGGTCCGCACCAGTAGAAGACAGCATCTGGTCGACGCAGAAGAGCCAGCTCCCTACTCTGTTCAACGTATATAGCGTGATTGCCTTGTAGTCATGCCAGGACCAGGTTTCATGAGGCGGCGCGAAGCCAACTACCACCAAGCCTTCATCCAGCCCGGGATGAGAAACTGGTTCAGGGGAAGAAGTTGAATAGTTCGTGCCAGGACATATTGTACCGCACCTCGACAGTGGACCACGACTTGATGTCGATTGTTGTAGTTTTCAACATGGTTTCTGCGCGGTGACGGCGTGGAATGGTATGTGAGCGTGCGAGCTGTTGTCCATACATGCATGGCGGACTGCCACCAGATAGAGCTCAATCTCATTAGGGGACCACTTCAAACCATGCGTGAAGGACTTGTTGGAGGCGCCGTGGAGGGCATCAACAATTATTGCCCTGCAATACTGCCCGATCATCTTCATGCGCGGATCCTTTGGCCAAGGCCCCATGGGAATCTTGAGAAGTATCTCTTCGACATTAATGAAGCCAACATCCACGACGCGTTGTTTGTTATGCTTCATATCCCAGAGATCCACGCCAAATGCCTTGAGGCCTTTACCGACGTTTCGGAAGAAGTCGTTGAGCATGTTGCCGTCTTGCAAAGTGCCATCGTCGCTTTCCAACTCGAAGCGGAGCTCTTGCAGCTCGATCCAGCCTCCCGGGCGAAGAGCCTGAAAAGCTCGGGCGAGCAGCGTGGGCCAGTCCCTGATGGCATTGGTCATGTGCCGAATGTGGACATGGTCGAGAGAACTGGGCGGCTGGACCCATTCAGCCTCCGCATCATCTACCCAGAAGCGAACGTTGGGTGGCAACCACATGGGTTGAATAGGGCTCAGATCAATACCCTTGACCTCTGCCTCTGGATACTCGTCGCCCACTATCAGATCGCTGTTAGCCTCCATCAAGGCGGTTGTGAATGAAAAGGTGACCCCACGCACTGTCGATAGCCCAAATGCCGGTTCCTGTGCCCACGTCCAGAATATCCCTTGGCTTGACAAGCGGCGCAAAGTGAAGTTTCCCATCGCATGCATGTACGACCATGGCATGCTTCATATCTTCCCTCTCCTGTTCAGGCTCATCATTTGGAAACTGATAGCGACCCTCGGCGTATTTGTGGTACCTTCGACTGTTGTCGAACTGGTAGTCACGAACGCTGCTCGTCAGTGATGTCGACGTGTTTGAAGCATCGTCGGTGGCATAGCCATCATCGTCGGCATCTTCCTCCCCATCAGTCGGAGCTTCCGGACCAGGCTCGAACAACACGTCTTGGCTCACAGCAGCAGAGACAGTGGGCGCCGGCGCCTGAACTGGCGATAGAGGAGGCTGCAAGGGTTCGCCTAGTTGCGAGCTGTCGGTCTCGCTTTGGTCAGTAGCTGGATGATGGGTCGGTGCCATTTTGCAAGGTTCCGCTAAGTCCGACGTCGCGACACTGCCATGTGCCCAAAGATGACTCCCATGTCGCTCGGCGTTAGTAAGAAGCAGCTCGCAGGTTGCACATTGTCCCCTGCTGCCGCTCTACATGATGAGATGAGATGCGGTCAGGACTGCAGGTGGGAGCAGCATGACTAAGCCGAGGTTGACTCGTTGACGAGTGATCCCATCCATTCCGCATCCTGGGCAGGAAGTCGTACGATTCGATAAATGGGTCTGCTGAGTTGAGAGAAGCGTCGAAGTCCAATGACGATCTCCAATATGACCAGAGTCATTTGGCCGGCTAATAAACAGTCCGTTTCCAGGTTACGCTGAAGTCGCTTTTCACCCACACAACATGACCATCAGCACAGGTCTGGTAACAACATCTGCAAGCAGGTTTCGCACATTCCAATGTCCTCTTGGTACCATTTAAAAGTCTCTTAAGTCGGGAGGGGAGCAACATTGGCCGTATCGTCTGTCCTGGCGAGAGTTCGGGGTTCAGACTCCAAAGGGGCATCATCCGCCCAGTCATCGCGATCCCCAGGCCGTCTTGTCCATGTAATAATATGTCCTGGAACACACCTCCGTGTCTTCGATATTCCACCATCGCTGGAAATGCTTCAGCATCTGGACACCTATACCAAAGGCTGTAACGCATCAAGCGGGAACCTCCTCATGACAAGTCTGATCTAGCATGTGCTGGCTGAAACGGATCGGTCTTGGAGGTGTTTGGCTGGGAAGACGGTCGAAGATTTCAGATCATACGACCATTCCCAGCAAAGTACCATTTGCTCCACCAGGTGAGCCCGGCGACGATCAGTAAAGCTGGCACGATCTTGACCAAGGCACCGACGAACGCCCATCTGTGCAACAAGGTCCACGACTCAGCATATGTCTTTGATTCGTTCAGCCTGGGGAACGGCTGGACCGGCACATCCTTCTCCAGGAACTTGCAGAGTGGCTCCCACGAGAGGTCCCTCAGATCTATGTCGAGCAGACGATCCGGCGGTACCAGTGAACGAATCAAGTCGTAATGTCGATTGTACCCAGCTCTTATGATTTGCCTGTCTCCAGCTTTCTGCAGATCACAGACTCCAAAAAGGCCCATGTAAAACTTCCAGACGATCCTGCTGACTTTGAGGCCGATCATGGGCTCGAAGACGCAGCCACTTAGCCATGGGATGATGCCGGCTGAGGAGGGTAGAAAGAGCGTATTCAAGTAGCTCGTAGCCCATGAGTCGAAATCCCGTTTGACGAGGATAACCTTTGCTTCAGGATACGCGCGAAGCAGGTCCAACGAGTAAGGGGTCACATCCGTGAGTGCCTCGCAAGGACCGAAGAGGCGATCCCATTGGGCACGATTCCAGTGCCGTCCTGTGTAGGAGGGCAGACAAGCTATGTTGTCGTCTGCCGCAGCGCCTAGGCTGGCGAACTTGGCGGGCGCGTCCATGATGGCAGACGAGTGGAACACATCTTTGTAGTGTAAGATTGTGAGGGCCTCTTTCAGAGACTGCGATCCGGTGCGATAGAAGCCGAGCGAGAGAACCTTCTTCTCGCGCAGTGGCCCGTCCGAGAAGGGCACGAGCTTTTGGACCATGGGGAGCTGATACCGCCAGGCGGTGACCGTCGAGAGATTCGCAGAAGACGTATGACCCTCAATACACCTTCGTCGAGGTGGTATATCTCCTTCAGTCCTCTCCTCGGTCCGGCAAGCTGCTGCACCATACGTGAGGTTGGTGAGCAGAGGAGATCACGAGTGAGGCTGGCATGATTGATAGCTGATTCATTTGGAACGAGTCGGCCGCAACAAGGCGGCAATCCCCCAAGTGTGATCAGCATACGGATAGAGCTAGGTCCGTTTCTTGAGTGTCAGCGCCGTCTGACCCACGCGTGAAGGGAGTTTACGCGACATTTAGACTCGAATGGGCCTAGCACGGCCGGACCTCATGTTATCCGAGAGCACACAAATGATCGCTAGCCAATGGTCACAAGGACGCAACGGTGAAGTGCACATGAATCCAGAACCACTCGGGGAATTCTGGTGCAGATGATGGGGCATTTGGCTTTCATGTGATGCTCAGCTCTTGTTCAACAAGTTGACAGAACACCGTACGTACATACCACCGACCGTCGCTTGGCTGCGTTCGATGCTTGCATCAACGACGTGGCCCGTCGCCGCCTGCTGTCCATTGTCTTTGGGCCACATCGTTGCAGAATGGAACAGCGAGCGACAGGTAGGTTTAAATTCACTGACGCTGTGCGTCTCAGGCGTTCATTTTTATGGCTCAGGGGTGGTCAAACTCAAGGAGTCAAGATGCTGGCATGTCACATGTGCCTGCGATTCGTGGGTGGTATCCACAATAACGTTGGAATCAAACCAGGACTTTCGTGTCCCCAATCTACATTTATGCCCCTGACAAGTGTCCGGTTTATTCAAAATTGGATCAAGTCCCATGGTACTTATTGTTCAGGGTAAGTGCTTTGTCAAGGTACCTTACCACTTTGAAGTGGCCGTATTCCTCATGACGTCGGTAGGAATGGGAACCATGAAGCTGTGCCTTGTGCTGGGGTCCCACCCAAAACGCGGATCACCGAGTTGAATCGCATTCCGACGACAGCTCGACGACTTTCTTCCGTTCTGACAATGTTCCTCACCAGCATCGAGACGCGACTAGACAGCCTCCGTCACTAGCATGTCCCTCCGAAGACCGCGGGCTGGCGAAATGGCCAGCGACAACGCGCCAATCCTCCAGCTCCAGGATGACCGCCCTGCTCCCCCAGTTTGGCGAAGGCGGCGTGTCGCGCGTTCGCTGATCCGACACTGGAAGCTCGCAGTCGGCGTCCTCATTTTGTGTCTTATCGAATCCGTCGTCCATGTGCGCAGCTTCAGGATTCAACGGCCGGCGACCAATCTCGACCCCCCGTTCCACGTCGGCTGTCAGACGCCCATTCTCAACACCACCGAACGTGCCAATGCCGCGATGGTTATGCTGGCTCGTAACACTGATGTCGACGGCGCCATTGATAGCATACGGAGTGTGCAGAATCAGTTCAACCAGCACTTTGGGTACCCTTGGGTATTTCTCAACGACAAGGATTGGTCGCCAGAGTTCGTCTCGAGGGTTGGCAAAGTCGTAAAGGAGACTGGCGGCGGCGAAGCAGTTTTCGAGAAGATCCCTACCTACATGTGGGGATATCCTCCCTGGATCGATCAGGACAGAGCACGAAAGGAGATGGAGAGTATGCAAAACAGGCGAATTGCCTATGCCGGCAAGGAGAGTTACCATCACATGTGCCGCTTCAATTCCGGGTAGGCCCTCTTCCCCTGACGACAGGTGAGCGCGGTATCTAATACAGCTCAGCTTCTTCTTCGATCATCCCGCCCTTCTGAAGTACAAGTGGTACTGGCGAGTTGAGCCAGATATCGAGATTACCTGCGCATTGACCTACGATCCCTTCGTCGAGATGGAGCGAAACGACAAACGGTACGGCTATACCGTTGCTCTTTGGGAGCTTGGAAAGACTGTGCCGACACTTTTCCACAAGCTATCCGATTGGAAAAACAAGAGAAAGATGCCCTCGACTTCGTTGTGGACCGCCATGATGGCCCCCGCATGGCTTCCGTGGCCGTTTCGCAAGATCCTGCGTCTCTTGCGTAACCGCGACGGCAATGGGGACATGTGGAACATGTGCCATTTCTGGTCCAATTTCGAAATCGCCGACATGACGTTCTTCCGTTCGCAAGAGTATCGCGAGTTTTTCCAATTCCTCGACGAAGATGGTGGCTTCTACTACGAGCGCTGGGGAGACGCCCCTGTTCACAGCCTCGCCGCTGGGCTGTTGCTCCGTCCTGATCAGGTACATCACTTCTCGGACCTGGGCTACGTGCATAAGCCATTCCAATACTGCACTTTTGCGCCCCATGAGGACGCATTCAAGCGAGGCGAGCTGGTCCCCGACTTTGACGCCAACGACGTGAGAGAAGCTACGGAGAAGGAAATCGGATGTAACTGCTTCTGTGACCCCAACATCGACCAGGTCGCCCCCGAGTGCTTCAACAGGATCAAGAGTACCGTCATGTGATTGATCCAATTTTGGAGGACAAAGGACGACATTCTGCCCAGCGTGACCGGCGCTAGCACTCTCCAAGGTCTACGATAGGTTGATTTCGGAGGCTTATTTCACACTGTCCCCTATTTTGGTGATGGACATTCGAAGGCAGGTAGTCACACTCTCCAATACGAAAGGACTCAGGCTTTGGCAGAAGTGGGTTGCACACGAGCCGAAGGAGCGGGATACAGCGGCTGCTGGACCAAGGGCGCTTTGCGTGCGAAGCAAAAGCCTTGTCTTCAAACTTAGGGCACTGTTTGCAGAATTGCACGGCCAGCTACGTGCAAGCTGCCGCCCTCACGCTTTTTTTTTTACGGGAAACTCCCGCCAATGATGAATTACACTTCTCATCCGCTCTCACCGTCCATTCCCATTGCTTCAACAGTGCGCAACTATAACGAGATGATTGGGCACAATAAGTGATTGAATGGCCTCGCGGCGTAGCACTGGTCAACGCAATGTTACATTCATTGCGCCCGCGGCTGAGAAGATCGACCTTGTACATACAGATTGAGCAGGTACCATCGCCCAACAGTGGGGGGCTTTCACCATCATGGGATCCCATGAGATATGAATGCGGTTCGAAGGGGGAAGCTGGCGCATCGTTTTGCGGTTCAAACACTGTGTGCTTGCTCACGTGCAGACTTCCTGTCGCAATCTCGACGAATCTCAGACCAAAGGCTGCCACGCCTCAGAGGTTACCCCCTTATTCGCTGCGTGTCGTTGGCGCTGATAGCACGCAGGCGAAGAGACGATGGAACGGTGATTTGAGGATATATAGCTCGGGTCCATGCAGCGGCGAACCTGATCCATGCGTGGTATTTGCTGCCGCCATTTCACGATGATGATAGACGGCTTGAAATTGCTTCTTGCGGTAGCGGCCCTGCTGCTGCCAGTAGTCTTCGCCAATCCTGTCTTAAGGATACAGAATCCTCTGATCGCACCGGTACCTACTTGCTACCGCACGATGCAGATGAACTATCAGCCTGGTCAGTGTTCAAAGTCTGGATTACCGACATTGTGGCTAACGGAACGCCCAAGCCTTCGACTTTGATATGGATAGCTGCTACAATGCGCCCGCAGTAGACCCTACTGGGGCTGTCAATCCTGGTCGAAGTACTTGCGATATAAAAAATCCGAACAATGCCGTCGAGTGCCGTGTGCCGTCGTACCTTCACAATAATAATGTCTATGTCCGTTCACGCACCAACAGCGGATGGACTGCCCAGATGTACGGTTACTACTTTGAGGTGGATCACAAAGAGACCTGCTCCGGTCATCGTCATGACTGGGAACATGTAGTCGTCTGGCTAGAGGGGGACGTGGTGAGGTATAGCAACACCGAGCCTTTGCGTAAACTGGAGCAAGCTGACTAGCCGCAGATACGTAGCTGCTAGTGCCCATGGTGACTATGAGGTACGTCCCGTCCAGGACGCCCTTGAAGTCAACGGACATACCAAGATCGTCTATCATCGGGACGGGAGCAGCACGCATGCCATGCGTTTCGCCAAAGAGGGCGATGAGCCACCCGAGAACCATGGCGGGTCTTGGTTCTATGGAGGCCTGGTCGACTACTACGGGTTCCCCAATGACGACGTGCGCGCCGCAATGCTGGCTAATGACTGGCTGCCGGGCAAGATCGATTTTTCTGACGTGCGGTTCGCCGATGCGCTGGAGTTGGCCAAAGGCGGGTACGACATTCCCTTGGACGTTGGCCGTGATGACGAGGGGACGACCTATCGCCCATGCTGAGCTTAGCAGAGACGTTTCATCCAAGTCGGATCAAGCGGCGGAAACAGAGGTGGGTTTATGCGGCAGCACGCTTGGCTTGAGGGTATCCAAGGTGGCCGCTTTGCTCTTTCACCGACCATAGCTATGGGTACGTACATAGCCAATGTCTCTCATCTGGCGACAAGATCAGTGCGGACACTGCGTGGAGCAGCCTGACTTGTGGTACTCGACATGTAATAGTTATGTTGTCGCTACCATTTCAGTACCGATTGAAATGAATGACGTCTAATTGCCCGCCAGTTTGGACGCGATCTCGGTCCGAACAAAGGTCGTGTTTGATGTGTGTCAATGTCATGAAGAGGTAAATTGGTAGAGCCCGCCCCTTACGTAATGACAGGGCGACGTCTGGCGACCCACAATCACTGGGGTGCCTGCGCCAGCGCCACCACGCTCACGTCCAAGTCCATCATCACTACGGCCGACACCAAACCGACATCGGCTCGAGATAAGCTCTCATCATTTTAAGCTTGCCTCCTCGTTGGAATATCTTGGCGGTAGTTGGATGCCGCTCTTTGTTACAAGCTGTTGACGATTCTGACGGCGAGTCATCACTACACACTCACTTCGTTCTCCGCGTTGAACAAGACAAGGCTCTCAAGAAGAGGAGTTAAGGAATCGAGAAACCGCAACATAGATTGACTGCTCCAGGAGAGAGAGGCACACTTCAAGGACCAGGTCCAACACCTACGGCCACGAGATCCACGATGGTTGATGTAATGGAGCAGACCCCTCCTCTCCTCCATGGGCCCTCGGAGAAGGAGAGGAAGTATGATCGCCAACTGCGTCTATGGGCAGCTTCAGGCCAATCTGCCTTGGAATCAGCACATATTCTCCTTGTCAACTCTGGATGTGGTACGGTCGGGGTGGAAACACTCAAGAACCTGGTACTCCCGGGTAAGCCGTTCTGCCGTGACACTGGTGCATGAAAAGGGGCTGGCTCAGCTAACTCTGCAATTCAAACCTCCTAGGAATCGGCAAGTTCACGATAGCCGATGAAGCAAAAGTCTCTGATGCGGACTTGGGCGTGAATTTCTTTTTGGATGAGGGCTGCAAGGGCAAGTCTCGAGCTCAGTGCTGTGCAGAGCTTTTGACCGAGTTGAATCCAGAGGTTCAAGGCAACTGGTGGCCGCGTGAAAAAGTGAGCCTGGCGTCTACAAAGGGAATAGTATGCAAAGCTTACCGTGGTTCAGCAGTCATCCAGCTTTGAAGAGCTGTTGGGGAGTCCAGAGCCATTCACAGCCATCTTGTACTCTGCGCCTATCAGCGAGGAGCGGTTGCGAATGCTGGAAACGTACGCGTCCCAGTTCCAAACGCCTCTCGTAGCAGTGCAATCGGCGGGATTCTACGGGTATTTCCAGGTCAAGCTCCCCGGGGCCTTTCCGATCGTGGACACTCACCCCGACGACACTGCGATTGATGACCTCAGGGTCCTAGCCCCTTGGCCTGAGCTGGAAGACTTTGCCCGGAACATGACGAAGAACTTCGAAAGCCTCGACGACCACGAACATGGGCATCTCCCAATGGTGGTACTGCTACTGCACTATCTCGAAGAGTGGCGGAAAAGCCATGATGGCGCCAATCCTATCAGCCTGAAAGACAAGACCGAGTTTCGGAAGGGCTTGGAGGCGGCTATGAGGAGGGACAACGCCGAAGGAGGCGAGGAAAACTACGAGGAAGCCGTGTCTGGAGTCATGAGGCACGTACAGCCGCCGGCTCTACCCAGCACGCTCCGCCAGGTGTTTGACTATCAGCGCCAAGGGACTGTAAGCTACAGAAATACGCGTGTCGATGCGACGCAGCTGACATTGGAACAATTAGGATGCAGACTCCAGCTTCTGGCTTATTGCGGCTGCTGTGAAAAGATTCCACGAGAAGCATGGCACGTTGCCAGTGTCCGGCGGCCTTCCCGACATGAAAGCACAGTCGGACGTCTATATCAGACTGCAGAACCTCTACAAGACCAAAGCCCGCCAAGATGCGCGCGAGGTGCTTGCCACTGTACGCAGCATGGAGGGCGGGGCAGACGTCGACTCGGCTGAAGTCGAACTATTTTGCACAAATGCGCGGTTCATCAAGCTCATCAACGGCGCTGACGTGGCGCCCAAAACTCTTGTCCATGTCACAGGTAAGCGAGGCGTAATAGGAGCAGGTTGCGGGAAGGGGTCCCAGTTCGACGCTTGAGAGGCTAACCCTTGGTTGCATTGCAGAGCAGGAGCTGGCAAATGACGAAATGGCGGCTGTGGTCGGGCCGGAGATGCCTTACTCATTGATTGGCATCTACCTCGCGCTCACGGCCACGACGCACCTCGAATCCGCATCTGAGGAGGACATTGAGTCCTCCATCGCTAGGCATGTGCCCATCGCCGCCGGCCAGGAGCGGATATTGAAGGCAGCCAAAGAGGTGGCACGAGCTGGCGGTGTCGAACTGCACAACACATCGGCTGTTCTTGGCGGTATGGTTGCGCAGGAGATGATCAAGATCATCACCAAGCAGTACATCCCCGTCGACAACACGTGCATCTTTGATGGCATCGACAGCCGCTGTCAGGTCCTCCGCCTATGATGGATCTTTGATGGGTAATAGCCCAGAGGGCCAGATGGAGCACCAGCTCGCATCGGCGTTAAAGGTTAAAAAGTCGGGCTTGGTGATGCGACGCGCGGGGGTTCGGGGTATGGGGAACCCCATGGGTAGGATTTCGGGAGATGTGTCAAACCGGGGCCAAGTTCCGCGAAGGGAAGGCGTATAGGATATTAGGAAGGGTGGCCTGCGAGGCATCTCCCCTTTTGGCCTCGCAACCCTTGTTGATCATGCAGCTTAGGGCGACTCGCCGCATCGCAAGCGCGTGCATCTGCGTACTCGTGTACGGTCTTGGCCGCTCCCCACACAGACTTTGTCCCCCGCAACAGAGAACCGCCTACTGCAGGTGTTCAGGCACGCACCTAGCTTCCCGGACCGTGAATCCTTGAGCTAACTTGATTGTGTTGTGCATGGTAGGCAACAAAATCGACAGATCAGATGAGCCTTGATGAGCTGTGGGAGAGCTCCTCCAAGAGTTCGATGATGCATCCACGGACCACACGTGCACTATGAGGCCATGGCACACTAAGACTAGTTCTTCCGGCACGTATTACGGTTGAATTGCCCTGCGTCAATAGTCTATCGGCTCGGCTATGGAGCGGCAACTGGCAAGCAAGCCACCGCCGCTTCTCGGCCATGGTGATGATGTCGGCCGAAGCGTTGCTGGAGATGGCGACTGTGGCGGTGTCCGTTGCTTGATCTCGCGATGTTCTGATTGTCCGGGCAGACTCACCGCCGGGTTAAGGATGTGCCACTCAATCACAACATCAACCATACAGGTGCGACCTTTCGATGCCTTGGTATAGTTCACCGCCCCATATTATAGGTCACATTTGTCGACTGCAACGCTGCTCGGCTGAGCTCGAAAATCCATCCGCCAGCCGGCTGGGGGATTGCCATCATGGTGGCCAAGTAAAGGTGGATGAATGTTTACTGCTTCCAAACACTCGTTCGTAACTCAAATCGGCGAGCGCCACAGATTTTGTGGCGATTCTACACCATCGCTGATGTCATGTCGTCCCAGGGAGCTTCATAACGCAATGCCAGATGGTTGATGCAGGACGGCACGATATTGACACCCTGTTCAGGTCATGTGCGACTTTTTAAAAATCCGGGGTGCCTCGCCAGCTTGTCCTCGAGACGGCCCGGATTTGAAGTCGCCTTCTATACCTGAATGAGACTATGATGTCTTGGGCGCCAGGGAGACGATCGTCAACATATGTGGCCTTCGCGAACCAAGCTCGTACACGACCACTGTTTCCCCACAGTGAAGATCGACGACGGAGCTGGAACGAGAGGGTCCGCATTGATCATGATCCTGGCAGGCCTACGTACGTACATGCGCGATCAAAAGAAGTGAAAGTAACGAAAAGCAGAAGTGATTCACGAGAACGCTGAAACAGGAGCCTGGAGGGGCAAGGAGCTGCGGATAATTACCTATTGTTCTGTTTGGCTGGGGGCACGGGCGCCAAGTTTTGCATACATTGCTGCCAGCCAGCCAGCCAGAGGGCAGATCGAGGCTCACCGGGATCCCAGGATGCCTGACACGTGTGCGGGCACATCATAGGGAGAGATGGCTGATGGTGTCTGGACTCTCTCTGCCTGTGGAGATGAAAGGACCTTTGCTGGTTCCAGGAGTATTGCTCTCATGAAATGGTTGTACGTACACACAAGTCGGTCCATCCCGTGTTACCTGTCAGGATCCCTTGAACATTCATGCATTCATCAAGCCAGCCGCCGCCTAATATGTGTGTATAGTAGTAATTCGAAATCCCCAATGAACAGCTTCCCTCGGGGAAGCCTGATGAAGGCTGGCACGTTGAAACGTGGTGCTGCATGACCGTGACGTCCCCGCTCCGGGAGGTGATTTCTGTGGAAAATGAATCATGACTGGACCGCGTACTCCGTACAGTTGTCAACAGCGCAAGCCCCCCTGACACGGGTACCGTGAGATATTATTATTGTACTGAGACTGGACTGGCTGAGCGTCGGCATATAAAGCGTCCAAAGGCATACCACTGACAGAAAATACCGTTTCTTGTCATGGTGGACAGTGAACCCGCGCAGGACCTATTAATCACCGATCTGATAATTAAAAAGCGCAGACCCGAGGTTGGAATACGCGGTAATTAGTACCTGTAACTTGTGAATTGTGATGCACTTGGTCGGAAGGTTACGCCGTGGTTCCGTGCCTGTCCATTTCTCCAATTCATGCGAAACTCTGATTCCGCTGCACTAGACTACAAGTAGACTAGTACTAACCGCAATATCAAAGCGTGGCTCTATTGTTCTGGTGCTACCGTGCTAGTCCACTCCGTAGGCCCGGGCGCTAAAGACATGGAGCACGGCAGTACCTCACTTAGCCTACCCTGGTTAGCATCACCTGTGAGCCAGCTGTCCATTCAGGCACGATCCATCATCCCACCACACAAAAAATGCGTACCCCGGATTTGGGCGCTACCTGCGTCCAGTCGACCACTCATACCCTATTGCGAGTCTGCGAGGCAAGCATCCTCTCCATGTTTCTGCGAGCGATTCTCCAACTGGCATGGCGACATGCACGGGTTTCCAAGCTTCTTCAGACTTTTTTGCCCGTGGCCTTGAGGCTGGCTTCGCGGTCCGTCAACCCCCCCCCCCCCGCTAGTTACTAGGCACCCCTCGTTAAGCTTGTTCTTCCACTTGCCGCTCGACTATGTACCTGCTGACAACGAGCCTGCCTGCATTGGTCGACAAGAGCTCTGCCAGTGTCGGGCGAGGCCACAGGCATCGGGGCAAGCTCCTCTCCTCGAAAATACCACACTGTCTGCACCTGGCAGCAGCTTCTTTTCTGAAAATGTCTCCAGGGAGCACATGGATCTGCCCCAGCGCGATGGAGGGCAGACCCTGATAGTCACGAACCTGCTGATCTTTCCCGGCCTTTGGACGATCGTTGGACAGTCCTGTACCGCCATAACCGGCTGTTCTTGATTATGGCTTCGTCAACGCGACCACCCGAACGCCACGCACCCTGAACAGTCTTGTGCTACGCAGTCTTTGCCGGAACCGTCACAGCGGCGTCCGTCCGTCTGGTACGACCGCACGGGTATGCCGTTTACGTCAGTCCTAGTCTAGCTAATACGTAGGTACTATGGGCCCATAAACAACAGCAAACACGCACGTCGCCGGGGTCGGGCCAATCCTATCTGGTCCCTGGCCAGCCCGTTCGGCAGGCGGCTAGGGCAAGGTAGGTAGCTTGGGAGGGTTGCAGAGTCGTAATAGTGGCTAAAGTGACAGAGACGGGGCGTGTGAGGTGTAGGCATCGCGCTGTTGCCGCCGCCGCCTTGTTTTATTCTGCCAATGTACGTACTCTCCACGCAATTATTAACCTACACCCACAAGGATGGGCATTGCCTCTACGGAGGTTCATGTTCCCACACACAAAGCCCCATCTCTGCTCCCCTACACCCGCTCAGCGGGCTGTTGAGGTATCTCTTCCAAGGCACTTCACACCCGCCGAGGTCTTATGAGACCACACACACCATGACCAGCAGCGAACCCTATCATATCCTGGCAGCTTGACTCCAGTCTCCATCCCAGCGCCTCAAGATGCTTGTATCTTTAGCACCCCTGTCCCCTGTCCCCTGTCCCCGAACCCCCTTCTCCACACTTTGGTTCCCGCTCACGCCTGTGTCTGCCGATGTGCTGTCTAAGACGTCCGCACGTACCGTGGCCAGGGTGCTGGGGGTGAGACCCGAAACAACGCACGATACTTCATTTATTTAAATAAGTGTTCCATCGCCGCCGGCCTCTTCAGTTTGCCACCTCCACGTCAATGGTGCTCGGCAGTGTTTCTTGGCTCCCATGTGTATACTTATCCAACCTTGTACTCGTGCTCTTCTCTTCGATCCCATCCATACGTCTATGTGCTCATGCATGAACGACCAACAGATCTTGGCAGCATCAGTATATGGTCCTAAAATCGTCCAACATGGCACCAACAGCTCATCCGCCAACTCAAGGTGGCATGTTCCACACATGTGAGTACCTGACACTTCTTCCGCATCTACAATACCGCCCGTGCCTAACACTCGAGTCCAGTTCAGGGAGTCACCCCTCGCAAGACTCCCACTGAAGCCAGCGATGGCGGCAAGTCAAATGCCAACAGCGGCAACAAAAGGATCACAACACCACACGCATGTGCTGAATGCAAGAGACGCAAAATCCGCTGTGACGGTCAACAGCCCTGTGGCCAATGTCTTTCGAGCCGCGCTCCCAAGAGATGTTTCTACGATAAGCATCGCCAGAGGGTCATCCCCTCGAGGAAGTGAGCAGCCCCTTCAAAGGTCGTGTCTAAAATAGCGATGCTGATGAATCGACCCCAGGACCTTGGAGGCGTTGTCGCAACAATTAGAAGAGTGTCGATCCGTCCTCAAACGACTTTATCCCGAACACGATGTGCCAACCCTCCTATCACTTTCCCGCCAAGAGCTGGTGGACATTATTCATCGAAGGGACGCCAACACGCCAGAATCACTGCTTTCACCGTCATCCCAGGGCTCGCCCATCAAGCAAGACTTCGATTCCTGCCATGGGTCCGACGTCAGCTTCACCAGCTTCGAACAGATGCCAGGACTGGATGCAGAGTGGGACGACGAGCGACGACGCCAGGAGTCCATGCCCTCCGAAACCGATGCCCTGAACGCTGGGGGCCTGATGGGGGATCGCCAGACCTCGTATCTCGGAGCTTCATCAATCAAAGCGGCCTTGATGGTCATGCTCAAAGCTCAGCCTCAGCTCAGACACTCGCTCACTCCGCCACTCAACAACGTTGAGATGACGAGCAATCTTCCAGTCATTCGACAACGCTCCATCGTGCCGAAGGACACGTCACGCATCCCTTGGTCATGGAAGGGCCAGACGCTGATCGACGCGTATTTTAAGCGCGTGCACGTCTTCATCCCTATGCTGGAAGAGGGTACTTTCCGCTCAGACTACCTGGAGGGACAGCGATGCGATGCCCCTTGGCTAGCGCTGCTCAACATGGTGTTTGCCATGGGCAGTATTGTCGCCATGAAGTCGGATGACTTCACCCACATCGACTACTACAACCGAGCCATGGAGCATATCACCATCGACGCCTTTGGCAGCAATCACATTGAGACGGTGCAAGCTCTGGCCATTATTGGTGGCTACTATCTTCACTACATCAACAGGCCCAACATGGCCAACGCTATGATTGGTGCGGCTGTCAGGATGGCCAGCGCTCTGGGCTTACACCGAGAATCACTTGCGCATGGAACGACAAGCGACGGAGCCTCGGCTGAGACACGGCGGCGTACTTGGTGGTCGCTCTTCTGTCTCGATACGTGGGCCACCACAACGACGGGCCGCCCGTCTTTTGGGCGGTTTGGTCCGGCTATCAACATCAATGCCCCTGGATTCGGCACGGATCAGGTCCACGACTCGGCGCAGCATGCCGGCATTCTGCCCCTTGTCGAGAATGTCAAGTTTTGCAAGATCGCCACACAGATCCAGGATCTGCTGGCCATCACCCCTCTCGTCCGGGCGGAAGACCGAAGCAACATGGACGGCCAGCTGGTGAACTGGTATGGCAGTCTACCCTGGCTGCTACGCACGTCGGATCCTTGCGCAGAACCACTCTACATTGCCCGGTGCATTATGAAGTGGAGATACCAAAACCTGCGCATGCTGTTGCATCGTCCAATCCTCCTGACACTGGCTAGTGGCAATACCCAGCCCTCCGAGAAGGATTATGCCGCCGTGGAGACGTGTCGGGAGATGGCCAAAGCCACCATCGGAGACATATCCCGTGAATGGACTCGGAATCAGATGTCAGGATGGAACGCTGTCTGGTTCCTCTACCAGGCGGCCATGATACCTCTGGTGAGCCTGTTTTGGGAGTGCGGCAGCTCACAAGTTTCCGAGTGGCAAAAGCAGGTCGAGACTGTTCTTGAGCTGCTGGAGGCTATGGAGGACTGGTCCATGGCTGCTCGCCGCTGCCGAGAGGTCGTATGGCGCATGTACGAGTCCAGTCGTCAAACAGCGTCGACGCCCAAGCAGGACAGTGCTCGGGCTCCCGCTTTGCACATCTCGACCGACCAGGGACTGATAATGAACGACGGGGATTTCCACTTGTCGCCCATCGGCCTGGAGTCGGGGGACATGATGGGCTTGATGGAGCAACAGGGTCTTTGGGACCTTGACGGGATGTGCTGGGCACAGAACCAGGGTCCACTGGCCACCGACGGCGGAATGTGCGACCTCAGCGAAGGCATGGCGTGCATGGACTATTCAGCCATGGGCAACGCAGACCACATGATGGACCCTGCGTTCTTTGTGCAATGATTCAGGGCAGCAGCATGTACCATCGGGGTACAATATCGGCGCAGGGCATGATTTGGACATGAAGGTGCATCAACAGAAAAATAGCAGGCGCTGGGTCATGAACTAGGAGGGCACGATGAATTACTTGGGAGTCTTTGGCAGGGGGCATACTCAGCGAAGCGTCTTAGTGGCTTTCAGGGGCAGTGAACTTTCGACTACTACGATTGTACGACAAGGCAGAGTAGGATGTATAAAAGAATCCCCAGCAAGCATAACATCTCAGAATTTCTTCTGAAGCTACATCAATGACTCTTGTATGAAAGCCATACCTTGTGAAGAACGGACTTGTAGACGCAACTTTGACCAGGGCCTACCGGCAGTGCTGAGGGACGGCGGTTTCACGTCCAATGCTAAGGCGAGAGGACGAGATGCACATTGGGGATTTCTGGCTTTCTGAAGGGCGGATCAGGCTAAGCAGCCTGAGTATGGCCCGAGTGATGCCGGATGAGCCTGAGGGCGACCACTGAGAATTCGGGGAGGCTTGTGACGCATTAACCTGCGCAGTCGTTCTGTGTCTGGCAATCTCGCCGAAGTCCATGCGACTGGAAACAACGGTGTCACTGGCTATGCCTGCCGGCAGTTGGGACAAGGAGGTGGAAAACGCGATCTGAAATGTTTCTTCCTCTTGCGCTGGTTGTTTCATTGGCGCGGTCAAACAGGCGAACGTTTCACGCCAGGGTCGTTGCAGATGGGGAAACTAATGCGCCGAAGCGGTATTCATCTGCCGTACAAGGTCTCAATCTGGATAGACGGGCCTCGCTGCCGAGTCACCTTGGATTGACTTAGTGGTAGGTCCTTGGATCCTGCCCTTCGTGTGTCTGACTGAAATGTTAGCAAGCGGGGGAGCACTCGGCATTGTTCGTGCAACATCAACCCCATCTTGTGTGGTCAATCATCGATGCAATGCCGGGGCAAGTTACCAGAATCGTGGGCTGTTGTCCGGGGGTGACGTCGTGCAGCTCATCTGACCGACTTGATGGAGCTACAGAGTTGAATGTGGCCATAATTAGTAAACTTGAATGTACATGTAAGAGGAAGAACATGCGCGGAAGTACGTGATGGTCACTGATGATACGGATTGGTGATGACCACGTGACCCTGCAAAGAACGACTCCGCAAATATTTGTCCTCTGAGTCGCGACTCGCACCCTTGCTTGACTATGACCTCAAGGTGCGCGGTGTTCACCATGTGAAGCGGAAGGCATCTCTGAACCTTGACTGTGAGTTGTGGGAAATAGCTGACACTACAGTCCGAGACTTCTTCGCTCGCGGCACGTGGACATTGTGCTCGCTCTGCGGAGACAAGCAGACGGATACATTATGGAGTTGCAGCGCACTGCGCGCGAGTGAGCAGCTTCGAGCAGCAGTAGCAGGATATAGACTCAGTAATACCTTAGCTGTATGAAAGGTCCATTTACGTGGCTGGATAGCACCCGATGTGTTCTTGCCGTGGTTGGACACAGCGATACTTGACGAGAATGAGATACCCAGCCGCGACTGCCTCCAAGGGCACCGCAACAGCAACGCAACCGCGAAAGGAAGGCAACGAGTACCTCGCTGTATTTCCATGCCACTTCATATTCCGGATCAAACATTTGCCCCGGCATCGAAACCATTCCAGCCTTTCGCCTCGCTTCAACGTCCCCTTGATCAGCACTCGCATTGGCAGTTTCGCAAGCAGGCGTATCGAAATGGAGCACACTCTGACTTGCAACAATCTGAAATGCAGGACTGAACTGGCGGAGAAGGCCTTGGTCACCACGTGCAGGTGAATGAATCAGTCGTGGTGTTTGATAATATTTTGCTCACAAGATACTTATCCAAGCCATATATTCTGTCTCGAGTGTGCACAGCAGCTCGGCATCACCGCTCAAAGCTCGAATCGACGTATTACCTGTCCAGCTTGCAGAGAAGTGTTATCGAATCCCGATGATGCTGTCATCACCAAGCTCAACCCAAGTGAAGACTACAAAACGAGCGTCCTCAGCGGTCTAAGCCCCGATGTCATCATGGAATGCGCAGGACGTGCCCTCAGCTTTTGGACCTACCAAACGAACCAGGAAATCTGTTACCAGCGCCATCTATACAAGACATTGACCGACAAGTATTCGGTGCTCAATCTTCAACTCGACAAGACCGTTAACGATGCCAATGCGGAACTCGAGAGCCTACACCAGAAACACGAGAGTAAGCCAATGTTCGAATGATGCATGTCATGAGCGCCTTCGACTCACCTTATCCGCAGCACTGACAGCCGAGTGCGAGGGCATGCGGCGAAGAAACGAGGGACTTGTACAGCAGTACAGAGACAAGACCCGGCAAGTGCTACAGCTGCAGGAGGCGTATGACAAGGTCAAGCGGAAAGTCGAAGTCGGCGAGATCGAAAAGGCAGCTTTCAATGCCGTGGACTCTTCGATTCTACACGCCGCTCAGCAAGCTACGCAGACGTATGATGCACATAATTATGCCCGCCCTCAGCAGCAGCCCGGGCAAGCTCCTGATCATGCGAGCACGATGAATTCTCGGCAATCCCGTGCCCCCAACCTCGGACTAGGTTTTGGGAACCGTACATGGGCTACACAGCGTGTGTCACCCCGGATAGGTACGACTTGAAGCCAAAGTGAAAAGGCTGCGCTAAGGGGCATAGACGAGAACGTGGGAGCAGCAAATCGAAGCACCATGCGGCAAAGGTTCGGTCAACCAGCAGGACACGGTTCTCCCGACTATCCTATTTACACTGGCACTTCTGCGAATGGCCATGATCTGAGCGGACGCCCAGCGGATAGCCATATACCTAACTTCGGCAATAGCCGTACAGGTTTATCTGGCGTAGGACTAACATCAGGTCTCAAAGTCAGCCAGCCGGCCAGCACGTCCGGCCTTGATGCCCATATGAGAGGGCGCTGACGGCAATTTTTTGCCAGGTGCCAACTGTTGCCCTGGATTACTAAGGTATTTCGGGTTCAAACAGTTCCAATAGGATAAGCGGAATCTTATTCAAGAGTCACAAGGGCGCGCGCTGGTATGCACAGGCATTCTCGGTTGGTCCATTCGGGACAGACCCCCTTTGTCGCATTGCTGGGCACCCTCACCAACTAAGACATTGGCGCATGATATTGACAAAGGCGTCGGAAGGAACATGGTTTCGAGGTGCAGATTTCCTCCACTACAGTCATCAACCATATTTAATTCTTTGTCCAAACTAATCAGTCGACTGCGGTCAGTCCTATCCTGACTTTATCATATCGTCGACATCGGTGCCGTGGTTGTGAGATCAACAAACTAGAACCATCCAAGCCACCCGACCAGAAGGTCCTCAATGATATTCCAAAGATCCCGAACCATATCTAGCCCTCGCGGAGAACATCGAGTATTTATATCGACGCCGACGGGCCGACGGGCTAGTCTTTGCGAGATCATCCCGACCTCTTCATCGCCAGCGCAGATCCAAAACGTTCAGACTCTTCTGGCTGAGGCTCGGATCCTCATCCCTCCTGCCTCATCTTCCAACTCATTCGACAAGGAGAAGCTTGGCCGACGAGAAGAAGCACTGTCATCGCATCCCTCTTTGCAACTACACGGAGCTTTATCGACTACCCGACGCGATCGGGAGCTTTTGTCTGAGGATGGTGATAAGCTAAATCTGTTGCATTGCGCTTGCTCGAGCTCACGATCATCGACATCGGCCGATTTGAAGGAACAACATGTGACTGGGCACGACTTGGAGAATGGGCCGCAGTCTGTGAGGGTGTCCGGCAATGACCGCCACGATCAGACAGGAGTCTTGAAACGGAAAATCCGTCTCCTATCCGTCTTCAGAGCTTGCTTCCGGTGATGCGAGGTCTGGATGATCTGTGTACTCTGAAGGCCACTCGGCACGGAGTGTCTGTGGATTGGTTAACATTGACGTTTCATAAAAGCGTGCGCAGCTCAACATCGATAGCAAAGGTGTGGGCCGCCGAGGCGGAAAATGAGCAATTGGCTGTCCTTTTATGATGAATGAATTGAAAAGGAGTTTACTTGTAATTATTGTCTGCCATACGTAAACAAACCACCGCTCACTCGTGCGCTGGTTGACGCGACGCAGACCTGCATTCAGTCTCGTGCTAACTCCCGCTAACATGCTCCGTGGCTCTAATTGCAGGCCTGGAGGGCAAGCAGGTTTTTTCATTGGTCTGCTCGGCCATACTCCCTTGCTGAAACCAAACGACCCACCCTTTGCAGGCATGCAAAGCTTGACTTTGGTTAGTGCATGGTGATCAACAAGCGATTGGAGGCCAGGCCTGGCCGCGCAAGATGGGGCCCCCTTATCAGCGCCTGGGGGAGGACACTACGAATACCTCAATCAGGATCATCCCGCCTCCAGATCGCAACTCGTCCATCCGAATCCGCCGCGCAACGCTCATTTTCTTTCGCTACTCGGTATCCGTACTGACCAAAGCAATTGGCTGGGGATGCTTGCCGGTACTGTTTGAACATCGACTCCTCTCTCTTTTCGCTCTTCATTTCGTCCTTCCGAGCGCTGCATCAACCCTGCGCCTAAAATTAGTACAATTCGCCTCCCCGCCAATCCCCTGCAAGGAACCGAGCCTCCTGAGTCCTGAGTACCAGGAGAAATTCAGGATCCGAAGGCTGACTGAAGCCCGTGTCGCCTTCGATAAAGTTTTCTACCTGTCTCAAGAATTCCATTCTGGCTACACTAACACTCGATATCCCCGTCATTCGACTTGGCGTCGAACTGCGATACGAGATTGCGAAGCGATTACTACCGAAAGCGCCGAAGTACAGTCCATCCTTCGCGGTGCGCGCGCAACAATGGGCAAGCACTGTAGGTGACTTCCTTGATTGTCGCCTCGGTCCCTCCTGCCAGCACATCAGAGACTGACATCTGTGATAGCGCAGTACGGCGTCATCCTTGACGCCGGCTCGTCCGGTACCCGGATCTACGTGTACAAGTGGAAGAATCCAGCCAGAGCGAGTGCAAAGGCGTCCTCCGAGGAAGAGCTTCGCAGTCTGCCCGAGATTAAACTCAAAGATAGCAAAAAGATTCACCCTGGCGTTTCGTCCTTCGCAGAGCGACCCGGTGCCATCGGCAAAGACCACCTGAAAGAACTCCTCGAAGTCGCCTACAATAAGATCCCCGGCGACAAGATTCCCGAGACACCTGTTTTCCTCCTCGCGACGGCCGGCGTTCGCCTCCTACCCGATTTCCAACAAAGGACGCTCCTCGGCAACATTTGCCAATGGCTTCAGAAGAACACGCGCTTCGATTTGCCGGACTGCAGTACACATGTCCAAGTCATCAAGGGCGAGACCGAGGGCTTGTACGGTTGGATTGCGGCAAACTACCTGCTTGGAGGTTTCAATCACCCACAAGGGGAGGGGACCGGCCTCGACCAGAGTCACCACCATACGTATGGCTTCCTCGACATGGGCGGGGCTTCGGCTCAGATCGCCTTCGCCCCGAACTCAACAGAGGCGGAAAAGCACGCAGAGGATCTCAAGCTTGTGCGCATGCGACATCTCGATGGCAGCCCGGCTGAGTATCGCGTCTTTACGACAACATGGCTCGGCTTTGGTGCGAACCAGGCTCGCGAGCGCTTCGTCAAGAACCTGCAAGAGCAGTACGGCCCAGAGACGAACGAGATACCAGACCCATGTATGCCGCATGGCCTTGTCACCAACATGCAAGGTGATCCGATCACCGGTCAGCCGACCGAGGGCGAGCGGGTTCTGGTAGGGATTGGGCAGTTCGACGAGTGTCTGCGTCTTACGTATCCTCTCCTCGAGATGGACGCCCCGTGCAACGACGAACCTTGTCTCATCAACGGCCAGCATGTTCCTGCAATTGACTTCAAAGTTAACCGCTTCGTGGGCGTTTCCGAATATTGGCATACAACCCACGGCGTATTCGGAGGCAAGGACACCCCTTACGACCTCGAGGCGTACCAAAACAGCGTGCTAGATTATTGCAGCCGCGACTGGTCGGACATTGAGCAGGATGACCTAGAGAAGCGCAAAAAGTCTGCAGAGAGGAAAGCCGAAGATGCGCGCGAAGCTTGCTTCAAGGCTTCGTGGCTCATCAACATGCTCTACGATGGCATCGGCATTCCCCGCGTCGGCTTGGAGGCGCCAATCTTGAACGCCACCGACATGGACGGCTCCTTTCAGCCAGTTGACACTATTGATGGAGTTGAGTTGAGTTGGACGCTCGGCAAGATTGTACTCTACGCTGCGGGCCAGGTACCGAGCATAGGAGAACCTCTACCCGTCGGCTTTGGCACCAACGTGGCAGCAGGGACGCCAACTGATTTTGAGCACGCTGGCTCTATCCCGCAGATGCCATTCACAGGCGGGCTGGACGATGAGATTGAGGATGAAGACATCAACACCGATGAGCCTGTCTACCGGCCACCGCCCCCATCTCACAGGCACACTCCCAAGAGGAAGGTCAACCTGCCGCCCATCATATTCGGCGTCATATTCTTCATCATCATCATTTTCTTCGTTCTCCGCCGGCCGGAGCGCAGGAGGCGTCTGTGGAATCTGGCACGTCGCCGCAGTCGCTCTTCAGGTCGCAAGCCCAAAGGATCGGGTGGTGGCCGAGCACTCACTCTCGCGAACAAGATTTTTGGCAGAAGCCAACACCAATACGAGAGAGTTATGGAAGAGGGCGAGGCCGCTTCAAACATGGAGCTAGGTGGTGCCGAGGTGGACGAATTCGATGTCTCCGACAGCAGCGAGGGGTCTAAGGGGCCGAAATCCGCCTTGGCCTCATCAAAGCAAGATGAAAGCAGCGGCAACAACGAGCTTCGTCCTCCCAACGCCTTGGACCGTCGTGGTCTCGCCGTTCGGACCGAGAGCAGAGAGCGCATGGGTGCGATTGGTCGACGAAGCAGAGCAGCGAGCCCCCAGCGCCAGAAGAGCCCTTTAGCTGCGCCCATGGGTCGAGACTAAGGCAGTTTGTACAACATACATTGAAGGATGTCTTTTCACTTATGTATCAGCCGCGCGGGTTCGATAGGCTGCACTGCTAGCTTCACATGGTTGGTTCGACGGGATGGCAGCACAGTACAACGTTGGGATCATTGGTCACGGCGTCACGGTAGGCTCATAAACATGGCTCTGGACAGGAATTTCGTTTCATTCTGCATGTTGCTAGGGAAGTAATCACATAGGCATTGGTACATTCGTGGCCGACAGGCACTACACGAGGCGAACTATCATTGGTAGTCTGTAATGGGATATTTTCAATAAACGCAGCAATCTTCTGCGCGACGTTTTACCAACAAACCAGTCTCAGTCGGCCTGTTTCTCTAGGAAACTTGGGTCGGCCCTGACTCTTGACTCGAACTTCTTCCACCAATCCTCGAACGCTTTCAAAGGAACGACTTCGACGCCACCCGGTCCGGCTGTTCCGCTGAAGCTGGTGAGAAAGTTGAATGCATTCTGAATGATGCGCTGGGCCAGCACGACGGTAGGCGGTTGACCCCCGGAAGCATTGGGCTTGCTCGCCGCTAGCTCCTGCAATCGCCGCCCGACTTCATCCTCGCTTTCCACGTCGATGCCGATGACCAACCCATCGCCTTCACCACCACCTCCAACCTTGAACATGGCGCTCTCTTTGCCGGGGCCGATGCCGCCTAGAAATTTGAAATTAGGGTTGCCCGAGGCCACCGTCGAGGCTGTAGCCACGTAGATGGCGGCTGCCGTCTGAGGGGGTAGGGTGACATTTGGTAGGAGGAGGATGGTAACGTGGGTGAATGGTTTCGTAGTGGGGAGTGCATATAAGCATGATGTTGGTGAAGGTGTCGACGAAGGCTCGGCGATCAGAGGATGGCCCGTCGGGATGAGGCCAAAGAGTGGAGTTGCCATGGTGGTGATCGAGCTCCTTGTAGACTTTGTATATGAGTGAAGGAAGGCGATGTGTGAGGAGGAGCGTGATTGCGAGTTGTGCGATTTCGCGGCCGACAGGTGGTGGAACAGCGGTTCCGAGCCCTGGCCACAAAGAGTATGCGAGAAGGAGGTTTTCCTGGCGTTCAGAAACTGAATATACTTGCGGGTGGGAGAATCCGAAGGAGCCTGAGTTTTCTTGTCAGTGCTGGATATGCTATCGCCATGTCATGGTTGAAAGTCTGTGGAGTTGACGTCGGTGTGGGGCACGAAAATAAAGGGCGACCATCTGCCTCAACGAGTCAATACAGCGCTCGGTGGTCGAGTAATTGAATCAGAGCGCCGTAATTCCTTACGAAGGCTCAGCTCGTTTATAGCACGGTCTAGGTAAGATCAGGTAGCATGCTCCGCAGAATATCAACAAATCTCTCGTAATAGTAGGTACAGGTAGTAAGTACCTGTAGTATTTTACAAATTTCACGTTGCCGCTGCCCCTCCAAAGCCCCTCCACGATGAACCTCCATTATAGACCAAAGCATCCAGGTCCATTGCGATTCTGGACACAGCCAGAAAGATGAAGTCGAATATCGAACTCATTGGTGAGGTTGACAAGTAAGCTCTTGGATGGTCATTTGGCCCAAGTTCTCTCACTTACACCACCAGGTTCGCATACCCAAATGAGACTTCTGCGAGGCTCCAGCAGAAGCAGGAGACGCTGTGGACTTTGATTTGGCGTGATGACGAGGGCTCCTATCCTATCGGCTATGTTCTTGACCGTGTCGTCGCCGAGCTCCAGGTGGCTCCCGAGGACGTCAGAGGCTCCCTGACGTGCGACGAACGCGCTCGAACAATTCGGCTGCTGGATGGTGTAGGATCTGAGGTTGCAAGAACCCAGCAGATTGCCAAGCTCGCGGGCTATTGGCGACACAAAGGAACCTTTCCCCTTCTAAAAGGCTGGCGGAACGAGCTCTGGCCCGTGTACGGGCGCAAAGGCGAATTACTCTTCAGTATGGAAAGGGCAGCCGTGGGGCTCTTGGGCGCCATGCGGTATGGCGTGCACATGATTGCATATATCAAGGACGATGCGGCCCCATACGGCATCCGTTTCTGGGTTCCTCGGAGAGCGGCAAACAAATCCACGTTTCCGGGCATGCTCGACAACACTGTCGCCGGCGGCCTCGCTACAGGCGAAGATCCCTTCGAGTGCCTGATCCGCGAAGCAGATGAGGAAGCTGATCTCCCCGAGGACGTTGTCCGGTCGCGCGCAGAGCACGTCGATGTTGTCACGTACATGTACATCACAGAAAAGGAGCGCGTGGGCGAGGCTGATTATATTTACCCAGAATGCCAATGGGTTTATGATCTGGAGCTACCGACAGACGTCATCCCCCAACCAAAGGACGGTGAGGTCGAGGAGTTCCGCTTGTGCGATGTGAGCGAGGTCAAGGCGCAGTTGGCAGCAGGAGAGTACAAACCCAACTGCGCCCTGGTGGTGATAGCTTTCTTCATCAGACACGGCATCCTGACGAAAGAGAACGAGCCTGATCTCGTGAGCATTGAGAAAAGGATTCATCGCGATTTGCCATTTCCGGGGCCGCACAAGGAGTCTTCGTTCAAATGGTAAGGCGGGGTGAGACAGCAACGAGCAATGTGTGTCTTGACGCTGTGTACGAGAGCATGTTGGGTGACAAGGTCGATCTTCGTTGCAGATTCTGGATGTCTTCATTCCTTCATGATCAATTCGTTATTTCTTGATGAGCAAATAGACATTGTCAACACGCAAAGGTGTGAGCTTCTTGATAGGTCCCTCGAGGGACATAAGTAGGCCTCCGAAAGAGATGTAGGCATTGCTGCAGTGTTTGTTAGCAGCATGTCCTGAGTTTCGCCGCTCAAACGTACATATTTCGCCCGTCGAAAGTCTCCTCGAACTTGTAGATCTTGCCATAGCATACATAATCGTATAGGTCAGCTAGGGTGTTGGGCGCATCTCCTGCCTTACCCACGTCGCGCCAGCCCTTGTCGTCGTCCTGGCTCCCATCCAGAGCGAGCGTGGTCGCAAGCATGAGGTGTAGAGACTCTCCCACAGCGCATGGGAAGAGTTCAATATTGATGTCGAGCGTCATGGCAGTTTGCTCGTCGGTCGACCGAGCCTGGATGCGCGCGACACGATCGTACTTCGACTGGTCGTAGTCGTTGACCACAAAGGCCTCCTCAAAGAGGGTTGCATCGCTGCTTGAACCGGACATCGCGGGCGGATTGCTGTGACATTCGACTTGAGCGCACGCCTTGAGTGATGGGAGAGTGGTGGATTGATTTCGTGTTTGAATTGAACCAGAAAAAAAAAAGGTCCCTGACGCCGAGAACTGAGGTCACCTCCGCAATAGGCAAAATGTTTGCACGTTCTTGGACCCCACCACACTATAGGTACTCCGTCATATCTCACATCGATTTTTACGACTCAACGATTGATGTCGCAGAGCTCTACGATGAACAGTTATTTTTGTGAGCTCAAATAAGTCATTGGACGCCAGATCGGAATACTTTTCCTTTTCCCATAAGCAGGTGCAACAATGTCCTTTCGAAAGCGCAACGTCGTAATTGGAACCGCGAACAACACCAGTGCCTTGCCAGCAGCCCGCGAAGGGAAATCGTTGGCAGTCGGTGTAAGACCATCTCCTCTTGATGGGAGGCTCACTACATCGACCGGAACCTCCTCCCTCGATCAGCTCCTTGCCGGTCATGGCGGCTTGCCTCTGGGTACCTCACTCCTAGTTCAAGAGGCTGGCACGACGGATTTTGGTGGCACTTTGCTCCGATATTACGCAGCAGAGGGTCTAGTGCAAGGACACCAGGTCCATGTTCTCGGCTATGGAGACACTTGGAGAAAAGAGTTACCCGGACTTGAAACCGGAAAGGGGAAGTCGAAGTCGTCCGTCCAGAAGGGTTCGACAGCGACGGATGATAAGATGAAAATCGCTTGGAGATATGAGACCTTGGGGAACTCGAGTAAGAGACCCGGCCCAGCGAAGGGTAAGACAGTTTCCCCAGAGCTTCCGGCCTTTGACCAAACTAATTTGCAACTTCAGAGTCATCGCCATCATCACTGCCAAATCTTGGGGAGCACCCCTTCTGTCATTCCTTCGACCTCACAAGACGTCTCGAAAGTACAGAAATCAAAGGGCAGGTACATACTACTTTGGTAAATGACTCCTTCGGCAAGGCAACAGCCTCCCCGTTGCGAAAGTTCCTCGCCGAGCTCTCCTCCAAGGTCCAGTCGATGGGGCCAAACACGGTTCATCGTGTCGTGTGCCCTGGCCTCTTGTCACCGACACTTTACACACCGTCGGCTCGTCGACCACGGGAGGTCTTGCAGTTCATTCATGGTCTACGGGCTCTCCTACGCAGATACCCGACCCAGCTCACGGCAATCGTGACAATGCCTATCACGCTGTTCGCACGCTCCGCGGGCCTCACGCGATGGTTAGAAGTACTCTTCGATGGCGTATTCGAACTGGTCCCTCTTCAGCACCAAAGTCAGATGGCTCTAGAGCCTGGGAAAGAGGACAAGTCACAGGGCCTCTTGCGTGTGCATAGCTTGCCAATCTTTCATGAGAAAGGTGGAGGGCTCGAGGGCTCTTGGGTCAGGGAGGACCTATCCTTCAAGCTCAGCGCATCGAGTGGACTGGTGATTACACCATACAGTCTTCCTCCTGTGGGTGAGGAAGATGAAGCCTCGGGTGCTGCGAACACTCCGGACGACAAGAAAGAAAAGCTTGAATTTTGAAGACTGTCGAAAGACTGGCAACCGCTGCACGTTGAAATTTACAGGGTAGGCAAGTTGACCACATCCGTCAGCACCGGAGCCTTGACCGAAACGATTTGTCCGCCGCCGGCTCCGCCAAACATCTGACGAATCACGGGGCCCAGCGCGGTCAAACCACCTCTTGCTCTCAGCTTGGCCAAAGATTTTTTCCCCTTCCACCTTTCTCTCCTTCACTCACCATTCTGCGTTTTGGTCATCCAAAACCTCACGCGCCGTGAAGTTGTTGAACAGGTAAGCCATTATTTTCTTTCTCACAAAGTTTCCCCGACAGCATGATTATTCCTTTGAATCTGTCAATCCCCTGATTTTCCGTGATGACACAACTCATTATTACGAAGACGACTTATGATCCTGTCTTTCAAACAACATTTTGCGTGCCCGCACACAAATATTTGCATTGGCTAACCCCATCTCTAGTAGATAATGTCGTCTTCTTCTTCGCTTCCAGCGCCCGCGGTGCGCATATCGCTCATCGCCGGTCGCTACCTCGTCTTCGACCCTGAAGGGGTGGCAGCTCTGAGGCGAGATAGTAATACATGCGGTACCCTTGTAGGCACAATGCCCCAGCAGCCAACACAAAATATATTTCTTGGCCTTCCCATTGAACTTCGTCCGGAAGAGGCGCAGGCACTCGTGCAACGGGGACGAGCGCATGTCGTAGACGATGCGGCAGCACATCAAGTTGCAATGCATAACCATTCGAGGAAAGCCTACATTGAAACGCTGAGGAAAACAAAGCAGACGGCACATAAGGTTGTGACTGAAAGAAACGCCCAACGAAGCGCTGAACATGCCGATAAGATCGCCCAAGGTCAAAGGAAGGCCAAGAATGTCGAGTCTGTGCCATTGGACAATGTTTCCCTGGATGGAGCCTCCCCAAAGACGCCCTCCGATGCTCAGCTGTTCGCTGTGACACCAACCACGACGAAGGAGCTTCTGAACGCCAAAACGGATGTCGTCTGCGGCAGCCCGAACGTGCCTGAGGCTCCTCTGGCCCGGCATTTGCAATACAACGGATACTATATGACACCGGGGTTGCGCTTCGGTGCGAGATATAGCGTCTACCCTGGAGATCCGTTGCGCTTCCATGCCCATTACATGGCCAATCAATATGCTTGGGAAGAAGAGATCCCGATACTCGACGTGGTTGAAGGCGGTAGACTTGCGACAGCCGTCAAGAAGGCCTTCCTCATCGGCGGAGAAGAGGCCTGTCAACCTGGCCCGTCAAGCGATGAAGGAAATGTTAGAACATATAGCATAGAATGGGCAGGCATGTAAATGCTGCTAGCTTGGTGGAATGAACCAAGGAAGCGCTTCAATCAAATGATTGCACACTCAATTGTCAGAAATACGATAGTAACTTGACCTAAACATGTAATGTACGCCGTGACTCCTGAAGCTGATGCTACACGATTTACACACGCGAAGGCATCTCCCAAAGTTGAACAAGCAAAGGGCAGGGGCTTGCCGTGCCCAAAGCCATCTCAAGGTACGAATATTCTGCTAAAGCTCATCACCTCCCGCCTGCAGCAAACACACTTGTCGAAGTTATTCATCGCAAGCGCGATGCGGCACTCGTCACATAAGCTGAGGCACCGACAAGGCCAGACAATGACAGATCGAGGAGAGCACTGGCACACAACACATTGAGGTCCGTTCTCGCCAAGTAGGCCCGCGTTGGAGGAATCTCGGGTTGCCGTCGGTCCATTTCGGCGGCTGAGCAGTAGCTGCTCGAGAAGGTGTTCTTCCTCCTCAGGGGTAAGCCTGGCGCGCGTGGATGAAGTGACACTTCTCGCGCTCCCCCCTAGATGGTCCATACCACTGCCGGGATTTGTTAGGATGCGAGTGCGTTGCAGCTGCTCGAGGCGCCGGAACTGCGATCTTGTGACGATCCGGTCACTCTGAAAGTGAGCTACCAGGGCTTGTGCATGACTTCTTTCTTCCGGACTTTGGGGCTGAAGCAAGCGGGCAAGGTCTGTCATTGAGAATGGTGTGTCAACCAGCGAAGGCTGAGCTTGATTCCCATGGAAAGAACGCTGAGTTGGGGTCCGTTGTCCGTCGTCGATGTCAGATTCCCAGCCTGTCTCGTCATCACTGTGCTCGCTTGTCGTCGATGCCGAAATGACGCTTGTTGTGTCCCAGTCTTCGTAGACCTGATCAGGTCGGTAATCCCCACTCTCGTCCTGAGTCCCCCACCATCCACCTTTCAGAAAGTACTCGTATAGACTCTTGTCAATTGCCTCGGAACTTTGGTCTTCGCTCTGTCGAGTGATTTCAGACTCAATATCTTGTGCGTTCATGGTGGCCGCAGCGCCGTCTCGCACTGAAGCAGCACGAGCTCCTGACCGGAGGTCGCCATACTTCTCCCCATCCTTCGAGGCCTGCCTGCGCGCCAGCCTAAGCAAAGCTGTTGGCTGCGCACGTATTCGTGCAACCGATAGAATCCAAAGGAGCGTTATTGCGCCAATGCGCAAGAAAAGTTTGCAGATGTTGAGGAAGAGACCAAGGGCCATTGTCCATCTGGCACTCCTTTCGCCGGCTCCCACGCCACCGACACGAAGAACCCTTTCTCCTTGAGCAGCTGGGACTTTCTGGGCCGCACGTTCCCTTGAAAACCCGTTGGCGGTCACAGCACCACCTTCTTTCACCGGGACGAGGCCAATCGCGCCAATCTGGTCATACCGGTCATGACCTAGGCCAGACCCGACCCAGGCTCGTTGCAGATCTTCGGCTTCTTTGAGGCGAGCTTCTTCCAGCCACGTATGGCGCTGTAGGCCGACACCTCGATCCTCGTTAAGATACACAGCCTCGCTAGCCATCGTGACCGCTGCAAATCCGGTCCGTAGCAAAGCGGTGTAAATGTCCATCTCACGTGTGATTCTGATATCGGAGAAGGACACGGCCTGCATGTTCTGATGTGCCCGAGCAATGCGTTGGCTGAGGGTTAGGGGAATGTGACCCTCCTCAGGAGGCGGTGAAAGCGCAGATAATACGACACCAAGCCCGTAAATAAACAGGCACAGAATAATGCCAAGCAGGACGAGCATATGCGGTATCAGACCAATGATGCAGACTGTGGGATAACGTAGCAGACCCTGCGAGTTTGGATCGTCGAGATCGAACGCTAGGACGCTAGTCATAATTGTTGACATGAAACAAAATGCCCAAAAGCCGGTATGAATGAGACGCCACTTGGCTTGAAGATCGAAAATACCGAGGACATGACTGCTGATGTGTGTCAAAGCGGAGAGAAATGCAACAAAGAGAACTTCCGGTGGCGTGTTGACCCTGCGCATGATCATTGATCTCGTCAGCGCGATGGTCGTTCCAGCAGTGGCTTGTGAAGCGCGAGGCGCAAGCTTAGCCATCTTCGTCCACGGGAGTTGGTTGCTCACGGCTGCGTCTGCCTCGGCAAATGCCAAAGACTGCTCGAATAAGGTCATGGCAGTCTCGTACGCATGCCGACGGCCTTGCACAGCGCACGACAAGGTCTCCAAGAAGTGGCTCATACAGAAGGAGCCAAAGAGGGGCCATAGGCGCGAAAGTGAGCCCCGTAAGTCATAAGAAGATGCCGGATCGTCGGCCGGGATCATCTGCACTGCGCGACATGACTGCTCGTCGCTCGCGAAAAGGATGTTTGATGCAAGCCCGTTGAAAAACCTGTTGGGATGCGCAAACATCAACTCTGAGCTCTTTGCCCCCGTATTCCACCGAAGATGCGCGAAGTCTGGCGAGGTCTGGCACTGTAGAGATTGGAGGATGCTCATAGCCTGGAGGGAAATCAGAATGATGGGAGTTATGCGGATCAGAAGTCTAGCCGTCCAGCGCAAACGGAGTCTTCTCCTGGTGGCAGCATAGATGTGTGTTCTGTTAAGGATGATGGCCATGGCGGTGCAAGCTATGGCCCAGCGACTGGTTGCGTAGCTGAAGACACTGCCGAAGCCGCGGACGCCATCAACAGAAAAGCCCGAAGACCTGACCGCCGTGTGTTGTGCCATATCTGCGGCCTCCCAGTCTCTCGTAGCTTGGATTTGCCGATCAAGCCTTTCGTACAGCGGTGGATCGCCTACCAGCCGTCGCAGCGTATCGAGGTGCACTTCATGAGCAGGGTCTAATGGCAATTCGCCGATGCTGCTCTCAGGGCCTCCAGCAGTGGTCACGAAAGAACCGATTTTTCTGAGCATGCGGGGACCAGCCAGAAGAACGTCTTGATACGATGGTGTCAATCGCATGGTAGCGTTGACGGCCCATGATGTCAGGTTGGACCAGGTATTTGTAGCATCGCGAATGTCGGGAGCAGCGTGGATCGGGTGGCTCGTGGAATCGGTCATGTCGATCTCTTTGTGTACAACTTCGTCGCTGCCTGCGCACCCACGTGGCTGTCGTGCAAAGCCGGGCTTGGATCGCGTTGTCGACGATAGTGATGTCCGGTCAGACACGTAAGACTGCCCCGATGCTCAACGTCGCTGGTACTGTTGGGGGGCGCGCATCGTTTTGTCGCTATTGAGACAAAGATTGCCGTTGGTATCCCTTGGGCAGCAAGGGATGGGTGTGCGGCGGAGAAGAGTATCGCGTGGGAAAGCCCGGCTTCGCTTGATGGGGCAAAACAGGCTGTGTAACTTAAACGTGAGGCAAGCTCGCCGTTGTAAGACAACGACGTGCGTGATGCATGGGTCTACGCCAGATGGATGAAGGGCCCAGCCTCGGCCCACTAACCCGACGCCGCCGCCGCTGGGGATTCGTGACTAAATGTGGCATGGCGCGCGGACCAACGGCTGGATTGCGCCTTAATTAGAAGTTAAAGAACTTAATACTGTAGAAGCCGCTCCTTGTCCTGCTTTTATTAATAGTCTCGCCTCTACATGCGTCCACTGAATTCCGGCAGAGGCATTATAGGTACTCTATCGGTCGCATTATCGTGGAGTTGTAGTGAAATGTGGAAGGATATGCAAAGACACGAGCAAGTGTAAATAGCATTTTATATCGTTTCTCTCGTACACCGTATACGTGTTCAAGGATATATTTCCCCAATCTAACTGACTGCTAAAGCTGGGATGTCTTCCGTCGGGGGTTTCTTCTTTGTTTTCAGCCGAGCGACAGACGTCAGGATTGGTGACCTGAACACAGCCCGTGTTGCCTGTGAAGAGTACACACACTGGTGCCTTTCCTTGCAGAGGGACCTCAATGTTCGACGCAGGGCAGAACGCCTCTGCAGGCAACCCACGCAAGGATGCTCCCGTCCAGAGGCTGTTCCCTGAGATACGACCTGGTTCTTGGACCTATACAGCGAGCCGAACCCATTCTCATCGGCGTGAAGGGGAATCGCACACGAAAGCTCATTGTTTCGAAAAAAGTTCGTGGTAGACTTTATCTCACCATCACACCTAAGAAATCTAGCCGCCACATGCGCTTCTCTGCTCCCTCGCCAAGGGCCTCTATGATTCTCTCGGGTTGACAATGGCTCAATTGCTCGCGATGGCTCTGGTGAGAGTGCTAGAGATTGCCCGGCTGTTGCCTTTGCTCGCGTGAACGGCTCGCGCAACCAGATCTCGGTATAGATCGGGGTCCAACGACGGTACGTCGCCCTTGAGCCATAAATTCGTGATCTCATCTCGGGCTGGCAAGTATGCCACACAGCAGGCTGCAAGGATTTCGTCGTGCTCGAGCGGCGAGGGATCCAGCACAATCTCGTGTTGACCTTTTTGCGCTCCAGGGATTAGAGCAGCCACTCCTCCAGCTACAGTGTCCACGCAATCGATGCCGGCGTCAGCAAGTGCCGCTGCTGCCACGGTGACACATGCGCTAAACACATTCATTGCATCCCATTCCTCACTCCCGCTGTCAAGTGCAGTCTGTCTGGCTTCCTCGCCTTCGATGATTGTTACAATGACGTCTACGCCACTCTTCGGCCACCGATCTGCGATTAAAGCTCCCCGAAGCGCAGTCTCTAGGTGTGTACTGAGATCCCGCTCGCTAGAGTCTCTCAAATATCCGCGGCGATGCTTAGTGGCAAATGGAGCATACTTAACGTGTGTTGAGAGTACCATATGGGGTGAGAACGGTGCAGAGCGAGGTAATGAGCGTGGTCCATGAACCGTACATGTTATCTTCATGCCGCTTCCCAGAGATGGATCGCGTGCTTCGCATTCGAGGTAGGCTGACCCTGAAGCGGATGGAGTCACGCCGGTCTGCAAATCTGCGCTGACTTAGTGAAAGAGTCAAACTGAGGGAGTATACATCATGCCCTACATGTTCCTCGAATGCCGTTTGCTAACCTTGTCCGCTTGGAGGTGACACTGGAGTCTTCATGGAACCGAGGTGGCAGAGTCGGAGCACTTGGCCCGTTGATACGTCGGCGATCAGCCATAACTATGTCGACGGATCTTTTCTGAGAAATCGGACTTGTGGGCAGGAAGCTTTCAACACTGGTGAATGACGGTTCTCCATCTCTATCCTTCACTGAGAACAGGCAGGTGATTTGTTCACCATTTTTTTGCGACTCTCTTACGTACTTACAACGTCTACAAGCATATCTTCAGACTCACGGGCCCATGCTTATCTCACCATTGATGTGAAATACACTCGTGTCGGTTATAAAGTAGTTGTGAAGACGCCATTGGGCTACCAGCAGCCACTCGTGGAGATTAGGCATATTTTTCCAACACTCAACGTAATCCTTCTAATAGGCACTTTTTCGCTCTGACACAATATGCTGTGATACTTCTCTCTAATTGCATAAGTTTCAGGTACCTTACTAGTTGCATATACTACCGTCCCACATAATATCCACACTTGCCAGCGACCTTAAATTCTCGCGTTTGCATTTTCTTTCTCGCAAGCCATTAAAATTGGCTGGCTTCGCAAGTCAAGGCCCAAAGCCCTCGAGACACAACGCCCTCGAGGCGCCATGACAACAAAACTAGTCACAGCGCCATGAGTCGGCCAGCAGTCACTCCTTGTTCTATTAAGGTAAGTTTTCACTGTTTACCAAGCAGCAGCCCTGCCGACTCTCTGATGAATTTACACCACTGTTCCTGCGACAACCTGAGCAATCCGAACAACATGCACTACCATCTGATTTTTATCCTCAACGCTGTCTACATTGATTGGCACTGCAGACCTTTGGCTAACGGATATCACAAGTCGGACCTGCAAAAGTGCACGATGCCCTGGTAGATCACCAATGGTCTACATTCGTCTTTGGTAAGCAAATTTCTTTCTCAACCTTCCACCATCATTATCTGTCGATGATGAAAAATCTTTTTCCAGTTCTGCTACTGAGTTTCTGTGACGACTCCCAAATTTACCATACCAAGATCTCTGATTGATCGACCTATCACAACTGTTACCATGCCGAGCTCTGGGTGATTCATCCGCTAACATGGACATTAGGACGCAAAACATTCGAGTGTGCGCATCGTAGAGCTCACGTACGTCGACATCTTCCATACGGTATGTCGAGTTGCTTGAACCCCCAAAAACACAACACCGATGATGAAACAAGTTTATCCATTCAACTACCGTACCGGCCATGTCGTTCTTTCACACCTTAGCAGATCATGTTTGCGATGATGGGTTGTAAAGTTGCTTTTATTAGTTTAATTCGACTACAGTGCTGAACTCCTGGGTCGGTCCGTTTTGGGCTGGGTCAGGCGCGAGGCCGGCTGAGACGACTGAGTAAACTGGCTTGGCTGAGCTCCTCACTCGACCACATATTTTTGACGGAACTTCCGCGAGCTTTGCTAATAGTCACGTCAGGACCTGTATGATTCAGCCTTCAGATAGGCTCGGCGTGCTTGCCACACCAAGATCGCTTTGCTGACCTCCGATAGTGGCCGCTGTTTCCCTGGCCGCAACGACAAACCAGGTTCTTGGAACTACAAGTGTAGTAACCATGGACAAATCCACCAAACCCTGCCCAGCTTTGCCCCATCCTTGCAGTAGACATGGCATTGGGCCTCGTAATATCGTCTCCTACTCGTGAACATATTGCCAAGTAATCACAGCTTGTACGAACAATGACGAGCAACTCAGGTCCTAGTTATCGGATCAGCGCATACAGTTAGCAATTAATGAGACATCCAGAACATTGACCGGATCCCCAACTTGAATCCTAGCCAGCGAAGTCACAGTTTACAACATTGTTATGTATTGTGTGTCCTGCTCTTTGACGAGTCAACTGCCACTGCGATGAAGGAGCTTCTCTAAGGGCGACAATTGGGGCCGATTAGTGAGGTAATGATATGTATTAGCTATCGAGAAGTTTTCATTACACGCATTTGGAATTCATGCTGATTTCAATGTTGAATATCGTTTGCCATTCCGGTGGTTGGGCGTTTGGTGCAGGCGATTGGCCAATCAACTGCGCCATCGCCGCGTCTCGCGATTTAAGGTAGGTACGCAAGACGGCAAGTTACCTTGGGCTGCCAGGATCCACATCATTCGGCGACCCTGGAACTAATAATCATTGTCACCCTTCTTCTCAATGTCAACGGTTGCACCACATCATTCGGTGATAACACCTTGCAGCATCCTGAGATAGTCGAACGTCGAGTTTTCTTGTTCGATTGTCGCGTGCCTTTCCACGTTCGCGCAACCGACGCTGCGCAAGTCGGAGAAGGCGCCAGCTGGCGTACCCATCCAAGGGGCTTGCCATCTGGCCAAACCAACACGAAAACGTTACGATAACGACTCGACATGATTCCCCGGCACCATTCGAGCGGCTTCGCCAATGGGCACACGCGAGAGAAGACCTTCGACTTCTCGCCCCATCGGTACGAATGTGATACACTAGGGAGCGCTCGACTCCCCAATCCAGGCGCTCGCGACTAATGCCCTGAACCTAGATTACAGCCACGCGCTTCCGCAAACAACAACCGACATCGTAAAAAGCTCGTGGCTCGCATTGGTGCGGTTCTCTTTGTTGTCGTGCTGGTTACCATCTGGCTATGGCCATCAAGTTCTGTCGCATCACTAGTTTCCTTCGGTCTGTTGGCGTCTGGCACTGATCTTGAGCTGGAGACCGTGCGGTATTATGATCTCACAAATGTGCAAGGGACTGCGAGAGGTTGGGAACGCGAGGAACGCATACTTCTCTGTGTGCCTCTGCGAGATGCCGAGGCCCACCTGGGGATGTTTTTCTCTCACTTGCGCAACTTCACCTACCCTCACCATTTGATCGATTTGGCTTTCCTGGTTTCTGATTCGAAAGATCAGACCCTCGAGGTACTGTCTTCAAGTCTCGAGGAGTTGCAAGCGGATGCGGATCCCAAACAGCCGTATGGCGAAATCTCTATCATTGAGAAAGACTTTGGACAGCAGGTGAACCAGGATGTGGAGAGTCGCCACGGCTTCGCAGCACAGGCGACTCGCCGCAAACTGATGGCACAGGCCCGGAACTGGCTGTTGAGCGCAGCACTGAGGCCATACCATTCTTGGGTGTATTGGAGAGATGTTGATGTGGAGACAGCGCCCTTCACGATTCTTGAGGATCTTATGCGTCACAACAAAGATGTGATCGTTCCCAGTGAGTTCAGACTCGGCGACTCCCAGCATAGAGGAAGTACTAATGTATTGGAGATGTTTGGCGCCCACTGCCTGAATGGCTCGGGGGCGAGCAACCGTACGATCTGAACTCGTGGCAGGAGTCGGAAACTGCTCTCGCTCTGGCCGATACTCTGGATGAGGATGCCGTCATTGTGGAGGGCTACGCCGAGTATGCCACCTGGAGGCCTCACCTGGCGTATCTAAGGGACCCCTACGGGGATCCGGACCTGGAAATGGAAATTGATGGCGTTGGTGGTGTGAGCATCTTGGCGCGGGCCAAGGTCTTTCGGAGCGGCGTGCATTTCCCGGCTTTCAGCTTCCAGAAGCATGCTGAAACCGAAGGATTCGGAAAGGTATCTCCCAATGAGCTATATTTTTTGCTGCTGGTTAGCTGACATGATGAACAGATGGCTCGGCGCATGCACTATTCTGTTGTCGGATTGCCCCATTATACAATTTGGCATTTGTATGAACCGAGTGTAGACGATATACGGCACATGGAGGTATGTTTTCATTGGTCATTGTTTTTGCTATATCGATTGGTACTAAGTTGTTCACCAGGAAATGGAACAGGAACGTCTCGCCCGAGAGAAAGAAGAGGAGGAGAAAAAGAAGAAAGCAGCGAAGATCAAGGAAGAATTTGGCGACGCTGATACGCAATGGCAGAAGGATAAGCAAGCCATGCAAGACTCAAAACTTCAAGCCAAGGATGGAGTCAAACCCGTCAAAGCTGCAGAAGCAGAAGGTGTCGCCCAGGGAAATAAAGGGGCAGCGAAGGCCGCTGCTGCACAAGCTGCTGACCCAGGAGCTGCCAAGGTGGCAGCTTAAAGATATCTTCTGCTGTACTTCATGACATGTATCAGATTTGCTAACGTTCGCTCCTTGGGGATAAGACATCAGCTTTCTAATTTATAAGCGTTGAAATATAATGGGCGAATTTGCGTGAAGGCAGCCATGTCGTGAAATTGGTCAAACGTGAGCGAGCCTTCCGTACGGTCCACGGAGCTACGTACCCCGTAATCAATATGCTTAGGACGGGCCCGGGGAGGTCCAGTCCCGCTGGGTCCAGTCGACATCCCTGAGCCTACAGGTACGACCAATCATGTACAAGCTGCACCTAAAGAAGACGACACGGTAGGACTGGAGTTCAGCATCAACCACCTCCATCAGCAAATCCCGACTCGTGTGTAGAGAGCGCATCTTCTTTCTTTGTCACATGTTTGTCTTTGGACTCCATGTATCGGCCAGCTGATTTGCGCTTTGAGATATAGGTGCTGTCCCACTTCCTGTATTACAATGCTGGATTAACAAGTTGATTTTAGATCCAAACCGGAGGAGCCACCGCGAACGATGAACCGCGATGCACGCCCTGTCACAGCGATGGAAACCACACCAACTCGTGGCGTTGTGCCGAACGCGCCTCGCTTAGACACTCCACGGATGCAGTACCGAAGTCGGCCGGTCTCTGTCGCTGTCGATCCTGTGTCTCTGGTCATATCAGAGTGCATCTCCATCACCTCCGCCATACAAAAGCATGCTCGTTCGCAGCACTCGTCGGTTTCCGCCATCCTAGGTGTTAATCCTAATCCAATACACCTCGGCCCGCCGAGTCCAATATTGCGAGGCCAAGACAGAGAGTCTTCCAGCAATGCTGGTACCGACGATGCGCATGAACATGCGCTTGGAAACAGATGGGGTCTGCGAGGACAGAGAGGGAAGAGCATGCAGGACAACCCCATGATTTCTGGGTTCGGAAAATTGCGACATGACATCGCCGGCCACAAAGGTAGGACTCGTCCCGGTCGTAGGCACAAATCGTGTCGCTACCGCAACCAGCCGCTAACGTTGTACTTTCTAGACATTCACTCCTTCGATGCGCCGTCTCTCCTCGCGCCTTTCTTGCATGTCATTCAAGCGAAGGGTACTGCAGCCCCTATCACGATTCTAGCGCTTGGAGCCCTCCGGAAATTCCTGGCATACGGCTTCCTCTGTCCCGAATCACCTCGATTTGCACATGCCATGCAGTCGCTATCTGCCGCGGTGACGCACTGCCAGTTTGATATCAGTGATGCGGGTCAAGTGGAGGTTGTACTACTCATGATTTTGAACTTGATGGAGGACATGATGTCGGGTCCTGGCGGCGACATTCTCAGCGACGAGAGTGTTTGTGATATGATGGGTCGGGGTTTGGCCATCTGCTCACAGCCGAGATTCTCACCCGTCCTGCGCCGGACAGCCGAAGCTGCAATGGTCAGAATGTGCCAAATTATCTTCGAAGATGTCAAGCACATAGAGATTGAGACCGGGCCAGATGCTGGGGTGCTCAATGGAAGCGCTGGGGGTGACGAGGTGCACGTTCACATGACCAATGCAGATGCGGTCCCTGTATCAGCGGCAAAGGTCTCGACTGAAGGCAAAGAGGGGTCTCAACCCGAATCTCAAGCACCGGCCGCTGCACCGGCCATCGCTCGAACGGGCCGGCGGGGAGATGTGGACAAGTCAGACACGGGTGCAGAGACCGACTCTGATGCGGAACACCCTAAAGCGGAAAACGACAGTCAAAGCGTGGATCAGACCGACGGGAAGGAGTCTCTCGACCTTAAGCCATACTCACTTCCCTCGGTCAAGGAACTGTTTCGAGTATTGGTCAACTTCCTTGACCCGCATGATCGTCATCACACTGATACCATGCGTGTCATGGCTATGCGAATCATTCATGTGGCTCTTGAGGTAGCTGGGCCCTTCATCGCTCGCCATCCTGCTCTAGCAACCATCGCGGAGGATCAGTTATGCTGCTACCTATTCCAGCTGGTGCGCTCCGACAATATGGCCATATTACAAGAAGCACTAATGGTTTCTGGGACGCTGCTGGCGACATGTCGACCTGTGCTCAAGCTACAGCAAGAACTCTTCTTGTCCTACCTCGTCGCTTGCCTGCACCCAAATGTCGAGATCCCAAGAGAGCCAGGAATCAATCCCTCTTTGTATTCTGGCATTCCTCAGACGCCGAAACTTGTCAAACCAGCGCCATCAAAGACAGCACAACCCGCAAGCGGCCGCTCAACCCCGGTACCCGTAAAAGACAGACAAAAGCTAGGGCTGGAAGGAGGCGCGCGCAAACCAGATGCCCGCCAGGCAATGGTAGAGGGCATCGGTGTGCTCTCGCGGATGCCCACCTTTATGCTGGAGCTATTCGTAAATTACGACTGCGACCCGGACCGAGCTGACATGTGTGAAGACATGATAGGCCTACTTTCGCGCAACGCCCTCCCGGATTCAGCCACGTGGAGTACCACTAGTGTTCCGCCGCTATGCTTGGACGCTCTACTACGGTATATCCAATTTATCGCCGAACGCCTTGAGGACGAGCCTCTCACGGAGGGGTTCCCAGACCCAGCCATGCTCAAAGAGCAACGTCAAAAGAAGCAGACCATCATCAGGGGCACGGCGAAATTCAACGAAAAGCCCATGGCTGGCTTAGGTTACCTCGAGACACAGGGAGTTCTTACCGATGCTCGTGATCCGGTCGAAGTCGCTCAATTCTTGAAGAGCACTTCCAGGTTATCCAAAGCTGTTCTTGGCGAATTTCTTTCGAAACGAGGCAACGAGGCGTATCTGAACGCTTTTCTGGACCAGTTCGACTTTGCAGGGCGTCGCGTTGACCAGGCGCTGAGGCTGCTCTTGGAGTCTTTCAGATTGCCGGGTGAAGCTCCCCTCATTGAACGAATCGTCGAAGCCTTTTCAGAAAAGTACATTGAAGCGGCTCATCCACCTGAGGTTGCAGGCAGTGAAGCCGTCTACATCTTGACGTACGCTATCATTTTGTTGAATACAGACCAGCACAACCCGAACATGAAGGATAAGAGGATGACTCTTGAGGCATTTGCCAGGAACTTGAGAGGCACCAACAAGGGCGAAAACTTCGCGCCCGATTTTCTTGAGGCCATCTATCAATCTATCAAAACCAACGAAATCATTCTACCAGACGAGCACGACAACAAGGATGCATTCGACTACGCTTGGCGAGAGCTGCTGCTCAAGACGGAGTCAGCTGGTCCTTTGCAAATTTGCGAGACAAACATTTACGACGCCGACATGTTTGCCGCAACCTGGCGACCGGTTGTGTCTACTCTGTCTTACGTTTTCATGTCTGCTACAGATGACGCGGTCTTTGCTCGCATAGTGACAGGTTTCGATGAGTGTGCGCGCATCGCAGCAAAGTATGGCAACACTGAGGCTCTTGACCGCATCGTGTACTGCCTCAGCCACATCTCTACACTGGCCTCGGATGGACACTACAACACAACCCTCAATACCGAAGTGCAAGCCGGAGACGGCAGAGTCATGGTCAGTGAGCTTGCTGTCAAGCTAGGCCGAAACTTCAGAGCCCAGCTGGCGACACTGGTTCTCTTCCGAGTAGTGACCGACAATGAGGGGCTTCTTCGAGACAGCTGGGAACATGTACGCCCTAATATCTGCCACGACGAACGTGACTGACAACCTGTACAGATCATCCGCATTTGGCTGAACCTATTTGTGAACTCCCTCGCGGAACCATTCTCGTCTCCAGATCTCCCTCTCTTCCCTATCCCCCCTATCCCCCTCCAGCTACCCTCACAAGTGATCGACCGGGCTGTGAGGTCCGCTGACACGGGATTCTTCTCGGCGTTCACGTCGTACATATCAAGCTATGCTGCAGACGACCCTCCCGAGCCCTCGGAAGAGGAACTAGAAAGCACGCTCTGCACCGTCGACTGCATCAAGTCCTGTGGAATTGATAACGTCTTCAACAATATCGCGTAAGTTCACAACCCCAAACAAGCGTTTCTTAATCACAGAATTTGACCGCCTGTTTAGCCTACTCCCGGCAGCACAATCAAAACATTTGGTCGAGGCAGTGCTTGAGCAGTTGCCTGAGAATAATCAAGAAGAAGTTGTGATCGCCGTGAAGCAGGAGGGCATGTCCTCTCCTGTCCCGAGCGGCGCGGGAACTACTTCTCCGCCCCTTAAGTACGACCCTACTGTTGCTTTCTTACTGGAGTTTGCCACCATGCTGGCCGTTCGAAACAACGATTCAGTTGAGGCTATGGGAAAGCTTGTCTTCGATACCATCCAGGCAATTCTGCGAAATCCTGTCATGTGGCACCCTACTACGGTGTCCCGGGCGACGTTCTATGCCTTGAAAACACTAGAAGCAACATATGTAGGGACGCCAACGGCCTTGCGACGAGATTCAGACTGACAAATGCCAACAGGATCACGATTTCGCCAACGTACCCTACCTTCTCCACAGCATAGCCACGTTGCCAGCTCACATACTTGGGAAAGGGGCCGATTTAGCCCTGGCAGGGCTGGCTGTCTGCGTTGATCAACCCGGTCCTCTAAGAAGTGAAATCATGACGTCGCCCGATTTCTGGAAGTTATTGCACGTTCTAGCAACACAGCCTAAAACAGCGGCTATGGTTTTCGATATCCTGGAAAGGGGCGTATCAGGTAATTCGCACGCGATTCTGGCAGATAACTATGAGGCTGCAGTCGGACTGCTTAATGAGTTTGCGTCGTCTGCGCGACCCTTATCCATCAAAGAAGACAGTGGAGCACGGCAACCAGGTGAACTCACGCAGGAGCAAAAGTGAGTATTACCCCATCTATCTCCACACAGGAACCGTCGGCTAAAGAAACATCCATAGGGACGAGACGGCCGTGTCTCGCGGGTGCAAAGCTATCAGCATCCTGCAAAGCATGACAGCCCGTGTGCCGCAGCTGATCGAGCAATCCCACCTGGAAAGCAGTGAGGCGTGGGCGGCATACTGGCTGCCGGTTTTCCAAGCCTTGACCAGACAGTGTACGAACCCATGCCGTGAAGTCCGTCAGCTGGCCTTCTCTTCCCTTCAAAGGTCCTTGCTCTCGCCGGACCTTACGCGCAATGAGTCTAAGGAATGGACAGCCATTTTTGATAGTGTCCTGTTCCCCCTTATCCACAGGCTTCTCAAGCCTGAAGTCTTTTCAACAGACCGTGACGGCATGGCTGAGATGCGAGTGCAAGCGGCCTCGCTGCTGTGCAAGGTTTTCTTGCAATATCTTGTGTTGCTGTCGGAAATGGGCGGCATGCTTGATCTCTGGTTGAAGATTGTGGATATAATGGACAGGCTTCTCAATAGCGGACAAGGTGACAGTTTGGTGAGTCAAGACTATCTTCACCCGGTTCCCTTCACAATACTGACCCGTTTCTACCAGGAGGAGGCCGTCCGTGAGAACCTGAAGAACGTAGTGTTGTTCATGGTCAGCAGCGGTTATCTGGTGCCTCCCAAGCAGGATCAGTCCGAGGCAGTTCTGTGGACCGAAACGTGGAAGCGTATCGATCGCTTCTTCCCCGAGCTGCGCAGCGATCTTGCGCTTGAAAACGATGATGCACCAGATGCGCTTCCGAAGAACGGTGTCGAAATTGCCACTGATGAAGCTTTGCCACAGCAGCATTCAAACAGCCCTCCTGAGCAGGCACCAAACGGGAGCGAAGAGGCTGAGGAATGATTTCGCGTACTTGCGGGTCAATGCCACATTCATGAGGTCGTGATCTGTACGAACGGCTGGGTCCTCCTGCTGAGCGAACACGATCATCAAAAACTGTACAAAGTCATAGAAATAGATAGATGGGTCTAACAACAGGCAATAAACTCCACACATCTGCCAAGATCATCTCACGTTTCGTCGCTACACATTCATCAAGGGAATCCAGCTCGCCGCAAACGCCACTCCACGCTGCCAATGCCATCTATATCTTGTACACGAACTGGCCATCCGCAAACCTGCTTGATCAGCACTGTAGAAACAAGAAAGGGGTTCTGAACTTACATAATGTGATTGGCTTCCTCGAGCTTCTTGAGGGCCTTGGAGGCTTCTGCTTTGTCAAATCTTTCACGGCTGGGAACTTTGCCATTGACTGCCTTGAGCACGTCGTCAAAATGGGCGGCGTCATCCTCAAAGAGACTCGTGCTCATTAGCTGACCAAGAGCAGACCTGAATGTAGCCAAGCGCGGAGCATCTATGGGAGTGTCGTCGATTGCGAGGTCAGCCGCACCACTCGCGAGGTCTTGGTCAGCCTCATCGTTCTGTGTCGGTTCGAGCACCTGTGATGCCGGCAGCGAGGAGGCAAACGACGTCTGCGAATCATCCGCTGGATTGGCAGACCTCCCACTCCGAGTCGAGCGCCGGGGCGTAAGATCAGGGGCATGCCCATGATCATCATCCTCATCTTCCCCATGGCCATGAGTTCCAGTGTCTCCCACATTGTCGCTAGCCCTGTTGGTTTTTGAGCGAGTCGATGCTCTAGTCGCCCTGGTCGAGGATCTTGCAGTGCGACTGCCCCTTTGAGTCCCATTATCGTCGCCCTCTTCACCTGAATCATCTCCAGAGCTTTCTTCACTAGATGAAGCGAACTCAGGGGCCTCGGTCCTACGCCGCTTCCTTCGCGAGTGATCTTCGAGAACCTCTTTGAATAGTGCGAAGCGCAGAATCCCCTCAGCAGCTAGCGCGTCCCGTTCCTCAACTCTCGGCGACAAGCGAGATTTCGCGTGAGCCGTAGCAAGGCGGATCAGAGTCTCTAATGTTCGAACAGTGAGAGGGCTGGTGCGCCTCTGATTACCCTCCATCTCGTCGTTTCGCAGACCGACGTAAATCTCGGCAATGCGCTCGGAAGCTTCTGGAGTGAGAAGCGGACGAATGCGTGTCTTTGCATATTGAATGTATTTCTTCATGAAAGGCATACTCAAGATCTCAGGCTTCTTGTTAGCCCCCCTTCCTGAGGTCACGGTGACGCCGGCATGAAGCATTGCATCGTATTTCTCGAAGACATCGGTCTGCCTTTGCGTGTTGCTTTGCTCAGCAGCAGACACTCCAAGAGATTGGGTGCCTTGTTCCCGTACAGGAGCACCTTCTTCTGTGCCAGCCTGCCGGTAGCGATGCATCCGTAGAACATGCTCCGAGACTTGGCGATCGCGGGTGTCCTCGATATCATCTGTGACAACGAAAAGCAAGTCGAAGCGAGACAAGAGAGAATCCGGTAGGGCGATGTTCTTGTGAGGATCCTTATGAGGATCGTACTGCCCAAATATCGGGTTGGCGGCGGCCACCACGCTGCACCTGGCATTCAGTGAGGTGTGGATGCCCGCTTTCGCAATGGTCACGGTCTGTTGTTCCATCACTTCGTGTATCGCTACTCTGTCCACATCTGACATCTTGTCAAATTCGTCGATGCACACAATGCCTCGGTCGGCCATAACCATAGCACCAGCTTCTAGACGTCGCTCGCCTGTTTCCTTGTCCGACGTAACAGCTGCAGTAAGACCGACACCCGATGATCCACGTCCAGTGGTGGCGATAGCCAGCGGAGCGGTGTTCAGTACGAACCTCAGGAGTTGTGATTTGGCTGTGGACGGGTCTCCGACCATTAAGATGTTGATATCACCACGGAGGTGAGTACCGTTCTCTAGGTTTTTTTCCATCCCACCAAGGAGCATGAGCAAGATGGCCATTTTGATGTAGTCATGCCCATAGATGCTAGGCGCCAAAGACTGTGATAGCAGCTGCAAAAGATTCTTCTTCTTAGAGACCTTGTTGATGTTGCGAATATCCGTATCAGTGATGGCCGCCGTAGCAATACCGCCCCCAGCTTTTGAAGAAAGGAGCACGGCATTGTTCGCAAGGATTACAGTCTTGAAGAGTGCGCTGTTGTGGTTTGTGTTTCTGTTGCCAAGGGTTCGGTAGATGCCAACAAGCTGAACTCTGTCGCCCGGTTTGACCCGATCCACCAAGTCGTCGTCAAGAATCACATCAACGCTTCGAGGAAGCAAGCCTGGAGGAGCTCTCTCGGGCATCTCTTGGATCGAAACAGTCTGGTGATCACGATATGTGCAGAATCCGTATTCTGTTGTCAGCGGGTTGCCCTCGTCATCCTCCCGTGGGTACACGTTCGAAGTAGTAGCACCGTTTGTCATGGTTTGATCCTGATATTCCCGGAAATGAAACTTGTCCTGCTTCTCATTGTAATGCACGCTCCTGACAACTTTAGGGCGAATGAGTGAGCAGCGCGTCACAATGCCCTCGAGGGAAACCATATCATTGAGATGTTTCGATGACAAGGAGCGCGGATTGCAGGAATTGAGTCCGAAGCTACCAGCCCATGCACAGTAGTATATTGTGTCGCGCGCAGTCTGGTCAGGACGTGCTTGTGGAATGGTTTCGACGATCTTCTTCAAGGCATGATCAAAAGCCACAGTGTAGTCCGAGGGCTGCTTGAGAACTCCTCGAGCGAGTTCGGCGTTGTGGTCTCGGACGTGGTCGAGGTTCACCACCAGACGACGCTGATTTTTCTGCAGCATCAGAACAATATCTGAGCGGTAGCTTCGTGCGTAAGAATCGCCTACAGGTAAAGCAGTGTTAGCACGAGGGTGGCAGGAGTGCCGTAGGTCCCATACTTGGATCTAGGAATTCTTCCGCCTGGCGAATGCGATCCCGCACGCCTTCATCTTCGAGCATAAAAGCGTCCATGATGCTTGTTTAACACAGTAGGCCGCGAATTTGCCGTGAGTTCGCAATCAAAAGCTCGGCGATCCGGCTGCGACGCGATGATAATGGCGGGTAAAGATTTCTGTGTCTGAGTGTGGCATTGAACAGAGGGAGGGGCTGAGCGCGTCGCTCACACGCGTCGTTGACGCGTTTTGGCGTTAAGTGCCTGCAGATGCTGGTGGGGACCCTGGCCAAGGTAAGGCTACTAAGTATAGTATCAGTACTCAAATATGCACTGTGCGCGACTGTGGTCAGGCAGTGACGCCCTACCCGCTCATACGTATACGCATTCGATGACATGAGCGCTGTACTCCGCGTGAGCTCACAACATACCTTTTCTCGCTGTGTACTCGTAACAGAGTTATTTCAGCGAGTACCAAACCCCTCAAGTCTGACGAACCATGGCTGTTGGACTTTCGGCTGTTGGGAATCCCGCGGTCGACGAGGAGGCTCGGGCTGAAGTGGACGTTCTCAACTCACGTCTGGACAAAACTGCGCAGCTCACGAAGAAGATCCAAGCCAGCCTCGGTCGACTCGATGCGTCCGGGCAATGCGTGCGCGATGTGGCCGGTCCTCTCAGCGTCGAAACCAAGCGTCTTCAAGTGCTTGGCAACAGTGAATCTCGACCAACGGAACATCATGCATGTTAGAGGTTGCTGACTTCGTCCAGACATCGATGCCGTATTGGCCGCTATAGAGCGATTGAGGCAGCCGGCCGACAGTAAAAACAACGAGGAGGTCATTATTCGATCTGGTCCAGAAAATGCCGGCCTATCTAATTACCTAGCCTCCATCCAACGTCTCAATGTGTCTCATAGAGACATGCAGGCATCCAATCTACGCGCCAACCAGGAGACTATGGCGGAGCTAGGACGCCTGATAAAGTCTGGAAATAGTCAACTGGAGGGTCACTTCGACAAGCTGCTGCGGATGGAGACGCCACGCTTGATTGAGCCCCTACATTACGTGACCAAAGATCAGCCATTCCCTATTTTGACTCGGGACAATTTCGCTCATCTCAGACTCATCTATTCACACCTTGCTGCTAATAATCACCAAAGTGTGCAAGAATCGTCTGTTGCCACAATCTACATTGAGATTCGCGGTCCCTATCTCGCATCATCGCTCTCGAATCTGGCAGCAGCAAGTGTCAACACGGCGAAGAAGAAAACCCCACAGGCTGCGTACAAGCCAGGGACAAACGGCATCGGGACGTATGCGCAGGCTATGGAAGGAATATTCGTGTCTGAATACGATAATATTTGTCAGATTTTCGCTAGAGATGATTGGGGAATGGTCTTCCAGGCTACGTGCCAGCCAGCGCTGACTGAGCTGGCCCGAACCCTGCGGGAGATCAACAGCCACATCAAATCCCATCTAGGGACTGACTGCTTTCTCGCCTATGAGATCACCGAAATCATCTCGAGTCTTTCGGGCAACCTTGAAACCCGGACTGGCGAGCTGAAGGGCGCGCTAGCCGCTGCACTCAAACCAATCCGAGAGACGGCCAAAATGTCTCTATCGGAGCTCATTGAAGATGCCAGAAGGAAGGTCAATGGTTTGCAAACGCTCCCGGCCGATGGTGCCTCGGCTCCAGTTGTGTCAGAAACCATGCGGCGCCTACAAGCAATGGTCGAGTTCCTACGCCCAATGTCTAGTATCATGGTATCTATTGGAGATGGCGGTTGGAAAGGCCAAAGCTCGGCAAACAGCCGACCGTCGGACGCGATCCCGAGTCTGGCATCGTTCGATGTAGGCGCTGACGGTCGGGAAATTTTTGCACACTACTGCGCAGATACCATCGATGTTCTGCTATCCTCTTTGGAGCAAAAGGCACGCATTCTGCACAAGAACATCTCATTGGCCGGCGTCTTTCTCGCCAATAGCGTGATCATCATCGAACGAATGATCGTCGACTCTGACTTGTCGCCTCTGCTGGTGTCGAGATCCGAGACGCTGGCGCAATGGCGCAAGAAATCAACAGCCATGTACACAGACGTTTGCAAAAACCTCTCGGCCTGTCTATTCGACACTATCCACACCACGAGAACCAATCGGCCGACGTCAGCCTCCGCGGACTCTGCTTCAGTCGTAAAGAATCTCAGCAGTAAGGACAGAGACAAGATCAAGGAGAAGTTCACTCAATTCAACAGCGGCTTCGACGACATGGTCTGGCGTCACAAGTCATACAATATGGAGCGGGAAGTGCGCGCTCTATTTGGTGAAGATATACGACAGAAATTGCAGCCGCTGTATGAACGCTTCTGGGATCGATATCACGAAATTGATAAAGGCAAGGGGAAATATGTCAAGCACGACAAATCCCAGATGGCTGCCATTTTCACCAGTTTGGCATCGTGAGCCTCGTCAGTCCTACTCCCCGTACCGTCGCCTTTCCTCCAACTCGAAGTCCCGAAATGATCGCCTGCTCCCGTTCACCCCAAAGCACCACGAAGACAGACTCACGTCTTTCGAGGTAATAACTTCGCAACTTGAGTTTGGGCGCTGCCATCTGGCTGCTGGCAGGACGGTGTTCCAGAACCAACAAGCATGTACTTGATGCACTAAAGCCAAAGGGCGCGACGTCGGCATTCAATGGACTGATGGCTATGATTATCAGTTCATCAATATATGCGTAGGGTCTGGTGGGGTGCAAAACGTCAGCCCGTACCGTTCGTTTCATTCCGGGCACTCATCGCATGTTCCGCAATAGTCATGTGTTCCAAGATCTGCAGCTTTGCAGCAACTGATGCAGCATTCGTTCACGGGCCGGTCGCTTTGTTCAGTCACCATTGCACAGATGTCTTCTTATGCAAGTCCGTCTTTGACCTGCATGACCGATTGCGTCTATGCTCGGAGGTGGTAGTTCAGCTGGCAGAATCTAGATGAGTTGCGTATTAATTCTCCGAGGCCTAGCAGAGGGTAGCTTGTGATGATATATATATACGTTGCTGCGGCGGATGCTCGGCTCTTACAGTGTAGTTGTACCTTGTCAAAGCTTGGCCGGGAAGACTGGGGATCTGACCGAGTCCAAGGACAGCAAGACGCTCAGGAGGTGTCATGCCTGACCGACGTCGTACTGTCGGGGGCGCAGGGCGAGGCTTACGGACCAGTTGATGCATCTCCCGGTGTGAACCGGTGACGAAGTCACGGCGGTATCGATGCTTCACGCCTTATTACAGGGGTCCGCACCACACATTTTGCAAGATCGAACAGCGGACGTGAAACAGCTCACTCTGATCCTTTCATGCACCCGCCCTCTTGGTCTTCGATGACGGCGTTGCCAAGACCTCACCATGTGTCAAATGTTGATAGGATACCCCGGGAAAATGGCGTACTCTGCGAGCAAGCTCCAACCAATCTGCGCGTCGCGTATCCATGGTCACCTGTGGTGATCCTCCATCCAGCCTGGCATGTCGCACAGTCGACAATGTTTCGTGTAGCTTGGATCCTTGTGCGCAGCCACCTACCTAGATTGCTGGAGGTCGGCATGAAGAGCGGCTTCAGGTTTGAGGCTCTTACTTGTAATCCTGGTTGTTCATGGTGTAAATGAAGGGACTCTAAAGTCTCAACTTCACTTACCCACATTATGGTTACAACTTACAAGGTCGCCTATCCCGCCGGAGTCGGCATTCGGCAAGCCTTATAATTTCCACGCCTCACGCGTGACGCCGCTTCAATACGTACGCGCATACTCCTCCCTTCACCAACAGCAACTCGCATTTGCGCCAAATTTCCCGAGGTCCATACGTTTGTCCGGAGTTGGTAGCTCTGGTTTCTTCGTCCCTTGGCTGATCTTGCCGGTATGCAGTGGTTGTTGCCACGATGGCTCATTCATACTCATCGACGAGATGACTCACGGCCGGATATCTGCTGGGGTAACGCGAGTACCTTATGACTGGTGGATGACAGGCTACCGTAGTTGTACCTGCGCGCCTCTCATAGCTACACTACAGTCAATATTAGTACATATAAGGTGGCACGAACATCCCATGGCTATGTCGGACTTACGTGTTCAGCATTTGTTTCGGCGTCTTCGAGTAGAGCAAGATTATTGGACGCGTGCCCAATCGCTTGCTACAGGCAGACCGGACCAGCTCGTCAAACGAAAGCGTCCAGCAAGTCCGAGGCGATCGATCAATCATGGCCACCCAGGAGCCAAAATTGCACACTCAGTTTCCCGAATCAACCGAGACAGCTCTCTGCGTCCTCCCACCGGGCGAGCTCTGCCCCCCCGCTGAGCTCCTGCAATGGCTTGATGATTCAAAGCGCGGGACATGGTCGCCACCTGTGGACATTATGTACCCCTTTGTACGCCTTGCAGATTTGGAACAGGCGGTCGTGCGTGTCATGGCTGTCATATCTGATCAGTACCGAGACAAATGCATGGACGTTGAACTTGATGCGCCAGATGTGCCAAGGCACCACTCGCCGACCACGCTTCATCACAGGGACTTGGCACAGTCAGCTGCGTTACGACAAAACAACCAAACATCGTCGCCGCTTTTTTCCCTCGCACAAGCGGCCCATAAGCAGGACGATGCCTTTCTGTCAGTGCTAGCCAGGTTGCGCTTGCCGACGCCTTTGTCATGGACCCTATTGAGGATAGTTGTACTCATGCAAGATGATACTACTGCACTGCACATCGGCCAAGGTGGCCGAATGCAAATTTGGGGCTATATTCACCTGGACTCATGTAGGTTGCAGCGGGTCTTTTATGAGAGCTCTAGCCGACCGGATTTCAGCATCAACCATGCGCCCTCGAAAGTTACAGAGGACGGTGCGTCTTTTCAAGAGGGACATGATCGGGGAAGCGAGGACCACTCTCAACTAATTGTGGCCTCGTATAACGTCCAGGCGGACCTCCAGCGCCCTCCTAATGATGAGCGATATGAGGGACTGGTCTCTACTATACTTTCATCACGAGCCAAGTCAGACATTCTAGTACTGCAAGAAGTCACGCATGCACTTCTAGTCTTCTTACTAGCCGATGCCAAGACCCGATCAGTCTACCCATACTGTACGCATGGTCCTCCGAACAGAGCAGATGCTAAAACGTTGTCATACTCACTCAACACCGTTATACTCAGCAAGTTTCCCATGGAATGGGAAGAATCCGGAATCCAGGGCGATGGCGGGTCCGTATCCATCGTCATGTTTCCATCGCTACAAAACTTTGGACAAGAAAGGCCACGGCCACTGGTTCTAGCAGCATGTTACCTTCCTCCGGGTATCGGTGACGAAGCTGTCGAAGCAAAAGGGCTCGTTTTCGAATCGTTGATGGAATTTCTTTCCAGCTATCATGATGGTTCGCCATGGGTCATCGCGGGGTGCTTCAATATGCCGACATCTTCATACACGCTTGATGAAGCGAAGCGTACCGGTCACATCAAGTCCCCAACTTGTCGGTATCTTCGAGGTTTCAGTACCTTGCTCAAGAAATACGAGTTGAAAGACCTCTGGACTACTTCAAGGATCTCTGCAGGGGATTCATCTCGCGATGTGGCAAGTCAAGTTTCGCTGTATCGCCGTCATGAGGGAGAAGAAGGGGCTACCTTCGATCCAGCAAGCAACGTGCTGGCCTCCAAAACAGCGTGCGCTGGTTCATTTGGACGACCACAGCGCTACGATCGCATCTTGGTCAACGACAAAATGGCACTACGGCCGTATCGGTGCAATCATTTTGGGCTCGGTGATGGCCGAGCCCTTATTTCTCAAAGCGGACATTGGGGTGTTCGAGGTCTACTCAAATGTCAGACACAAGCCGCACATGTACCGCACAGCCTCTCTGCACCTCAGGAACTAGCATATCCAAGATTGCCGGAAGTACCAGAGTATTTCAGCCAAATTTACCACGATGGCACTGGTCAACGCATTCTCATACTTGAGCATCACGTCGAGTTGTTGCGGGCTGCTTTGGGCTGTCAGGGGGTGCAACATATCATGGTTCAAGACCCAATGTTTGTGCTCCATCCGGTCGGTTCTTTTGGCTTGGGTACGTGGGATCCATCATCTGATGTGGACTGTTTGTGTTTGGGCAACGTCAGCTCTGCAACATTCTTTGCGCTGGCAATGCCGAGGCTACGCAATGCGGGTGCCATTAATGGTATCACCGGGCTACGCAGGGTGAAGACGTCTTCAGGCACAATGCTTGAAGTAGATATCAAAGATGTACGCTTCAACTTGCGGTACTGCTGCGCACGACCCGTGCTCGAGAGGTGAGGCTCACACCGGTCAAGGAAGAAATATCATTAACGTACAATAGACACCAGGACATTGTGCATCGGCCGACGTCTGACCCAGTGTTTGCTTCTTTACCCGTCCCAACACTCATCAAACTAGCACTCCTGCGCGACATGTGGTACCTGCAGCGATCGATACCAGACATGGCACAGTTCTGCCACGCGCACCTCTTGATCCGATTGTGGGCTCAGGAAAGAGGCTTGTATTCGTCAATCTTTGGCTATCTGGGTGATTCACAAATCACCATCATGCTGGTGGTTGTATGCAAGCTCTTGGCCGACAGCTACGGGCAAGTCGGTCTCAAGGAGATTATATTCACGTTTTTCAATCATTATGCGAATTTCGACTTTCGCAAAGAGGTAGTGTATGATCCGTTTTTTCACAAAAGCCTGGCTTATCATCGCACATCGCGCGAGGCTATTTGCATCCTGGGATGGCATGCGCCCTCCTTGAACTGTGCCGCCGATTCCAACGACTCAGCTGCAAATGTTGTAATCAGGGAAATACGCGAGGCCAACATCCAAATGCTAAGTGACAGTTTCACTTGGGCCAGCTTGCTACCTCCGCCGAGCGGTGAACTCAGTCAAACGCAGCGAGTCGCGGTTGCACCAGCCCTCAAAGCTTTCATGAACAGCCACAAAAGCTTCATCAGAATTGACATGCGGCACTGGGGTTCTTCAGCCATTGCTGGATGCAGATTTATGGAATGGCTTGAATCACGCCTAGTGACTCTGCTTGCTGGTGAGCGCCACATTTCCGCGATTGTTTTCATGTTGATGACAGACCAGATCTCGACAAAAGGATACATGGTATCCACGCCCGAATCTGGCCACAGAGATTGATTGAAAGCGATCGCGACGATGAGGAAGTACATGTCTGCTATTTCGTTGGCCTCACCCTTGCAAGCAATCATCAGGCCTCACGGATAAGTCAGAAGGCATCCATCGACGCGATCCAGTCGATTCTGGAGTCCTTCGAACGCAGAATTCACCATGATGTAGCCCACTTTAGCTCGAGTACGTCATGGCTGGCTGCGAGACTACGGAAGCAATCAGCACTTGTGGGCTCAGCAATCCCGAGTGGGCTTGCGTTCAAGGATCTTCGTGACGCGCCATGGTACGAGGAAGATTCAGATCACAACGATGAGACAGGTGAGGATGAGGAAGAGCATTCGCCATATGCTAGTTGCTGCAACGAGTCAAACGCCGCAGGGGCTTTCCTTGGGAAACTAAGGCCGGCTATCGACGTGCTAAATCGTCTCCGCTGGGACCCGAGCTTGGATGGCAATGATCATGTCGTCGGCTATGAAGATCGCTTCGATGGCGCCTGTGAGAAGACACTTGGGCAGTGGAAGTCTGACTACACTGACGAGGAGTTCATACCACAGCATCGAATACTGTATTTCAGACGACTATCCGATGGTGCTATTGTCTGGGAACGAAGGACTAGGTTAGATACTATCTTTAGGTAATATTAAAGGATTTCTTATAAGTTTATATAGTATAAAAATAATATTTCTTTAGCTAGACTCTTTATATAATAATAAAATAACTCTTAGAACTTTATGAAGGTATAAAAAGTTAGTTTATAATAATAATAATAATAATAATAATAATAATAATAATAATAATAATAATAATAATAATAATAATAATAATAATAATAATAATAATAATAATAAT